TACGAGGGCAAGAAATTTGGCGAGCTGAATGTGCAACAGTGGCAAAAGGCCAAGTCCAGCAAGATGAACGACCCTGAAGACGGCCAAGCAGAGCTTGAAATCACATCCAGGATCACCGATGTACCCCTTGACATCACTGATAGCGATGTCTTCAGTGATGTTATGGGACAGCTTTTACTCGGCGACGAGGATCTTCTGCTTGATGTTGAGTCTCTTGTCGACATCAAGGTTTCGACGGTGCTCGGAGATCTGGTTCTCAGAGATGTCCCCGCAAAGGGCAAGATTCCAGTAAAACGTTTGTCCTCGCCTTGGTAATTTATTGCGCGGCTCGCTTGTGATGGTGTCATAACGCGTCTTTTGAACTATTGAAAGTACGGTTATGATGCACCTCACAAGATGCCCAAGGACAGCTCTGCTAACTAAATGGAACAGAGCTTCCTGGTAATTCGCTTACGAAACTTGACCCACGCGTCTTCAATCTGGTCATTCTTAACACAACGAAGCATGCTGTTCACATGCAGGCATCGGTCAACATAACAAATCCTACACCTTATACAGCCTTTATTCCATTTGCAACTGTTCACGTCTACAACAAAGAGATCATAATCGGAGAAGTCACGGTCAGTAATCTGGACGTGCAATTGGGAAATAACACAAATCTGGCCGTATCCGCCACCTGGGATCCGGTATCTCTTGGCGGGGAGAAAAGTCACAAAGCGGCCGCGAAATTACTATCCGACTATCTTTCTGGCCAAAACACAACATTGACATTCAAGACTCATGAAGGTAGTATTCCAGGACTACCTCTCATCGGTGACGCTCTCTCCAAGTTCAACATCACACTGCCAACACCCCGAATCAAACTTCCGGGAGACAAGAAGCACGGCAGTAGTCAGGGTAAAAACTTTGTGAGAGATGCCGTCTTTCACATATTCTCTTCTACGGCCTCTTTCAATCTGGCATCTCCACTAAAGCAGAATACTATACATATTGAGATGATAAACGCTACAGCATATTACAACCATACAGAACCCGTTGGCCACATCTTCTACGACGAGCCGTTCGATGTGCCTCCAGGGGTGACCGAGACTCCACGACTCCCAGTTGCATGGTCAGCGGAGAGCATCGGCTATGATAAGCTGATTGACGCCATGGACGGCTCATTAAAGCTAGATGCCTCAGCAGACGCGACATTAAGGATAGGAAATTGGATAGAGACCGTCCATTACGAGGGACGGGGAATTGGAGCTAGGGTTAGGATATAGACGGTACATTTCTTTCGTTCATTCGTTCTTTCAGCTACATGATATTGTTTTGAGTTTTTCTTGGGAGCAGCGTTTGGTATCTATTTTGGACTTTTTATGATTTGATTAGCAGGTATTGCTTTGATATACAGGTTGACATTTTCTACAAGCAATTTATATACGAGATACACAGAGATATTCTCAGAGTTGAATACACAGACCCAGTTTACAAGTGGACAGAAACGTGAATTTCGATAAGAACCGATGAAATTATATTGGTATACATATGTATCGCCAGACTTTGATAACGCGCTACACCTAATCCTGGTAGTATCTCTTCAATGGCTCGACAGCTATCGTCATACACACAAGCGTTTAGAAGCTACGTGGATGTCATCTACTATTTACGAGGATAAGAATAAGAGGCAGATTTCGAAAGACAGGATACAGCATCACGTTACTACAAATTTGGCTGGCATCGTCACGCTGAGCAATGAGAGAACGGGGATCGGATCAAAGTGACGAACCTGGAGTAGGTACACCATGTCGATACCGACTCTAACAGTGTCAGTAAGGGATAAAATACTTGAATCATGAGAGAGAGAGAGAATATGACAAGAAAAGGAATAAGCACCTTTGTTTTTAATCAATTTCCCCTAATAAAGCCAACAAGCGAGAATTCATTAATAAGATACGTTGCCGCAGTGGGTTAGACACTTTTTCGCAGAAGAATATAAAAGAAAAGCTGTTCCTTGGACCCGAGTCGTCTTGATGCTGAAACTTTAGCCGAGCCGTACGCCTGCTTCTCTACGCTTCTTCAGCTGCTGCGCCGTCGCCAGGTTCATACCGGCGCTTTCGCTTGCGTCAAACATGCTCTGTGCCTCGCGCCTCTTTTCGTCGTCGATCTTCTTGAGGCGCTTCTCGGTCTTGCCCTTGCCGCTACCCTTTCCGTGGAATTGGTGACTGAGATGCTTGAAGGCTTCCTTCCGGTCTAGCAATCGGCCGTGGTCATCGACATACTTCAACTCGATGTTTGGCTTGTAGCCCGCGTTAAAGAGCTCAGCCATCTTCTTCGACTGCTGGTGGTCACGGTGGGTGTTTTGCTGTCGAGCCCACTCTTCTCTTTCTCGAACGGACATGCGATCCAATCTGCCACTCATTCTGTCACGCTCTCTCTGTTGTCGAGTCTGTTCGTCCAATTCACCCTCCAAGATCCTCTTCTTTGATAAAAATTCTTCACGAGCAACAAAGTCCTCATAACTGCCACTCTTCTCCTGGGACTCGAGGAGTCCTCGTTCTCGAAGCAGTGCGAGGGCTGCGCCCATACCGGTACCAACCATCTTTTCATCTTCAATACCCGCATCACCCTCCTCCTCTTGCTTGATATTATTCCTCTCTTCTTCTTCTCGGTGTGCTGCAATCTCTGCTGAGTAGTCATCCATTTCATGATCTTCATCTCCATTTTCATCTCTATCTCCATCTCCATCACCCATATCACGATCCTCCTCCACTTCAGGACTTTTTGTAATCTGTTTTTGCTTCCTAGCCTGGCGATCTTCATCGTCTGGCTTGCTCAGGCCGGCAACAAACTCGGAAATCTCGCCAATCACAAGACCACCGCTTTGGATCTCCTCGGGCGCCTCGTCGTCTTCTTTAAGTTGTCTTGCAATGTCTTCAGGTCGTGTCTTTTTGCGTTTCTTCAGGGCAATTTTTCTTTGGATTGCCAGCGACGCTTGAAGATCGTCGTCATCGGCAAAGTTATCAGCAGAAGCAGCTTTTCGTTTCTTAGTTAGAGATGAATCCTTGGAATCAACGTCCATAGAGCCAGAGTCTACCGGAGCGGTTTCCAAGGGAAATATGTCGTCTTCATCAAGTTGCTTTTGCCTCGTGCCCTTGCTCCCCTTCTTTTTCTTGGGCTTCTTCACTTTGATTTCTGAGGGGGCAAGGTAGTCTGATGAAGGCGCAGCATCATCTAGCGTATTGTCAGCAATCGTTTTATTCTTAAAAGCTTTAAGTCCTTTGTCTTTCAACGTACCAACAATATCATCGAGGCTTATTGATTGAATCTTCTTTCCCTTCCTTTCTGGCTGACCCAGGATATCTGACAGTTCAGCGATGGCTCCGTCGTCATCAAGAGTGAACCTCTTTGCTTTTTTACCATTAATCTCCTCGTCATATTGTGCCAGGATGGTGCCCTCGCCATCATCATAATCATTAGGGTTATAGCCTTTTAGCTTCTTCTTGAGGTCTAATCTTTCCGTGAGCTTCTCTTGTTCTCTGATACCCAAATTCTCGAGCTCATCTCCCTCTTCCTCATTCTGGTCAATAGTCGTGTCCTTCAAAGTAAGGATTTGTTCATCTCCATCTAAAAAGGACGTTGATTCGTGAGCAACTTTGATGCCTGCGAGGTCTTTGGAGGTGTATTGTATGGCTGCCGCTGCTTCTGCCTCTGCCGCCGCCAGCTCTTCTTCCAGCTTCCTCGCTTTGTCAATCTTCTTCTGCCTCTTCTTCTGCCCCGTCAACCACGCCTTTGCATCAAGGTCGTTGTCCGGACCTTCTTCACCGAGGCCCTTTCCCTCTAAAAGAGCAAATCGCTGGGCCTTTTCACGGGCTTTTCGTACGGCGGCTGCCTTCTCTTCGCGTCGTTTTTTGGCGGCTTCTTCATCCTGTACCCGTTTGTAGTTGTCATACGCCTGGGCTTGGCGACTCTCGACGGTGCTTCCGGGTTCTTCGTCGTCGTCCGACGCTGAGGCTTGCTGCGATACTTCGGCTCCGGGTACCGGCAAAGGCTTCATGCCCAGCGATATTCGGATGCGATTTGTCTCTTCGATCGTGGCCGCGTCCATGGTTGCTCGATGTTGATGTCAGACAGGATAGAAGCTGGTTAAGTCGTCGCGAACATGCAAGAAAGAAAGCGAGTCTCAAACAGCGTCTTCCTAGGTAGTTAGGCACGAGATAGCGGTACTTGGTGCTCCACCGCAGCCGGGCTGCTAAACTTGTCGTCACTTTAGCGTGCAACGATTTTAGCCGATATATTTCCCGTTTAATATCACGTGATATTCCCCACCACCCAATCTTATCGCAACTCCATATAAGGCTCTATCGTGAAATTTTCTTCCAGGGCTTCTCTTCTTCTTCACAAACACGGATCTGTGCTCTGCGGTCCTCTGCGTTCACGCGTCAGGGTCGACTGCTTTGCAGCTCGATAACTCTATGGAGCCATCAACTTGCTATGGTGTCAATCATCCTATCGACAGGTCCAAGAAGAATTCGACCTCTGGCTGCCTCATTCGCTGTCGCAAGATGGCTTGAGTGTTGTGGCTGGAGGACCCGAGGGCCCCATATTCCGAACCTTTTTTCCAAGGCCGTCGGCCGATGAGGTTGAGGAAAACCATGGGATGCCTACATCTCAACGCTCGCAATACCTAGTATTAGATTACCTATCTGTAGACATCTCTGTGGACATCTTACCGCTGTTGAGCCTCAGTTCAGAGGCTTCTGACCCCATGATGCCACTCTGACTAGCCGCTCAGAGCAAACAATGATTAATTGTGCTACTCGGGCCGTAATATCTACGAAATAACCCCGACGAACTCGGAAAGCAAAATGCGATCCATTGTCGGCGGGGCAGACGGGAAACCCGTTTGCTTACTCCAGGCGTGCCTCGTGATTATCATGGAGGGCTGCCGTACTATGCAAGCAGCCTCCTGGATTACATAGTATGTGAGTTCTGATGATGTCAATCCCTGACAATTAGGCAGATGTCAGAAGCCCCCCACGGCAGAAGTCCACCAAGACATGCGGTACCTGCGAAAGTGATTACGGGTACCCCATCCATTTGTTAATGCATGTGAAGCTCAATGCCGAGACCCTGCTCGGACCTTGTATGCACGCTCTCTGAGGCGGTGACGGCCGATGCTGTCACCGTCCTGTCACATCCTTCTACCTCTGTTCTACTTCTTCTTCCCTTCTCATTCGTCCACGTTCTTCTTCGCCTTCTCATCCGTTTCTGCAGCACGTGCTTGGCAGCCCAGCCTGCATATGCATTTAGTCAAGATTACGGCTGTCATCACGAGCCCTCGGTTGCTTGTGAAACACACGCAGCTCAGCTCCTCCAGAAGCTCGAGTAATAACGCCGACTCGGCATCACTTCGCCACACCCAAACTAATGTGCATAATGGACTACATCGAAAGGCTGAAAATTTTTCATTTCCCTTTGCGCCCATCTTTTCTCCTCTTGTAAGCTGCAAAGCACGTGTAGCTAATGCAAGAGCGCAAAAGTTCCGGCGACAATGAATGCAAATGTTCCGGTTGATCTAGGGTAGGAGGGCTAGCACCGGAGGCTAGAGGCGGTAGTGGATGGGCGGCGGGCGGGAACCTGGCAAGCCTTGCGCCTCATAGCCCGAACGAGACGAACATGGCCCAGGATTTGCCCCACGGGGGAGCAGCTTGGAGATGCGGAGCAGGGCCAGCCCCTGGGAGTGATGTGATGTCTGTTGGCAGCGGCTTGGCCAGAGCTCGCTGCGGTGGTGCCTTGATCGGACGCTGCCTCCTTGCTCGGCCCCTCTCCCTCTCCCTCTCCTTAGCTGCGCATGCTCTCCTGACAGCGTGACTAATGACGCGTAGCCAGCCCATTCGCCTGACACATCCCAGCATCTGAGTCTAGCTCGTCACGCTGGCCAGGCAGAGCAGCAGCGTCCGGGCATGATTGGGCGCCGGCCCCAGCCTGGCAGAGCATCAGATCAGCTGCCCATCTGCCGTTGACCGCGCCGCCGACTCGTCGGATCTCACCGGCCAGGAGCTGATCCCGGAGTGGCGAGAGTGTAGAAAAAGGATGACGGCCCCGATGCCACGACGCAGTGCTGTTCTCGCTGCAGCATCATCGCTGACAAGAGGAGCTGAGCTGATATCGAAGAGAAGGAGGCTGCCAGAGGAGAGCTGAATATCCACCACCGCCAGTTGCTACCCATCAGGCAGCTCGGCTCCTCTTCCTCTCCCCCCAAACGGCTGCAACGCAAATTGCGGCACTTGGGCCCGGAGAAGAATCGGCCCTTTGTATAGTCTTCCGGCCCTCAGTTCCCCATGGGGGAGATCCGCACATCCACTTTGGCCCTGTAGACCCTTTGTCGGTCCGAGTCCGAACAACTTGAGCATCGACGGTGGCCTTTGCGAGATACTCTGCGATCAAGCCGCTGCTTCTCATTGGACGACTGATTCCACAGGGCGAGGCTCGGCATAAACGAAGCCGTTTGCCATAGCATACTGCAAAAGTTCTCGCCAGGCTCCGACTATATAGTGAAGATGCCCGCGTTCGCCATGGATCTGGCTGCGAGCCACTCAGCGTCAGCACTTTCTCTCAACGTCTCCTCTCACGCTTCATTCATTCCGCCCATCATGCATGTCCTGTCGACAGCCGTCTTGCTTGGCTCGGTTGCCGTCCAAAAGGTTCTGGGAAGACCTGGATCCAGTGGCACTTCCGACATCACAAAACGAGCCGTTACTGACTTCATCAACACGGAAACCCCCATTGCCCTGAACAACCTGATTTGCAATGTTGGTCCTGATGGATGCCGTGCTTATGGCACATCGATTGGCGCTGTAGTTGCGTCGCCAAGCACAACTGACCCAGACTGTAAGCTTCCCTTGCCATTGTACAATATCGTATACACCAACTACATGTACGATGCACTAACACGAATATACTCAAAGACTTCTACATGTGGACTCGAGATAGTGCCCTCGTCTTCAAGACTCTTGTTGACCGGTTCACCCAGAACTACGATGCTGGCCTGCAGCGCCGTATCCAGCAGTACATCGCTGCTCAGGTCACTCTTCAGGGCATCTCAAACCCATCTGGTTCCCTCTCAGACGGCTCTGGCCTTGGCGAACCCAAGTTCGAGCTGACCCTGAGCCAGTTCACTGGCAACTGGGGCCGCCCGCAGCGTGATGGTCCAGCTCTTCGAGCCATTGCCTTGATTGGCTATTCAAAGTGGCTCATTGCCAACAACTACCAGTCGACAGTGTCGAACATCATTTGGCCCATTGTGCGAAATGATCTCAACTACGTTGCTCAGTACTGGTTAGTGACTGCTTCTTCTCTCACCCACTATTCACTAGCTCGTTGCTAACCTTGACTTGTAGGAACCAAACCGGATTTGATCTGTGGGAGGAAGTCAATGGAAGCTCATTCTTTACTGTAGCTAACCAGCACCGAGCACTTGTTGAGGGTGCCACACTTGCCGCTACCCTTGGCCAGTCGGGAAGCAGCTATTCCACTGTTGCCCCCCAGATCCTCTGCTTCCTCCAGAAGTTCTGGTCGTCATCTGGATACATTATTTCCAACAGTAAGCTATCAATGCGCAATAGTCTTATTCACAACATAGAATGCTAATACTAGTCGGCATAGTCAACAGCAATGATGGTAGATCTGGAAAGGATTCCAACTCCATTCTCGCCTCTATTTCCACATTCGATCCCAGCATTGGTTGCGATGCCGCCACCTTCCAACCCTGCAGTGACAAGGCTCTTTCAAACCTGAAGGTCTATGTCGACTCTTTCCGCTCCATCTATGGTGTTAATTCGGGCATCCCTGCCGGCACTGCTGTTGCCGTTGGCAGATACCCAGAAGACGTCTACTTCAACGGAAACCCATGGTACCTTTCTACCTTTGCTGTTGCTGAGCAGTTGTACGACGCCCTGTATGTCTGGAAGAAGACTGGTTCCATCACCGTTACTTCCACCTCTCTGGCTTTCTTCCAAGAGCTCGTCCCCAGCGTGACAGCTGGAACCTACTCCAGCAGCTCATCTACCTTTACCAGCATCATCAACGCCGTCTCCACCTATGCTGATGGATTCGTCAGCGAGGCGGCCAAGTACGTGCCCTCCGATGGTTCTCTCTCCGAGCAGTTCGACAAGAACACCGGCACTCCTCTCTCCGCCGTTCACCTGACCTGGTCGTACGCCTCTTTCCTGACTGCCGCCGCCCGTCGCGCTGGCGTTGTCCCCCCCTCATGGGTCAGCAGCGGCGGCAACACCGTTCCCTCGACCTGCTCCGGCACCACGGTGGCAGGATCCTACTCAAGTCCCACAGCCACGTCATTCCCTCCGTCACAGACTCCCAAGACTGCGACTTCTGGCACTACCTTTACACCCATTGCATGCGCTACCCCAACTTCCGTGGCTGTGACCTTCCACGAGCTTGCTACCACCGTCCCTGGCCAGACAATCAAGGTCGTTGGTAACGTCCAGGGCCTGGGCAACTGGAACACCAGCGCCGCCGTTGCTCTGAATGCCGTCAACTATGCTACCAACCACCCTCTGTGGATTGGCCCTGTCAACCTCCAGGCCGGAGCCGTCGTCCAATACAAGTACATCAACGTTGGCTCAGACGGCTCCGTGACCTGGGAGGCCGACCCCAACCACACCTACACTGTCCCTGCAGTGGCCTGTGTCACCGCAGTTGTTAAGGAGGATACCTGGCAATCATAATGAACTAATCTAAGGTAGGAAAAGGAGGAAGAGGAACGAAATGGCAGATTGTCAGTCACGCTTGCAAGTGTGTGTATATTAATTAAATTTTTTTTTTAAAGCTTTAGCTCTTTTTATGATTCCAAGAGAGACGAATATATGATAAAGGAATAGCGTTATTTCCAAATATTATGGATCCCCTTTGCTTTAATCTGTGTGAAAGAGAGAATTTTTCTTGATGATTTGCGTTTGCGCAATCTTCCCATAAATTAAGAAAAGAGTCTTTGTTTTCTGCTGTTTTGATTTGTTAGGTCGAATGAAGACTTGTGGCTTGTGGTTAATTGGCCACGAGCATATGCAATGACGAATCAAGAAAATGAACGAATGAACAAATAAACAAGCAACACGTGTACATCCTGATTAGTTGAAGCCAGACAAGTTGCCCATGAAACCAAAACCCTTCCTTTACTTAGTGATTCCTCTTATTGAACGCTACACTCTTCTCTTTTCTCTCCTTCTGCCCTTGAACTTCAAAATTTATATACCATTTCTTCCTTAATCTCCTTTACGCAAACTCATCATCAGGGGCCTCAATGGCATTCTTGACCTTGACCAGGATAGCCGTCATCCACGGTTCCAGTCTGCTCGTGCGATCAAACTGGAACAGGATCTCGCCAAACTGATCCTGGTCGTGGGCCTCGATGGCGCCGCACAGGTCCTCAATCAGCTTGTACTTGTACTGCGAGGAGAACTCGACGTCCTTCTGGCGGTAGCCCTCGATGGCGCGGCGGGTGCCGACCAGGTCGCCGGTGGCGAGGTGGCAGACGCCGGCCTTGAAGCAGTAGGTAGAGAGACTCCATTTCATGGTCTGGTTGCCGATCATGGAGTTGATGATGCGGTCGTAGGTCTCGATGGCGACGTAGTAGTCCTCGTCTAGGGCGGCGAGATCGGCGTATTGAGTGAATAGCTTGTTGGCATTCCTAGACGATAGAAGAGCAGGTCGTTAGCTTAACCTTGAACATAAACGCAGCTCTTTGACAGCAACATTGCCCTCAAATAAATCATAATCCCAGGTATTCATGCTGCAGAGGGAAGACGTACAGTTCTCTCGCCTTCGGTAGTCGCTCAGCAGCCTCCTTGTAGGCCTCGCGCGCCCTCTTCAAGTCCTTCAGGTCATGCTCATAAATCTGACCAAGGATCTCCTTGACTCTGGACAGCCTCGTCTGCTTGCTCTCGCTGGTGGACTGCTGGATCAGAGCAAAGGCCCTCTCTCGGCATCGAATCGCCGCCTCGGGATCATCTCTTCGGTAGGCGTCGGAGGCCTCGACGTAGCTGTCGGCAGCATCGCCCAGTTCCTTGAGGTTCTTCTCTCGTACTGCGGCGGCTCGTTCATATGTCTTGCCGGCCTCGATATCTAAAAAGAAGGTCAAGGGTTAGTCGATGTTCGTGATTGCGTCAGAGAGCCGCTCTGAAACAGATCTCTCATAGAGGAGCTCTCTTGGGTGGAAGACCAAGGCAGGTACATACTTTGGCCCTGTCGCTCGTACGCCTGGGCTGCCTCCTTGAATAATCGAGCAGCGTCCCAGAATTTGTCGTCTGAGCCTCCAAGGAAGCTCCAGCCACCGCTGCCCTTCGATACGAGCTTCTCGGCCTGTCAAGTCTGAACGTTAGTCCAGCCCCGCGGTTTCTCTGCCAGCTTCTTGGAGCGCTGCAAGCTGGAGAACCAGAAAGAGAGGCGCACCTGTTGGATTAGAGCCTGGGGGTCTTCCATGATGTCGAGGATTCTGTGTGCAAAGAGTATCAAAGCTGTGTGGAGGAGAAGCGCTTGGTATAGTAAGATGAAATCGTGGTAAGAAAGGCGATGCGCTCACTGGAGTTTAGTACCTGCCACAGCGTCTGTTAGGCGTGACCTGGAGCCTATGACGCTGCTGAGGTGGGGGGCGAAGCACTGAAGCAGCTGGTGCTGGATAAGGCCGGATTTGGCCTAAGCCGATTTGGACACATCTGGATCGGCACATTGACAAAATTGTGCATTCATTCATACACCTGGCATGATACTCACTGAATCATTCATGCCGGCAGATCCTCAACTTCCAGGGGGCTTATTTCACATTTTCTCGATACAACTCTGCGCTATAGTCAATCGCCACAATGTCACTCTGTTCCAGATGCCTTAGGAAGAGCCTTGGTCTTCGTCTTTGTCTTCATCCAAGAATCATCTCAGCTCCTCTGTCATCCAAAGCCTCGCCATCTTCGACTGCGCAAGATATCCTCTCCAAACCAACCTGGTCTGTGAGCTCTCTGCTTCCGTCTCAGTCACATGTCGAATCACCAGAAACCATCACTCCTGCTCAGCTTCATCATCTCTTGCGTCTATCAGCTCTTCCCTTACCCAAATCCCCTGCCGAAGAGCAGTCAATGATTGAGACTCTCCAGAGCCAGCTGCAATTCGCGCGGGCGGTACAGAGAGTTGATACCAAGGGAGTGGAACCTCTTCGAGCCATTAGGGATGAAACGGAAGCTGCAATGAAAGAGAATACCATTGGCTTAGACGATCTAAAGGATACATTAGCCAAAGAGGCCCTCGTGGGGCACTATCAACGGCCTCGTAGGGTCAGGGAACAGATCCAATCTGATGCTGAGAACTGGGATGCCTTGGCTACGGCGTCAAGGAAGGCCGGAAAGTATTTTGTTGTTGAGAGTGGGAAGAAGGCTGAGGCTGGGGAACCTTGAATAACCTTTTTTTTTTTCGTTGGGTAGGGCGTTTTCAGCCCCATGGTATATACTTCGACATATGCTTGGCTGTATTTGTCCCAGCCCACCCAGTAGTTTTCTGTCCTGCGATGATACCCTTGATGACAAACAATAAACGAATTTCCCTATGCTCTCTTGAAACCATTTTTCTGCGTGTCCCGCAATCCATGCTAATATCAATCCTTAAACAAAAAGAAGAAAAACGTGTACTTCATGAACCGGTTTAGAAAATCCAACCCCTCTACTCTAATCCAGCTGCGGCATAGCCATCTGAGTGGATGAATCGCACGTTACTTTGGTGTTTCTTGATTCGTATCTCTCGGCTTTTGTTTAGGTATCTTTTCGTAGGCGTTCGGGCTTGGTGCCCTCTTCTTCTTGCCATTCGTTCTCCTGCCACGCCTGTGGCTGTGGTTGTGCTCATGATCGTGATTGTGACCGCAGCCGTCGTCTTTTCCACCGCCGACTTTCCTTTTTCTTTCTGGCTCAGAGTCAGAATCTGAGTCTGAAGATGAAGAGTCCGACGAAGATTCGTCGCTGGATTCATCGACTCTTTTGGGTCGGTGGTATATGCAGCACACTATGCGAACAAGTACCGTTAGCTTCATCTCCAGCTTTGCATAGGTATGACATTCCTCCCTAGCGAATACCAATAGTGAATAGACCATATAGTACAGCTTTGGGCATCAGTAATCAGAAATCTCTTGCAGTCATGCATACCTTTCGAGCTCTTCCTCCCCAGCCCTTCATTGTCAACCACGTCCTCTGCCCACTGCACTGATCTCCCGTTTGAGGTATTCCCTCCTCTTAGCCGCAGCACTCTCGGCGCACTCTGCGCGGTCTCTGGCGGAGTTGTTTGTGTGGTTGTTTGCGACGCTGTTGGCGCCTGCGCGGCGCGCTCTTGCGACTGGGACTGCGACATGGCGCAAGGTTTTGTAAGAAATCCGGTTCTTTTTTGGTTAGTAGTTTGTAGCGGGTCTATCAGTAGCACGCAGGCAAAAGTGAAGGTGATCGCATGAAATCTTTATGCGCTGTTATGCGAAACAAAGAGATCTTTTGCGAGGATGGATCGGGAGAAAGTGGAAGAGGGATGTCTTGTGACGAGACTTTGTTTGGTAGATGTCATCGGTGGGAAAAAAAGAGCTCGGAACAAGGTAAGTTGCCCCCCCACGGCTTCCCAACACGCTATAGTTAGGTGGCGTCACTGATGCCCGGAATCCTGGAAAGTATCGCCAAAAACCACCGCTTGCTAATGCTGCTAGGTGCATGTACTAAACCCGGCATTTACTCGTCTGCACGTATTTATCACACTACTTTATTTATCTGCATCGCTTCGGCTACTAGCCTATTTCAATCCGTATTTCAATCCGTATTGCTATCTATGTCTATATGTGTTGAATGGTATTTGGATGTGGTCATATGATGGTACATTCCTCATGATGATATTGTACAAATAGTAGTGATAGGTATTCTTACACTCATTCTCACCCATGTGACACCAAATTACGCAGCCTGGTGCTCGCCCCTTCGCTTCTTTTCAAGCTTCTTCGCCCCTTTCATGCTTCTCCTCGGCCGGCTCTTCTTTTGTTCCGCAGTCTCTCGTGGCTTGTTGTTCAGCCACCCATTAATTGGCTTTCTGGACCCGATGAATTTGCCCAGGGGAGAGTAGACGTCGACGGCCGGCCACTCTGGCGATTCTTCGGGCTGTAGTTGAACCTTGGGCTCCACGGTCGTATCGTTAGCCGACATATCCCTTCTCATGTTGTACATATCAGCAAACGGGTCGTTGGTCTCCTGCGGCGTCGCCTTAGGCTTCGTCTCTTGCTTGGCCTCCGCGGGCGCATTTTGAGATGCAAGTATGCGCTCCAAGTGTCGTTTGCGGACTTGGGCCACAATCTCAACATATCCAACACCCTCGATGAGTATGTCTACAGATAACACACGGAATGGTAGTGTGTCAACGCTTAGACCAATGGCGTTCTTTCGGGTCAACGGCCCAGCCCTCTTTTTGGTTACATCGTGTTCGAGTTTGAATGTGCCAGCATGCTTCATCTTGTCTCCAATGTCAGGTAGTGTAATGTTTTCAAGACCGATAGATTGACGTGTTTGATCTTGGAATTCAATGGCCTTATCCGTGCTCGTAAGATGCTCGTGGAGTGGCGTGAAATTGTACATTAGGAAAATCATATCTGGCGTTCGCGGCGTGATCCGAATCAATCCGCCGCCAAGAATGATAGAGCTTCCAGGCTTGACAGTGATCTGCTCGGGAACAATGCGTTTTTTCATGATAAGTGACTGCCTATGTTCTTCCTTAACGTACAACTCAAGATCACTGCGTGCCAATCCAGGCAGATCAATGAGTTCTCCTTTGCCGTTGCCGAAGGGAATGCGGATAGGAGACGCAGTAGTTCCAGGAAGAGATGAAACAATGGGCATGTCTGGGTAATTTTTGGCCGGCTGGGGAGGTGGAAGAAGGGATCCCAGATTGACTGTTGCCAAGTCTTCGTCGCTTTCCAAAGTGTTCTCATCCATCGTTGAGTTCGCTGTGGCGGCTCTCGAGTTTGTCGATACACTAGCTCGTTCGGGCTTTTCGATCATCCTGCCCTTTGGGTAGATGGCTTCAAAAAGTTGGCTTTTACCCACGTTGACTTTGCCCACCATCCATCCAGCACCGCCGCGGTTCCAGACATCTTCCTTGACTGTTGTTGTCCACCACCCTCGTCTCGCGCTGACGCACCTGACGTTTCCTAGGCGGATCCGCTCACCAACTCTGCCCAAAGCCTGGCGCAAAACATCTTTCAGGTAGGGCATCATGGCGTCTACCATCTCTTTAGTTGGGCCTAAGAGGTCGCTCCTGGTAATAATGAAGCTCATCTCAGTCTTGCGGTCGTGCTGGAATTTGCCCGCTCGAGATCGTCGATTGCGCGTGCGTAGTGGAACGTCTCCCAGCAGTACATTAAGTCGTGGAATAAGAGACATGGGGAAATCGGCAGCGTCAATGACATGGTAAATGTGATTATACTTATGAGGCGATTCTTCAATGGTCTCACGCAGAGATTCGACTGTTGGGTGGTACATTGTAACTTTTGCAGTGTCACCCTTTGTGCTATGGTGCAATAAATCATGACAACGATCGCAAACAGGCGCTTTTTGATGCGATATTGCTATGAAAGAATTAGTATAAACTCACATGTAAATGCTGAAGCTGAAAGTGTTTGACATACTGTTCTTGACCTCAGTCTCTGGCTCGCCACCTTCCACAAGCATGGCCGGATCTAGACCGAGTTCTTTTAATCTGCTCTGGTCCAAAGATCCGAGTGTCTCGTTGACAATCTTATCTTCATCGCCTTCCAAAAGATTTTGATGCCGTGTAGGAGGGTTCATCCATTCTCTCACTCTCCTCTTAGTCACATCCAGATATCCTAGCTGCTCTGGATCCTCAGTTTGCGTAAATGCGCCACATCCAGAACACGTCAATGGCAATCTTCGCACCGGTTTTAATGGTGAATCTGTAGGTTTTGCTGGCGGAAGTGTCGATTCATTGCTGCTGGAGATGGCTTCGGTGTGGTTTGTTCGTCGCTGAGAAACCTTCACTGCCGCTCCCAGACTTATACATGAGAGTCTGCTTGATAGACCTGCAACTGCAGGACACAAGTACAGTGGCACTCCTGCCGAAGGTACAGCTTCGCCTACCCTCAATGTCTGCCTAAGCAGACGTCCCGTAAGGGCCCTATGCATCTTCACCGAAAGAATGTTCGTGGATCATAGATCTCGGATCAAGATTTTTGTCTTCCGAAAAGTGACCCTTCTAAAAAAATGAGCTTCTGTAAACTCAGTGAGTGACAGTGCAATCCCCACTGTCGCGTGGTCACCCCACCATTGAAAAAACAGAGAAAGCCCCGGATGATTAGCCGGCCCGCCAAACTCCAACGAGTGCGATTTTCTTGAAGTGGGAATATGCTCTGGGACGATATTGCATGCAGATTGATAGTTGCGATAATTGCTGCGCATCAATCCCTGTCCGTAATTGAGTCCTCGCAGCGGTCGAGGCGCAAAGACACAGTCCAAAATGAGGTCATTAGGAGAGCGGTTAAACCTGCTTCGAAAGGTAACATTCTGAATTCCATCATTTATACCGTAGTGGCATCTTTCGTTAACCAAGAGCTATTATAGAAAGTATGAGATATACATAGAACCCTCCTGCTACTGCCGCTCTGATCGCGATCTCCGACTTACAACTTCATTCATACAGCTCATTAACATAAAATGCGGTCCCGGCGCAGCTATCCTTCCTTCGGAAGTCACCCGGATACACATGGACTTTGCCATACGCCTGAAGGGCGGCCACATGGGAGCTAGGTTCGCATCTCTCTTGCGATATCTACCTTACGTTTTGAACAACTAGATTGTACCACTAACACAAATGCAATTCAATAGGAAGTTCTGGAAGGAATACCTCCCCCGCCTGAAATACCACAACCCCTCCATCCCCATGATCGTCAACCGCCACGACCAGAACCAGCTCCCCCCGACCATGTCCATCTACCTCCGCAAATCCGACTCCTCAGCCGCCGCCTCTTCCGAACCCCTCGCTCAGCCTTCATCATCACGCACAAACCTCTCCAAGGCGCAGCCCCCCACCGCGGACGAGCGCGTCGTGCACATCGACATGAGCAACAAGCACTCATCACATATCCTCGAGTTCTTTATGGCGGAGACCCGTGCTGTTCCTCTGCAGCCCACAAACGAGGAGATTGCCGAGATGCAGGCCCTCGAGACACTACGAAAGAATGCTGATGTCGACCGTGAGCGTGTACGACAGCTGAGACTAGAGAAGAAGAAGGAGGAGGACATGCTGAAGCGAGCAAGAGCTGCGGGTGGCATGGCAGAGCAAGAAGAGGCATAGGAGAGAGAGAGAGAGAGAGAGAGAGAAAATCAAGTTAGACAATTGTACGATAAGCGTTTTTGAGTATATGGCAATGTGTATCGTCCAGGAAAAAAAGACCTATGGGCCGGATGTTAAATAATGACATATGCTAAAATCCCCAAAAGTATCGCAGGCGCTCGACGTGGCTAAGATACAAAAACATAATCCAAGGGTAATACTACGTGATGCCCAATATCTACCCAGTACTCAATCCGTGACAATAATGTGTACTTAGAACTGAAGTAGTCTACTCCATGCTGATTTTGCAACTTTAGAGCTATAGATGATGTTTTCCAGCGTAGAACACCGCAGCTCTTCTGAGTCGGTGATGATTCTTTCATTAACAGCTTATTTGAGGCCAAATCCTTCACTCTCATGAACCGCTCTCCATAGCATAGACTCCAGCTTTTCCTTTGATTCATAACGCCAGAGAGACAGCATATTGAAGCATGTTCTGGCAATGGGATACCTCCCACAGTCATCACCCAGACAAGACAGCTTGATCGCTAGAGAAGCGGCCCCCATCGCCGGTATGCGGTCGCTGCCGGTGATAAATGTCAGCAGCTTGCGCTGATCACTCGGAGTAGCCTGTTGGAACGTGTCCCAGAACCAACCAACAACCGGCTCCGTTTCGTCAGGGGTTTTGCTCTCCCAGTTATCATATTCTGCTACGGCCCTCAGAGACGCAATATCTAGGGATTCATCAGAACCCCTAATAAGGAGTTCAATTTCTTCCGGCCGGAACAGAGAAAAGGCATTGCCGCCACAAACCGTGTAGAAGCCTCTCTTGAAGGGCTCAAACTGTCGCTTAACTGCTGTATCAAGCACGTATCGCACATAAAGATCGACATATTCTCGCCGATTTTCATTCGTCACGGGTTTGTTTTCACCCCCGGGGCAGAGAGGTACTTGTACCTTGGAGCCATATTTATCTGTTTCAATGACAAAGTCGAGGCAAAACGTCTCTTCGACATCGCCATCGAAGGCTAAGAGTTGTCTAAGGCCGTTCGCTAACCGCGGGCGGTATTCAGATAAATCATCCAGTGTATATCTCATCACTGGCTTATGCTGTTGTGGAATTGTTCCAGCAAGAGAGGGAGCCGATGCAAGAAGTTTTCTGAAAGCAAATGGAGGCAGAGCAACATCCAGAATAGTAGAATTGTAAATAGCCAAACCCATGACAACGCCAACCAAGAAAAACTGGTCAGATGGTTCGAACGAATTAGGATTGAAGTAACAATACTGAGAGTCATCGTCATATATAAACATTCCTATATCTGAGTTAGACTAAAGTGATTAATAGATCATATGCAAGGAGACCTTACCATAGTCGGGGTTGAACACTTCACGGATGAGGAGCAGAAACCATTCTTTACGAAGACCGCCTGCGTCGATTCCTTCCTCTCCCTGAAAAGAAATGCGTAGACCTTTCTTCAGATCTTCACCACCACTGCCAATGACGCTGCTTACTGCCGTTAAGCTGTCATCAACAAGGCAGTCTCGGCGGACATCAAGAAACAGGTATTGGTTGATGTTTCTTCGAGTCATAATGCTATCAAAGAAAGCATCTCGGGCCTTGCTCTGCATTTGCCGACGGGCATCATGCTCTAGGATGTGGGTCTTGGCCCATATACTCAAAAGGAAGGGATATTGACAAAAAGAAAATTTGCTCCGCCTAGATTCCCAAGACTCAAAGTCCTCAACAAGGTCGGCATAGTCTATCATAGAATTGTAAAAATCAGTGGGCGGCAGAAAGTAGCCAGCAACGCGGCCGGTCCCATTCCAAGTGACCGTGCCATTAGGATGAGCGTCTTCCCCGCGACGAGTGGGCAAAACATTATTTGCAGAAAACAAGAGAGAAAGAACGCGGGAAGCAGCTTTGATTTGCCAGTCGTCTGAGTAGGATATCTTTTTGATTGGCTCTTTAGGCTTCTTCGTCGGCCTGGGACCCCCTATCGCATCATGAAGAGACGCACCGCCATGTCGGCCAGATTGCATTTGTGGTATCAATCCGGCTGTCAAATCCACCGACTGATCGGCTTGCTTCTTCTCGCTTTGTCGAATCATCCTGTACGTCAAAAATCCCGACACAAGCTCTTTCACTTTGATAAAGCGCGGGGCATGGTACCTAGCCAGCCAAGTAACCATTTGGTTCTGACACTCTACCGAGGAATTCGAGATCAATCCCACTATTCGTTTGATGATACCGGAATGTTGCCCTGATATGGGACCGGAGTTTCCCATAGAATCTTTCGATCCCGCTGGTCTCGATCGCATAGACTTGCTTACTTCTAATTGAAGTACTCCATGGAAATTTTCATTCTCCGCATAGAGCGATGGATTCTCCATGGCTATCAGAAGGAATCGTAGATCCATTGGGTCTTTAATCGGACGCCCTGGTCTTTTGAGCAGATTTTCTGTAACTTTAAGTAGCACTCGCTGAAGATGAGCCTGTCCTTTTAGGACATCCTGCTCAATAGCAAGAAGCTCCTGTTCGGCAAGTTGTCCTAGAGAAAGATCTCCCGAGACTTCTTCAAAGATCGTGAACCAGCCCTCTGCAGCATTGTTCACAATCGAGTACCACTCATCAATATCGGTCCAATTCAGCTGTGGTGATTTTGTCAGAGGAGGTGGCCGGTGAATATGAGCTGTCTCCTCTTTAGTAGGTGGTTTCTTAGGAGCCATGGTGTCCTGCCCAGTCCACCACAGCCCATTTTCCGCAACATCACCGAGCAAGAGTAGCTTCGGATCCAAATCAAATATAGGAGAGTCAACCTCCATCTGAGATGGCCTACGGGGCGCGCTCTTTATCGGCGTGGGTTGCCGCGTATCTTTCAAGGGGACTGATGGCCGCCGAGGGGTATCGCTTGTGGATCTTGAGGCATACCGAGGATGTTGGGTGGAAAAGGAAGAATTAACGCATTCAAAGCTACTAAAACATATCGTAATGTAATCTTCTAGTGGTTTGAATATCTTTCTAGGGTCATCAGTCTGGCCAGCAGACCGATCTCGTGAGCGTGGGCCGGCATGATTGCTGTTTGATGGCGGGAAACTTTGGCCAGGGTGCTCGGAGGGAGAGGAGGGATAGGATCTAGACATAGCAATCGGAGGATTGTTATTTGAGGCACCGTGATGCAACGTTGGGTCCTCACTGAAGATATAATTCGTGATTGAGCCCTTCCTCCCCTGAGGAATTTCCAGTGGCATACGGGTTCGCACGGCAAGACCCGGATGGAGTCGATCTTGGTATGAAGGCCGATCATCGCAAGTCTGCTCAGCTGTAGCCTCTTCGGACATGCCGCGAAGCCTCCTGAGGACATAAGATCGCAGATTTTGCCTGGCCAGTTGCTTGGTTTGGTCGAGAGAGATGGGCAGAGTAAGATGCCCAAAAGGACCCGTCCTGGGGCTTTGGATTGGTGCTATACCCGGAGACACTGGCGGCTGTCTTGACGCTGATGGCCCTGGGCTTCTGTCATGGCGCTGTCTCGAGCTTTGACTATCAACACTAATCGGAACCAAGTCATTGATGGTCATACAAATGGTACATTTGAAGACCTTCAAGTCCTTGGGCCACTTTACCAGAGAGGCACATGTCATGCAGTTGCCAGTGGCAAAGTCCCTGCTCCTGGTAGGACTTCCTCTCCTATGCGTATTCACCTGCTTGTTCGGAGTAGGGCCTACATTCGCCTTGTCCACGTCAACAGAGGGCTTCGATGCTGAGCCTTGCCTCTTCCGACTGCTGAAGAGGGACGGGAATGGATTGCTCATGGAGCGAGAGTGTTTTGGTTTGCGGCCGCGGTTCTGCTGCGAAGATTCAGCGTCGGAGTCAGACGAGCTGTAGTCGAGTTTCGCACGCGCGTGGTTGGTCTTGGAGATACCAAGTCGTCCGCTCAGCGAAGTGGGTGTATCGAGAGCCTCTGAATGGAGTCGGCTGATGATGTCGGTCTCGTTTCGAGGTGTAAACTCCGACCCGCGTCGGGCAGTGGCAGCAGGAACTGGGGGAGCCATGTCTGCGGTTGCTGAGGCGTCCAACGTCTAAGTCCAAGATCTAAGATTCGATGCTCTTACTTCTGGCTGTTGCAAAGGACAGCGGCAGTCGCATCTGAGCATGAAGAAGGCAGAAGGCGTCAATGTAGGACCGGGAATACGAACAGCCATATGCAAGCGGTGCGCCAGGCATACGAGCACAAGCACTAGCAGCTGTGCTTCATACAAGAATGAAGCACAGCGCACAGGGATGGTCGATGATGAGGACCAGGGGCCCTAGGGAGGCTCGCCCCCCCTTGGTTTGATGAAGCGATTTATGGAGACGTCACTGGCTAGATGTCGAGAAATAGCAAACTAGTGGCTTATGGACTGTGGCTTTTGTCGAGAAGGAATCGTCAGTACGAGCGTTGTTCGTGGCGGCGAGCTGATGGCTGGATCGACAGGGGGTTGAAGTCTATATTTTCTGCTTGACGATGGTGGTGTCGAGGTGCCGGGGACTGGAAGGTTAAGCGCACGTGCTTGGCCCAGTGGGAAGCACGAGTAAAACAGATTAGACGGCAATGGAATCAGGCGTGGGCTCGTCATTACTGGCCATCTCCATCCCTGTCACCGACATGGGAAGTTGGGCATGGCAAGGGACAAAAGAAAGTGGCATGGAGAGGTGAAGGCTGCTCCGCAAAACCCATGATGGAGGCTGCTCCTCAGAACTTTGTTTCCCCTCCAGCGCCTACCAAATACCGGCTGGCCCCTGGCGCTTCTGAGACTCCGGACGCTTAGCGGGTTCTAGCGCCAGACTCTTGCCTGATCCGACATTAAAGGCTAAAAGTGCCGCTGCAGCCCCCAAATTCAATTTCAGCACTCTTGGTGGGCCGGTCCGTGTCTTCTTCCATCATTCATGCAGCGACAAAGCCAGGCTAGTCTGCGTTCGGACCTTTCAAAAGGAGTTTTCGATATGCAGCTCTACGGAATTTACTTGCCCTCCGTCTTTTCTGGAGCAGGCTGTTACACACTGGCTGGCTCCAATTGGCCTCGTCAATGTCTCTACGGGTCCTCTGTTAGACTTTTACAGGCAACTGGAATTCTACCTTGTGCTGTGAGTCGCTCGTGATGTCATACAGGCACATGTAACTGGTGCCTATAAGTGTTCCGTAGAGGGCAAAGTAATATTGGATGTCTGTTTTATTAAACGCCTGCCGTTTCCTATGTAGCTCACCTATCTTTTATCGAAGATACCGTTAAAGTTCTCGCTATGGGTGGACTCTTCTTTGGTGAATGCCTTGCCTTGGTGATAAAAGAGCAATGGGCATCACGCCGCATCTAGCGTTTGCCTTAAATCACATTATCCAAATTTATTTCCATTTCAAATTGTCGGATGGCGTGAATAAACCAAGTGTCTGCATCCTCATCCAAGCAGACTCCTTTCAAAACAGCTGTTCCGAAGAGCCGAATATATGGATTGAGGTTTCCAGTCAAAACGTATTGCTGGTCATCATCAGTCGAGCCTATGAGGAAAAATGTACCTTCCAATGTAGCTAAGGTACGTCCGTCTTTTTGAAGTTTGAAATGAGTTTTGTCGAAGAAGATGATGACGTTGGTTGGATTTCGCACGACAAACGTAATCTCAATTTTGTCACCGATGTGGCGAACAATAGGGTCAAGGGCTTTGGCGACCCCCATGTTATCCAAATTTATAACCATGGAGAGTGTGTGGCCATTCTCAAGGATTTCTAGTGCAGCAGAAGGAGCTTTGTCCTCCAGTTGACATCTGTCCCTGGGTTGCGGTATTACATGCCGAATTAGAGCCTTGAATGCAATCATATTCCGAATCTCAATTTTTTGGAGGACTAAATTTATCATGTTGTACTCGTTAGGTATAATGTAGTTGTCTTTAAGACTTGCTTCTCCAATGAGAGTGCCATCGTACAACAGCGAGACTTTCGTAGAGCTGATCCAACCGAGGTCAATGCCAGAACCGGCTTCAATCGATATTTCAAGATCCGTCTCCCTGTAGTTCATAAGTATTATTAATATCGAAGTTAAACTATGAGAGGCTAAATGAAAGAATTAGATATAAATACGAACCTCATTGTTGGATGATGGAAAAAAAGGGATTGAATCTCCATATGTTCCATTACTGTAGATGTATTATCCATGTTGATCGTTATGTCTGAATGCGAAGAGAACTGCTTTGTTGCTATGATGACAGAAAAATACTGTAGATTAAACGTCTCTGACGAGCAAAAAGCTTTGGAATATGCAATTTTGTTCAGATTAAAGATCGAAAAAGCATGAAGAGTTCATTCGCTTGCGGATATATAGGCAAACAGAGTTGTGTGTTGGAGGATATCCCACCACCTGTGATTGAGAGGGAAGATGTAAAAGAAAGTAAAAAATGAAAGGCGTTTGCATTCGTGAGGAGGCATTTTATAGTATCTCTTCGCAGTTGGCAGCAGTGCTCTCTCCGAGTGGCGGTCTATCGAATAGCTGCTGGCTCTGCACTACATAAAATCTCGTCGTCTTGGTCAGCCTTATATACTATGACGTGAAGATAATCTGTTTTAGTTTTTATCTATAACTCCTCTCATAGTCAGAATAATGTTTATGCCTGGTGACTTAGCTATTTGAACGCATACTGTTTCCTAGTAAATATTGCTCTAGTATTTTATTGAGGCTGCTTAGCTATGCTCCAGAGCTCTCTGCTTTTGGAACTAAGGAAAGCTAGATAATCAACAGCTCAAGAATAATAATCTTCGTAAATGTGTACCATTTAGCCGAAAAGAGGGCAATACTGAGCTTCCTTTACTCGTCATCATCATCAACAACGTCATCCTCATCCTCATCACCAACATTTAAGTTGTCCAAGTTGACTTCAGCCTCGAATAGCTTAATAGCATATTGCTTCCAAGACTCTTCATAATCGCAGCTATTGTAACCATCTCCTTTGAGTGTAGCCATGCCAGAAACACTGCGTTGGACTTTTCCACAAAACTTGGCCTCGAACGACGAACCCGGTACAATATCGAAATATCCGCTCAAATTTCCGATTATGTGCTGGTTTTGACTAAGTACGAGAGTGCAGTTTTCAAAGCAGATTTCAAGTGGACTCTCGTTTGTTATTTCAATGGTGATACTGATGAAAGAGTCATCAATTCTGAGCCTTGTTACAGATGTCTTCATTCTTGCTAGGTAGCTTAGATCGATGGACATCGTGAGATCATGGCCATCTCGGCTGACATTTAAATCAGCGGTTATAGGCGTTTGATGGTCGAATTGATTATTCTCATCTTTCCGAGGCATAGCATCTTGAAGGAAACAACTGAATGCTCGCATGTTGTTTATTATCATTTCGGGATTCTTGGTCTCGTACCAGTCGGTTTTGAAGTTATTTTTATCATCCAGTATCATTGGCATATCCGGCACTTCGAATTTGCCGATCAATGAATCACCGTATTTAAGGCAAACCGTTATAGCAGTAACCCAGCCGATTTGGGATCCAGGGCAGATTTTGCCCTCAATTTCAAGATAGCAGGATCTTTTATTTCTGTAAGCAGCTAGTAGACGAAGTAAATGCGTCAGTATATAATAACATACTTCATAGAACGGTCTGTTATGAATAATCGATCGACAGTCATGGTTCCTTTCGTCTCCTGGTCAAGCGGGTTGCACATAATTTCCATTCTAGACTTGTTGTGACGTTCGTCTGGCGTAACCGATTGACGTCGAATATTGGTAGAGGTGGTATTTTCTTGATGAGATTCCTCTACGCAAAGTTTGTAGATGACTTGGTGAGAAATGGCGTTAAAGTGTAGAAGAGAGGAAGATTTCTTCGCCACTGTGCGGTTGTACTTCAGAATCTTTTCAATGCAACATTCACTTCAGTGTCATCCGGTAAAAGTTGAAAGAAGTGAAAGGGGAGTGCCTGATGCACGAGAGGAATATATAAGCATCCATCCGACAGTTGGCGCAGCTGCTGGCACGTCACTGCTCGGCTTCTTGCATTTGCCGCAGAGTTGAGCTCCAAGGGCAAGACTATGGCAATAAATCTTCTCTTTTTGGCCTATAAAGGCGACACCGCCTATTGCCTTCTTTGCGTAATTAACACAACTGTTCTTTGCAGCCCGTGGCCGAAAAGAGATACTCCAATTATGAGACCTGTATCTATATTCTGGACTTCTATATATGACATTAGTTACAGATCGTTAAACCGGGGGAACGTAGTCCTCAAAATACTAGCAATGCTGAAGATATCTCTCCAATATATTATCTTGCTTTACACTTGGCGACACAACTTTACACAACTACACACGCTCATACTCAGCGCCGTAAGCATGCAAACTTTGTTTGACTATGCTGAATTCAGGGATCCATAGCTTTGACGTTGGAACCTCCTCACATGCTGGTTATATCATGCGGCGAGCATTTGAATATGGCCTGCGTTAACACCTGAGAGCTCAGCTATTTATACCAGCAAGCAACATCTGTGAGTGTCGTGATATACATACTGGAGATTTGCTAATAGACTGGAGTGGTATATTGCTACAACTAGCAATAAATTGAGGGCAAGCGATGGCTCTAACCTGCTGTCGCGCGTAAGGTAGATGGAGTGGCAAAAACTGGTATGAGGTCATTGAAGTAAGAGCTTCAAATATCACTTTGCATATGGTCTGTAATAGTGAGGCGAGGAAGGATATCAATTGAGCCAATTTCAACTCTCTATCAACCTCTTCATAACCTGCCGGTACTCCCAAGGAGCTGGGTCGGCTAATCACCCATTCTTCAGATTTTTCACTCGACATATTCAATGATCCCTTCACCAGAGTGCACGTCTCACATGTAAGCATAAAAGAAAATTATCTCGTTGATGGCAAACATTGACCCTGATGCAAATGATTTCCGAGGATCTAACCTCCAAGAACTCCCACGATATCCCCCCTCACGTCCCATTTTCTTCATGAGTGGACTCATGGTGAGGATTGCCTCACGTTTTTTAGACTACATGCCGTTGTCTTAATGCGCCATGCATCATAAGATTGTGTTAACCCCGAAAGAGACAGAATTCGTTTAGGAAGGAGGAGCAGCACCACGTCCACGGCCAAAGCCACCACGGCTGTAGAGCAGAAAAAGTTAGTCAATATCCCAAATCAATCGTAAAATTCGAGCCGTAAAAAGTGCAAGAAAACGAGGATCCGTCGTCTGAAAAGATAAAAAGGAGAATGCTTACAATTGAGGAGCAAACTCGCCGGGAGCACCACCCTCCTTGCCCTCACCAGCATCCCTTCTTCGGTATCCACCCTCACGGTCACCACGGTCGCCGCCACGTCCACGGCCGAAAGGTCGTCGCTCACGCTCGCCCTCGCCGAGCATGCCACGGGGAGGAGCGTGTGATCGCTGCTGCTTGATGTGGGTAGCAGGAACAATCTCGGCAGGCAGGTGAAGCCATTCCCGGAGGTAGTCGAGACCCTCGGGGGTCAGGGTGTAGTAGTAGTATTGCCAGGAGAACTGGGTCTTGACATAGCCGCGGGAAGTGAGGGACTGAGCAGCCTTGATGACGAACAGGTTCTTGGTGTCAATATCGGGGTGCTTGGGGAGGTTGAAGTCCTTCTGCGCGACGAGGACACCCTCGCGGAAGAGGTACTACAGACAATTGTCAGTGACACCCGGACTCTGTAGTTTACTGCAGCAATTCCTCGAGCTCGCACTCGAGACTGCTCTCATCGTCGAAAAATACCTCGTGAATCTTCTTGCGGTCGGCCTTGGGGATCAACATCGTGGCGGTTTGCTGCTCGGAGGGTCGATGTTGGAAAGTTGACGGATTTGCGGACAGGCGTACAAAACCAAAGATCTCGAATTGGGATAACTTTTGTGGGCGGAAGCCCTACGTGAAATTCACCACCTAGCGAAGTGGGGTGGCTCGAAAGTGTGCGTTGTGGCTAAAATCACGTGTCGATAAGCGTGCTTCGATAGCGAGCGTTGGCGCTGTCAGAAGTGTGGCGCAGGCCGCGAACTCACATGACAAGCTTTCTGCTGACTGTTGCCGCCACTCTCAAGGTTACACAGAGATCAGGCATTCTTGCATCGCAACCTTCCTAACAGGACATCGCCCCAACAGCAGCCGAATTCTTGGCTCTAGTCCGAGTGCTGGTAGCGGCCGTATAATAATAATTGTATTGGCCCTCGTCTTCTAACACGCCGACATCATTCAGCCGCAGTCTACCGGCCTTTGCAGTTTTCGCAGCGATCGCATCACTGTATTCATTACCGTTCTCGAGCATCGCATCCGCAACAATGAGCGAACATCTCAACGTTCTCATCTCGACCTTTAAGGGTCTTGGCCTTCCGCCAACCCTGGTCTTGCGCGCGCCCCCATCTACCACAATCACCTCTCTCCGAGAGCTCATCGATGAGAAGATTCCTACCGGCGCTACCGAATCCAAATTCATCCTCACAACGCATTCGAATCGGCTCTTGCCCCAATCATCAGAGTCGCCCATCTCCACATATCTATCCTCAAACAGCGATGACTTTATCAATTTACGCCTCACCATCCCCCTCTGCGGAGGAAAGGGTGGTTTCGGATCTCAGCTCCGAGCCGCTGGTGGCCGAATGTCATCCCGCAAGAAGCAAAAGCAAGATGATAGCGGCTCCAGCAGAAATTTGGATGGTAGACGACTGCGCACTGTTAATGAAGCCAAAGCTCTCGCCGAATATCTCGCCATAAAACCGGAGATGGAGAAGAAGGAGAAGGAGAAACGACGCCAGCGCTGGGAAGAGATTGTGGATATGGCGGAAAAGAGAGAGGCGGAGATCAAGTCTGGCGGTAGGGGCAAGCTGGATGGCCAGTGGGTTGAAGACAAAGAAGAGAGCAACGAGAGAACCCGCGATGCCGTACTAGCCGCCATGAAGTCTGGAAACTACAAGGACAACTTAATCAGTACATCTCACGGGTCTGCTTCTTCTGAGCAGACCAATGGCCAATCTACAAGCGAGGCAGAGGATTCCGAGAGCTCAAAGGAATCTACTCCTCCTGCAGAAGCTGCTGGGCCATCAAAGGCGAAACCAAGAACGTTCTTCGGTTTTGATGAAGACGATGAATTTATGAGCTCCGATTCGGAGGACGAGAGTGACAAGAAGTCATCATAACGGGAAGATTGAGCAACTTGTAAACTTAAAAATGGAGTTCGGGGCATTTTGAGCATTGGGATACGGGCGCTGTTGAGGTTTCATTCGATACCAGTATGGCTAATATAAATACCTCTTTTGTATAATTTTTTATAATCCTAGTAGTATGCACGTCATGTACGTCATCTGACTGCAGATACGTAAATAAATAAAAAAAAATTACCACCACTTCACAAAAAAGCTCAAAGTTTCAGCGTATTGCTTGCGAATTGGCTACTGATATTCTCTTGCAATACATGCGCAGCTTCGCTGCTTAATCTATGTGAACACCCATATACATATACCCCGCCAAGTCAAGTGTGACCTTTAAGCATCGAGCTTTACGGGGAAGCTACCAGCCTCTGCAAAGGAAAAAAAAGTCAGCTTCAAATTGGGGAATTCCGCAAGATTGAAACATACCACGCTGCTCGTCCCATCGCTGGTACCATCCGGAGGGGCACAGTGATCGGTAGGCCAACCAGAACTGCACAATTGATCAGCATACCATCTAAACTTTAAGATTCCTCCAGTCTCCGTACCTGACGGCAAGGCGCAAAGTCCTCTCCCTTGGCGATGATGCACTTGTGGTAGTCGACGTAGTTTTGCCAGCAGTGCTTGGTCTGGTTCACGTTGGGGAAACGGGCATCAGTGCCTGCGCAAAAGCACTCGGGTTAGCGACATGCGTTTCAACATCCAATAGCGGCACCTCCGGCGACGGCTGAAAAAAATCCGGAAGCTATTCCAAAGCTGCGGGCAGCTCGCAATCGGCAGCGCTGCAATTGATCGAGCTGCTCGAGCCGGTCGTTTCGTCGTTCACGCAGTAGAGGGGTTCTGTTGGACGGTCTCACCAGCTGCAAAAACGCCGTTAGCCTCGGGTCGACTTAAGATCAGACCACTTTTTTGGAGAGTGGGAGAGGGGATATTTTTATGTCTGGGCGACCGGCCGTACCAGTGACAAACTTGAAGGGCTTGGTGACAAGCTCCTGGCCTTCCTCGTCAGACATGATGAATGAGATTCGCGTTTGGCGGCGGGACGAGTGTTGTGCGGGCGACAATGGGGAGCGGATTCAAGGCGGCGCTCTGGGGAAAGGTTTGGGGTGGGAGATTTCGCTATGCGTCGAATGTTGGCAGCTTTCCGAATCAGATGTTCCGGAGGTGAAAATGTGTGCCTCAGGCCCCCCTCCCGGCCAATGGGCCCGGCTGCTGGGGTGGGCAGAAAGTGGGCCAATTGCTGATGTGGGAATTACACCATGAGATAGATACTTGCTTTCGCTCGGCCCACGTCCCTCGAACCAAACATTTCCTCGCAATCCGCAGCAATCCCATCGCCTTTGAAGCATCCCGGCCGAAGCCTCTCCGCTCATCACAATGCGTCCTACTCTTGCTCTTCGGGCCTTCCGCCCCACGGCTCGCATGATGCGACCGGTCCCCGTAAGTGCAGCTGCTTAGACGAGCCGAAAAAGATTCGAGATCCGGCTAACCTTTCGGCCGTACAGAAGGAGGACCAGGCCGGTATGTGACACAATTGATGCTCACCGAGCACTGCGACAATCTCAGCGATGATTATTAACGTCTTTCTCCAAGGCCACACCGTCTCCCAGCGCCTTCGCAAGCTCAAGCAGATCCCCGCTGAGCTGTACCCCCTCTGTACGAAAAGACTCAGCAGCTTCCCCCCAGTGTCATGAACATTCGATTTTCTAACATGTGAAAAAAACTTGTTTTAGTCGTCGTCGTCAGCTTCGCCCTGGGAGCCGCTACCTACTCCATGAGCCGTAAGTTCTTCGTCGACAAGAACCTGCGTCTCTCCCGACAGGGCGCTGCCGCTCGCGCCGCCCAGAACGAGAGCCACGGCGAGCACCACTAAGTTACCAAAGATTGTTCAACTTTTTTCGAGAAGCAACGACCTCGCCTGTGTCATCTTTTCCTGCGTTTGCTTAGGGCTTCGGATGGGGGTATTCAAGACTGTATATGTCGAGAAAGATTAGGACAGAGCGCCGTTGAGAAACACAGCTTGCATGTTGTTCCAAAAAAAAAAATTGTTGGATTCCCATTCATGCAAAAAGAATACAGTATGCCATGACATGGTCCCTCTAAACACCGTCGCTATGCAAAAACAATTCAAGTAAAACCCATATAGCCCACTTCCCATCCAATCTTCACCCATAGCCCCTTGGGAGATCACTCCGGTTTTGGCCCTGCAACATCCAGCCCCTCGAGGCCTTGCATAGGATCCGAAGCTGGCTCCTCCAAATTTGCCTGATTCGCGACGTCATCTTCTGCCGCATGCTCAGCAAGCCAGCTCTCCTGTAAACGTTAAAGCATTAGCATCATCCCGAGGGTATCAAAACGTAAAAAAAGAAAGTAGAATATTGAAGAGACAGAAAAGAAAGAAAAAAAAAATCAAGGAGCTGTACCTGTTCCCAAATCGCCTTTCTGCTTCCCAGCCCTTCGTCAGCACTCTTTGGCGCCCTAGCTGGCGACACCTTGATCACCTTGCCAAAGAACTCAGACTGGTCCATGTTGTCGATGGCCTCTTTGGCATCCGCGCTATCCTCAAATTCCACATACGCAAAGCCCTTGTGAGGATCCGTAGAGTTTGGCGCGTCCGCCTTGGGGAGCTGCACCTCCACGATGTCGCCGAACGGGATAAAGGCATCAAACACATGTGTGCTTGTGGCGAGCTGTGACAGGCCGCCGACATGGACTGTGGCCTTCCAGCGAGCGGCGTCAGTCATATTTTCTCAATTGTATTCGACTATTGAAATATGAGGTAAAGAGAGAAAGGACTGTAGAGGGCGACAGGCTCGGGCTTTGAGAGTTGAATGGCTTGAGTGACCGTCTTAAAACTTCGCTATGTTGGTGAATGAGGTGAAGATGGCTGTTATACCGAAGTTTCCCCGACGCATGGCATGCCATGGCAAAGCACCTACAATGCAGTTTTCTTGCCGTATAGAAGAGCAACCATGGCAACAGGTAAAGATAATATATCTTAAATATAGAACAAAGGATAACGGAAATACAAAAATTCCACAGATAAAAATACTACCAACCATCAGGGACTGAGTATCGTGGTACACTCTTTTTATGGCGACTTTCATACCCTGCACAGATTTCATATTCAGCTAACCAGCACGCGTCTCCTTATATTTCTATAGATTATATAGCTGACATAAAATTCAAAACTCATACATTAACACTGTTAATGATTTTTTGGCTTCTTTACATAGGTATTACAATGCGTCGTGTCTAGAAATTGTTCGAGAAGAACAAGTTCAACAGCTTTCAATCTACGCATAGTATTTTAGCCCTCTTTGCTAAAGTAACTTCAATTAGTTTGCACCTCTATAAGCTCAAGGCTCAAAAAGCGAAGTCATATCTCCTAGTACTACACATAATATAACGAAGCTTGACACGGGTTGAAAACATTCAGTGTAATAGCTGACCAGGACATCTAGCCAGAATAATCTGTGACATGAAGTCACAAGAACAATCAAAATTATGCACATCAAATTCCCTTTCGCTTGGTATCACCAATCATCATTTATATAATCTAACTAGTCATGCCGCCCGCGGTTTTAATAAATGCCTTACATCACCCATCAACTTGATGCAGCAAATAAAATCTGCCAAGTAAAATACTACAGCCCTCCACATAAGACATCACTTTTCTCAAATTAAGGAGTTGCCTTGCTCATGCTGATAAGCCGCTTAACTCCAACCTGTAACGAATAAAGTTAGTAAACTATGTATCGTAATTACGGAATCTGGTTAAATCCAACTTACCATCCAGTTACCACACTCATCTGTCTTATCACGATTAATTTCCATCTGCAGCTTTTGAGCTGTGGCGTAGTCCTTAGACTGAATTGCTTGGGCGAGCTGCGATAGCTGTTCGATTGTCGATGGCTGGATAAGCTCCTCGTTGTTCAAGTGATCAAACAAGATGTTCAAACGCTTCTGCGTATCCTTGACTTGAGGGGCAAATGTCGCCGGAGCTTTAGACGCTACCCGCTGCATATCCTGGCTCAGAATATCCACCAACGGTTGAGCGTTAGCTGGAATATGTGATCGGTCTCCAGGAGGATGCTTTGCTGCCGCCGGAGGTGGAGGAGTTTGTTTGGGAGGTGGTGGAGCAGACACTGCACTGGGCGGGGGGCCAGGTCGACCCATCGGAGGTCCTGTTGGTGGCGGCTGAGTGGCTGGCACCTGTCCAGGAGCAGGAACATAGGGAGACGGAGCATAAGGTGATGGAGCATACGGACTGGGAGCTGCTGGTTGCTGTTGAACTGGTGGTGCATAGGCATTGGCAGACGGCGGGGGTCGGTTGATTGAGCCGGGAGGCGGTGGCACAGGGGAGCCAGAGTACTGCCCAGGCTGCTGTTGGGTCGCCACTGCCGGCGCGTACCTATTCGAAGGTGGAGGTCCCGAGGGAGGAACATTATATGGCGAAGCCGTGCGTGGCATAACTGGGGGGGCTGGATGGGTTGGGATCGCTCCAGCTGGAGGAGCCGGTGGAGCATACTGGTTGGCCGCCGCAGAAGAAGTTCGAGGCGGTCCGGCTAATGGAGACTGAACTCTCGGGGGAGCTGGTCCTCTGGGAGGTGGTGGAGGACTAGCCCTAGCACCTGGCCCGTAAGGTGATGCTGACGATTGAGGAGGGGGCGGCGCAATCTGGCCCTGTTGACCTGTGAAGGGTGATGTGATGGGTGCTGCGCTAGGAGTCGACCTTCGCGGCGCTACCTTTGTAACTACTGGGACGTCATTCCAGTTCTCCATGTTCTTGGCCTTTGATGGCGGAGGAGCTGATGGCGTTGTGTTCCGTGGGGGAGCACCGATTGGCGGCGGGGCGACGGGCGTTCCAGTATATGAAAATTGGTTCGGAGGCTGGTAGCCTTGAGGTTGGTAGCCCTGAGGTTGGTAGGGGTTGACTGGAGGCTTATACTGTTGAGCCGTAGAGATAGCCGGCGAAGTTTGCTGTAGTCCGCTATAGGGGTTCGTAGGGGCCGGAATAGGGGCAGGTTGAGGAGGTTGATAGCCTACCACTGATGGTTGTGCTCCAGTAGTAACGGATGGCGTCCTGCGCGCCGCGGTGACTGGTGCAACGGCAGGCTTCTTCTGCGTTGCCAGCTTCACTCGACTTCTGGTTAGCTCGGCAGCTGGATAATTGGCTGGCAGCAAATCAATATACTTCTGAGCAACCTCCAATTTGCCTTGGCCAGCCAGGATCTCTGCGTATTCAGTGTACTTGTCGTAGAGGGTGGCCAGCTTCCAATCGGCCGTCTGTGTCAGTTCTTTGTCTTGGAACTTGGCGACCTGACGGAAGACGGTAACCTTCTCGATGAAGGTCTGCAGTGATCTAGTGTGCACTGAGAAAGTTGAGTCGTTGGACTCTTCCTTCATTCCAGCTTGCTCCGATTCATTCAGCTCATCCACCCAGATGGCAACAACCTTCTCAAGCTTGGAGCCTACAAGGTAGCAGAACGAAGCGTCCTTTCTCAGGCCGTGCTCGTTGATTCGGTCACCGAGGGCCTCGCAAAGATCTGGGAATTCAATAGGATCAGAGAATGTGCAAATGATGGCCATAGTCTCCTTCCAGTTGCTAAGATCTGCGTTGTAGACAACGTCCCATAGATTTTTATCGACAACCGAGCTGATGAGACGCAGGTAGCTAGGGATGCCGCTCTTACGAGCAAGATAGGCGGACTGAACTTTCTCAACAAGTTCCTGGCCGCCACAGTTGGCAATGAGGAAGGCATCTGCTATGCGATCTTCTTTCAAGCAGATATCAGTGGCTTTGGCAAACTTGCCCAGCATCAGAGCCTTTGTGATCTCTTTCTCGACAGACGAATCGTCATCACTGAAGAGATGGAAAGGATTATCAGTCTTGGCGCCCTTGTTGGCGGCCAGACCAGACAGGAAGTCATCTCCCTCACCCTCGCCTTCTCCAAAGAAGTTGGATAGGCGTCTCGGCTTGCCTTCCGCATCAGTGGCTTCCTCCTGTTTTGTAACCGTGTCTTTTTCTTCTCCTTCGGGCGCTTCGGTTGTTCCGTTAGCCAGATCTTCTTCCTTGAAGCCGAGATGCTCAACGATTTTTGAACGAGGGTTTTCGCCAACCAGCGTCTCTATAACTGTCCAGTCGGCCTTCTCTTCGTCAGTTTGGGCTTGTTCCTTTCTCTCTTCGCAAAGCGTGGCCAGATCACCAGAGGCAAGAGCCTCTTGGAATTTCTCAATAGCAGATGAAACATCTGAATCCGCAGAAAACTGTGAGATTGACAGCTTTGACGAGCGTTTCTGACCAGCCTGAGTTGGAGATTCCCTGAAAATGACGAGTTTGCCACCAAAGCCAAAAGAGGCACCAATGGGTCGCTCGAACCACTTGGGCGCTTTGCTCAATGACCAAGAGGCTCCCTGAGGTTGGGTCTGAGCAGCCCTAAAGAACTCCTCGTCATCCAAAGGCTTCTCGTTGACTGCCTGCGACGTATCGGGGTTTGTGTTTTGGAGGGTCTGGATGGTGATTTTGCCGTCAAAGCTCGCAGTAGCTGACAGGTTGGGGTTGTGCGGGTGGAAAAGAGTTTGGAAAGTCCAGTTGGTAACCTCGGGCAATTCTCCATAACGCTCTGCGGTATGTGGGTTCCATACAATGGTCTTGTTGTCTTTGCCAGACGAGAGCAATAGATCGGGATCCTGCTGGCACCACGACAGCGACAGAATACCTTGCTCATGTCCCTGAAGAGTCTTCTCTGGAGCGTTGGAGTTTCGCAGATCCCACAGGAAGATAACGGGAGTATTATCGTCAGGAGTTGCCGTGAGGAGCTTTGTTGAATTATTTGGATCCCAGGCAATGGCGCTCACGGCCTTGCGGTTGTTATTCAAGGTCAAGGATGCCTTCTTCGTCTTCAAATCCCACACTGTCACAAAGCCACCTGGGCCGCCAGTAGCGAGAATGTGCGAGACCTTGCGGTTCCAGGCCAGACAGTCGATGTCGTCAGATCGAGCTGCTGCGTTTCCTAGACGGAAGGGGTTTTCGATGTCGCCAATGTCGTAGATGAACAGCTCACCCTTGGCACCTGCAGTAGCCAAAATTTGGGGTTTCAGAGGATTAAACTGCAGTGCCTTGATGGCACCAGTATGTTTTGTCGTCTTGGAGATGGACGCATCGGAGGCTCCAGTTTCGAGTTTCTCGGCGTCCCAGAGTTCGAGAGTGCCGTTCTCAAGAGCACCCGCAATGATACCCTTGGGATGGTCGGCGTCGGCAGGTCCCCAAGCAATATCGTAAAATCTATCATCTTTAGTTGCCTAGCCAAAGCCACAGGGGCGAACACCAGAATCTTACCTTGAGTCTGTAGTGATGCTGACAACCGGCTGGAGTTCGATGCCCTGCTCTTGGTTGTCCAGCGAGAGGTCCCAGATTTCAAGCTTGCTCTCATCAGAGAAATCGGCATCTACCGCACCAGCTTTTGTTCCAGTGACAACTATGGGCTTCCCGGAGCCGGGTGACCACGCAAAGGTGGCCGTCCGTGGGATGTCTCGTAGGCGCACCATGGCGGCGGGGTTGCGTATTGACCAGAAGATGAACTAAATGGCGGACGAGAGTCTGCCAAGAGGCGAATTGGAAAAGAAATAAGGAAGCAGAAGCCCAATCAAAAGCTTTGATGCAGCATTGATGGGTGAAAGTTATGCAGCTCCCAGAATCTGGAGAAAGAAGCAATCGTGGAGCTGGAGTCGGGATTCAAGGCCAGCTAGCTATGATGCCAGATTGCAGGCTAGACGAGATGGCCACATGGATGGTCGGTGTCCCGAGCACCTCCCTGCCCAAAAATCGCGTCTGTGCTTCCCTATCGCCAGCGACAAGGCCCGCACGTGACGCCACTGCGGCTGCTGGCGCTGCTGTTAGCTCTAACACCAAGTACCCCTGATATTGTTTTGAGATGAGCCAGTGAAGGAATCGAAAATATACCACTTTCGCCACTGGATGCTCATACAAGAAAAGAAGCTGAATATTGACCAACAGTGACCCCATATACAGAACTGAAGATGTTATGGGGATATTCAAATTCCAAGCTCTAAGCGCTACTGGCGCTGATAGACGTACTGGGGTGTGAGGCAATAAGACGGCATACCTACCTAGTTCTGCGTGGCGTAGCTCAAGCAAGCTATGTACATGCATCGATCTCTATACAATGCAGAAATGAAGAACTGCTAGAGTTGATCAATTTGGATATTGAGAGGTATAAATTGCATGATAGCTATACAGCCACCATGTAGACGTATTTTCGAAGCAAACGACCAATATTATACGACTTCATATGCACCTAGTGACCGAGAGACTTCGGTTCCAAGCCCTTGCCTCATCTCAGCATTAGTATCGCCAACACTTGCTTACATATCATCCACGAATGCTTTCTTTGCTGCCTCTAAATTCCTAGATTACATATAAATCTCTTGAGGCAATCATGTTGCAATACCCGATCATGCTACGTCTTAAATGGCTTGGATTCAATTTATTGGTTTGCTTCATTCGCTCCCGTATACGTCGCGCTTCAGTTTGCTTAATGACAGTGCAACATGGTTGGAGTTCCAGGACGCGCTAGAGGCTGCATCACCTGCCGCAGAAGGAAGAAGGGAGTTAGTAACGTCGATGTTCTCATATCTTTCAATTTCAAGCCTGCTAGTTGCCATTAATGCAGTGTGACAGGGGAAAACCCGCTTGTAATCGATGTATTCGTGCGCGGCTCTCCTGTGAAGGATTTGAGACGGATATGATATGGCTGAATTCTAATAACAATGGTGCATCTAACCAGGAGCGCAATGATTCTATCCAGCCAAAAACAGTTTCAGAAGTTCGGCCTTGGATTGTTAGCTATACAAGAAATAAAGAAGCTGGCCCTCGTGTCACTCTATCAGACTCTTTCGCAAGATCAGCAAGGGAGCAGCTGTATTTTGGGCTTTTCTGGAATATCATGATACCTGAAGGACCACGATTCTCACCCGAGTCATTAGATCTGGCTTCAGTAGGCTGGACTAGCTTCGTCGGGGACCTTTACAATTCTGAGACTGCTCTGCGCTTTGCGACAATTGTTACGGCGACTTCTATTCTCGGAAGACTTAATAATGATGAGCAACTGCGCTTGAAGGGGCTACAAGTATATAACTGGACAGTTCAAGAGATGATCAGAGCTGTTAAAGAGCCGAACCGAGCAAAAAGCGACGGCTTGGTACTCACAGCTCGACTCATGGCGTTCTACGAGGTATGTTTTCCCGCAAGAGCATAATCATTAACTCGCTCTGATGAGAAATTCATGATAGCTTTACTTTGGTCCTGATGGAGATCCGAGGCTGGCTGGATGGCAAAGACATAGTGAAGGACAGCTCGCGATGTTCCTAGCACGAGGGCCCAGCTCGTTTATATCAGGGGCTGCTCATTAACTCTTTGTTGACAATCGCATCAATTTAGTGAGTAACAAGGTTCAGAATATTTCATCTGAAATCAGTTATTCTCATGCTGATGCAATGAGCACATAGACTTTATTAGCCATAAGACAGAGGGCTGTGGCTCCATTCAGCGGCGACGAATGGGATACGCTCCCTTGGGCCATTATCGAGAAGTCGACCAAAGACAAGCTCATTGACGTTATGAGCAGCATTCCATACATTCTAACTATGTTAGATTCCCTCACAATATCCGATTCTCAAGATGCAGTAGACGAGCTTCTTAACATGATCTGGCGGCAGTGTCAGAATGCGGAGGCTGCTTTAGCCATGTGGCGGGCTCAGATCGATCTGTCCGTCTACGATTACACCATCACAGGATTCCCTCTACTCAAACCACAGGCTGATAGCGATTTTTCACTGCTTCACTTGAGCTGTACCTACTGGAGCATTTGTCTAATGCTTTCATGCATTATAGAATCTATATCAGGGGACTTTCGGATATCATTAACCTCAGAAAACGCGACAGTCACATCATTTTTCAACCCCCACAGCCGTCATTCAAACTTTATCCCAGAGAAATATGCTTCCAAAATCGTCCACTGTGTCCATCTCTTTTTTGAGCCATTAGCTGGAGCCGTCCAGGGAAGCTCGGGATTTTTTCCTATGGTGTGCGCATGGCGCTTCTATGAGATGGCCGCCAAAATATCAGGTCAAAAGAGCGCAGAATTACATATTCTATATGATTTATTTAACAAGCCATTCATGGGTAGTACAGTGGAGCGATATCTGGCACATCTTCAAAGAGGCGTGTGGAAGGATGATCTAGATGTACATGTTTCCAAACCAAAAAATTGGACAGCTTGGTTTTGAAATAGCCGTCATGATAACGCAACAGCTGACTTCAAGGCTGCCGTGTGACTAGACAGCGTAGAGCTGCTTTAGATTTAATGATAAACGATTTGTTATTTCGTGATATCTACCACGATGCTACATGCGCTTCAGCTGTCAGCGAATAAGCCGTCGATGTGGTTGCTTGCATTAGAATTCTCGTTTACTGCCATGTAACTTCAATAATGCAGATACTGGGGGCCTCGCCATTCATTTAAGCTAATTTGTATTAGAAGAAAACAGGCTGCATAATCCATTTTTCCTATTGGAGAAGCCTTTGGGCTTTGTGGATTCAGTGATGCATTGTACCAAGCCGAACTGCATTGATTGATCCCGTGGATGCTCTATAACATATGTGCGGGGTCAATGTAGCCAACACACGCAACATACTGTTCTGGAAAGAAAATCCCAAAAGAATCAATCTGATTTCTGCTAGGTTTATCTCCACTTGTTAGTGAGGCTTCTGGTAAAATCTCCGCCTCTACGAATTCGCAAGATGAAGCCAAAAACGAGAGAGAAAGTACTAGATAAGGCCAGAAGCTTGTTGAATCGGCGCAATAAGCCTGGATCTTCATCTCGAGTACCAGGTAAACATCCGCCTGCCAGCTCAGCAACAGCCAGTGCGCCTTCGCCGTCAGGCGTTTACTTGGAACCATCGAGAATCTCTTCAAAGGAAAGGTCTAGTTTCTCATCTGCAACAGCAAGTCGGTCTTCGTCAGTTGTTTCATCAGCAGTCAATACACCATTAAACCTCAAGGCAAATCCAGAATCGTCAAAATCGCATCAGCTCTCCCAAATAACAACATCTCATTCGCCCCACGCGTGTTCTATTCCTTCAATAAGGTCTTCTTCTCCTGACCTCGCGTCGGGGTCTTTGGCGCTGCCAGAACTTCGACCCACACAATGTTCCCTTGATCCATCATCATCATCGTCTCCTACTTTAATGTCTGCTGAAGCTCAAGTGTTTCCTAAAACACTTCGATCAACGCCGACTCTGCTTTCAGATCTGTGGAGCCGAGCCATTGACGTGGCCAAAGGTGAAAGTGAAACCCTGAAATGGCTTCAAAAATACGGGCTTGTGTCCACAGATGGGAAGCAGCAAATGACTCAGAAGAGCACAGAATTCGCACAAAGTCGATCGGATAAAAAAAACTACATAGAAGAACTAATTAGACTTATCGAGGCAAACAAGTTATCTGAACAAAATGACAAGCCACTCAAGATCCCAATTGGAAACCGGGAAGTTATTGTCAGGGATTACATTGCTAATACTGTCGCCTTTATTACAAAAGTCGGTAATGTCGCTTTCTCTTTCACATCGGTGGAGGCCAGCGCACCATGGGCCGTTTTAAAGGCGGCTCTGCAAGTAAGTTTATGCTTTACTGCTGTAACATTGGTCTCGGGATCAAGAGAAAGAGATGAGTTTGGCTGAATCAGCGTCGGCATAATCATATTCATTTGAAACCAGCCGTAGCGTCAAAGGCTGATTTCATTTAGATTCCAGTCCATCAGATTGAACAAAAAGCTGCCCTACTTGGAACAGTCAAATGGTTTATAAGCATCGTGCGCAGAGGCCAAATCTATGAAACTTTATACACAGTCGAAACCACAGACAGGAAAGCCGTACAGGGTTTGCAAGACGGCCTTTTTCAGGTCTACATCGCCGCTATAAAGACGCTGGCCAAGTCAGACAACTTATTCAACAGCAGTACAGCCAGACAGACGTTAACCGCGATCTTGGATCCAGGCTATGCTTTTGATGCTCTCAAAGACCTAGTTGAGAAAGAAAACAAGCTCGACCGCGAAATTTATGCCTGCGAAGTCTCACGATCTGTAGTATCATCCACGCTGATGAGTACGCAAATAAAAGATTTAGAGAAGCAATTATACCAACTATCTTCGCCACTTCCCCAGATTGAGAAAGGAGTAGCCAGTCTTCTAGCAAAGATAGAAGAAGATAAGCTCAAAGGATTATTAGAGTTTATAAGCCCGGAGATGTTTGGAAAAAGTCACGCCACTGTTGCTGAAAAAAGAATAAATAATACAGGAGACTGGCTAATAGCTAGCAAAGAGTTCCGTACTTGGCAAGTAACACCTTCTTCAACTGTACTATGTCTTAAGGGAACTAGTAAGTCGGCTCCAAGAAAATTTTACACCTATGCATGCAAAGGCAGTCTATCTAATATATACCACTCTAGTTGGTACCGGCAAGACATTTCTCACATCTAAAGCAATTGATCATATAAAACAGTCAATTGAGTCGTCACCACAACATAACGAAGGATTTGCATTTTTTTATTGCAACCGATCTGGACCGTCAATGCAAGATCCGCTTATTGTGTTGAAAAGCTTCGTTCGTCAGTTAGCTGGCAAGGCTTTTGATACATCTGGCCTTATACAACATAGCCTTGTCCAGAGATGTGAGAGAATAAAGAAAGAGAAAAGAGAATTCACCTACAAGGATTGCGAAGACTTACTTTTAGAATCCTTCAATTTATACTCAAGGACTACTATTGTTCTTGATGCTTTAGATGAGACAGATATTACTGATTATAACTTAGGTGCTATTCTTACTAAGCTAATGGAAAAATCCGAAAACCCCATTAAGATTTTTATTTCCAGTCGGCCTGATCGAGAATATTTAGAAGCCTTCGAAGATGAGGCTATCATCACTGTGAATGCTAGCAGTCAACAGGAAGATATCGAGAGATTCCTGGCAGAGAAACTCTATAGTACCAGGTTCTTTCAACAGCGAAGTCACGTCATCCAGAATGAAATCACGAATGTGTTTGCAGCACAGAGCTGCGGAATGTAGGTCATTTCTAAAGCCACTACTTATGCATTGCTATTTTCATTGACTTCTAGTTCTGACATGCAAAACGGTTACAGGTTTCGATGGGTTTACTTGCAGGTGATAAGTCTCAAAAAGCTTGTTACAGACAAAGCAATTTATAATTGGGCTTGCAATTTACCAGTTGACCTAATGGCAGCATATGATCAAATCTGGGAAACCATTAGAGAGCACGATGAACATGACGTTGCTTTAGCCGAACGAGCTATTATGTGGGTGCTATGTTCTTTTGAGCCGCTTAAAACACAAGTCCTTCTACAAGCTGTTCGGTATGTTATCCAAGGCTCTACAATCGTGCGGAATGAAGAGCAGACGCAACAACAGATCTTATCGCTATGCCAAGACCTTTTAACTATTGATGAGGAAAGGGGAGTGTGGATGTTACCACATGCCTCTGTGGCTGAGTATTTTGAGAAGAGGGGCTGGATGAATATATGGAAATGCGATGTATTCGCTTCAACGCTCTGTCTTAACTTCATTGACGACCCTCCACCGAACGATGATCATCGCTTTGCGTATTACGTTATAGATCACTGGCACCAGCACGTTGGGCGATACGACAAATGGCTAGGATCGAAGGAGCAAGAGGCAGAGAAAGAGGCAGACCCAAATCTTGCAGCGGCCCTAAAGCGGTTTCTTGGGTCGCCAAGCGATGGCAGCGCCAGCTTTCGGAGATGGACCAGGCGCCCTTTCTGGGTCGGGGACATTCAGACTCCCTTGTCTGCCATTTGCAAATATGGATTTTACTATACCTTGCGCGACTGGTGGACGCAGCCCGGCAAAATCACAGTCGAGGCCGCTCTCAAAGGGGGATATGACGCACTTTGGGTCGCGGTTCAGGGCCACTGCATGCCTATATGCAGACATTTGGTCAAGCTGATTGAGGCCGTACATCCGAAAGGAGACACATACTATACGTTCGCACTGGCAACTTCAATTGAAGAAAGCAATTTTGACATGGTGAAATTTCTTGTGACGGAAGTGGACGCAGATGTTAATCTTATACAGCAAGGGCCTTTGTTTAATTATCGTTATCTAATAAGGGATGGAATTACTGCTGTACAGACGGCGGCGAGATTGCAGCCCAGGATGCTGCAATGGATGGTGGATCAAGGCGTCGTGGACCTGGAGAGGGAGACTAATAGCTGGTGCACTGATGGCAGCGTCTTAATCGCAGCAGCGTCTAGGCCCAACATCAAATCGGTTCAAATTCTGCTCAAGGCTGGAGCTAATGTGGATGCCGCCGTGCACAATGGCAAGTACGGGAGTGCTCTTGTCGCAGCAGCAGCGCTGGATAGGGTTCCCAGAGACCGCGTAGCAGTAGTTCGACTTCTCCTCAGTCACGGCGCAGATCCAAACACGCCCATGAGAGGCGGCCTATGGGGCAGCGCACTAGAAGCATCTGTGGCACAACATTGGGATGCTGAATTAGGATGCAAATACTCGGAAGATCGCAGAACAATACTGCTCTTGCTGCTTGAAGCTGGTGCGGATCCAACAGCTGTGTTTGATTATGGCAGTTTTGGAAGTGCATTGGCCGCTGCAGCATTTTGGGGGCAAAAGGATGACCTCAAGATCATGATTGACAGGGTTGGTGCAGAGCGTGCCATCGAAGCCCTTTACCAGAGTAGGCATCCAGATGTGCGAATATTCGAAGATCAACAGGATATTACGCGCTGGAAAGAAACAGCCACCTATCTGGCTGAGGAAGTAGGGGTAAGTAAAGACATTCTTCACACAATCGGCTTCTGGGATGTCGAGCCTGAGCTTTGTGAGATATGGGAATTTGGGCCAGCATATAATTTTGTATTACGGTATTCCGAACATTGCTAGGACAATGTTAGTTTCACATATACCTTATTTACCTTAGCACCTCCTATATCTTAATAGGTACATCCTACTTCAACGATAGCTACTGAGAAAGTGAAGCTTTTAACATCACTAACTTAGCCATATAACGCTTTAGAATAGGCAATTTGCAAGATAATATCTAGTGATCAGTTTTCATGCGGCCACGCCAACAGTCTCGCCCTGTTCACGTCGTAGACTGTGTGATCGTTGATCTAAGCAGTTTTCGTGGCACTTAGACCTCTTTTAACAAGACGATGGAAATCGTTATTATGCGAGAAGAAATCCAACGGAATGCCAAGCAATAGTAAGCTACCACATCAAAGATATCAATATCTTTATTTAATTTTACTACATATTTGATGTTGAAGCTTTCGCAAGAATGGTAAATATCCCCCAAAACATTCTGGGCGGGAGGTAATGCATGCTGCTCATGTGCGGGTATAGGTATAGGTAGTTAATTATATGTATTATATGTGTACCCAGATGCATGATCTAGATGCCTGTGCTATTAACGACCCATCATATATGCTCTACAGCTAATATAATGATTTATACTACGAGTCTCAATCAGCTGCTGCCGTCAGAATAAAGATGTGCAGCACCGAGTGAAGTTGAAATGCTCCCAGAACTAGCATGCGCTAACAATACCTATTCCGTGTCCACCAAAGCCGCGCCCCTCCATAGGTCCATCTAGAACAGGTATCAGGTGCATACATGCATGTACTGACGTGGGGTCTCGTGTGTGCTGTCATTTGCTGTCCACCTTTTGAGGCCACCTTCTTTGCCATTCCGACTTTTTTTTGCACCGACATCACAGCTTGACTGAAGCTTCCGCACAATTCCCCAGTCCGCGCAAACATGGCAGACACGGCTACCACCAACGATGCGGATGCTGCCGCCCAGCGAGCTGCAGAGCAGGCGCGGCTGCGCAAGGAGCGCAGAGAAGCAAAAATCAAGGCTGGAGGGTCTGCGAGATTGGAAAAAATCACCGGCGTAGGCGGCCGTGTTACTGGAGGTTTGTGACCTTTGAATGCTGTGCTTTTCTCTTTTTTTTTTTTTTTTCCATCTTCGTACAATGTGCTGATGGATGGTGTCCGTCGTGATAGACTCGGGAACTACAACCCCATCTGCTCCGGATGCCTCCTCAACCGCACCAGCAGCTAGCGAACACCACGATCCCGCCGAGGTCGACATCTCGGAGCACTTCTTCGCCCCTAAGAAGACGTCCCGCAAACCGATCGATGGCGTCTTCTCTCCCAGCCCCGAGCCGTCGCTCTCTGAGGCCCAGCTGCGCCAGATGATGCTCGGCCTTGATCGCCCCGAACAAGCCGGCTCTACCGACGGCGATTCAACAGGTCTGAGCCTACCTCCAGGCATGGAAGACGATCCCATCATGAAGATGATGTCGCAAATGATGTCCTCGGGCGCGATCCCGGGCTTTGGCGGCGCTGACGGAGCCTCCAACCCTTTCGGCAACATGCACATGCCACAGCAGCAGGCCCCCGTCGAGCTTCCCAAATCCTCATCCGTAACTCTCTGGCGCCTCGTTCACGCCCTCGTTGCCATTGGCATGGGTCTCTTCTTCATCCTGACCACAAAGTTCACCGGCAGCAAGTTCGAGCGCGAGAGCATGGCCCTGGCTTACGACCAAGAGGTTGATGACGAGGTGGAGAGGCGCAAGAACTTGTTCTTCTGGACGTTTGCCACCGCTGAAGTCTTGCTGTTATCGACGAGGATGTTCCTCGATAAGAAGAGTACTAATGCTACGGGTTTTGTCGCGACGGCTATTTCCTACTTGCCGCAGCCTTATCGGGGGTATATTGGGATTGGGCAGCGTTACATTCAGATCTTTACTACTGTGAGGACGGATATTCTGACGTGCATTTTTGTGCTCGGGGTTGTCTCTTGGTGGTTGGGATGAATTGTAGCACAACAGTTTTTATGAAGCATCGTTTACGGGAATGGATCATTCGCAGGAAAGGAAGATTTGGACTACCAATTTCATTATAATACAAAAATAGAAAATTAACATTATCCATTCAAGTCATTAGCAAAGAGTTTGCTTGTGCATCTCGTCTAAACGTAAATAAAATAAAAAGAGATGGGCTAAAATAAAAAGAAAATCATGCGCGCATCTCAGTTGTCCGGTATCATAAACCCCCATACACTCCTCTACCATTTAATTTCTTGCTCTTTATTTCCTTAATACCATATTCAACAATCCTCCCATTACGCCTCTAACTCTTTTCGGGTTCTCCAGAGCACATGTGAATACAACTGCCGTGCTCGCCGCAAATATTAACTTCTCCCTCCATTGCTTCTCTAGGGGATACCGACGCGGGACCAACGTCGCCAGCGCCCTTGGGGCCACAAACAAGGCCATGTCTTTCCTTCTGCCCGCAGTCTCGATGAAGACGCTCCATCCACAGAGGTAGCATCCGGTACCGACGCAGAGACCTCCATCGATCCACTGGCGGGAAGGTATATCTTTGCCGAGGATGCGGGGACCGAGGCGGGTGCGGCCTAGGCACACGCCGTAGTAAAAGAGGGTGATGAAGGTTGCAAGAAAAGTGGATGATCGGGTAGAGCCGGTGATGGCTTTCATCAGGTCGATCCGTTTGGGATTCCGCAGTTGAAGGGCTAGGGCAAGGGGCAGGTAGGTGAGCATAGACCATTTCCAAGAACGAAGGAAGCGGCTTATAGCATGATATTCGCATGATGGACCACACCCCATATGGACGAGGTCGCAGGGGAAAGGGATTTCTGTAACGGGGTCACCCCATTTTGTTGGTAGGCCGTAGTCTTCGCACACGGACGTCAGCAGTGGCGCCTGGCCAGTTTCCTTGCCGTAGATGAGCTCCCCGTTTCTGCATCGCCGTAGAGCTTCGATGAGTCGTAGATCGACAGAGGCAGCAGATGTGATCCACTTGTTGTAGCTGCGAGGCAGGCTGTCTGGTGAGTAGAACCACGCCCACATGATGAGGCCTGAAGAGGCAGCAAACACGGCCGGGTCCATGAGGCGGGAAATGATTTGCTCAATCTAGGCAATTAGCTCGAGAAAGGAGCACAGTGAAGAGAGGCTACTAACCACCGTCCACTTTTCCGTAGCCTTGCGGCGAGAGCGGTGCTGGGACCACAGCTCGCCAACAAGGACATCGGCAGCGCGAGTGACAGCAAAGAGAGTGAGGTCAAGCGTTCGACCGCCATAACCGTTGGGAGCAGCCTCGGCCAGACCTTGCTGTGCCGATGCCAAACCCGCGTCTGCCAATGAAGGGCGTGTCCGCTTAGACTGTAGAAGCTGGAGGCTGAGCCATCCCGATATGAAAGTAGCCAGCCATCGTGCTAGTCTGTCAAACCACCTGTCAGCTTCGGCCAATATAGTCGTCTTTGTTTGGGTGTGAAGACGTTGCACAATATGGCAAGGTTAGGTCGTGCAATCTATATCCGGAGACTTACCTGAGTTGTGACGCCGCACCAAGCTGGGTGGCAACGCGGCTGATGATCTTGAGCAGAGGTTCCTATATCAATATTACAAATAATCGTCAGCGCATTGTATGTCACAATTGAAACCGCTATCGAATAGTGTACTAGCTGAAACGGGCCACAACTGAGCCCAGACTATTACAAACATGGAACTACAAGCCCATAATTTGCCATAATACGGGCAGGTGGAAGCTCATTCAGGAAGATCAACCTGCAAGCCATGTCTCATGTCAAGCTGCCGAGCGTCTCACTCCAACTCCCATCATCTTCTTACCTGTAGCAATGTAGAACCTCCTACTAAGGCGGCACAGAACGTAGGGAATCGTCGTGGATCTAGGCCGGTGCGCAAGATTCGAAAGGCAGAATCCTTAAAGGACCGCTCATCTTTATCGGCGGATAGATATTTCTTCGCGCTCTTGCGCTTCTTGGAGATGAACTGAAGGATCAGCGTCAACAGGCGAGGCGCCACGGCAGAGGCATAGCCCAGGAGATAGGCCCGGACCAATGGCCGCAATGGTGCGGGCAGGGACTGGAAGCTCAGCGGCCCCTTGGACTGGGCGGCTCGCAGGGCTGCCACAGAGGGCTGCATCTCCAAGGTCAATGGCCTGACTGAATTGGAAGGTTTAGGAGAGCAGCGCTATGATATCGGGCAGAGACAATGGGCGTCCCGGCGATATCCAGCCCCGGCCTCGCAGCTGAGAAACAAGATTTGACGGAATAGAGTTCAGCTGCGTGACTGCAGGGATCCCAGAGCAGCGCCCAACGGAGTCGGGATGAGAAAAAAAAAACAAGAACGAAATCAAGAGCAAAAAAGATGTAGCGCGCCGCTCGCTTTGGGTATCTCGGGGGATGCCTGCAAGTATTCGCTGGCAGCAGCCCAGAGAGATGCCGCGGCTTTTCGGCGATAGTGTGACGCGACCTCCTTTCTGCGCGATGATGTCGGTGCGATGCGTACCACAGCGCTGTGGCGTAGGGGCGAGGAAGCTTAAAGGGGGAGACGCAGTCAAGGCTGAAGAAGAAACACCAGCCAATTGCCCCCTCGTGGGTCCCTCGTCAGGGTCAGCATAAAAAGAGGCTTGGAAATAGTACAGGAACTGTTAATTGGCGGTACTATTTTGGTTTGGACTTTGGCGTTGAACGTCTAAATAAAGGGAACTTTTTTTTTAAGCAGTTGATCTATGGAGATGTGCTAGGATATGGAGTGTTAGTGTGTAAATCAAATCCGGAGCCTCGGCAGTAGATCCAACAGCTTCCGGATGCGTTGCGGCTCTGTGCTTTTGCCTTGTATAATAGGCCTAGGTGTTACTGCTAGTAGTACTAGTAGGTACTATTTCTCAAGTGCATACTAGACTATCATTTCATTATTTCTTCAAATTAATAATGCTACTATTCTTATTCACCCGTTGCTACTCTGTAGATACAATGCGCAAGGATAGTGCTAGTACCTGGTGGTATGTAGTACCTACTGCTGGGCAATCAAGGGGCATGCGACGCCTCATTCAGCCCGAGAGCCAGCTCTGAAGATGGAACTAAAACTCCCACAAGGCGACAGGTCACGAACCCGAGCTCCACCGAACGCCCAGCACAGACAACGGGGGCCAGGAACTTCTGTTTTTCTTTTTTTTCTAGATCGAACAACCAGGGGGTTACGAGCCACATAGCATAACCTGGGATGTGGCAGTGATAGCTAGGACTGTTTCGCGGTCTCGGCCGAGCGAGAGACAGATGCGGCCAAGTGCTCCGTGCTGGCAATCCTGCTGGCATTGCAGATGGTAAATTGAAAACGACGCCCCATCAAAAAGGGAAACTGATAATTGATAGAAGTCGATGGTGTAACCATCTCTTCGGCATAATGGTGATCATTGAGCGGCATGCGTGGGGGACCCCTTTCTAATTTTGCTGCGTCGACGAATGGAAGATAGCTCAGGGCGCGGGAGCCATTGTTCATTCAAATCATTTCAAAGACGACAGCCGATGCACAACCACTCCAAAATGCAACACCGGATTTCTACGGCCAATGTCCAATTTAAGCAGGTTAAGAGCAAGCATCCTAGCTCTGGAGCCCTGGAAGGGTACGTGCATCTCTCCGGTGCTCCGTACGGAGCATTTCCACGTTAGTTCCCAGATGCATCTCGGTGTTCCGTCATCTAATCCTATTCTCTTCATCATCTTCGATTGCTTGGTTTTGAGGGGTGCCGAGAATGAGATGGAACAAATGGCATGTGATGCTCGCTTTGAAGGATGCCGCTAAAAGCTGCCATTTCGACCACGGCCGGCTCCATCAGCCAAAGAGTGCAGCACAGAGTGTACCGAGTACCAGCGGGATCTGCGAATCAGAGGCAAGGCCAATATATCCGGTACATATCACCGCCCCTCCACTGCCAAGCCTCGATACAGCGGTACACAGGCTTGGCCGGTATTTCGATAGCAGATACGGCAGGCATGGAACACTGCTGGAGCTGCAGACTGCGCTAGAGCCACTCCATACCCCTTCTGAAAACCCACCAGGTGACTTGAAGCGGGCCTTGACGGGACAGGGATGGCTGAAGTTTTTTTTTTCTGGCTGGACAGCATCTCTAATGACGGCGTGGTACGGGACAATACCGAAATTCCTTCATACCAGCGACATTGACGCACAGCCCAAAAGCGTTATTGATTGGCACCCACCTGCACCGCCGGTGTTGCATGAACGCGCGTGGAGCAGCTCGACTATTGAACAATACGACTCTGTACGGCCCTACAAACGACCGCCGTACTCGGGCTGGCGTTGTAGGTTATTTGAATTCAAGCTCGAGCTCCAATTAATGCCAGACCTGCCCGTCTAATTGGCAGCTCGCTCCCGCGTCCCGAGGGCTCCGCTATTCGGTACCACGCTGCAGCTATATTGCTTGCCTTTGCCTGCTTACAGGGCAGCTGAGCACAGCACGGCTCTCGTACATAACTAATTCATGTCCTCGTGGGGTCGCCTGTTAGTGGAGTGACTGACGCCTCAACCTGCTCTCGTGCCAAACGCTTGCCGCAGCTTTTCCTCTTCCCTCCCCTTTCCCACCCTCGATTTGCGACTTTTCCTCTTATTCTCATAATCTTCTTCTTCCCTCTCCTGTGCCGCATTAGTCTCTCCCAGGCGGCGCCAAACAGACACTCCCCCCCTCCCCACTGCCAATTCTCTTAGCGGCACTGCGCTTCCGCCAAAAGGCACCGAAACCGTGACCCTGCTGGAAAACCACGGCTCCACTTGTAACTCGGCCTCACCTCATGTTCTTCAGCGTTTAAACCTCGATCCCCCCGTTTTCCTCTTCCATTACCCCGGATTTTGTCCCCAGCTTCTTTCATGTGCTTCTCGAACTAAGATCGCGTGCGCCCTACAGCCACCACTGCCTACAGTTCATGAGCCCGGGCAGAGCTGCAGCGCCTATTCTTACAGCCGCCTTTCGCAAACCACCACGGGCTCGCCTCGGCCGCACAATCTCCACCATATTCTTAAGGCGCATCCATGCTCGCCGTGCGGCAGCCTCCCAGCAGGATGGGTTCGTCGCAGCCCGATTCTGATCCCTTCCAAATGCCCTTCGGATGTAAGATGCCCCCTCTCCACCTTTTATACGGCGTACATGTCATGTGTCGTTTTTCAAGACTGACCCTAGCTCTTGTAGATTCCGTCGATGGCACCCAAGAGCCCATCTTTGATGCCCCCGAACCTGCGCCTGGGGCCCCCTTGCTTAGCGAAACTGATAGCAAGTTCTTGAATGATTTTTTCGACGACATGACCGCGAATCAGTACAATATGCCTTCTTTCGGCGAAGGCCTGAATTATCATGCCTTGTTCGACCTGCCTCCACAGCTTATGGGGACAGCAACTTCATATGGCTCTCAGCCGGCGACGCCTCTCGGCCACGAATCGCATTTAGACTTCTCGATCGATTCACATAACACGCATGGATCTACGTCTGGATCACACCTTATGCCACCACCACCGCCACCACCGCCGCCTCATCCTCACCCTCACTCCCATCCTCATCCTTCTCAACCAACTTCTTACCAACAACACCCCTCTGATGATGTCTTGAACGCCGCCGCCACGTTGATGCAAAACGGACCTGGGTTACGCGGAGCCCACAAAAATAACGACCCATCTGCTTCACGGCGATCTCTTGGCCCTCCAGTTGGTCACCTCCGCCACCAACCCCTTGAAGAGTTCAGGGAAGAGAGCCGGAGAGGCATGGTGCAATCCGAAGTGGACAATACTTTCACAGAATGGATGTGGGGTTCAAAGGGACGCCAAAATTCCGCTTCTCGACCTATCTCTGTAGATTACCAATGGGGATCTGATTCCAACTTTAACCTCGGGCAGGGTTACACACCCGAAGCGAACAAAGAAACGGTCGAGACGATGCAGCAAGAACAGCTCAAGTGCCTCGAGTGCCTGGAACCCAGCCAAAGCGCCGCGACAACCCGTCCAAGCAGTCCAACAAATAGCCAGTCTACGTTTGCGTTAGGCATGCATCGAGATACATCAGAAACAAGAGAGAAGCCAGGTGATGACGGTGCACCTCCTCGTAAGAGGCGAAAGAGCAAAATCAAGAAGGACACTGGAGACGATGACGATAATGAAAGTGCCAACGGGATCAAGTCCGCTGCAGCAAAGCGAAGGAAAGCAAAGGGAGAACGAAATGGGTCCGTCTCATCACCTCCTTTGGACACTAGCACAGGCGGTAAGCGGCGGAAGTCAAACGTGAATGGAGTCAAGCCGGCAAGAGAAAACTTATCGGAAGAGCAAAAGCGAGAAAACCATATTCGAAGCGAGCAGAAGCGTCGAACCCTGATAAAAGAAGGTTTCGACGATCTGTGTGACCTTGTTCCCGGGCTAAAAGGCGGTGGCTTCAGCAAAAGCACTATGCTGACAATGACGGCGGAGTGGCTAGAGGAAATACTGCTGGGAAATAGAGAGCTAGCTGCTCAGCTTGCCGCTCTTGAAGGACGATGAGCCTGTATTTGGGCTGCTGATGTTTGATTCCATATATTACTTTCCTTTTCCTTTGACTTACCAGTGTTCAATTATCTGGAGTCGGGAGCTGTATCATTCTGTGGGACAATTTTGCGAGGCGTTCTGTGATTATACGCTATTGGAGAATGAGAAGCCGTGGTGGTATAATGAGTGGCCATTTTGTTTCATTTCTGGCTGGATAGGAGGAAAATGAATGGGCATATAAATGTGCCAAATGGTTTTTTTTTTTATCTATATATGATTCCCGAGATGATTAGGACGCACAAGAATAGCTAGTAGATAGGTACTGGATTAGTAGGCACCAAAAGAGCCATGTTATCATTTTATACCTGCTAGCATCTGATTTTTGTTCGTCTTTGAGGAACCTTGATGTATGTTGACTTTAACTTAGTATTGGAATGGTACCTGAAGTCAATGAGCCACATTGCCAATCTACTAATAGCCTCTACCTCATGGGAGCGACTAAACTAGAATAGTTCGTGCGCCATGCAATTCTACCCCTTATTCCCATAATCCACCGATCATTCCATTTCGCAGCAACGTTTAAACGTGTAACGCTTTATTGATTGAGTGCTTATCAGTAGATCTATTATATACTATTCCCGGCCATATCAAAGAAAATTTCGATATCCACCCAACCAACGTCTAGTGTTGGTGGGGCTTCGAGAAGAGATATGGAAACAACACAGAGGGTAAAAAAAAAGGGAAAGGAGATGGGGAAAATGAGATTGCTATGCCTTGCCACTCTATGATCCAGAGATATCAACGGAGAAGAGAAGAAATCCCCTTCAAACACTCCTCCCAGCGCATCTTGCCAAGTCCAGCAGGGCGTTCGCGGATATCCAATCGAGCCAGCCTCCCGCCTATCACAGAAGGCCAAAGCACTCAAGCAGGGCCTATTATGGGGCGCGCCATCTGCGCTAGCCCCAACCAGGTCTAGGCCCCAAAGCTCCCAGCAATCCGCAGAGCTCAACCAAAAAATCTTGGACATCCAGCCCCAAAGCGATTTTGACAACCTGAGCCATTCCGCTGCCAAACATTCTCAGCGCGCAACCAACCGTCGGGCTCTCGCTGTCCTCCTCCTCGAATCTCCTGGATCAAGCGTCAATTGTGCTCCAGACGCCGCCGTCCGTGAGCATCTGCCCCCCGCGCCTCGCCCGCCCACCTGCCGTTCTCCCCGGGACATTGTGAGAGACATTTTCCCGAGATGCTCAGCGCCGCTCTTCGGAGGCGTGTCCTCGCGCCTACTCACCAGGCCCTGCGAACTGGCTTCGCCGCGCACGTCGTTCGCTACTATGCCTCCTTCCCTAGCCACCAGGTGATCAAGATGCCTGCTCTGTCGCCCACAATGCAGGCCGGCAACATTGGAGCCTGGCAGAAGAAGCCTGGCGACTCCATCACCCCTGGTGAGGTTCTGGTCGAGATCGAGACGGACAAGGCCCAGATGGACTTTGAGTTCCAGGAAGAGGGTGTTATTGCCAAGGTCCTCAAGGATGCTGGCGAGAAGGACGTCCCTGTTGGCACCGTGAGTTTTTTTTCCCCTCCTTGTATAACCGTCCCTGTCGTCTCTTTCCGATGCTAATCATGGTTTTTTCTTTGCTCCGATATAGCCCATTGCTGTCCTGGTCGAAGAGGGAACCGACATCGCCGCTTTCGAAAAGTTCTCTATCGAGGACGCTGGCGGCGCTGCCCAGCCCGCTGAGGCCAAGAAGGAGTCTGCGCCTGCCCCTCAGTCTACCCCCGCCTCTGCCCCTCAGTCTTCTGCCCCTGAGCAGTACTCTTCCCAGGGCAGAATCCAGAGCGCTCTCGACCGTGAGCCCAACGCTCTCCCCGCTGCTGTCCGTCTTGCCCGATCCCAGGGTATCAGCCTTGATGGCGTCAAGGGTACCGGCAAGGGTGGCAAGATCACTGAGGAGGACGTCAAGAAGCTGGTTGCCAGCCCTGCCGTCGCTGCCCCCGGCGCCACCTTTGAGGACATTCCCATCAGCGGAATGCGAAAGACCATTGCCAACAGACTGCAAGAGTCTACCCAGACCAACCCTCACTTCTACGTTACCAGCTCAGTCTCCGTGTCCAAGCTCCTCAAGCTGCGACAGGCCCTGAACAGCTCCGCTGATGGCAAGTACAAGCTGTCTGTCAACGACTTCCTCATCAAGGCCATGGGCATCGCCTCCAAGCGAGTCCCTGCTGCCAACTCCAGCTGGCGCGGCGATGTTATCCGCCAGTTCTCTACCGTCGACGTCTCCGTCGCCGTTTCCACCCCCACCGGCCTCATCACCCCTATTGTCACCGGTGTTGAGGGCCGTGGTCTGGAGTCCATCTCCAACAAGGTCAAGGAGCTCGCCAAGAAGGCTCGTGACGGCAAGCTCAAGCCCGAGGAGTACCAGGGCGGCACCATTTCCATCTCCAACATGGGCATGAACGACGCTGTCTCTCACTTCACTGCCGTCATCAACCCTCCCCAGGCCGCTATCCTGGCTGTCGGCACCACCCGCAAGGTCGCTGTTCCTGCCACCAACGAGGATGGCGAGGCCACCGTCGAGTGGGACGATCAGATCACCTTCACTGGCAGCTTCGACCACAAGGTTGTTGACGGTGCCGTCGGTGCCGAGTGGATGCGTGAGCTCAAGAAGGTTCTCGAGAACCCCCTGGAACTCCTTCTGTAAATTGGAAAAGTGGAAAAACGACACACAGGGATTTCTCTCCCTCCACAAAACTTTCTCTATGGGCAGAAGGCGGCGTCTGGGATGGGTTACACATTAGACTGGGAGCGGAGGAAGTGAAAGGATCCAAAAAATCTATATAAACATAAAAGATAAAGCGGCTTGGATCTGTTTAGTCTTGACGAGGGGGAGAGACGAAGAGAAGAAATGAGGCGGCAAGTGTCATTTTTTTTTCTAATGAAGAAAAAAAAAAAAAAAAAAAAATGCCTTGCCGAAGCGAAAGTCGATGATAGGATGGCCTTTAAGCACGCCGTGTATAAAAAAGAAGAACGTCCCTTGGTTAATACTGCATTTTGGGTGAGGGGAGGGAAAGGGGAAGCAGGAGGGTGGATTTTGCCAGCTTTGTATAGTTTTCTCTTTTTTAACTTCTTCTCCCCTTACCTGCAATACAGAAATATATTTTTTTACATCTTTACCTACAACATTTCCTGAAAATTACCATGTAGACATTGACTTTGTTTCTTTCTTTTTGTTTTTCGCCTCTAAACATGGGAATGTTAGTGGGCAGCACATCTCTAAATAGATTGTTGAGTTGAAACGCCAAAGAGCAGAGATAATTCAAATTAGAATTGCCAGTTTACTGCTTTATTGCAAAAATTAACCAAAGAGGTCTTTTTCTACGAAGACCCTCATACGCCCAAATACTGCTTATTTTATGATACATACAGTTTCCATTAAAACGTTCGTTCTCCCCCCTCCCCCCTTCCCGTCTTTGTTTTCTTACGAAATTGCCCAAAAAAAAACGCCAGCCATCTGAAGAATCCCCTTGCAATATCTCCCCAATTGTTCTAGATTTAGCTCAGATCCATTGTCTCGGCCCCAGGAGCAGCTGCCGCAGCAGGAGCCTGGTTAGTGCTGCCGTTCTGGACTGATAAGTCGACACCGCCATCATTTCCAATCAGTCGCTTCTCGGATTTGTTCACAAATTCGATACTCCTGGCAGGATCGTAGAAGAGCTGGAAGCATCGCTTGACGTCGTCGATGCTGACTTGCTTAGATTTTCGCTTCGCTGAAACTAGTTGGGATGTGGTAATCAGATTGCTGGCGTATCGGAGGCCAGCTTCTTGGCCAATCTTTGTGAGCAGAGCCAGAGCATCCGCAGAAATATCGATTTCTTCCTCCTGCGCTCGAATGGATAAGATCTTCTGGATTTCTTCAGGGCTATAGTAATGCGTGTTGATGATGACAACACGGTCCAAGAAATCGAGGGGCAGACCGTGTGGGCTTCTGTAGTCGGTGCCGCGAATACGCGAGACGCCTCGGTTGCTGGCCATGATGACAACTGGTGCCAGGTCATCTTCCAGAGCTCGGTTGATGTAAGAGAAGCACTCAATGTCGAGCATATGCACCTCATCGAGGAACAGCACACCAGGAACAATCTCGGCCTTGCCCTCCTCTTTCCACTCGCCAACCTTGGTGTTGATCTGGTCACGGATCTCGCTGCGAATCTCGCCGGTGTCGCCAGAGAAGAGAGCCAAGAATCCTTGGGTTCGCGAGTTGATGACATCGATCTCATGTAGCGACACCGTGTGGACCACCTCTTTGCGCTTTTGCAGCTCGCCATCAGGGCATTGCAAAAATTTGGTATCGACACCCATGGCATCATAGTCGCGAGATCGGGCATATGATCGACCAAGCTTGGTGATCTTGCCAGAAGACTTATCGATTGAGATAATATCGCCAGCCATGACGCGCTCCTTGGTCATGGCGTCAATCATCTTGGCGCCCATGTCATACACGGCCTCCATATCGGTAGTTTTGATGGTCAGTTTGCCCTGTTTAGCACTGCCAGTAACGCTCCGGTCGATCTGGATCTCGACAACTTCTCCCTCCATAATTTCGCTTTCCTCCTTGATGCGGACGCCGATTGACTTGCGGAAAGCTTGCGTGAGAGCCTCGGTTTTTGACATTTCGAGGGAGAAGATCTCTGAGGCCGCGAGGGTTGTAAAGGGAACGTCGGAGCCGAGGGACTGTGCCATTCCCATAGCAAGGGCAGTTTTTCCAGTGCTATTGAATCAGAAATATAAGCAAAGGGTGTAGAGAAAAGAGCCAGGCTATTGCTGCATCTGCTCACTTACCTTGGCGGACCAGCAATCAAGACGGCGCGGCCAGCAATTTTGCCCTCTTTGATCATCTGCAGGATGACTGCAGCGGCCTTACGGGCCTTTTCCTGGCCAACAAGGCCCTGGGAGGAGGCCCTGGGCTCGAGGCTCGTGGCATCGACGCCGAGTCCCCGGATGTGAGAATGCGCGGCGATGAGGTTCAGACCGCGAAGGTCCTTAGTTTCGGAAACGGTTACTAAGGGCTGGCCAGAGGCAGTCAGTTTACGAACGGGGCGATGCTCTGGGAGGGGGACGGCAGACTCACAGCAGCCATTGTGAAATATATCTATCCCGTACGCGCGCTGCAAGTTGGTCACGACAGGATTGGAAGCGAAATCTCAAAGCTGCTGCTCTAGCTGGGTGCGCAGAGTTGACAAACAAGGCTGGGCGAATTGCAGCTCCCGTTTTCGCCAGGAAAAATTACGGCCCCGGCGAAGCGCGCGTTTGGCGCTTACACGCGCAAGCAAGTGGCAGATGCAGGGCACGGCGAACAAAGTTAGGCTGGTGGGGCGTCTGGCTCTTCGCAACCTGGATCTAGGACATGGGCCTGCCAGGCCAAGCTCTCAGGCAACTACAGCCCGTTTGTTGTTGGTTGATGCTTCATGTAGTACAACACGAAGCAAGCCGTGATATGCCTTAGGACCACCACTTTCTGCCCAGCCCTTACTGTAGATAGTCCTCGGCCCACATGCACTTTTGGCAACCCGGACTTGTGCAAAACGCTCTTGCGCTTTAATTCTTGGCGGCGCCTTCTCTGCTGGTTCCCTCCTCCCCTCTCCATGATCTTTCCTTTTTCCGAGTCCCCAGGACTTGCGTTTTGTTTGCTCGAATTGCATGTTTGCTACTTGCCTTCCAGCCAACGAGGCCCCTGACTTCCAGCAGCTCATCTCCACTCCCCAGCATTAGCAACAGCCACTTCTGCTGCTTGCAGCAATGGCCTTCATTGTTTACCCCTGCTGCCGCTGGGCTGCTGCTTGCTATGCACCCTCATATTAATAGTAGAAGCACAAGGCGAGGCTCCTATTCGTAGATTTGCGTCTTGCGTAGAAGAGGAAAGAAGCTGCTGGGTCTGTTCTATTCTGTAGGTGCACGGCACGTCCCCCGTGACTGCTCTGCATGGAGTAGCCATGGCATGCCCAGGCCATTTTAGCTCAGGCCTTCATCTGATTTGTTTTGTCTTCTCTCTTAAACAAACAAAGAGCACCTTGGCTCGCACGCTTGCTGCAAACACGTTTCTGGCCCCTCTATGTGCCTTTTTATAGCACTGTGGCCGTTTGCACTGCGCTTAGGCACCTGATTCCCTTTTCCCCCATCGATGTCGTGTGTCGATTCCTCAATACTTAAAATAGGCATATTCGGAGTTGAAGTTGCATCGTCCTCCAAATCTCTTCAAATAGGCCCAAGGGATATGAATAGTCGACTTCCGTCTCATCGACGCCTCGTCGCTTAGAGCAACTCCTCAGGCTCTATTCATATCTCTGTCATCGGCTGCACATTCGATCCAACAGCCGCTATGGGCAAAGATACACAAGGCCTGAAGCCAACTCCGTTACTAGGATTTTCTCAGACATTTGGCAACCAACGTACAATGGCGGACTCTATCAAACCTAAAGACAGCCAGCGGCCGGCCAACGACGCAGGTCCCAACCCCAAGCGCCGCCGCACTATCGATCGACCTGACGAGCGGAGCCCAGTTGCCCAACGTGAACGAGTTGACGCATCCAGCCCAGCAGTATTAGCAGGTAGGACTAGTGACTTCCCAAGTCTTGAGTATGGACCCTGGACTTACTCATACTAACAATATCTAGATACAGTTCCTCACAGACAACGCAATCCAGATGTCTCTAAACAACATCTCTTGAATGCATTGCCCAAAGCTGCTACCGACCATGGATCAGTTGACTCCCTCAAATCGTTGATGAATCTGTTTTCCGAGAATTTTGAAAGTTTTCAGATGAAAAACAGAGCTGTTAGGCATCTCAAAAGGAATACTACAATCCAAGACCAGAACCACCACCGTCCTTCAGACTTTTCTAGTGCCTTGAATCTACAAGCGATTGAACGAAAGGCAGCTCAAGAAGATATCGAGAGAGCCGATAAACAAATAACAGAGTTTTGTAACAAAATATCTCCAGTTCTTCGATCGATTTTGCATGGTATTCTAGAGGGCGGAGGTATGGTCGCCAACCCGTCTGCAATCTCAGATAAGCCGGTGATATCAGAAGCCAAATTAAATACTGTCCAAGACACGATCAAAAGAGAGATGAAGACATCGTTCAAGAAAGACCTCGCAGAGTCGCAGAAATCGTTGAAAGATGGCTTCGAGTCGCAAATGTCCAAACTCAAAGAGGAGCTATCCCACGAATACGAGCAGCAATTCAAGTCTCTTAAAGGGAAATTGATACAAGAATACGAGGAGAGAGAAAATTCTCTTAAAAAGACGTTGACTCAAGAAGGAGAAGAAAGGGTAAAATCTCTTAAAAAGTTGCTAGCACAAGAACATGAGAAGCGAATCACAGACATAAAGCATTCTGTTGCCCGAGAAAACAAAGAGAAGATTTCAAACCTGGAAAACGCCTTGGCCAACGAAAACATGAAGAATGCTGCTCTTGAAAAGAAGATGGCAGATTTGGAAACTAAACTTGACAAAGCATCCTCAGAACAGAGACAGAAGTTGGAATCATTGGTGAATCAAACGCATCTTGACCAATGTCTACAGCGCCTGTCAAACTCTCAGGGGGTCAAATTTGATGAAATGAAGGCGTATATGAACCAGAAAATGGATAACGCTTCTTATATCCAGCAATTACAGCGACTTGAATTGCTTTCAAATTCTCACAAAGAGAAACTCAGCAAATTTGAGACGCGCTTGAATCAGGCGGAAGACAATGCACCGAAGATTAAGAATCTGGAAGGACAGCTTCACAATCTTTCAATGCTCACCAAAGAAAAGGCGCAGCAGCTCTCTAATTCTCAAAATGAGAAACTTGGTCAGCTTGAGGCAACTTTAAACCAGCTGAATGATGAGAATTTTGCCGCCCACCAGCTTTTGAAGTCTCAAGACGATAAATTTAGCAAGCTTGATAATCAGCTGCGAGGCACCATGTCAAGAATTGAAGATTTGAGCAAACTTGAAGAGCGCGTGAACTTACTGGCAGGCAACTCTCCGAGAATTGAAACTTTGGTAAAGGACGGGCGCAGCCACCTGGAAATGATTGAAAGAAAAGCAGGGGAGTTCAATGCACGCCTTACTTCTCTCGAATCTATGGCACCTACTGCTTCAGTGGAAGAGTTGGTTAATATTCGTACAGAGATGGCAGACATCGATAAGCGCATACAAACCCTCAGTCCCAAGCATGAGTCTTCTCCCATATCGACCGATTCCATTCGGCGAGCCATCTGGCTTGAAGTAGAAAAGGAGATAGAGAACAAGGCCAATGCCACCAAATTAACGCTTGCGAGAGTTCAATCCGGACTCAATGAATTTCTTAAGACTGAGCGGGAAGAGAGAGAGGCTCTGGAAGTGCAATGTGCCGAAATTACTCGCCAGTTTTTGCTGGCCCAACAGGAGGCCACTGCAATGAAGAGTAAAATTTCGGAACTAAATGAGAGAGGGAACGACCCCATTTTGCAACAGGACAATATACTCAAGTGGGTTGAGGAGAAATTCAATAGTCGCATTGGGGCCGCCGTAATTGAGCTCCATCATGCACTTGAAGGAGTTTATATGCAGCTACAAGCCCTAACGGTATGGCAGAACAACTTCAGCACAAAGGGTCTCTATAGAGATATTTTGAACCATATTAATGCCACGATGCCAGACGGCACAGTGACGCAATTGAGGAGTCTAAAGCAGCGCATGGAAGTGGCTGAGACACGCATTGCGGCTTGTGAGAATAGCGTCAGCAACAAGAGAAGAAAACTGCCGAGTGGGACTTCAAGGATAGTCACTGGCGATCAAGCAGACGCGTGAAGATATTCAGTTTGGGTGACGAGCCGGCAATGTTTGAACAGTGCCGGGGAGCAACAAAAGCAGGCTTTTGTTCAACTTATTCGGGATGGATCTCTAAGCAAATGTCTTTCTTTTAAGGCGGATGAGGCAGTTATTCCAGTCGGCTTGGATTTCGGACATAACATTGGTTGTCAAAGATAGCCATTTGTTTGGACTGTTAGATGCAACGCGGAGCGTACGTGGCACGAAAGACGGCGAGATAATTTGTTTTTGTTCTAGATGAGGCAGCTAACTAACCATGCATGTATAAGTAATATAGATGATTGTACTTTGTGCTTGATTGTATTTTGTGGAGGAATGTATAAAGTAACGATTCGATCTATCGCCAGATCATAAAGGCAAAGAAGCTGATTTCTTTTATTATTATATACACATCATTCTTGTAAATATCTGCTTTGCTTTACAAAAAAAAAAAAAGGCACGCTTCTGTACCTTGTATATTCTTTTACGCTTAACATAGCAACAGAGCTGCCCCTAATCTACCCATCCAAAGAACCTGAGAGCTGTTTGGTATGAAATTCTAGGGTAATACTGCTTTATAAGGAATAGCATTTTTTGTAGCTCTTCTAAGTAGCCAAATAAGAATTGAACACTACAATAACGGGCGAAGTGAGGTGATAGAAGCGCGTGCTCCCGCGCATCCAGCCTTCGAGTCGCTCCGTGCCTTCAACAGCGTATTTACCTATCCGTCCGTCTCTCTCTCTATATATCTTTACGTTTATTGTGTAGGGCATTAAATCTTGGTCAAGGCCAGATTTTACGTTTACAGGTATACTTTGAGTGTAAAATATGGCATAACTTGATACTATTTACCGGTTTTTGAAGCATAATAAAAAGAACTTTTGCTTTATATTTTACTTCCCCCCTATTCTTTTAAATATAGTTTATTATGGAGATTATTATCTGTACATCAGAACATTATTACAGGTAAATTTGCTTTTGCAACAAGCATCTGAGTTCAAGACAAGATTTGGGTAGGCCACAACATCGCTGGGGTGGCTGAATAACATTAAGCGCGCAAGTAGTACTCTGTACATGAAAATTGGTATTAGTTGAGGGGTTGAAACCTGAGAAGGGAAATCTACTAATTTAATGCGTCTCTGAATACTTTATGTGGCCTATTGGACAGCAATCTCAAGTATTGTTAGATGATAAAATAAGAGAATATGATGCAGCCAGGTAGGAACAATAAGTACTACGTGCCTTATATATAATTCCCGTTTCTATCGCGACCTATGATCTCAGTCTCAATGTCGAGTCAGAGTCAAGTGACATGGAGTTCGGAATCCTTCCGGATGTATATGGACATCAAGGACCTGTTATTGTTGTTTCTATTGGCTATGGGGCACATGCAAATCCTCCGGCGAGGTACTGCTTGGAAGCGCGTACAAACATCATTTGCACCTTTGAGCTTGTATTACCGCCAAGTTCGGAGTGCTAGGCGCCCAAAACCTTTGGCGCAGGGGCCCTTGAAACCTTAACGGCCGCTGATGGGGCAATGGACACAGCGCTCTGCCTTAAAAAGCACAGGCCCCCCAGGGGAGAGGCATTGGATACTAGCACCAGACACAGCACTGCGAAGTGAGCACTGCGCCGTACCCACCGCATCAGCTTGCCCGTATCAGCCTTAGGTAGCAGCTCGTGTATGGCCTGAGCAGCGGTACATGCGCTCCCGCCCGCCATCCGCAGCTCGCCGTGGTACCGATCGCCAAACCAAACACCATCTCGTGGCCGGCACCTGCATCCACGTCCCGCATCCGCGAACCTCCAATCCATTGCCGCAACGCATCGCCCTGCCGCTCGCTGGCGTCGCGCTGTGCCGAATCGCCATTGCCCACGAGAGAGCGCCTGCTCGCCAGACCCGCGGGCGAGCTGCGAGCCTTGTCTGGCGGTGCCCCGACTCGCATCGCCGATCTGACTGGCCAGCTCTTTGTCCCTTGACCTCAACCTCTTTGTCTCGCCCTTTGCCTCTTCTGTCAGCCCTGTGCGGATCCGCCACCACGGCCGCCGCTCTCCTCATCGCCGCCGGCAGCCCATAGCCATTGTCGCGCACACTCCCCATCTCTCGCAGCGGCCGCTCTTCTCGTCGTTGTCGGTCGCGCTCCGCCGCTCACTCGTGCCTGCGGCATGATCACGCCCAAGCACGATGGAAGCGGCGCGGAAGACGATCGAGGTGCTCGGCCAGCGCATCCTGCCAGAACGACCCCATCACTTGGCTTTTCACCCCGAATGGCGATATCGTCCCAGCCACGGTGACAGCAACTCCTTTGAGGAATGGCACCACCCCCGCCTGCAATACCTGACCCTATTGTCCGAAGCCGATCGCGGCGTCCTGCTCACAAAATCCGATTATGATATGCGTGAAGAACCGGTCAAACCTCTTCCACGCGAAGTCAACGCGCTGGCCAAGGGTGGCGAGAAGAAGAAGTTGTCGCTGAGCGACTACAAGAACAAGAAGACCGGGGCCACGTCGTCCACGTCGCCGCCGGAGCCATCAATTGCCAAGAAGAAAGAAAGCGAACGCGCTGGCGACCTGTCGGCCAGCACGGGGGCCGTATCCGACCCCAAACCCACATCAGAATCCAAGTCTGCCTCAGAAGCGAGGAAGGCGGATAGACCCAGGCCACGAGAATCAGATCCGCTCGTTGACGCCAAACAGCGACAGGCTCGCGAGCCAGCCGCCGATATGAGGTGGGTACCTTTGAGCTCTGGGCGATAACAGCATTGAGCCATGATCAGCAAGCTAACGTTGATACAGATTACCTCCCAAGCCTCCCACCAAGCACCCATTACCACCTCGACCGCCTTCTCCCAATTCTAAGAAGCGCGTAGCAGATCTAGATGACGACTTGCGACCGCAAAAGCGATCCAAGGCTGATGGCAGCAAGCACATTGATGATCGGGCACCGCACTCTCGCGATGAAGCGCAGAAACGCAAAGATAGAGTCTCTTCCTCAACGCCTTACAAAGATGCGCCGTCGCATAAAGATGATAGATTAACCAACTCGTCCTCGCTACCCAATGGCAGAGCCATTCTGAAAGGCGCGGTGGGCTCCAGTCGCAACAACACTTCACCCGCATCTCGTCCTCGGGGCGACTCTATGAATGGCGCCCGGCCTACTGGGCCAGGAAGCAACCGAAACACACCCACCAAGCTAGACACGTCAAAGTCAAGCGTGCCGCCATTGTTATCTCCTCTGCACCTGAGCTTTGACGACCGGAACAACGAGGACAAGTCTCAGGCAAGGCAGGAGAAGAGAAGAGTTCGGGACGACTCTCGCGAGCGGAACAAGTCCCCTACTAGGCATAAAAAGTCAGACTCCACATCAGAGTTCAAGAGACAGAAGTCACCAGTGAGAATTCCTCCACTGCTCTCGCCGACTTTGCCGCCGATAGTAGAGGCTGCTTTGCAGCTGAGAAAGAAAGGATCAATAGAATCATTGGAAGGCAAGCCTCTCAAGGGCAAAGACGAGAAAGAGAAGGAACTGCCATCCAAGAAGAAGAAACCTGTTGCCGATTATCACTCTGACGACGATGAGCCTCTCTCACAAAAACCACAAAAACCACAGAAGTCACTCATTGTTATGATCAAAGTGCCCAAGAAATTACGAAAGGACGTTAAACGGATCTTGGCCTTATCATCATCTACAGCCGCTCGCAAGGAGTTACAGGCTCAAAACCAGGAACGTTCTGCTGCGCCAGAGGAATTTATCCAGCCGCCACCAGCAAGGAAACGGCCGGTGGCTCCCGTTGAAGCGGCAGCATCTTCAGAAACTAACGCACAGAAGAAGCCCAAGGCTTCTGATATCCCCAACTCCTCTCGCCTGCCTGCTCCAACTACCCCATCCAAAAAGGGTGCTACCTCCATGTCTCGCGTTAGCTCAAGTAATTCTTTGGCCCAGACTCCTGGAGACGCGGTCAATGCCACTCCGTCTGCCCCTGCCCCAGCCGACCGCCGCGTCAATGGCCACGATGTGCATCGCTCAGAATCATCGGAGGCTAGGATTATGCGAGAAAAAGAGGCCAAATTCAACGCTCTCGGACGCCGCCTTAAGCATGAAGCGGACACAGCTATGAGAGGAGGTCGTCGAAGCCCGGGAGTTAACGGCCACACGCGCGAGCCTGACCTGAGCAAAGGATATGTGATCAGCGTGGAGAGTTTGCTGGCCTTTATGGCTGGCTTCCAAGCGCAAAACATTTACCGCGGGCTGTGCAATAAGAGGAGCGACCCGACTGGATGGAATAGCCTATTTCCCTTGCTTGACTTTATTCAGGGCCAGATGAAGAGACAGGAGACACATACCCGCCGTTTCCTCCCGCTCTATGTAGTCGTTCTTAATCTTCATTCCGTGGCTATCACAGAGCTCATCCGCTGCCATGTGGTTGAAAATTCCACTCTTCCGCAGCCAGACTGGTTTGGGCTTGAAAAGAAGCGGCTCAAACTTCTTTCTCAAATCAACGAGGCTGCCAGCAACATCGACACTCTAACCTTGCGCCTCAATGTACCAGCACACGCAACGCTAGATGATATGACGGCGGCGTCGCTCCGAATCCTTAGAACATGGTGTCATAATGAGCAGGTCGAATGGACCCCCGACGCTCATCTTAAGGAGCCTGTTGCGTCTCGAGGTTCATGAAACGAATGATATCAATGGCACTCACGGAGAGGGAGGGAAAAGACCAAGCCGGCACTTGTCTATCGGTATCTCTTCTTTACAATACACTACTTATGATAATCGGCATGGCTTTGACAGCTGACGGGAGTTGGGTGGCTATTTTGGAGCTTGTTAGCTCTTCCGTTTGCCATCATTGCCTGAGTTTCTATGCAAACAACTGTGCAAATGATCGGATTTTGAGATTCTGCATTTTGGCGTTGGGTCACGAACAATGGATTTTCCTTCTCCTTCCTGCTTCAAGCACGTGGTAAATCACCCGAGTTAAGAGAAGAGAAGAAAAGGAGTTTACGTCGTTGAAAGAACAAAAGATTCTGCCACCAACCAATGCACCACCGCGAGACGGATTGCATCTGCCGCCATTTGGCCTTTTTACTAGCAAATTGTATTGCTTCACGTATTTTATGATATCCCTGTACTCGTACTGTTCTCTTTACGCTGTTTTATATCTCAATCTTCCCGTCATTCATCACTTTGTGTCGATGATGGGTGACTTGATTACTGCTGGCGCAAAAAAGGTTTAGCCTCTTTTCATTGCGTGTGAGGTTGAGATAACAGCCAGAGATGAAACACGCAGTACCGCTGAGTTTCTCTTTTTCACAAGTTTTTTTTGTTGGCTCCTCTTTAGGTATCTCTCTTCTTTTTCCTGACCTCACTTGTTGAAGATAGAAACTAAATGCTCATGGTCTCGATCTATGGCATACGTTTGTTTGAAGAAAGGGGGTGGGGGTTCAAATGGAAAATAGGATTGGGAAAGTGGAACAGTCGGGCAGGCAAGGCGACTGTGATCTGCGAATTGTGGTTTTTTTTTTTTCCTTTTCTGTCTTTTCCTTTGCTCAATCCAAAAAGTTGGAGCGGATATTGCGCACATACATTGGTTCTGTTGCGGGCTTGTGTTTTTCTTCTTTTAACTCTTCTTAATTTTGCTCTTTGTAATACACGATGGCAGAATCTGTAATCAAGAGCCGTTGAGAGATCCAGTAGATGAAATAAATACCAATATATGATTGACGCAGGCTGTGTGTCCATGTTTAAATGCATGAGCCTCTGATTAGAAAGTCTCAATAGTTCTTTTGGTGATACATGTGAAGGAGCCCAATGGGTGTGAGGAATGCGCTTATAAAGAGCAGTTAATAGGGATTCAGCTGCCTTGATCGACTGATTTCAAGTTGACCAACTCCTTGGTATGCATGGTACGACTTGCTTGACACCTCGAGTGAATTCCCACCGCGTTCAATGGAGTTGATTTCTGTAATCATCGAGCTACAATACAATGTCATATCATTCATAATTCACATATGCGTTGGTGAATCTTCCACTTGTCTAAAAGAGTAAATTCTATTGAAGAGCATTGATAGAGTGATCTGGTATGAAGAGCGTCCGTCCAGCAAGAAGGCATGAATTGCTGCGTTTTTTGCACTTGCAGAAGACAGAAACCAAGACACTTCAGTCTCCCCTACACTGACAACTGCAATCTCTTGTCACTTGTGCCCTCAAAAGTGCGCAATACACACCGCCCTGGGGCATTTCGCATTCAGCTCGAGCGTCTACTTATAGTCTACTGGTTTTGGCCTGCTCTCTATTATATAACTCTTACTTTCACACTTTACTCTTCTCTCTCTTCCCTCTTCTTTTTTTTTTTTTTTTACATCTACACAAAGCATTAGGCCCTTCTACTGGCAATTACTCCCTTGTTTTTTTCTCTATTCTACACCGTTTCATCACAACGGAACAAACAGACAATCAGTCATCTATAGAACATTTTCGCTCTTCACCAGATATCCATTCATCTCATCATCATCATCATCATCATCATCATCATGGCCCCTCAGGACAAGAAGTGGGACGATTCCGCCGAGCGCGACCTCTGCGTCTCCATAATTTACTGCAACAATGAGTCCAAGGGTCGTACCAACTGGCCTCGCATCGAGGAGGTCATGAATGGCCTTGGCTACTCGTTTACCAAGGACGCAATGTCGTACGTCTCTACATACTCTATACTTCATATTATCCTCTCCAAATACAAGTCCATTGCAAGTAAGAACAGAACTAACTCCCCAAAACAATAACAGCCAACACTTCTCCAAAACCATCATGAAGGAATTCAAAGCTCGTCATCCCTCCCTGCCCACCTCCGCTTCCTCTTCGCCTCTTAGTGCCCGGAAGCCAAGGGCTGCTGCTGGAAAAGCTGCCACCAGCACTCCTTCCAAGAAGCGAACCAAGAAGAGTGCCACCAAGGACGCAAAGGATCAGTTGAGCGACGGCGGAGATGACGATTTTGACTATGATTCCACCCCGTGCAAGAGAGTCAAGAAGGAGGAAAAGGACACCGCGGTCAAAAAGGAAGAAGCTGCAGATGCTACTACCGAAACGTAAAGTAAACCCAATCTCCCTGGAAACAACACCCCAGCACAACTCCTCACTCTCCCTCTCTCAAGAAGAGAAATTTACTCCACAAAATTGGGTAGGGGGGACACTCATACTAACAAACACTTGTGTCTCAGTGCCGCCGATGACAAAGAACAAGCTTTCCGGGACTGGGCTGCTAAAGGCCCCTCTGAGGAAGAACAGAGTCATATTCAGGTCTACCAGATGCCTTCTTCGTCTTCTCTTCTGCTCTCATCTCACATAGAGAGATACTGATATATACCATTGGCATATGGGTTAGCTAGGGAAAAAGATATTTGGCACCCTTTTGGAAGCTATTTATTTGCAAGTTATGGGCCGGTGGAAACGAAGTGCTATATAGGCTTGCTAGGGAGAATCGACATAAGTCCATTATAGAGTGGCTAACAAGGCAAGGTTGCTTTAATACTATTACACAATTGCATAGCCAAGAAACCTGATCAGTGTCCTTGCCATACTGAAGAAAAGGAAAGAAATGGCTTCCTAATTTGCTGCTGCGGATTCTCCTGTCTATCTATCTGTTGCAGCTGGACGTATAAAAAAGGCCATGCTTGCCTATGTCGTTGGCAAATGAGAGCATTTCTTTCTTCGTCGAAGATATATGGTTCGCAGAGATCCCACCAAATGAGATGAGAGATGATTTAAAATTACAGTGTCATTTTATTAAAAATGGATAGACGTACTAGAATTTCTATTCTGCAAGCATTTCCATCAAACCAACCGTGAGCTACAAAGTTCCCAGCCCCAACGCCGCAACTGCATGGATTAAAATACCAACATCAAGAAACCTCTCCCTTATCGTGGTGATCGACCATCTAGTCTGTTGCCATCACTTGGTCCCTTCTTATCTGGGGCTCTGGACTTATCATCAGCGTCTCCCTTTCTCTTAACAGTTCCACGCAAACTCTGTCCTTGGCCCGCAAAGTGAGGTTTCGCCACCTTCTCTTGCTCCTTCTCCGCATCTGTCTTCAACGGTTTTAGCTCATATCCGAAGAAAAGCTTGTTGGGAGGTAGGCGAAGGGGTGCAGGGGCGCCGGTTCGTTTCTTTGGAACCGCAGTTGTCTCTACTGGCACCGGCGTGGCGGGCTTCGGTGTTGCAGTCTTACTGCCTTTCTTGGCAACTCGCTGGCCTTCTCCAAGGAAATTGGTCGGCACGCTGGTCACTGAAGGAGCAATGGAGCTGTAATTTATGGCCTGGGCCATGGTCCCCTGACTATGCAAGATACCACCGGCAGGCACTCCTCCCATAGTGCTCCGTGGTGTGCTTGTACCGCTCTTCCTCTCAGGCTCAACATAGCCAACAGGCGCCGCAAATTCGACCGATACGTCGGTTTCAATCATACTGACGCCCATCTTGTCCGTCTCTGGTTTAACGTCCAAAACCGCAACATCGTAGACGTCATCGTTGTATTCAAAGTTGAAAATATCGCCTTTTGTTAAAGTTGCAAAGTTCCTAAAAGCTTTTTCCAATACGGCCTTCGGATCGCTAATCTCGAGAAAGTTAACCGATTGGGGTTGTAGCTTGACCATCCTTGCAAGCTCCAACGAAGTGGTTCGAATTTGTATCATATCGCCAACGTCCAAGCCTAGTGTTACCATCATCTGTAAATGGTCAGCAAAGATAGGAACAAAGAGGAGCCGGCGTCGAGTATATGGCAACTCACCCACTGGGGAATATATGCACGACCTTCTTCGGCAATGAATTCCAAAACTCCGGCATGTGAGTGCTTGCCCTTCTCGCCGTTGATCATCTCCATCAGTAGGGGCCATTGCACATGGAGCTTAGAAACTTTGTCAAGAGCCGATGGAGGAAGAATGATCTTGGATCCGTAATTCAACTCCGGCCGCTCGCTGCCCGGTGCCATGATGACGGGATAACATCTGTAGTATTCGTCGAAGCGTTGGATTATGGGCCGCCGGCCATGGCGTGCCATGCCATAGGGATCGAAACCAAAACCGGACTTGAATAGCATTAGCACGCAAACACACGGGCATTTGGGGTGCAAATATGCCAAACTCACCATCTTGGCGTGATGTAGTAGTAAGCAGGCGAATCAACGATAGATGCAGCCAGGCTACTTCGCCTGCGAGTTCTAGAGAGAGGCGCTCAAAGGAAGCTCGGTCCGTTCAACAGTCTTCTTATCTTAGCGTTTATCCAGTAAGAATGATTATTGGCGCGTTGGTTGTTGGTTGGCGAGCTTGGGATGTCAGAGTCAAGAAAGGCGGAAGACGTGGGGTTCGCAGTGGAGGCAGCTGTTGAGTGACGCAGGTACCTTTTATCGCGGCGCTGAGATAACGCCAAAAAGTTAATCCCGGCATGTGGAAGCTCTCGCTGCTCCTTGCACCAATAGATCCGCCACTTAGCTGCTGCTGCCTGCCACCGCGTCATCTTTAATTTATTAATCATTCAGAAAACAAATTGGTGTTGGATTTACTGCGTTTGAGCTACCTCTTTGTCCACCAAGGAAGAACAAGGGGCGATCGTCCGAGTCGTTTCGTCATCTCGAAGCACCATGTCTTCCCGTTACTCTGCGGCGCGTCCAAAGCGAGCTGGCGAGAATTTTGCTCGAACACATTACAGCAACGAGGAGGATACGAAGCGAGTCAAGTTTGATGTCCGCAACCCGTCTATCTTGGCGCCGGATGCGCGGGAGGACGATGCAGTTCTCGATGCCGACGTGATTGGCAGCAGCCACGCTACGAAACGAGGCGCCGTGAACCTCGACGGCTACGACAGCGATTCGGACAATGAGAATTTCAATGCGCGAGCAGGAACTCGCAAGAAGGGAGATGTGAATATCCTTGAGCAGCTCGATAACTACGATGCCAAGGCTAGCAGCGCCAACGGCCAACCGGACAGACCGATTAATGAAGATGATGACGATGACGACATGTTTGCGGCGGAGAACGACGAGGAACAAGGAAAGGAGGAGGCTGGAGAAGACGAATACTTTGAGAAATCTGGCAGAAAGAAGAAGAACGTCAAGTTCTTGGACGACGCTCAGATTCAAGGCCAGGAGAAAAACAGCAAAAGTGGAGGAACCATCCGCCTAGATGAACACGAAAGTAGCGACGATGAAGAAGACTTGGAGCTTGCGATTCAAGAAGAGGGAGTAGACGAAGAAGTGGGAGCTGGTGGCTTGAAACGCAACGCACCCAAAGTTGAGGCTTTCAATCTTAGGGAGGAGATGGAAGAGGGCCGATTCGACCAGGATGGCAACTACGTTCGAAAAGCCAATGACGCCGACGCCGTGCATGACAGCTGGCTCGAAGGCTTGAGCAAGAAAGATATGAAGAAAGCAGCAGCAGCGCACGAGAGACGCGAGGCTGAAGCACGAGAGAAGCGCATCGAAGAGGATGGCGTCTTGGTCTCTGAGCTATTAGCCGCGTTGATCACGAGGCTGGAAAGAACCGAAACACCCATAGAAGCTCTAGCGCGACTAGGAAAAGACAAGACGAAAACCAAAAGGGTACCCAAGTGGAAGCTCAAGAAGATGAACAAGGGTGCAGAAGCTATGGAAACGGATCAAGAGGTAGCAGCCGACCCCAAACAGGTGGAGATCAAAGAAGCAATCGATGCTATCACAGACGCGGCTGATAAACTACTGAGTCGTGGGCACGAGGAAATCTACGAGCAAGAGAGAGAACTGCTAGTTCGTGAATACCGAACAGAGACGGGTGAAGACTGGGTCGAACCCAAGATCGAGGTCGAGGCCGAGGCTGAGCCTCAGCCAGCTGCACCTGCACCTGCAGAAGACGCATCGGCTCGGGCTAATGGCACAATGTGGGAGTTTAGGTGGACAGATGGACGAGACAATGCCGCAAAGCAAGGTCCTTTTGACGGCCCCACGATGAAAGCTTGGCAGGATGCCGGATATTTTGGTCAGGGCGTCGAGTTCCGAGTCGTCGGCACAGGTGAGCATGCGTGGGCCACTTCGGCAGACTTTTCGCGGGGACAGCTGTGAACAAACAAAGAGACGCTGAGGGCGTGAGGAGAGGAGCAAACAAGCGAACGGGTAGAGCCGCTTCTCCAGGTCTCCAGGTTCCGGTGGCTTGTTTTTGTGCCGGGTCGACCTGTGAAAGTGGGAACTTTGGATCGATAAAAGCGTCCATGACGATCTCTTTGGTCTTCTCAGAGCAATCAAAAGCTCTGCAGCATCCGTCCCGGCGCCTCAGCCGCGGCTAAGAAAGGCACGGTGTGCTGGGGACGAGAATGACAACGGCAGGCTGTGTTCCTGGAACCCCCGATCTCGACGGGGCCGATCTGGGGTCGCAGGCTTCTCCAAGATCCCACAAGCCGTAACGCTCCGGCGCTTGATTCCGCAGCGGCCCTAGGGGAAGCGCGATGGCAGCCGAGCTTTGCCGCCTGCATATTAACGCAGGGATTGGATCAAGCTGATGGTTGCCGTGCAATAAGTGGTGTTGTTGTAAGAGCGAAAATGAGGGCATCGCCAAGCAGCCTGCGCAAACTCGAGGTCGCCCACAACGACGAGAGGCATTCAGGTACTTTCGTACTTACATACTTACCTATGCGAATTATGGGACGATAGTACTAGTAACTACATTAGGAAACCAGGTCGATGAGCGATTTCTATTATTCATCATTTCTGTCCTTTGCACACGCCACTGCTGCACTGCACCCCTTATCATGTCCGTATCAAGACCTATATCATGCGTACCCACGCAAGACGTGCGTGCCGCTGCCCAGCTGAGGCCACGGGGGGTGACAAAAAGGGTCAGCTTGATGTAACTCATTTTGCTTGTCATCGCGACCGTTGCCGGAGAGGCTGTTTAAGAAACGTGCTCGCCGTTCATCGGCTTCGTTTGACTCCTTCAACTCCTTGTCTCGTGTATTCAGCTTGACTGCCTCCTTGATATTACCAAACATGAAAAATAATACGGCCGCGGCAGCCCCGGCGAAAAAGCGTGGGATGGCTAACTCGGCCGATGGGGCGGATCGCAGGATAAGCCCGGGCGATGCTTTTGATCTCTCGCTCAGCCTATCCAAAAACATCTGCTATGACCTCATAATCTCATAGCCAACACGGACCTTTTCAAGGAGATGGCAAAAGCAGCTCAGCGAGCAAAATATCATAATTCCTCATGATCTGTCTCTTTTTTCGCCTCTTGTCGTATATTCCACACTCCGGCCGGCGGCGCTGGCCGGTGGAGCACAGCATGAAATGACCAAGACGGCGGCCGGGCCTTTGTTGAGAGGCGAAGTTCCCGCCTTAGGGCAGTAGAAAAAAACACCGCCCCGCCGGCTACGCCCCAAAATTCAAGAAAACAGCGCATGTTGGTGCCGGGGCCCAGCCTTGCGACGGGCTTATTATTGGGCGGACTAATAGGTAGCTCTTCCCATCGGATTTGAACCTGCGTGTTAGTCCAAGGCTGCTCGGTGAGCTGGTTTATTTGTGTCGTTCCCCTGGAAATTGCAAATGGAAGAGGCTGGTTGGATGATAGGAGGAGCACGTTTTTTTCTTGGCTCGCTCTCTTTGAGCGCTGAGGCCCGAGATTGCCAGTCAGGATTGGGACGGATTCGGCGCCCTAAGGATGATGACGGTGCGTGTTGGTAACGGATACTATGCAGTGAATATGAGTAAATAAGCATTGCATTGGTAGGTAGATGCAGGTACTCTGTCTGTTGCTGCCATTCTAGAGGTAGATGTTTGGCATTCTGCCAAGCATGATCAAGCTACCATCGTTGTGTTGAGTGGTATGAATAGCGGTATCTTCATCAAGCTGGGTTCCAGCAGCTAGACGCAATAATCGAATCAACCACGCAGTAGTACCTATGTACCTCGAGCTAGCCCCCGTCTGCTACTGCCCTTCTATTGCGTTCCATCCATTCCCGCTGGCAGGAGCTGCCACCCACGGTGCCAGTACTTAGCTGGTAGCGTCTCGAGGTACCTCCGACCAGCTTCGGCCGTTGTATCTCTTGTATCCGCCCAGTACCGCCCAGTATGGCACCGTACCTTAGTAGTGCCGCTCGCTGCGACCTACCCAGATGCGGTCTGACCCCCCCTTGCTTGAGCCGTTAATAATTCCCAGGTGGCGGGGCCCAGTCTTTAAACGCGCTCCGCCAAATGGCATGGATTGCGCTCATCCGATGCCGCATCACGGTTGGGCCAGAAACACTATTAATCTTTCCACTGCTCCCCTCTCCTGATCTTTTTCTTCTCTTCTCTCCTCTCCATAGCCCTTCGTCACAGGCATCGTTCTATCCCCTATCTACTTCAAACCACAAACAGGTTAGTATAACATGACATGTTCACGATAAGCCCGGCACTTTGACGGATCAATGTTTCTGCTTGTTTGCCCCTCAGCTGTTATCCTTTAGCTACCCCGCTAAGCTCCTTTGCGTCACCATTTTTTTTCCTATTTACCCCTCCTTGCTCCCAGCTTCTACACACAAAAAAAAATATACACAGCAACAAAAAGTCTTGGAGCTTAAGCTTACTCTCAAACTCTTCATCACAGTCTCAAAACAGCTATAATGGCTCCCGTCAAGGTCGGAATCAACGGCTTCGGCCGAATTGGTCGTATCCTGCTCCGCAACGCTCTCGAGAAGCCCGAGCTCCAGGTCGTTGCCATCAACGATCCCTTCATTGAGACCACCTACGCTGTGAGTCGCCCTTCCTTTCATTTCTCTCCTAGTTTCTGCCCCTCCTTCAATCCGTCTCAATGCCCCTCGATTTCTGCCCAACCAAGCATATTTCGGTTTCGGCAGGCGAGATGAAGAGAAAAATCGGGAAACATAAAGGGCGATGAAGAGAGCTGGTGCTTAAGAAAGCTGCTCTCGGCATCGTGGAATGTGATGACTTCAACATCGCATTACCATGGAACGAAGCTTTAAAATTTCGGCCAAGCCCAGCTCAACAATCACCATTATTTCCATTGTTGAGAGGTGCTGCGTTTAATGTCTCAAAACAGTTTCGCGCAGCTCCTCTCGCAACTACCCCTCACTACCTGCAGCAGTTCCCATTACACGGCCGCTAACTGAGATATTATTAGGCCTACATGCTCAAGTATGATTCCTCCCACGGCTCCTTCAAGGGCGACATTGAGGTCGATGGCCAGAACCTCGTTGTCAACGGCAAGCCCATCCGCTTCTACGCTGAGCGCGACCCCGCCAACATCAAGTGGAGCGAGACTGGCGCCGAGTACATCGTCGAATCCACCGGTGTCTTCACCACCGTTGACAAGGCCAAGGCCCATCTTCAGGGCGGTGCCAAGAAGGTCATCATCTCTGCTCCCTCTGCCGATGCCCCCATGTACGTGATGGGTGTCAACCACGAGAAGTACGACGGCTCTGCCGATGTCCTCTCCAACGCTTCTTGCACCACCAACGGCCTGGCTCCCCTCGCCAAGGTCATCAACGACAACTTCGGCATCGTTGAGGGTCTCATGACCACTGTCCACTCCTACACCGCCACCCAGAAGACCGTCGATGGTCCCTCTGGCAAGGACTGGCGTGGTGGCCGTGGTGCTGCCCAGAACATCATCCCCAGCAGCACTGGTGCCGCCAAGGCTGTCGGCAAGGTTATTCCTTCTCTCAACGGCAAGATCACCGGCATGTCCTTCCGTGTCCCCACTGCCAACGTCTCCGTCATCGACTTGACTGTCCGCCTCGAGAAGGCCGCCTCATACGAGGAGATCACCAACGCCATCAAGAAGGCCGCCGATGGCGAGCTCAAGGGTACGTAGAGATATACCTTTTCCCCTTTTTTCAAAAAGCAGCATGAAATTAATTCTACAATAGGAATCATGGCTTACACCAACGACGATGTCGTCTCCACCGACATGCTCGGCAACAACAACTCCTCCATCTTCGATATCAAGGCTGGTATCTCCCTGAACCCCAACTTCGTCAAGCTTGTCAGCTGGTACGACAACGAGTGGGGCTACTCCCGCCGTGTCCTCGACCTCTTGGCCCACGTTGCCAAGGTCGATGCCTCCAAATAAGCGCCTAGCTCTGTCTAGATGGGCCCGGGGGTGGGCGTAACTACCTTGTTAAGAAAAAAAAACACCACCAAAAAAAGAGGAAAGCAGGGTGCAAACAGCTACCGCACGCCAGCATGAAGATAGACTTCATGCTGTTTATTTCCGAGCTTGGAACTGAAATGGAGAGAAAAGAAACTCCGAACCCTTTTGGGAGAAAAAAAATTAATGCCCTTATGGATTTGGCGATGCAAACATTTGCTAGTAGCTTTAGCTTCATAGGCTCTCGCACATACTGAGCCTATATAATAGTATCATGGCCATGAAAAATAGAGCCAATCCGCTCAAATACTAGTGTCGTGCCCTTTTGATTTGCACATAGTGATTTCTTGTAACTTTGACATATGGCAGCTAACGAAAACAAGTGTCATTTTTATTCGTTCATTATGACTTCATCAGTATCCCTAGTTGAGTGTCCAGGAGGACAATTAGCATTTTTAACCGCCCATCTCCGGTGTTTTCTTTTAGCTTTTGCTACACCTTACTATGCAGTATTTTCGGTACATTACTGGAGAATTTACGACGTACTTGAAATGCGAAATAGCCACTCTCCAAAACAGTGTAAATGAAAAGCTCCCATATAGGCTTTAGGCTTATAGATGAGCACCAAGAGCTCCGGCTTACAGGCAGAGATTCGGTGTTTTATCACTCTCTCTACAAGATGTCATCTCAGAAGTCACGAATTTAGACTAATACGACAATGATCAAATCCTTGCGTTTCCATTGTGTCCTGTCGTTATAAGACGGTATATGCTTGCTTAAATGCTCCTTTTGTGATAGATGTCGCCTTAACCATTTCCCAAACGTAAATCATTTCCTTCCATTTGCCTACCAAGTATCCCAATTGATTTTTCAATCAATATGTAAAATTATCATTCCAAATAGTGGCTTCCACGCGAATTGCTCTTAACGTGAGCTCAAATCTCCTCTTCCGGGTTGGGCAGGCTGTCCATTCCGTCATTAACGGTGCTGAAATGCAGAGAGGAAAAGAGACAGCTTAGATGAATACTTACGAAGCAAACGATCTGGCGCGCTTAGAGGCACGAATAGATGGGCTGTATATCTCATCGTCCTCGGCAGCCTGCTCAAGCTTGAGCTTGACGTCCATGTCGTCGTCCTCGTCGACGTCCTTCTTGGCTGGGGTGCGGCGCTTCCGAGGAGTGGCTGCCGCCTTGCGTGGAGTGGCAGAAGCCTTGGAGGTTCCAGCGGCCGGATCAGCTGCGGTGAGGATGCCGGTGGTGTCACGGTTTTTGCGGAGCTTTTGGACGTGTTGACTAGACAAAACAGAGACACGAGACGTTAGCAGGCGGAGTTTTTGTATTTCGTTTCAAGCAGCAGAGTTGAACTGTAAGCTTTGTTGAACAAGATGAAGGGGGTTCAAAAAAAAAAAAAAAAAAAAAAAAAAAAAAAAAAAAAAAAAAAAAAAAAAAAGAGTGTTTGTGTGTACTTTATGGCATCGTAGCTGTAGGTGTATCCGCGTTCTTGCATCCGTCTGGTGACTTCAGTCAAGAAGGCCTTGCCGCCTTTGATCTCATCAATGACACACAAGAGAAGTGCTTCGTGAGCGGCGGCATCCCAGCCGCGAGTGGGCTTGTTGCCCGAGGGCGTGGCATCTGTGGCCTTGGATGCGACCATTGCAACTTGGATGGCAGAATGAGTTTTGATTGATGAAGAGAGAAAATTGCTGAAGAACTGGACGAAGGTGAATGATGGGAAACTGAGTGTGCGAAAGAGGAGAGACGTGCGTGAAAGGATGGAAGAGGGTGGTGCATATGTAAGGGATGGAGCAGTGCAAGATCAGATAGGGGTGAATGCAGTGCGGAAAATGGGCGAGCAGCTCTGCCGGTTTTCTTTTTTCTTTTCTTTTTTTCTCTGCCCAGCTGGCAGGGTGAAGCACAGGTGGCAGCGGTGTTGAATGCAGACTGCAAACCGATCCTTGTTGTCAAGGTGAAATGCCATTGGCCCAAAAAACATACCGAAGCGCGCTCTCGGTAAAAGTGTAGCCCATCTCGCTGAGGTCAGCCATGACTTTGGTCCATTGCTCTGAAGAGAGGCTCAGGTTGTAGAACATGGCGATGAGGATGTCCTCGTGGACCTGGGGGCTCCATTTCATCAATTGACGCGAGGAAGACATGGCGGGTGATGTTTGGACGTGGAAGGAATCTCTTGAAATTGAGTCAAGATGTAAAGAGGAGATGTCGTGTTTTTATGTTTACAAGTGTGACAACTGAGGGATTGAGGAATGAGGAAATATTAGAAAATGCAAAGAAGGAAAAAGTGATGAAAGAAAGAGATGTAGTGAATTGAGAGTGAGAAACTTATACAAAGCATGCTTATATGCCGTTTCTCGCCGCTTGCACATGACTTGGGGTGTTGCGAATGCATGTAAGCGGTGAGGACTGTTGCAGTTCGCGAGAGAACCGCAATTATATGACGGTGTGAAAAGCAAGAGATGGAGTAAAAAGAAAAAAAAATGATACAGCAGGCAAAAAAAAAAAAAAAAACCACCAATACGGAAAACGTCCTTCTCTTACCGGATGGCGCTCCACGAGGTATCGTGGCTTCGAGAAGTAAGAAACTCCACAATGGCATTGTTGACCTGCGGATTGAAGCTGTTGGTATGGCAGCCCACTTGGTAGAAGGCGACAAGCAGGTCGTTGAGGAAGTCGACATTGTCCCAAGATTTCGGGGTCAAGTCCGAAGTCGAGGCGGAAGCGGCTTTGCGAGGCATGATGGATGTGTGGATATTTGATTGTTATTTTCCGATTCTTTTGGTTTTGAAGTTTGAAGATGGCGAGTTTCCGATGGCTTTGTTGATGCATGTAGGTAGTTGGAGGCAGATTGGCGGTGTAAGGGTGCAGACAGTATTAAGGCGGATGTCAGGACCTGAGCAGAAGAGTGAATTGGGCTTCAAAAGAAACTCACATGGCCCTCTTATTTATTAGCAAAATATAGGCATATGCTGCCAGCCGACTGAAGGATAGTATAGAGCGAAAGGGGCGTGCATAAAGTATACGAGAGTATAATTACAACTACGGGCACACAGAGGACGTGGTAGCATGGATATTTATCTTTAGACTTCCTCAATCCAATTTCCGCTTCATCTCTCAACTAGGTGCTGTGTTGCTTAATCTCCTGTAGCCGTCTTCTGCAAATCCATCTCGAGCCTCCATTCCATGCAGCTAGTTCTTTCAATCGTTGTTATTGGTACCTATGCATCAATACCTGAGCCAATATGATTCCAGAAGACAAAACAATAGATAGCCTCTGTTCCCCCTCAAACAGCAAGGTATAGCAGATGGGCACCTGAGAAAGGCTCCCAAAGATAAGACCCAGCCTTAAAAGCTTTAGAAAGGGTCCTCGCCATGCTCAGCCTTGAAGTTGGTGCCGCCGTCTTCTTCTCCCTTGGGGAAGGGCGATTCAACAGCAGTGGTGGTGTCATCTCCAGTCTCTGCGTCAAGTGCGGCGGCTTCATCGTCCTCCTTCTTGGCACGGCCGCCACGGCCTCTGCCTTTGGCTCCAGCACGGCCGGCCGGCGTCTTGCGGACCTTGCTGGGAGTCGAGGCGCTGGTGGTGGAAGCGTTGCCTTTCTTTGGAGTGACGTTTGAGTCGATGCCGAGCTTGCGCTTGACTTGTCCAAAGCGAACCTATAGCAAAGAAACGAAAAGGAAAAGAAGTCAAAGTCAGTTAAAGAAAAAAAAAAAGAAAAAAAAGATAAAAGATAAAAGAATTGGTATATATTTCTTGAACCGTTGGAAACGAACCTTGGCAACTTCAGCATTCTTGAAGTTTTGCTCCTGTGCGACGGCCTCCCAGTCAATGTCCGCCTTGTTTCGAGTATGCTTGACAATGGCAAAGAAGAACATGGCCTCAGAGGCTGTGGGCTCTCGTCTCTTGCTTGGGGTTTCGTCGGCCATGGCTTGTCCTTTTGCTCTTCTGACGACGAAAGGAGGATTTGAGGATAGACTTGTTGCGAACGAGTGTTAGTAATTGGACAAGGAAAGCATTAATGCAACACATGTAAGAATCAGAAATATCAATGGTGGTCCATGTGTGTATTTAAGATGGAATGACTGAAAGCCTTTGCTTACTTGGTAATATGTTGGCAAGCAGAAAGTGAAAATTTGCTCGAGTTGTGTGGTGTGAAAACACTTGGATGTGTTTGCGTTGAGGTTGAGAGAACAAAAGAGAGAGAAATGGGAAAAGAGCAGGAAATTTATATCGGGGTTGATAGCTGTCATAAGAAATCTTTTTATTTCTAGAGATTGAAAAAATGATGTGCTCCAGCTCGCAATGCCAGCTGTTACAGCTGGTCATACATTTCGTGTGAGCAACAGCCGGTAGCTTTTGCACTTGGCTGCATAGCGGATAACGCAGCAATTCGTAGAACAATAGGATGATCTTTTAACAATTGGACTTGACAGAATTGAAATGGCCTCAAGGAGTGCAGCCACCTTTATATCCGTTGGGAATATACCGTGGCTTATTCAAGAGCCGATCAAAGATATACGAGGAAGAAACACGCATCCAGTATGCCACAGAGTGAGAATGCATGTACTCGTTGAAATAGTCGTGCCTTGCTTCATAAAATAACCATTTACTCCAACTAAAGTATCACAGAAGCAGGCAAATTGTGTTCAGCGCTCAATAGTCGGCCTTCAATTGGGTACTAGTATGCCATGCCAGAACCTAGATGGCTGAAAAAAAAAATAAAAATAAAAAATAAAGAGGACGGATATCTTGATCCCTTCTGTCCTCGCTAATTATACACATGCTATTATAAGCCCTTATAGTAATTTTCAAGTCTTCCAAATTCCTAACCGATCCGTTCTTCTCTCCGTAGAGAGGAATGGGGATATTGACCCAAACCCAATTGGCCACCCGCCGTGGCTAGTATCATCAAATCATAAAAGCAAGTTTAACCGCGCTCCGTACTTCCTTGGGATTATTTTTTTGGGGTCGAATTTTCTTTTTTTCGTATTCGTAACACATCGCTTTAAAACAAAATCAAGGGAAATCAGTTTAAAAGTGTCGGTCATCCCAGTCACCGAGAGGCTGGGAACCACTAGATTGGGATACACCCTGGCTGTTGACATCTGTGGCAAATCGGTTCAAGTCAAAGGCAACATCGAAAGAGTGATCATGACCGGCATGGTTCATGAAATCGGAGTTGCCGTCCAGGGGAGGAAACATCAGACCATTCGTAGGGTGAAGGTCTTGGAGGACAGAAGGAGAGATGGACAGTCCTTGAGCCATGTCATCGCTACACGGCGTGAGAAAGCGGCCGCTGAAATCATCGCCGTCTTGGAGGTAGGGGGATGCATCGTCCATATAGGGAGATGTCAGTGATGCTAGAGACTCTGGAGAAAACTACAACGGGTGGTTAGTCGCATTTGACGAATGTTGTGTTTTACAGCCACTCTTACCAGAGGATACGAAGAGATGCTTGACGAGCCGGGTTCTGGCTTGATGGGCGTTTCCTTCTTGGACTGTGTCTCCTTCTTCGACTTGGAGATTCGGGTCTTGTCTGATGGCCTGCCTCTCTTTGTCGGTTTGTGGCCTGTGATTGTGGATCGAAAGCGGGAGAAGCGCATTCTGGCAGCGTGGCCATTGGCGATGGGCTCTATCAGGACGGGATCGGCGGCAACTTGGCTCCAATCAATCTAGAAGAGAAGACGAGTTAAAACCTTGATCAGATGTAGGCCGAAGAGATGCTAAACCTACGTCTCTGAGGTTCTTTTGCTTTAGGATGGCGAACAAGAAGCGGGCCATGGCATTGTCGCTGTTAGGAGACATGATGACAAGCTTGTTGCGGAATGTGTTGTTGGTGTTGAGAGAATTAAGGCGAGTTGCAGGATTATAATCGACGACCCGACAGATGCGGTTCGAAGCAGAAGATGTAGCTATAGAAGTTGAATATAGAACAGTGCCGAGCTGCCTGGCGGCTATTACTGCTTCCCAGACTGAGCAACGCGGCGATGGATTCGTGAGTTACAGGTAAAACAAGAGAGATGGTGAAGAAGAAATGGATATATCGTCGGACGCAAGAAGTCGGACGACCAAATTATAAGCTATTGATCTATCGAGAGAAGAGTAGGGTAGAGGCGGAGAAGAAGGAGATTCGAAGCCGCGTGAACGATGTGCAGATCGAGAACCGGGGTGAGGTAGAAGTGAAGGTCAACCTTTGGACTCTTCTTATTGATAGCCGAGAAACAATACTGTCCTCAAGGCACAATGAAGACGATGAATGGACGAGCAAGGCTTCCGACTATACACTCACGGGTTGGGAACTAGAAGAGAGAGAGAACGCGGCCAGGAACCAGGACGACGGCCGTCTCTTATAAACGGCCTCAGCTAGCGGCAAAAAGCAAGATAGAGTCAGCTGCAAGGATTCAGGAACGGCGTTCCCCAGCAAGGGCCCCTCGTTCTCCATCTGGTGTGACATTTGCTTCGCTCGTCTCGCTTTTGCTTTTTTTGCTACTTGCCGTCGGGCTGAGAAATCCGCATGCCGGATGGACGCCCCCCCAAAAAGGCCGTGTCTAAGACCAAATCAGAGATATATCTGGCCTGGGGCCTGTGGTTGCCTGGATCTGGCGCTGGGTCCGGCTTTTGGAGGGAGAGGCGGGTGGGACTGGACGGGGCTACAGCGCGTAATGTGGCAGACTATCCGCTAAACAGGGATAGAGGGGGTGCGCTGAAAGGGCCGCTGTCAGTTGGTGTGGCTCCCTGTAAGCCACTGATGGAAGTTGGCTGACTTTCTATTAAGCGATCCGACAAAGATGAAGCGGGATGCGGTGGCGACAATTGGGACAACTACCAATAGACTAATAGTTAGAAAGAGAAAGAGAGAGCTCTTAATTTATAGTGTTGCTTCCAAATATATGATCTTGATATGGTTTTTTTTTTTTATCTCGTTTCGCCATAGTGTTTAATTCGAACTGCATTGGGATTGCACAGGTTCCGAAATTGCTGCAGCAGTTGGGGTCGCATGTGCCAAGCAATCGCCTGCGTGCCAAAGCAGCCCAAATTCCAACATGACAGCCAAGTCCATCAGATCGAATCAACAATTAAAAAAAAAAAAAGAAAGAATAGAAAGAGCAAAGCAGGGGTTCCTCTTCCGGCATAGAAAATAAAAATTGAAAGTGAAACTTCCGTATGACTCATCGAGTATTTCCCAGCAAAAAGCAAACACTAATGCGTAGGCTGTAAAATTGCGCACGCAGGAGGGGGCGTTGCGATAGAGGAAGAAGCTTTTGATGAGTGAGTGCTCCACGGAGTGATGCTCATCCTTTCAGCTTTTATTGGACCAACCAAGTAGGGAGGTAGGCATTGTTGCATGACTACTATTTACCTATTAACCGAGCAGCAATCGTGATATTCAAGTCCTCATGTTGGTAATTGATTCAAGCGCAGCATCCGTCTACCTGTCCTGTCTACAACCTCGCTCGCTCCAGTTGCCTCAGTCCAGATTCACCAAAAATGCTGCGCCCTCCTGCCAGCCGTGTGCGTAGCGAATGAATTATTACAGGCCCCAACCAAACACAGCTAGGGACATCCCATTCCCATCCCATCCTCACCGACCGGTCGTTTTCATCGCCCTTGTCAGTGTTGCTCGGAGCTAGCGGGCTACCATGCGAGGAGGGGCGAACTTTTTGAGCTTCTGGAGCAACAAAATCAACCACTTTCGAGTTTCAATTTCACGACCAGAAGGCGTGAGGAAATGCGGAAAATTTGCGATATGATGAAATCGGACATTTAAAAACCATTGGTGCCACTTTCATCGGTCTCCATGGTCGCATCCAGGCCGCGCAGCCATTCTGGGCATCGTGGAGGGGATTCGGATGAGGTGCGTCGGGAGACGCGATGGGGCGCGAAATTTTTTGGGGAAGCAACGAAGGGACCCACCTGCTGCGTCGCCAGGTTTCCGCGAAAGCACGTGAGACCGCTCGGCCTGTGGGGCTGTGGATGGTGGCCAACCAGAGGCGCCAGACGTAAGACGCGAGAGGGAGGCCAACTGAGGGCTCGCCTGGTGCGATGCTCAGGGATGACGCGAACTCGTATCTTGGTATGGGATCTACTGCAGGATTAGTAACAGGCTTTTGTGCCGCTTTTTCAGATTGCCTACTGCGCTGCTGTGCTATTGACCGCGAGAGACTAGCACTCAGACTACTGCTCGCGCTCTGTTTCGATGCTGACTTCCTGCACTCTATATCTGTATAGACGCTACTCCTAACCAAATCTCTTATACTATTTCAGCCAACGACTGCTATTGCCTCCTACCAGCCAGTACCTACAGACATAATGCAGTATCGGTGATTTGATATGATATGGAATACGGGATATCCCGTCGTCCTACATTAATGTCCCTGTATCGTATCTCTTGGACCTTCCTCAAGCCACTGTTGCTCCTACACATCCGATATCCACTCTGTACCCCATACATTGTAATGACATGCTTCACTTTTTATTTGGTTCTCTAAACCAAGGCGCAGATCTCCCTGCATCGCATTAATAATGATTCTGCGTTTTGACTCACTGGCCGGGGCTCAAGCAAGTTGTGGCATTACTTTCGTCCGGCGCTTGCTCGGGGCTCTCCGTACTGCCGTCATAAGCTCTTCTTTTGGCCAGCCTCGAATCAGGCTGTTCCCCTCTATTCGCGCTAAATAGGAAAGGGAAAGGGAAAGGAAGGCGAACAGAAAGGTAACTTTGACGGGTAAACCCCGTGTCAACACCGGCTAAGTTGCAGCATCGCCGCCCCCAAGATGCTACATGCCGCCCTGAAGACCCAATGACGCCTGTAATTTCGATAATGGAAGCAGATGCTATATCACGGACTCGGATGGAGGCATAGTCTTGCATTTTTAAGCCGCATCGCAGCCTGCACTGCGCCCTGTTTCAGCGTTTGGTGGGACACACACACAGCACACATCCGCCAGCTCCCACCACTTACATGCGCGGACTAACCCTTGATCCGCGCTCCGGCCATTACATCTTCCGCGTGCACGGGCCTCTCTTCGCCTTTTGCTCCACGGCGCTCTCCAACATTCTTCTCTGCGTACATCCGTACCCCATCTCTCACTACCAATTTTGCCCTTGATTGCCCTCTGCTCTTAACAGCTTCTATCTCACCGCTGGCCACCAAGACAGTCCGGCCTAGAGCGTCGACGACCCACCGCCATCCGGTACTTGCTTGTTTACTTTTTTTGGTGTTGTTTGTTTTTTTGCTTGATGCCCTCCGCTGGACGATAATATCTTTTCGATACTATGAACAAGAACTGGAATGACAGGGCAGATAAAGATCTGTTCTTCACCATCCTATCCGTCAAAAACATAGGCGTTATAAGCGGAGCAGAATGGACCACCATCGGTAACCATATGCGCGGCCTAGGCTATGGCTTTACGAATGAAGGATGTCGGTAGGTACCTCTTATAATAATATATCAGCCTGTCCATCATCCAATTCCACTGATCTCAGCCTCGTCCATCTCAATTGATTACATGAGGTCGCCGTCGCGTGGGCCTTGGCGTGGCGAATGTTTACCACACCATGAATGGATGCTATTTAGCCCGTCGTCTATCGGTATTAGACCTAAGATGAATTGCTTCCATTTGTACCTTGCACCTTATGCCTTCTCCTCTGCCTTACCTACCCATCCCTAATGCGATCACACGCCATCTAGCATACCCATCTGCTTGCACCAATGATGCTCAACTCCCATCGCGTATATGTCTCTTTCATACCCCTAAGACTTCAGAGTAATGAGCCTCGTCTGTGTATACATCTTCTATCTCTTCACTTACACCAATTCCATGATAAGCGTCATCACTGACTCCACATAACTGCTTCTTTGGTCTTACAGTAGCTAACAACAACGCAGACAGCACTTTCAGGGGCTGAGGAGAGCCCAAAACAAGAATGAAACAGATGGTTCTCACTCTGATAGCGCTAGGCGCGCAGATCCAACTCTGAATCCTATTACGAGAAGACCCGGCCCAGGTCGTGGCCGGCCTCGCAAGTCACAGGCTTCAGAAGCAGCTCAGCCCGGCACAAGTGATGCTGCTGATGCCGTTGCCTCCCCCACTGCTGTTCCTGCTAGTGTTCCCACCACCCTTTCTCCTACTGCCCCTACGATGCTTCCCGGGGCTATGGTCCCTGGCAATATGGTACCTAATAACTCCATGCCTGGCCAAGGACCAGGGATGGCTTCTCATGCTATGCCTATCCAACAGCATCAGCATCCACAACTTCAGCCCCAACACCCACATCAACACCAGTTTCAGCATCAGCAATTTCAGCAACAATTACAACATCAGTCTCAGATTCCACCGCAGCTCAAAGCGGAGATTCCTGAAGGCGGCGATATTTCTGCTCAAAACTCAAACCATATTGATTCCAGTCATCTAGCCGAGTCTGAGGCTGACTCAGCGACTTCTCAAGACCAACTTCAGCTAGATCCTGTACAGAGTGGCGATGAAGACACAGACGAACATCCTGCCAAGCGCCAGAGACTAGATCCTCATGACCTAACCCAAGATTCAGCTCTCGATGACGAGGCCGTTTTAGCTCTGGCTGCGCATAACGGCACAGATGCGACAGACCCATATCCAACAGAGTAAGTCTTGCTAATCTGTTGCATGTCTAATATCAATACTAATAAAGAGATCAGTTTTGGATACAGAGAAGCATAGTTTGTTCTTGGAGCTAGAGATCGGAATAAATCCTCCGCATGATGTTTCGAACATGTGAAGGGCAGCATGTTTGCTAAACTTGAGCGCGTTCAAGCGAGCTGATTTTACGTCTGTTACCTTTTGTTCGGGCTATATCTCATTTCTTGGAGACACTGCCGATATTACGCCTTGTGTTTTGCAGTGTCTTAATGCAAGAACACTAGGCCTCCATTCCTTTTTCTTCCCCTTTTTTTCGGTTTGGCATATAATTTTAGCGCTTCTTGAAGGATTGATGATCATATGATTTACAGCTATGACCTTGGGCAATGCCACAAAGGATATAGTATGGCGCAGACGGCATGGCATGCTGTCAGGAGTGCAGCAGGTATATTATTAGAGCTTGGAGGAAATTTTGCTGGCAAGTAGATTAGGAGCTCACAATTGGGATATCTTTTATCACTTGCAGGCTACCAGTCTTGTAGTCATCTCCTCGTAGAACTGTCTGCTTTGTTTGCTTCAGTGACTATCATACCCCACACTCTATTGTGTGCAAGTGATCCCGCCACGCTATGGCAGCTGGCAGCTGGCAGCCGGCCGAGGAGCCACTCACTTTGACTACCCTAAGGCTTCACTTTGACTCTGGCTCTGGGCCAAAGTGATATGGTGCCCAGGGATTAACGTCGTGTTGCAAGTGGATTCTTCTATTTCTTTCGCAGTCATAGCCTCCCTCTGCTTATGAATTGCATCTCCATTCCATCACCCACAGCTCTCCCATCACAGCCCGTCTCTATCTACCAAGACATCCACCAGCTCAGTGGATTTTAATCCAGCCCTATTGCTGCTTAATACGACGCTATCTACCTACCTGGAACAAAACTACATTGAAGCAAGTTTTCATCTTCCTCGCCACACCGTTTGATGCCATCTAACCATCAGCTCCAGACCGCCATTCACCCACTATGCCTCCCAAGAAAGCAAACACCTCCGACACCACCTCTGTCAACGGCCTCAGCGAGAACGAACTCCGCTTCATCAAGGCCGTCTTCGACAACATGACCCAAAAGCCCGACGCTGACTGGGATAAAGTCGCCGGTGACCTGGGTCTCAAGGACGCCAAGTGTGCCAAGGAGCGCTTCCGCCAGATGTCTGTCCGTCACGGCTGGCGCCCCAACGCCCAAGCCGGTCTGGGCAGCAGCCCCAGCAAAGGGAAGAATAGCAACGATGTCACGGGCCCCTCTGGTGATGGCAAAGTGACCAAGAAGCTGAGAGTGAGAACCCCAAAGAAGATGGTGGCTAAGAAGGAGGAGAGCTCGGGTTCGGATGTGAAGAAGAGCGAGGATGAGGATACTAAGCCGGATGTGGGACTAAAGGATGAGGAAGATGATGGTCCTTTTTGAAGACTTTGAGGAGAAACTGGTTGTTGTTGCTGTTGGTATTACTACTGCCATCTAAGGAACAATTTGAGCTGGGAAGGTACTGAATACGCTGATATATTGAAGCTGGATCGGATAAGACACCGTTCATCTACGCATTTAAACTCATGACGTTTTAGCCACACTATTATATTTTCTGGTTCATTCACCTGATCGCTCTCTAGAAGATATGTGACTGATATCAAATATTGAGTTAACGAACACCAACTAGCCCAGCATAAACCCCCTGATCCATGATAGCACTTTTCTCATCTTAATTGGATGAATAGGCTGAGTATAAACGAAGATATCCTCTGCCACTGTCACAAAATGTTAATTCCAGACGGTTGTCTAGATACGGCATAGCAAACGAGTACAGCTGGCGAGAGTAGAGCGTCAGTCATCCATCCGCAGACTTGACACTCTGCCACCAAGTGTCAAAGACTGCGAGATTGGTTGCCACGGTCACAAGGTCAATTCACCTTTGTTATTACTTTTCCTTTTCAGCTTTCAAAAAAATTCCAAAATCCAAACGCGTCATCTCTTAATTTCGCATAGTGAGAAGTCGGTGTGCAGTGGACAATCTGCGTCGCATCATCATCTCTCTCTTCTTCTTTGCACACGCACTTTCAGTCCTAAACGCCTTTAGCTACAGCATTTGAACGTTCCTTGGTAATTGCAATTCCAATGTTTTCTTTGTTTCAATTTTTTTTATCGCCACTTCATCAACCCAGCTCTCTGTCTAACCCCAGCATCGTGTGCCTGCTCGTCTTCACCGGCTCTCCTGAGCGAAAAGTGAAGCGGTCAAGTGTTCCAACAGCCACTTCACTTTCACTGCCGCATCTCCTACGCACACATTTCCTTGTCTTGGAATTTATTGTCTTTGCTTGGACAGTGACAAGCCTGCGCTGAAATTGCCTGAGGCGCCCACTTCACCTATCTCTCTTCCGTCCAAGACTTTCTCCCCCCATTCCCTCTCTTTTGTCCCATCTCCCTCTCTGAGCTCCAAAATCATCGTCCACACACTTGCTCACTTTCAGTTTCCAAAAGATCAAATCTTGACAATTTACTCTTGTATGCTTCTAACTCTTGTTCATCTCTCATCTCATTCCTCTACAAATTCACCTCTGTCTCGGCGACGGCACCCATTAGCTACTCATGCCATCTGTTCTTCACTGCCAACCTACCCATCATCGTCCTCCTCACAACCATTTCATCTCGAATATTATTTTCAATCTCTAATATTCTTTCACAGTTTCAAACAAATTATCGCGCTTATCACCATGTCTAAGCAAGATCCCGCTGAGCAAGTCCGCTTCCTTGTGTCCTGCATTGGTCACACCACCAACGGAAGAGTAAGTGAAGAAGCAAACCCTTACTATATCTTCTTGAACAAGTTTTTTTAACCCAATACTATAGCCCGACTTCAATCTCGTCGCTGAAGAGCTTGGAATTGTTTCCAAGGCTGCTGCGTAGGCTGTCCTGATCCTAACTTTGCGATTGTAACTAACAACTCGCCGTTGCTTCTAAGCAGTCAGAAGAGATATGAGCGAATGCTCAAGGCAAATGGAGTGAATTCTTCCAAGCCTGCAGCTAAATCCAGCACTGGAGATGGCAAGACGCCGACTACCCCAGTCAAACGCAAGCCAGCTGGAGCATCTGGAGGCAGCGCCAAAAAGAAGACTAGAGCTACTAAGAAGGAAGAAAGTGACGATGATACCAAAGACCCAAAGTTGGTCTCCAAGCCCACCAAGGGCGTGAAGAAAGAGCCCAAGGAAGAGCCCAAGGACGAATACGACTCCCCTCTCTCTGGTATATTGACTTTCTTTTAGTTATGCTTTCCGGATAATGGGCTAACACTTTGAATGTAGATGTTCCCGACACTGGCGCGGACTCTGACGCTGGCACAAGTTTTGATTCGGCCTAGACTTGTTGCGTCTGCACTCTCCCGCTGCACATCAAGCCACTGATTAACATTGTAATGCAATGTTTACTTTATCCCTTGGAGTAGATTGAGTAGCTCTTGCGGTTTGGAAACGTATCTGGGCTAGTTGGAGAAACGAAAAGGCCCCAAGTATTGAGGGATGATATGACGCAGGATATTACCTGAACATTTGGTTTGGTGTGGATTTATCTAGTGAAGAACTACTAAGTCATTGCAATTGAAAACGGTTTACTGAAAGCGTCGTCATTGGATGTGAATGCCGTGAGCAAGAAGATACGTTTAATTTATAAATACATCTCCCCTGATACAAAGCCAAAAAACCAAATCAAATCGTAGCAGTAATATTGTGATCTTCTCTCGCCTATCTCGATTTGTAGAGGCAATAGTCCTATCTACAGTTCTATCTACAGTTCTATCTACAGTTGGATAGCATAGCTCCTATCGCCCGAATTCTGCAGCCGTGTTCAGTCCTATATCGCTATCTGATTCCATACGCTGCTAGCTCGTCAAGACAAACCGTGATTCACTGTTTGCCGAGACCGCCAGTCTGACAAACGCACCCGACCGCAACACGTCTGTTCAACTCTTTGTTGTACTTGTAACACCTGAATTGACCACAATTTGCAGCTGCCGACGGCTGGCCTCGAGTCGCGTACTTGTGCACCCGAGACGAAGAAAGGGGAGAGGCCCCACAAACAAAATGCAACACTCGTTGAATAGAAGCGGCAGGCTATTGTCGCTAAAGATATGATATTGAAGACAATATGCGAGAAAGATATCATCGCTACAATAGACAATGGTATTGTTTATTGGTGACATCATTATCTTTGCTGATACTCTGAACTACGCTCCTCCTCCATTCCATCCAGTGCCTCTCTACATCACCAAAGTCCAACTCACCAGTTGATAGAGAATCGGCAATTATCACGTATCCCATCTCCGTACGAATCGCCTCTGAGCTTGCTTCCACTAAGGTTGTCACATCTGAAGTACTCCTAGAGAGCTTCTTGTTACCATGTCTCATCCATCTCCTCAGCTTGGAATGGCTTCCATTTCCAAGGAAGATGGCAAAGCCCAATTTCCCAACAACGAAGCCGGTGCATATTCGACGGCTTACATGCAAAAGATGAATCCTCTCTTCACAGGTCTCATTACTCCTCCTGAATCTCCGGTGCGATCTGTTCAAAGTTCTTCAGACGATACCACAGCTCAATCTTCTGCTCCTTCAATCTCGGATGCAAATCCAAGCTCCTTTTCCGCAAGTAAAGCTCAAAATGCTTTAGATGCGCTCTTTGCCGCTATTCAAGACACCAAGGCGGAAACCGTTGAACCGAATGGTGCCATCTTCTCCAACATGGCCTTAGACTCAGAACCAGCTTCCGCTTCTACGACATCCATCGACTTCAACAATGCCAGTGAGATCATATACTCCATCATTGAACAAGGGGTAGAGGAGAAGATGACTGAGGCAGTCGGTCATCTGCTCTTAAATACAAATCAACTGGAGAAGTCTCTGGCATCGTTTCATCGCGAGAACATCGACATACGGGATCAAAATGACACATTGAGCCGCCAAATTGACCTGCACTATCGCACCATTGAACAAAATATGGAAGAGTTCAAGACACAATCCAAGACCATGAACACCATGATCGGAGCTCAAGCCGATAATCTCGCCGCAACCATTACCATGGTCAGCCACCTCTCTCAAGTAGTCGCGAATCTCCCCATGGCTATCAACCAAGTAGTCTACACTGCAATTCAGCAACAGGCTCAGCTAGCTATTCGCGACATCATGTTTGCTCAGCAACAGGCCATGTTCTCTGTCTCTGATATTTCTGGCACCAGACGGTCTGTCTCTAGCGATGGAAGCTCTAGCCAGTGCACTTGTCATCGTGGCTTAGAAATCGAGTCTATGTCATCAATGCAGCATATCAATAGCTCCTCTAACAGCACTTCTTCGAATACCAGTCGAGGCTTACGATACAGCTTGAAGAAGCTGTTCAAGTCTAGCAAGTAGACACGGCTGTCGGAATGGGCTCAATTGTAGAAGCTATGGTATGATCGATGGACATCAGGTTTCAAATGGGTAGTGGGATATTATTTATTGGGATATGGCGCAAAGGGGTTTATTTTGGCAGATATCATGTTCTCGTGTAAATACCCCCATGTCTGCAACTCAATCTAGCTTGCGTGCGATCTCTACTCCTGCTAGCAGCTTTAATGAGAATAAGTCTTCACATTGCCAGTCCCACAATGACACCAATCTGCAGCTAACAATGCATCAGTGGAGAATTCAGTGTATTGAGGCTGTCTCGTTGCCCATTCATCGGCCAATTGCGCTGCCACTTGCTGGGGCAAGCCGTCACTTCCAGTTGATATCGCGCCTCGTTGACACTGCCAGCTGCCAGACAGACACACAATTCCACCCAGACGGAGGGCAAAACTTTTGAAAATGAAAAAAATTTTGAGTTCTATTTTGGGAAACACTTTTCAGGTTTGTGTCTTTTCCCTCTTCTCGTCCCTCGCCTCTTCTTTTTTTCTCTCTTCATCATCTTCATCTCCAGCTACGAACTACAGCCTCGCCACCAATTGCAGCTAATTTCTCGCTCAAACAACACAAACAACAATTCAATTGAGTGTAAGTAACCTATTTTCATCTTCTATAGCTTTTTTTTTATCATAATTTTGCTGCCTTACACAGCAATTAAGCCCTTGGAAGCAGAATTTCCCAGCCTCCTTTTTTCAACGCCTTCGAATTACTCAATTTCAGCACATCTTCAACACTTCAGACATGCTCAATCAGCTCTAACAATTGCTTTTCATTGTGAACAGATCTCAATTCTCTTCAAATTTGACTCTGCATTGCAACAATGGGTACTCCAGCCAAAAAGACTCCTTCCAAGGGACGCACCGCTGCTCACGACCGTCGATCTCCTTCCAAGGCATTGAAACTCGAGCAGAATGCCCTGCCTGAGAAAATCAAGACTCCGAACTCTGTTCCGCGGGATACCACTTATTCCCACAATCTTCCTACTGATGAGCAGAAGAAAGGTAATGGACGAGTTACTGGACGCAGCCTGATTATGTGGAACCGTAAGTGAAGATTCAATTGATAGGATCCCAATTCCCTTTACCAACGTACATATTCTAGTTACTAACTCTTCCAAAGGACCTCGCATGGCAGAGAAGCTCATTCTCCACCTTCACTACGAATGTGTCCGCCACAAGGTTAACATTCCTTGGGATGCCATTGCTCATCGCCTCCGTCCTGGTTCATCAGGTGCGGCGGTCTTGCAGCACGTCAATCGCCTCCGCAAGGAGCTTCTTGCTGAGGGACACATGGTCCCTCCCCCAGCCCAGAAAGCATCTCCTCTTACTCCCTTTGATCCTAGCATCAGAGGGTATGTTCGTGATTCCTCTGGGGATAATAAACATGCCACTCGAGCTGTAGGTTTTGATGAAAAGCTGGATGATGCTAAGATCAATCTTCCTGATGCTCTTGATGCATTGGAAGAAGTTGACGAAGATGAGTCTGCTCACTTGTCATTTTCTACTCTTGAGGACGATATACAGGTCCCGGTTACACCAACTCCTGTCCGACATGCAGCTCCACGTCGCCCCATGTCTGCTCCTCACTACAGCATGAATGCACAGGGCTTCCAACTCGGAGCTGGAGAAGACGCCCAGCAATTTAATTTTGCCCCTCCCAATTTCACGCTCAAGGGTACTGAGGTGAGTTCCATCTCCGTTAAAAACCATTAACTGATACTCTATACTAACAAGGAAAAGGGAATACAGCCTCTGAGCACCAAGAATCTTTCCCCCATTGACAAGCAGACTCAGCAAAACATGAGTGGAAGCAATCTCTTTGATCCTTTTACGGGAAATTTCTCTTATCCTCCCGTTAGACCTAGCCATGGACAGATCAGCCCTGGCGGACACGTGCTTCGCGATGGCTGCCAGCAGCCCTTTTTCATGGGAAATCCCTTTTATGGCCATTACGCAGGTTACTATGGTATGGGCCACCCAGGCTTTATGCCAATTCCTCCCTACAATTTCACTCTGCCTTCTCCTCCCGCTCCAGCTGTCCCTGGCCAGCCCGCTGAGAAGCAATCTCCACTGAGCTCCCCCCTCGCTGTCAAAGAGAGAGAGGCCTCAGTCTCTCCTGTTTCTTCTCCTGTTGAAAGTCAAGTCCCGGCATTTCAACCAGAGACTTCGCGACCTGTGGCGGACACCCCCAAGGAACAAGAACTTGACGAGCTTGATGTGAGTACTGGCTCCTCTTCATCTACTTCCTCTTCGTCCACCTCTTCTCCCAGCGTCAAACGAGAGTTAGACTGATGGTTGAAGGCTGCTCTGGCATACAATGAAGAGCTATTTGGTCACGACGGACTGTTTGGCTGCAACGAGCTCTTTAACCATGAGGAGCCATTTAGCCACGACTTGCTTCTCGAATTCCTTAACTCGAACTAGACTATCTGCTACACTGCGGCAGCATATCATTTTGGCAGCATATGCATGCAAGGAAGCAAGATGAAACTATCTATTCAACAAAAACAACAACAACAAAACCAATTATACTGACCAGAAGTTCAAGGAAAAAGATTGTTTGCCTTTTTTTTATTCAGAGATTTATTCAATTGTCTTTTCCAATGTTTTCTTTCTTCGTTTTTTTTTTTTTTTTTTTTTTTTTTATAACTCTTGTCTTTATTTTCTTATGTCGCGCAACTGATACCCCCCTCCCCTTTGTTCAGAGAAGACAAGGGATGAGGACTGCGAGAAGCAAGCTGAGCTTTCACGAGCTTCAAGAATGGCCAAGTATGATTTTCAAAAACAAGAATTTTATTACAAAAAAAAAATCGGAAAACAGAAAAGTAACAAAAAAGAAAGGTATGGATGAGAGAGAGCTGAGTTCATGTTGGTATTCCAACCAGGTATAGGTATTTTTCTTTTGATGGCGGGGAAATTCGAGCATGGCGGGGTTCAAGACAGACCATCGAGGACAACGCTCCGTAGTCGCAAGTACATAGCAGCAAACAATTCTAGCTTTCTAATCACGGCTTCTTTTGACATGACTCTCTAACATGGCTCTCGCTGCCGGATATCAATAATAACGGCAGCTTAATCATCCAATTCGGCTTAAGGCTTCTTCCCCCCAGAGTCCACAGATTCGGCTGGAAGAGGGTAGAACAGCTCTGGCGACGCCGCTAAGCTTGTTTCGGCGCTGGCTCGGCTCAGGATCCATGTTTTACCGACGCTCCGTGACAATTTTTTTGGGGGCGTCCAAGCTGCTCTCCAATTAACTACCAGCGGTTTCCAGATCCTCTCTTCCTCCTCCAACCTGCTGTTCCTCTGAAGGCTGGCTCGTCTTGGTTCAGGCTTGTGATACCCCCGTTTCCTTGTTCTTTTTTCTTTCTTTCCCCCAATTTCAGAAATCAGCATACAAAATGCAGCGCGCATTGGCTTCTCGTGCCCGCGCCTCGGCTGTGTCCGGCGCTTATAAGTACCGATCTGGAAGCAGCCTTGGTCAGCAAGTTCGATTTGCTCACAAGGTAGGACCATGCAATTGGGATTCGAAACACTGTTCCGTGTTGCTGACTGGATGGAATAGGAGCTCAAGTTCGGTGTTGAGGCCCGCGCCTCTCTCTTGGCCGGTGCCGATACTCTTGCCAAGGCCGTTGCTACCACCCTTGGACCCAAGGGCCGAAATGTCCTGATTGAGTCCAGCTTCGGCTCTCCCAAGATCACCAAGGGTAAGAATTGAGAGAATTCCCAATCTTGGCTTTTTATTTCAAAGATGCTGTTGCTGACATACTGCTTGTTCTAGACGGTGTTACTGTCGCCAAGGCCATCGCCCTCAAGGACAAGTTTGAGAATCTCGGTGCCAAGCTGATCCAGGATGTTGCTTCCAAGACCAACGAGACTGCTGGTGACGGTACCACCAGTGCCACCGTCCTGGCTCGTGCCATCTTCTCCGAGACAGTCAAGAACGTCGCTGCCGGCTGCAACCCCATGGACCTGCGACGAGGTATCCAGGCTGCCGTTGACTCTGTTGTCGACTTCCTGCAGAAGAACACCCGCGACATCACCACCAGCGAGGAGGTTGCCCAGGTCGCCACTATCAGCGCCAACGGTGACTACCACGTCGGCAAGCTGATTGCCAACGCCATGGAGAAGGTCGGCAAGGAGGGTGTCATTACCGTCAAGGAGGGCAAGACCCTGCAGGACGAGCTCGAGGTTACCGAGGGTATGCGATTCGACCGCGGTTACGTCTCCCCCTACTTCATCACCGATACCAAGTCTGCCAAGGTTGAGTTTGAGAACCCTCTGATCCTCCTCTCTGAGAAGAAGATCTCTGCCGTCCAGGACATCATCCCCGCCCTTGAGGCCTCTACCCAGCTCCGCCGTCCTCTGGTCATCATTGCCGAGGACATTGACGGCGAGGCCCTGGCTGTCTGCATTCTGAACAAGCTCCGTGGCCAGCTCCAGGTCGCCGCCGTCAAGGCCCCTGGCTTTGGTGACAACCGCAAGTCCATCCTCGGTGATCTTGCCATCCTCACCAACGGTACCGTCTTCAGCGACGACCTTGACATCAAGCTTGAGAAGGCCACCCCCGACATGCTGGGATCTACTGGCTCCATTACCATCACCAAGGAGGACACCATCCTCCTCAACGGTGAGGGCAGCAAGGACTCCATTGCTCAGCGATGCGAGCAGATCCGCGGTGTCATTGCTGACCCCACCACCTCTGAGTACGAGAAGGAGAAGCTCCAGGAGCGTCTGGCCAAGCTGTCTGGCGGTGTTGCCGTCATCAAGGTCGGTGGCTCTTCCGAGGTTGAGGTCGGCGAGAAGAAGGACCGATTCGTCGATGCTCTGAACGCCACCCGTGCTGCCGTTGAGGAGGGTATCCTTCCCGGTGGTGGTACTGCCCTGATCAAGGCCTCTGCCCAGGCCCTGAACGACGTCAAGGCTGCCAACTTCGACCAGCAGCTCGGTATCACCATTGTCAAGAACGCCATCACCCGCCCTGCCCGCACCATCATTGAGAACGCCGGCCTCGAGGGCTCCGTCGTTGTTGGCAAGCTCACCGACGAGTTCGGCTCCGACTTCAACCGCGGTTTCGACAGCGCCAAGGGCGAGTACGTCGACATGATCCAGGCCGGTATCCTTGACCCCCTCAAGGTCGTCCGCACTGGTCTCATTGACGCCAGCGGTGTTGCCTCTCTGCTCGGTACCACTGAGGTCGCCATCGTCGAGGCCCCTGAGGAACGACCTGCTGGCCCTCCTATGGGTGGCATGGGCGGCATGGGCGGCATGGGTGGCATGATGTAAGCTGCCCCCTAGAAGACGAAGAAAAAAAAGAAAGGAATAGGAAGTGTTGTATAAAAAAAATTATTTACATGATTGGGCATGGTTTCGGTGTTATACTAGAAGGATGGTTCAAAAGGCCTACTAACCCAACTCCCCTCTCTCTATCTTTTCTCCCTATCTACCTTGTCCATCTATCTGTCTGCCTCCCTATGCTCTAAAGCATGGGGGCGCGGGTCTTACCGTTTATGTATTGTATTGTAGCGCTTCTGGCCATGTACCACTATCAACAAAAAAAGGGATAATAACGAATGAAATGTTTTGACGAGATACATTGCAGGTTTAGGCAACCAGAAAGTGAAGTGACGGCCAGGTATTCATTAGATTCGTATTATTGTGGCTACTTTACGAAATATCCCATGGCGTATGAATTGATAGCTGCGCAGCCAGAAAAGGGGAACAGGAAATCTGGTTGCCTTAAGGCAGCCATTGATGGGAAGCATAGCTTGGCGGATAAGAGCTGTTGATGCTGGTGCCTTGTATCAACGGCGACGACGTCAAGCTACTACTAATAAGACGGTTATGCTCCAGCTTCTGTCATTCTGCTATACCTACATCAGTCAATCTGAATATACTGTAGCTTCCAGCACTCAGCTCCCCAACCAACGACCGCCCACCAACAGCTACGACGTCGCAATACGCGTCTGCTTGTTTACTCGCCACTCTGCCCAGCCAACCAGATTCACCAAACGCACTGCTTAGGCACCAGCAGCATCACTTCATCCGCCGTGGCAATACGTAATTCCCCATATAAACGTCTCCAGTCTGCTGGGCCTCTCTTCTCTCTTTAATCTCCCTGCCGAGTCACGTGCAGCTCCTCCCTCCCGCCTCGAAGAAAAAAACTCCCCCACTCTGGCTTTCTGGCCCGACTGTGGACTGAAGAGCGACAAGAGGGAAGCTTTCTTCGTCCCTTTATAGCACCCCGCCTCTGTTTTCGCTACTCACCTGCGTAAGTTCCCAGAAACCATCCCGCTGTCACACACCAATTTGGCATCATCGTCGACCCCCCGTTTTCCGACGCTCGCCTTTTTCTCGGTTTTCTTTCCCCGTCTTGTTCTCTTTTTTCTCTTCTCCTTGTGTTAGTTGAATCTCCCCGTCTCCCCCATTTGCCTTCAATCTGATTGTGCCATTTCCCGCCCCTTTTTTTTACCGTCTCCTAGTTGCTCTTAGACGCTCTTTTTGGGGGGGAACTTCTAAAGAGGCGCTCGGACGAATCTCCCGCATTAAACCCCCTCATCGCTAACAGGAGAACCTTCATCAGCTCATCACCCCTCCTTTTTTTTTCTACACCGCAGCTCAACGACCAAGTCGCAAAAATGGTGAGTTTCAAGACGACGATTTCGAGAAGCTTCAAGCTTCTTTTTTACGTTTCCGTAATGCTGACCGCGCCGTCTTTCTTGTAGTCTCAATCAGGGTACGTTTCTCGCCCCTCTCCTTTTCGTCATTACTTGTCCACACCTTATCAGCTCTCCGCTTCGACTTGCCGCCCGCCACGCCGCGTTCTTCAATAATTTTACGAACGACTGCAGAAATGTGAAGCAATGCGAGAGCTCTAGCATAAAAAGAGGACCCAGAAAAAAGAAATAGAGAGAGAAATACGAAAGGAGAAGCGCTCAGCAGGACCTGGTGGAGCTAACGTCGTGTAGAGCCAAGGTTTCCCCCCAGGTCTCGGAAGAGTTCCAGAACCTGAAGCGCAGCAACGACAAGAACAGAGTGCTGCGATACATCATCTTCAAGCTGTCCGACGACTACTCCCAGATCGAGGTCGAGCACGCCGATGCCGACAGTGACTGGGAGAACTTCCGTGAGAAGCTCCTCAACGCCACCTCCAAGAGCAAGACTGTTCGTCTCACCGCCGAAAATCTCCAAAACAAGAGCTTTGCACACCAGAATAAGAGCTAACTTGGTGCAATGCTAGGGTGCTGTTGGCAAGGGACCCCGCTACGCTGTCTACGACTTTGGCTTCAAGTTTGACGGCCGAGACATGTACGTCAGCCCAATGCCTGCCCCCACTATACTGCCGCGGTTATTAACAGTGTAATACAGCAACAAGATCATTCTCATTGCCTGGTCTCCCGATGATGCCGGTGTCCACGTATGTTTACATATCTAGCTCGTCTTTCTTTTTCCACAATTAGCCTTTTCTTGCTAACATGAACGAACAGCCCAAGATGATCTACGCCGCCTCCAAGGAGGCTCTCAAGCGATCCCTCGAGGGCTTCGCTTATGAGATCCAGGCCAACGACTCTGACGACCTTGAGCACAGCTCCATCCTCAACGCCGTCCTTGCCAAGATGAACGCATAAGCGAATCACGCCCACGACAATGTAATCCAAGTGCAAAGGAGGAGAGAAGGGTGGCCACGAGAGTGAGAAGTAAAAGAAGGAGGCACCGCCGTGTACTCGTTTAGAATGGGAGTGATGCAAAGGGGGGCTGTGTTTATTCGATGGATAGGCATAGGTAATTTTTCAGATGTGCTAGCGCTACAGATGATGATTCATACCGTACCAAGGGAAAAATTGGACTCGTCTTTCGTACTGGAGGTGTGGGAATATGCACCGGTGAAGTCAGTTGCTACATGAAGGAAAATGAAAAAGTATGCTCTATTAAGAAAAAAAAAAGATGCTAAAAGATGAACCCATGTTTTTTTTTTGTACCATGCCCGTGTAATATTTAACTTGATCTGCTTGCCTCCCAGCTAGATTTGAACAAATTCGCCAGCTCTTCGCCCTTGCCTTGAGCCTTGAGCCGCTGCTGCAAGAAGCCCTTGAGATCCGCCCAGAAGGCCTCAGACTCAAGCTCCGTCTCCACCGTCGCCTCATCTGCCTGGGCCGTCGAAACAGGCACATCCTCGACCGTCTCTTCAGGAGGCGGAATAGCCGCCGCGCCACCAATCACCATGACAGAGAATTCAATCGCCCTGTCAGACTCATTTGCGCGCAGCTCCTTGAGGACCTTGCTGTCCGCGACGGGCCGCTTGTTGAGCAGCAGCTTCATCTTGTCGATGGGGATGCGCGTCTGTTCCTGCACGGCGGCCTTTACGTCGAGCACGGAGGTGCTGAGAGGGAGGGCGGGCAGGGCGATGTCGAGCGGCGGGTTGCGGAGGGACTTGAGGGAGACGGAGATGCTTGGTTCTTGGCCGGGGGCGGCGCGGGCGAGGGAGGAGGGTTTGGACATTGGCGTTGGCATGCGGGGGAGGATGTACTGCGGTTTTTTTATCAAATTAGCTTTTTCTTGAGAGATTGTTGATGTGAGTTTTTTGGACGTACGGGAGGTCGAGGCGGGAATGTCTTGGGGTCCTCGATGTGGTCTGGGGAGAGCTTGATGGGACGGGAGTCGAGCGACGTGAGGAACGTCTTTGCGAAAGCGACTTCAGCCATCGTGACGGATTATTTGATTTTTTTTATGTCGTTCTTGGTTGACAGGTGTTCGTTTCTTTATTTTAAAGAGTCTGGACTACTCGGATAGGGGGGGGAGCTGCGACGTAGTTATTGCTTTGAGAGCTGGCTGTCGATATATATTGATGTCGGTTTTCGTTTGTCGCAAAAGAAATGAGGGGTGTTGGCGGGGGGTGAGAAAACGCGGCTCTTGCTTCGGGGGTACTGGGTTCCTTCAATCGACGGTTGAGAGATGAAGACGTTGTCGTGAGAAGATAAAAGAAAGCTTGATATAACAAAAAACAAACTTGATCTATTGGTAGAAGTCTATGGAACCTGGTTCTCTAAACGGAGGCTCGTCGTTGCAGCTAAGCAAGTACAAAGGTACACGTTCGATGACACTTGAAGCTTGGAGCTTGGGAAGAGTGAATCACGTGGGGTCGGATCAAACCCCGCCACCATCGAAGCACCAGCTCAAGCAACGACCAACTCCCGAGACATAAAGGCTGCATACTATGAGACATATTCGCGTCATAACGTTATTAAACAGCCATTACACTTGAACGTTTTAAAAAGGCTATTAAAAACTGTGAAACAAGCAACAAAATATTCGCACTTTTAGAATTTACACACTAACAATTAAACCTCTCCCGACCAGCCAGCTAAATACCAGTACTGATACATAAATCCATTCTTCATAAACATATTAAGGAGAAACAAAAAGAGTTCATCCATGTTCCATTTCATAATCCGTCATTTCGTCATAAAAAACTCTACCGGCGATTTGCACACCGTGGCCGTTTTTTTCTCTATTCGCGATATTTCCCATGATAGAATATTGCCCTCCAAGTCGTAAATCGCGCCTTAGTCCGTCGTGAACCGAATACAGCTCCTTCCTCAAACGCCCCAACAAAAGAAGCAAGAAGGCAAACAGCAAAACTAGCAAAAAAAAAAAAAATAATAAGAAATAAAAACAAACAAGCAACGCTATATCCCCTTGAGCCCTTCCCTCTCCGATATATCTTCGCTGGTGGTGAAATCAGTCGTATTAAAAAACATGTAATGCAAAGCCAATAGATAGCAGCAGAACAAAAGCAGCGGCAGCGAAATAGAAGGCGAAGAAGAAATATTAAAAACAGTAATACATCCACCAAAGTGATAAGGCGAGCAAGGATTTTAGGTGAGAGCCTTTGCATAGCATCCGGTCTTACCTAGCTACGCTCGGCACCGCAAAGTCGTCAAATTGAGACACAAGCTCGCGAATAGTCCATCGCCAAGCGTCTCGGTCTCGGGGGCTGTGGTTCGTCCACTTTTCACACTTCTTCCGCCACCTCTCCTCTTCTTCACGCTGCCTTCGGATGAATTCAGGGCCGACGTCAAATTCTTCGCCCACCAGCCAGTCATCCTTAATGTCACTGGCTTGACCACCCTCTCGTTCGTCAGTGACAGTAGTGTCTTCGAGGTCCGGAATATCTTTGAAGACATCCTCTTCCTCTTCGAAACCAGTGAAGTTATCCAGGCTGTCGGTAGCCTCAGATGTTGTCATATTCTGAGGGCCAAGTTTGAGCCAGCACATGTTTTGAGGATCAAACACCATGCCACCAACCACTTGCACACCTTTAGTGCCGCTGATGTTGGTAATGAGAGCCGGCCGAGGTGCTGAGGCTTCTTTATCCCGGACCAGGTGGGGAGGAACGGAATTTGAGGATGGCGTTGAGTTCGACCCGTCAAACGCGTTGAGAGCGTTCTCGTTCCCTTCCCAGCAGTACGTCTCAGCATTATAAAACATGCCTTTGACGACTAGAAAAGAGTTGAATGTTAGTCACCAGCTTCAAATATTGAAAAGGAAAGATGTGCAAAGATACATACCTTTAGACTCCTTACCGCCGTTCAAGTTTGCGATAAGGTGAGGTTTCAGTTGCTGGGGTCGTTTCGGTCTCCTGGTTCGGGTTGTATTTTGTGCAAGATGGGGCGGCTGCTGGGTATTGCTTCTCGTCGGTGCTCGCTGAGCAGACACTGAAGCCAACGGCCCGCCGCTTGGCGTCCGATGGGCTAGAGCTGTCTCGCGAGCAATGCGGCTAGCTGCAGTGTCTCGTGCAAAGCTAGGAGTATATGCGCTTCGTATCGCCGGCCCCGGTGCCGCCTTCCACGGCGATGGCGTTTTATTTCTATCCACTTGCGAAGGAGGTTGTGATGGTGGCGGTACCTGATATGCTCTGCGTTTGTTCGGATTGCTGGCAGAAGGCTGTTTCAAAAATCGACTCTCCGTCTCCTTTGATGTCGGTAGATCGTCAAAGGCATCCAGTTCATGGCCATCACCAAAGTTCCGTTTACCCTTGGGTCGGCTTAGGCGTTCCCATGTATCAGCGGCCACTTTGTAGCGGTGTGGGCTAGGTGATCGCAGGCCTGGCCTTCCCAGTGTTCTAGAAATAGGGCGCGTTTCAATGGTGTTGTCGGAATCAAAGCGGCGGAATTGTCGCACAGTTTTGGAAGCGGCGTGCTGCGACTGCAGATGAGAAGCCCCTGCGGGAAGAAAGGGTATCGAGCTCTTCCGTTGCCCAGGGCTCCCGCTGATTGATTGTTGTCGCTCCTGTGGTGTCTTGGGTCGGGGTTGGCCAGTCTCTGTACGTGAAGAAGGTCTTTCCAGCCGTCCTGTCAACGGTTTAGCAGGAGGGTTTCGAGCTCGTGCGGCCGCGAGAGACCGCTTCTGCCTGAGCAGTTGGGCATTTGTCGTAGGTGGCTCGTTCCTAACAGAAAATGGAGGGCGGGATAATTCTGCTCTGCGAGGAGCTGGGGCAGCTGAAAAGGTAGTGGTAGTAGGAGTTGGTAGGCTAGTGATCGATAATTGATTGGAATGGCCAACACGAGATTGTGGTCGGCGAACCCGATGTGTGATTGGACCGCCACTCTCTGAGACAGGCTCAAGAGCCGTAGAATGGGATCTCTCATGGTTAAGACGTGGGATCCTCGTTTGTGGCGGCACAGGCTTGTTGCTGAATGTCAACGACACAGCCGCCTTTGGCCGAGCAGGGTTCGCCAGTCGGCTATCCTTGATCTTGATATTCCGATGCATTGTGAGTTTCCCAGAGTCAAACACATTACCATCGCCAATTTCAAGCCCCTCCATAAAGTCTTGCTGCTCCACTTCTGCGGCAGGGAATCTCTTCTTCGGGGGTGCTGCTGCTGCTGCTTCGGCAGGTGGCTCCTCCGGGATATCTTCCGGCGGTGGGTTTGTCTTGCGCAATTGCAGCCTCTCTTGAAAATTGAGATGGCCGGGAGGTAGCACCAGGCCGTCGAATGTCTCGTCTTCGCTCTCCACTGTAAACGTGCTGGAGAGACTAGGGCTCATGGCCGAGACCGACGAACTCCTAGTCGATCTTGCATCTCGCCGGGTGCCTCCATATCTAGTGCCAAGGCTGCTACCCTCGCCCCAGTCTATATCCTCTGATAGTGAAAAAGGCGCCTTGGGGATGTCTCTTCTGGCAGACAGCTTCAGTTTGCCGTCAGATGGTAGCTCCAGGTCTCTTTCAAAGTCATCGTCTAGCGGCTCCGTTGATAATTCTGGCCCAACGGGAGTTGGAGGTGTGACAAAGGGCATCAACCGAGGCGGTCGGCTCTTAGCAACTTTGATCGTGTCAAGACCGTCGCCGAAGAAGTCGTCGTCTTCATCTTCCGTGTCTCTAAACTTGTCCAGGCTGAGGGCGGCTGATAAGATGCTAGAGTTTGACATAATGGAGCTTCTTCGGCTATCTCTTGCAGACTTTGGCGTCTTCTTGGGGCTATTCTGCATCGAGCCTGCGCTGACCTTGCGCAGAGTCTCGGGGAAGTCGGCCTGAGTTCGTGGCTTCATTTGGAAGCTTTGGTGCCCTTCGGGCAGCTCTAGGTCGTTTTCCCAGTCCTCGTCAATAATGCGGCGTCCTCTCTTCCCACCCAGCCTCTTGATCGTGCCTCCAGTCAATGCAGACGACGGCACATTCTTGGGCAAGGGAATTCCAGCCCTCTCGGCGGCGGCTATGGCAGCCATGGTAGATCGCTCATCGTCGGCTGGGAGGTGGACGTGTTGTTCCTCCCCATGCAAAGAGTCCAGATCGGAGCGCAGCGAAATGTGGGACGAAGTGGAATCGCGTCGACGTGGTTGTGCATTGGTAGTGACAGCGGTACTCGTAGGCCGTAGGCTCAACTCATCGCCGTCTACAATAAAATCTTCGTCGTCCCAGTTCTCTACCTCAGCCTCCACTGGCTGTCTGGGCTTTAACCGCAGCGGCTCCATAATTTTTGTCAACTGTTCTAATGCGTCTACTGCGTACTTTGTATCGTTTGGGTTGTAATCGCGCGTTGTAAACAAAGCGGCATGCAGCGCCGCTCGGGTAGCGTGGGTAAATTGATTTTCAGTCTCTCGGATAGGTTCGTCGTGGCCGGTCGCGACATCAATTGGGCGGAGGCATAACCGTTCAACAACAACAATCCATCATTTCCCAAAATACCCAAAACCGCAGCTCGTTATGACGTGGCAGTTTGTAGACGACAGCGCGAGACCGGCTTATTCGTCCAATGCGGCCAAAAAAGGACAAGAAAAAAAACAAAGGGTCGGGGTAATGTTGTCGCCAAGGTGCGCACAAATCGTCTCGTTCTAGTGGCTGATGATGCTATCGCTCCCAAAGCGCCCGAAGCCAAGCAAGCAGAAAGGTAAAGAGAAAAAAGAATACGATGATCCGCCGCGATGCAGCTCAGCGCTTTCGACTAGTTGAGCCTTGTCGATGCTTTTTTTAGATGTGCACACGGTACGATGCAGCGAGGATGTTGATGTTGTCAGCGGCTAGTGATTGGGCGCAGCGAGTGTTGACAAGACGAAACAGAAAGGCTGGGGTCCGTTGCGGGCAGTGGCTGGTGCGCCCAAGCAGGTGCCTGTGGTCTGGCGAGGGTCAGGTCGGGGCGGGGCTGCCTGCAGAAGAGATTCCAGCGCCCACGTCTCGCAGTCCACCGAACAGGGGTTTGACGCTCCAGTGCTCTTTTCTGAGCTCGTGCAACGTGGCCTGCTACCCTGGAGCTGCAGCTGGAACACGGAGTGCGGTATCGAAGCGTGCTGTTGACTCGTGGTGCGCGAGAAGCTGAAGCTGAGCTACCTCAACGCGAGCAGAGCTTAGGGCGCGACAGCGAGGACACTCTTGCTGTTTTATACCCCCCTTTTTTCTCTTTTCCTCATCTTAATTTAACGGCTCATGCCACGTCCGTGTTGCATTTGCCTCTTTTTTGCCGTCTTCTCTTTTCGAATTTTCACCCTCAAGGATGACCCCTACACTGCTTTCGCCGTAGCGCAGCTGCTTCGCTAACCCATGAGACGCTCTCACAGCGGTGGAGTCGCTTCCGGATTCACGATCCTCATCCTAATCTCGCCGTGGTGCTGTGCATGAAATTGGTTGGAAGGCTACTCCGTATCTGTCCATCCACCCACTCTGTGCCTGAGCTCTTCGTCTCCTGATGACGCCTCACCTGCAGTGGGATTTCTGCTACCACGACAACCGCCAGAGGCCCCAGCAGCCATCCCGGCCGCGTCTCCATACTAACCCGGCGGCCTGCCAATCATGCGTGCAGGCCCCGTCAATTGTCAGATTTTGCCAAGTGGAGAGACAGATCGGACAGGGTCCTCTGGCTGGCACGTCTTGTGCATACGACAAGCCCAGGCTAGGTAATGCACATACAGCGAAGCGAGCCCGGGGCGGGAAGCACGCAGAGAGCATGGGCTGGGCGATCCTGAACTGGGCTCTTTCTTTAATTGCAAGTACTGCTGCAATACCACTTGTACGCTGGATGTTGGGATGTTGAATGTTGGCGATCAACCGCACTGAACACAAGCTCAGTCAGCGGCAGATGGGAGCTCATCTCCTCCTATTCTACTGCACTAGCACCAACATATACGAGCAGAAACACTGTAGGACTATCGCCCATTCCGCGTTAGACATTGGAGCTTAGTGCTTCATTTTGATGAGCCGCGCTCCGCAGAGACAGCAACTTAACAGGCCGCCACAGGCTAACGGGTGAGTGTCCTCTCTCTAGGCGAACGAGGCCTAGCCCCATTGGGCGGTAGTTGGGCATGATAGCGGTGCTTCCTCGCCAAAGGGCCAAAATGCCTACCTGGGCCCTGTGGACATTGCTTTAATTTCCCACGTGTGCTTCGTACCAAGAGCTCCGGAACCCCGTACAGTGTTATATACAAATATTAACAGGTACTTGGCACCATTTCTGAGAGACGGCCTGGCACGGTTCGAAACCAACAAGAAACGGTTAGGCGTGAGCGGCAATTACTACCTAATAACATCGTATTCGCGAATACGAAGGGCGCGTCGTGAATAAATTTATTCCTCTTGCTTCACAAGCATTAATACCATGTGCAAAGCTGTATAATTCGCCTAGAAGGTCGGAGTAATACCTACTAAGTAAGGCTGGATGTACTAACAGAGCTCTGGTACGCGCAGGCATGTACGTGGCGCTGAGACCAAGTCACCTCAGCCCACCTCCGCAATTTTGCAGCGACTGCCTGTAGAGCAGCCTGCGCCACACAACAGCCACCTGGGAGCTTGTACCCGTACCCGTACCTGCAGCTCAAGCTCTGCTCAGAAGCTCCAGCTCCCTAGCCCGTAGCTGCCTGCAGTGGACGCCTGCCTGCTCCACGTACGCTAAGCCGCAAGGCTGCAATACACTCCACCTGCTGAAGATTCACGAATGTTTGCTTGTAAGACATGCACTAATTTGACGTATCTCAGCAATCATCAAGCTGAGCAGGGAGGCAAACCAAAAGACTTCACGCATACCCCTTCATCCGCTTTCCATTCTTCTCATCAACACGGACGCTGAAGCATTGCTACAACATCGCCTCTCCCCTTCCGCCAAACGCTTCTCCTACCGCTCATCTAGTTCTTTATATATCCGCCCAGATCGATCTGTCTCTGCATCCTTCACGCAGCCAAATTTTGACAATCAAACAGCACACATAGTTATATCATGGCAACGACACGAGTCATCAAGCTCCCGCGGGATGATGATGAATCGGCCCATGTCCTTATTCAAGTCGTCTCAAAGGGCTCCAAACCATTGGATGTAAAGCTCGTTGGAACAGAGGGTGAAGCGCCCTATGTGGCATCTTGTACAGTCTCTCTATCCGACGATTCACCATGATAGATGTTAATCCCTAGCAGTGAAACATGATCGATTGTCTTCACTTCAAGTTCCAAATTGTCCCGTCTCCGAGTCAGAATGGCAATCAATTCTGCAATCTCTATTTGCGCTACAGCTTGTTGCAGATATTCAAGCAACAGCCAGTGTCAAGTCTGAAACCTCTTTATCTATCACAATTCGCAAGAGAGTCCAAGGCATTACTGTATGAGCCTCTTACTGAAACCTACTCGCTGGAAAAAGACGCAACTCTAACTTGTTTTCACTATAGCAACGACTCGGCTATATAGAGTTAAAGCATGATGGAGATGAGAGTATAGAGCTTTTTGACTGGTGTGCCGAATCAATCGACGCATTGGTACGGAGTAACGCGGCCTTGGCTGAAGCAGCCGCTCATGCTAAGGAGCTTGAAACCACCGTGACGGAGCTAAAGGCGCAGCTGGACGAGCTCGTCACGTCAAAACAAGAAGATGAAACAGCCCTTCTTCAGAAGTTCCGAGACCTTCTCAACGAAAAGAAAGTCAGAATCCGCGAGCAGCAAAAAGTTATTGCCGCCGGCTCGTTTCCAAATAGTCAGCCAGTATCTCAACGGGTTTCTCAAACATCAGAGCCCCAGCCATCTCGCACACCCGCCGCATCTCGGCCTAGAAAGAGAAAAGTCCAGGCTGCGGCGTCTTCCTCAAAAGAGCAACACAATGATGAAATGGAAGTGGATAAGATCAAGTCTGAGCCTGAAGATAGCGAACCAGAGAATACCCCCGAGGAATCTGCAGACGACACTGCGTCTGGCGATAGTGATGAAGATGATAATGGTGATGAAGATAATAGAAGCGCCGACAATTCTGAGGCTGGAGCTGATAATGTTTCCAAACCGGCGCTTAAAGCACCTCCCAAAAAGGCTAATGAAAACCCGCCTCCTCCAAGGAGCCTCCCTTTTGCAAAGAAAAAGGCGCCGGCCAAACCTGCTGCAACGGGGCATGAGACAGACTCTGATGATGAACTGTGAATTTGGTCGCTAGAGCAAGCTGGTGAAAGATTATATTGCAGAATAGAAGAATGTTACGTTTTTTTCATTACACGTCCCATTTTGCTGGCTCATACTGTAACCGCTGTGTTGATATACATGAGAATGATCACTCACAGTAGCAGCCCAGTTGATATATCTGCGTAGAGATGCAAAACTGATTAGGCCTTTCGCAAATATATTCACACTTCGTTACTGCTCGCTGTATTTCTGTGGCTTTATCTAGTAGATCTATTTTCTCCTATACGCCGCTCCTTTATCCCCCAACAAAGCAGCTCAGTCTAATGTCAATGGAGACGGTATGAGAAGATAATTATTTAAAAAAAAAAAAAAAAGCAAGGGCTTGTTATCTGTACCTTCATTGCCAACATCAGAAAGCCAGAATGGCCATCTATTGTTCGACTTCCACTCCATGAAAACAAAGCGCCATCTCAGACAGTAACTTTTATAACCATGTCGACAGGTTTATTCATTTTACCCGACAACCGTAGCCCGTGTGTCGATGGCAAATAAGACGTTCTGTGCCAAGATATATTCACTGTGAGACAGCTTCTTGGCTGGGCCTGAACAGACAGCCGGGTTCGAAGTCCCTCGGGGTACGATTCCTGACAGGTGAGCAATTAGTCTCATAGCTTCCCAGAACGCGCAACTTAGGCTCAGGCTGCCGTGAAAACCCGCCAATGCCAAATCCAGGGCTGAGACAGTTGGAAGTCCGGTTCGCCTCTCATGGCGTCGATGCCTTCGCCAGTATGGCTCCCTCTGTGGCTCCCTCTGTGAAAGATGGCAGTGAATCGTCGGGTGATATTGAGTATTGAGGAGTCTCTTCAGCCTTCTTGTTGATCGTTTGGAACCATCGTTCTAAGCTCGTTAAAGCCCTGGGCGATGTATTAGGCTATCTACTGGATCTTGTATGTGCTAAGCCAGTACGGTCAGATGGCTCAGCAAAAAAAGCCATGAAGCGCTCACTGTATCGGCTAGGTAGGAAAGTGTAGCTCGAATGTAACGGTTGAGAAAAACTCGGCGAATCCGATACGAATACCCAATGACAAGGGTCAAAACCTGATGGGTTTAGCTGTCCACAGCAAGGAAGAGGAACAAAAAGAGGGCGATCATAAAAAGTAGTCAGGTTTTATTCCTGCCAATGTCTAACTTTACTGGCATGTTCAAAGAGATAGGCTGCTTAATGCTCTACTATATCTTCCTCCATTTACCTTCTGTCATCAGCAGCAAATTTGTTCTTCCAAAATGATCGGTAGTGGTACTTGTCTCCTTCGGTAGAGATCTCTGCCACCTCCTCGTCTGTCAGCTTGAACTTGAGTAGTCTCTCGAGGTAGCCAGCGAGTCGTGACTCCTTGGAGCTAGTTGTGATTACTACAAGGCCTTGATCAAGGACCCATCGCAGACCGACGTCAGAGTCTGTAACGCCGTATTTCTCGGCCAGCTTGGTATAGACGGGCACTGCTGGGCCACCCTTGACTGTGGTGAGCGGTAGCAAGGGGGCGTAAGCAGCAACAGCAATGTTATGCTTCTTGTGGAACGCAACGAGGTCGCCGTGTTGGAGATAAGGATGGTACTCGATCTGGTTAATCGCAGGCACTACCTTGGCCGTCTTAAGAATGGCCTCGAGATGCTCCTGGAGGAAATTGGAAACTCCAATGGACTTGGCTCGACCAGAAGCCTTGATGGCCTCCAGATCAGCCCACCTCTGCTGCAATTCTTCGTCGTTGTCAGCGAAGAAAGGACCATGGATCAAATAAAGATCAACATAATCTAGGCCGAGCTTCTTAAGCGAGAGAGAGAAGGCCTCTTCGGTATTCTTCTTGTCTGTAGCGCTAATCTTGGTGGTGATGAAGAGCTGCTCTCGAGGAACTCCCGATGCTTTGATGGCAGCACCGAACTCCTCTTCATTCCCATATACTGTTTACGAAGATTTTGTGGTTAGAAATACTTCACTTGCATTGAATTTTGATTTTTCGTCCTTAACATACCCTCAGCACCGTCAAGATGGCGGTAGCCAATATCAATTGCTTTTTTGGTGACTTCAATCAGCTCAGTGTCTAGAGGCCCCTCAACGCGCTTGAAGTTGGCAGTTCCGAGACCATATCCGAGCTGCCAGCCTGGTCAGTATCGGGTTGACTCGATTGTGGTAAGATTTCGAGTCGAGTAGGAGAAGCGGGAGGATAGAAACACACTGCAGGAATCTCGTTGCCATCATTGAGCTTGATAACCGGTGGGAAGGACATGGTGGCGGCTGAAGAGTGAAACTGTCTCTGGACAAAGCGGGCTGTTTGTCGAGGAGATGTTGAGATTGAACTGGGCGAGGGGACTGTTAAAGGGAAGTTTGAAGGCGGACGTTCTTGACTCACCAGGCATTGCGGCTGTTGCGGCAGGACCTTCCGATATTTATAAGTGGAGGTCCAAGGCAAGTCAAGACCTTTTGGCGCATGGTGGTGCGCAACTACCCCACCGATGATGGATGGAGTTGTAGTGTAGAGGGAGCGGGCGGGCGCTATGTATGGTGTATATGCTCTAAACGCGATAGGAGAGATTGGCGACTGTTTTTACGACCCGGTAGGCATTCCAATGGAGGTAGAGATGGCAGGTAGTTTGCTTGGTTGTGGCTTCAATGCCTTCCTAGGCACTGCCAGGGAGCATGCTGCTACATGCACATGCAGACTCATGCATCGAAGCTGCGGCGTTCAGGTACTATATCTCGCGTTGTAGTATGTACTAGCAGCATGCAAGATGTTGGTGTGGATTTACAGTAGGTACCTACCTAGTATGAATCGCTTCAATTTACAAGTTAGGTACTGGACCACTATTCCTACTAATCTAGTGGCTGAAAGCAAGCACACAGCCGGCCTTCTTTTCATTATCCCATCTTCTTCACTTGTACTCCATGAGGACCTGTGACGAAGATGAGGTCGAAGAAGATGCGTGTCACGTCATATCATTAGTTTGACTCTCTCTGATATTATTAACCGCATCCATCTGTGGTTGGCGGAGCACGGATGAGGCCAAGTTTACGTGCTATTGCCTCAGACGCTGCTGACCCAATTTAGCTGCACGGGTCTGCAATCCACAGCCTAAAACCGTCAAAGTAATTATTAATACTGCTATTTCTTACGCGGGGGGCTTTGCTGCTACCACTATATGTTACTGTATATCAAGTAGCCTATAGCTTTCCCCTCGTATATCCGATACCGCGATCCCTTTGCTCCATCTTTGCGTGGTGGGGCAAGTTCGCAGCTCGGTGATGTCACGGAATGCCGGCTCGCCACTATCCGACTCTAATCGCTTTAAGCCGCGGCAGGGTCGCAACACTCTTATAGAATGCACAATAAACAATAGCCACCTGAGCCGCCGCCAATTCTCATGCTGCCAGGACATCTCTATGCAAGTCGGTTGATTACACGGACTCTGCCATTGAGGATACTCAGTGGGTCATCGACAAGGCATCTCACTCGATACAGGGGAGCGCGAACCATGGCCTCAGGGAAGCCATTTGAAGGTGTCTCGTTGGCTGAGCTGCCCAAATCATGGAATTTCACAGCTTCACTGCCTCCGGATCCAGTTTTCCCAACTCCAGCAGACTCACACAAAACCCCTCGAGATGAAATCACGCCTCGACAGGTCCGCGATGCTCTCTTTACATGGGTGCGACCAAGCGAACAGAAAGATCCCGAGCTGCTAGGCGTGAGCTCTGCAGCATTGAAAGATCTTGGCATCAAGTCAGGGGAAGAGAAGACTGAAGATTTCCGGCAGTTTGTAGCCGGTAACAAGCTATATGGCTGGGATGAGACAAAGCTAGAGGGCGGATACCCTTGGGCGCAGTGCTACGGAGGCTTTCAGTTTGGCCAGTGGGCAGGACAGCTTGGAGACGGAAGGGCTATTTCTCTTTTTGAGACGACTAATCCGGTGTCCAATGTACGATATGAGCTGCAGCTTAAAGGCGCTGGCTTAACGCCGTACTCTCGATTCGCAGATGGAAAGGCTGTGCTTCGGTCTAGCATACGAGAGTTTGTCGTTTCCGAAGCACTCAACGCACTCAGGATACCCACCACCAGAGCCCTATCTCTTACTTTACTCCCCCACTCTAAAGTGTTGAGGGAGGCTATGGAGCCAGGAGCAATTGTACTCCGGTTCGCTCAGTCATGGCTGCGACTGGGAACTTTTGATCTTCTACGGGCAAGGGGAGACCGCGATCTCATTAGGAAGCTTGCAACATATATTGCAGAAGATGTTTTTGGCGGATGGGAAAAGCTTCCAGGCCGGCTGGAGTCTCCTGAAGAACCTACTACATCGCCATCCCCAAAGCGTGGAGTACCGGCTTCTGAAGTCGAGGGACCAAGCGACGCAGCAGAGAATAGATTTCAGCGGCTATACCGTGAGATTATCAGGCGCAACGCAGTGACTGTAGCTCACTGGCAAGCATACGGATTCATGAATGGTGTTTTGGTATGTACTGCAGTTATGATAAGGTCCGAGAAGGAATTCTAATCACTAACTTCGTCTTACAGAACACAGATAATACATCAGTTTACGGCCTATCGATGGACTACGGGCCTTTTGCATTTATGGATACCTTTGATCCAGCATATACCCCAAACCACGATGACTACACGCTGCGGTATAATTATAAAAACCAGCCGACCATTATTTGGTGGAACCTGGTGAGGCTCGGCGAGACTCTTGGAGAACTTATTGGCATTGGGTCTCAAGTTGACGATGAGACCTTTATCATCAAAGGTATCAAGCAAGAGCAAGAGAAGGAACTGGTGGAGAGAGCAGAAAACTTAATCACACAAGCTGGAGAGGAGTACAAAGCCGTATTTCTGAACGAATACAAGCGGCTCATGACAGCGAGACTTGGCTTGCGCCACTTCAAAGAGACGGATTTCGATGAGCTTTTTAGCGAAGGGCTTGATACTATGGAAGCTTTGGAGCTGGATTTCAATCACTTTTTCCGCCGCTTAAGTTCCATTAGATTGGCAGATGTTACTACTCAAGAGGGTCGAAAAGAAAAGGCCGCCATCTTCTTCCACAAAGAGGGCCCCCCCGAAGTGGTCGGAGAAGAGACTGCGAAAGAGAAGATTGCCGAATGGCTTGAAAAGTGGCGCGTGCGCGTCTTGGAGGATTGGGGAGAAGAGTCTTCTGATGTTTTATCTGAAGATAAGGATGCTGAGAGAAGACAAGCTATGAAGCAAGTCAACCCCAACTTCGTTCCTCGAGGCTGGATCTTAGACGAGGTTATACGGCGTGTTGAGAAAGAGGGCGATCGGCAGGTCTTGGATCGCATCACTTATATGGCACTGCATCCATTTGAAGATTCATGGGATGGAGCTGTAATAGACGGCGTTGAGTACAAAGGCGACCCAGAGGAAGAACAAAGGTGGGTGGGCGATGTTCCTCGGTTGGGGCGATCACTACAATGCAGCTGTAGTTCATAGATAGCAAGCCAAATATAACTTGACTGCGTTTGTGCAACCCTGCAATTCCGGCTTCTCATGATTACAGAATACACAGCAGCCGATTCACAGTTTACTACGTCAAGCTATGTGTGATAAAATGTAACGACCGGCGGTAAGAGGCAACGTTCATCGAGACGAAAAAACTTCTCTCCCCTGCTTCCATAATCGGCGTAGAGTTCTTCTGGAGCACAAGATAGAGGAGGACTCGACAGAAGCAACGGGCGAGGCCCAATTGCCCAAGCTCACCTACAATAAAATGTGCCCGTGTACAATTTTGTTGAAGAAGAAAGAAAAAAAGCATCATTGGCCCAGGCCCGCCAAATTTAAAGCTGCTGGCTCCAACTGCGGGACAAAATTTGCCTCAGGCAGCGGTATTGGGAGCTCCCGGCCAATGAGCGTGCTCCTAAATGGATCCGTAAGGGAAACCCACTAGCGCTGTAAATGGGCTTTCCATCCATCCAAGACAGCAGATCCGTTTTCGAACGAACGCCCATCCCACTCGACCTTGAGTCCTTAATTTACTCGCCGCAACGTACATCACGTTCAATCCGTCAAGGCGACACGATGCTCCGACAGTCTCTGGCACGTTCGGCTTGGCGGACCGGCAGGCGGGCCGCCGCTGCCTCGAGGGCATTCGCGACAACGCCCAGACGGTCTGCCGAGGTGGAGCTCACCATTGGTAAGCATCTTCTCTGCGTCGAGGACGGACAATTGGAGCTGGAGCTTGTGCTAACGCGGTTGCAGATGGAAAGAAGGTCTCGATCGAAGGTATGGCTCTGGAGTGGAGGGGTACGGCGTTGCGGGAGCGTAGATGCTGACATGGAAGCTAGCCGGGTCGGCTCTGATCCAGGCCTGCGAAAAGGCCGGAGTTACTGTCCCTAGGTGAGCATTGGAGAGGAACTTGATTCCTAAAAGGGGATAAAAAAACGGTTAAGAAAGATGTGCTAATGGTGTTTAGATATTGCTACCACGAGTACGAAACATCCCACGGTCCCCGCTCCTTTTTCAGCAATTTCGAGCCCTAACCATATACATATACAGAAAACTAATGATTGCCGGTAACTGCCGTATGTGCTTGGTTGAGGTTGAGCGGGCACCCAAGCCTGTAGCCTCATGCGCCTGGCCAGTGCAGCCTGGTATGGTTGTGAAGACTAATTCACCTCTAACACACAAGGCCCGCGAGGGTGTCATGGAGTTCCTGCTGGCCAACCACCCCCTCGATTGCCCCATCTGCGACCAAGGTGGTGAATGTGACCTTCAGGATCAATCCATGCGATATGGTGCCGACCGAGGACGTTTCCACGAGATTGGAGGCAAGCGAGCTGTCGAGGACAAGAACATTGGACCCCTGATCAAGACCTCCATGAACCGATGCATTCAGTGCACCCGATGTGTCCGATTTGCCAACGATATTGCTGGTGCCCCCGAACTTGGTTCAACTGGCCGTGGTAACGATCTGCAAATTGGCACCTACCTTGAGAAGAACCTGGATACCGAGCTCTCTGGAAACATTATCGACCTCTGCCCCGTTGGTGCCCTGACTTCCAAGCCATATGCTTTCCGAGCTCGTCCTTGGGAGCTGAAGCACACCGAGTCGATCGATGTGCTCGACGGCCTGGGATCAAACATCCGTGTCGACTCTCGTGGCCTGGAAGTTATGCGCGTTATCCCCCGACTCAACGATGATGTCAACGAGGAGTGGATCAACGACAAGACTCGATTCGCCTGCGATGGCCTCAAGACCCAGCGACTTACTGTGCCCCTGATTCGAAGGGAAGGAAAGTTCGAGACCGCTGATTGGGAGGAGGCTTTGACCGTGATTGCCAAGGCCTATGAACAGACTAGCCCCAAGGCTAATGAGTTCAAGATCATTGCTGGTGCGCTTACTGAAGTGGAATCCCTTGTCGTGGCCAAGGATATGGCCAACAAGCTCGGATCCGAGAACCTCGCCCTCGATACCCCCACCGGCAGCCAGCCTATTGCTCACGGTGTTGACGTGCGATCAAACTACCTCTTCAACTCCAAGATCTGGGGTATTGAGGACGCTGACTGCATTCTCATTGTCGGAAGCAACCCTCGCCATGAGGCCGCCGTCCTGAACGCTCGTATCCGCAAACAGTGGATGCGCTCCGATCTTGAGATTGGTGTCGTTGGTGAGACCTGGGACTCTACTTTCGAGTTTGAGCACCTTGGCGCCGACCACGCTGCCTTGAAGAAGGCCCTGGCGGGCCCCTTCGGCAAGAAGCTCCAGGCCGCCAAGAAGCCCATGATCATCGTTGGATCCGGTGTCACCGACCACGTTGACGCCAAGGCTTTCTACGAGACCGTCGGCACCTTTGTTGACCAGAACGCTGCCAACTTCAGAACCGCTGAGTGGGACGGCTACAATGTTCTTCAGAGAGAAGCCTCAAGGGCTGGTGCCTTTGAGGTTGGCTTTGTCACTCCCTCTGCTGAGGTTGCCCAGACCAAGCCCAAGTTTGTCTGGCTCCTCGGTGCCGACGAGATCAACGAGGCGGACATCCCCAAGGACGCCTTTGTTGTCTACCAGGGTCACCACGGTGACCGCGGCGCTCAGATCGCTGACATTGTTCTGCCTGGCGCTGCTTACACCGAGAAGGCCGGTACTTACATCAACACTGAGGGACGTGTCCAGATGACCCGTGCGGCCACCTCACTCCCTGGTGCCGCCCGAACTGACTGGAAGATTCTCCGAGCAGCCTCCGAGTTCCTTGGTGCCCCTCTGCCTTACGATGATGTCGCTGCTGTGCGGGACCGCATGGTCGAGATCAGCCCTGCGCTGGCTGCCTACGACGTGGTCGAGCCCGTTGCCCTGAAGCAGCTGAGCAAGGTTCAGCTGGTGGAGCAGAACAAGGGTGCCAAGGCTAGCAACTCTCCTCTGAAGAAGGTTATCGACAACTTCTACTTCACAGATGTCATCTCCAGAAGGTATGTGCTTTCCGGATAAACTAAACAACGTAACAAAAAATTGATCAACGACGCTAACTATTTCATAGCTCACCGACAATGGCTCGCTGCTCAGCGGCCAAGGCTACCGGCGACCCCCGGACGAACTTTATGGCTCCTGGAATGGAGGAGGATAGACCCATGGGTCAGATTGCGTACGGAGCTTAAGATAGGTGAATGTATTAAAAAAATAGAAGAAATTTCCCTTGCGGTTCTGGAGCGCTATGTCGATATGTACATATATATAGGACGTTAGGGTTAGATGCTGTGTTAAATATGTTGACCAAAAACGGGTGGCTTTTCTACTTTCCTTCTCCCCCTTTTTTACCCTTTCGTGCTGGTATCTTACGCCACCCACCCCTAAGCTGTATGGCAGCATGCATATTTACCCATCCAACCAACGCCACTCTCACTTCTTTTCTTTCTGGTTCAGTATCTTCTCTCTGTGAAACCGCCCTCCCCCGGTTCGGGCTGCACAATGGGCAAGGCGAACCGCACCCTCTTCTCAGGCCTCACCTCGCCCTTCGCACGAGGCGCACGAAGGCTAGATCGGCGCACCGTCTTCTAGTCGATGTCCATGGTCCTGCCCTCCGCCTCCGCCTCTGCCTCCTGAATCTGTTTCTTGATGGTCGCTCGCCTGTTACGCACATGTCTATCAAAGCTGGCCAAGTCTCCGACGGCAGCGGCAATCACCTTCATGACCTCCGTGGCGGCGAACTCGCGGGGCGACCCGACGGGCGCATAAGTCACGGGGACGTTCATGTTGGGCGCGGGGATGTTTGTTGCGCCGTACTTGCAATTGGACGTATCTGGCGCGCGCATGTTTGCAATCATGGCATCGCAGTCGCGGCGGAGGGCGTCTTCGTCGCGGGCGCGGACGTGAGCAGCGCGGGCGGCGTTGTAGTCGAAGGGGGGGTTGTCGCTGTCGGCGATGGCGGCGCGGACGCGAAACATTTCGCGGTGGAAGAGTGCGTTGAGGTTGCTGCGTACCGAGGACTCGTGGCGGGTGACGAGATCGAGGGCGGCGCGGTGGTAGGCTGGAGAGTCGGGGGCGAGGTCGAGGGGCTGGAGGAGCTTGTTGGAGTCGCGGATGGGGACGAAGACGGCGGCGGAAATGCTGGTGAGAGGTGGGATGGGAGTGTCGTCGTGGATGTCGGCGTTGTCGTTGTCGTTGCTGCTGGTGTTGACGTTGGTGTCCATGTCCATGTCATCGACGATACTGATGCTTTGGCCAGCCATGATGCTGCTTCTTCTGCTGCTGTTATTGCTGTTGCTACTGCTGTTGTTGGCAATGTTGCTTTCGCCTATTATGATGACGCTGCTGCTGCTCTCTTTGGTGTTTCCATTACTGCTGCGATCACCATCATCTGGGGGTTGCTGGTGTTTGACTTGGCTAGCGATGGCTGATTCTCGAAGCAAGTCTTCTAGTGATGGCAGCTCTGAAGAAGCAGATGAAGAGGGCCGGCTGGAAGAAGACCCGTAATCGGCCATGGAGGGCAGCTCTTTTGGGGGCGTGAATACGCAGCGTCTTATGTTCTCATCTTTGCCTCCTAATTAATCGCGAAAAGCGCAAAGCTTGGATGCAAAGTAACTGATACAGAAGGACGCCGAGGATTCGAGTTTTAAAGAAAAAGAAAAAGAGCAGGATTACGTAGGCGCGCACATGACGAATGAGAGCGGCAGCCTTGCGGCGCTTTGCCTGAGGTTAGGACGTATTGGCCGAGTCCAGATAATGCCTGCAGCTCATTTTTTTTGTTCTTGGGTGTGGTTGGTTCTACTACGTCGTGCGGCTGCATATCTTGCTGCGCCATTCAGATATTGTACAATATAAAAAACGTATGCATAAATCTCGTTGATAAGTGACTTTCCATGTAGCTTTTAGAGGAACTCTGGCAAAATCCGCCAACAGTTGAGATGATGTATTCGGACCTGTGCGTCTTGACGTTTCTAGTGAACGTTCAATATCAGTACTAAGCCCATAATGCATGAAACATTCTTTCTTACATTGTGATAGAGTGTATTTTGTCTAGTCTTTAGTTGATTTGTTCCAGTTTTCATCAGGTTGCTCGGTAGCTTCACTACTTCGAGTTATATTGTGCTAAGAGATAGAGTGAAAGGCTTATAAAACTTACATGCCTCTGCGATGATAGATGTTTGCTTCATGTAATAGTCACAACGTATACGGTCTATCTGCTTGCTGCATGATGACCACATATTCGATCTCAACTCCTAGTATACATCTCGAGTTGTAGAGTAACAATGTATTCAAATGCAATTCTTGTGGAGTCGATGCTAATGGGCTGCTTGAAGTTATAATGTACACTATATTCAGCGTTATATTAACTCCCTTGTTTACTCTTCCTATAAGTATGAATCAAGTTCATGGTATTGATGAGAGTTGTTAAATGCGTATTCATTAACAACTAGCTTGGACGGTCACAAAGATCATATCTGATCTACCCTACATCGCACCGTTGAAATGGTGGAAATGACTAAAAATGGGCAATTAATAAAATCCCCCCTTATGCTACATATTCTATTTTTTTAAAATCTTGCTTCATCGTTTTATTCTCCCGAAAGGATACACATCACTGTGAACTAAAAACTCAACTATAGCCTCGTGAAAGTTCAACTTCCTTCCACGCATATAACTCATATTTTCTCTCCAGCTTCTTCTGTGAACCACTCTTGTCTATTTTGTTAATTCTTCCTTTTTTCAACTTGTATCCCGAAAATAGACTCAGTCTCTGTACAATCAATCGTACAACCACATATCGTTTTGTTGCTCCGTCGATATGCGACCCTCTCCAAAGCCATTGACTTAAACGCCAGCCAATCACATCATTCTCCCGACTCCCAAACCGGGGCCGAGGTTTGCCCATGCCGCGCTTCACCCACTTCCGCCCACTTCACATGCGAACTAGGACGAATTGATGAATGGGGAACCATCACCAGCCACCTCATGCGCCTTGCTCTCATTATAGCATACGCTCTTGACTTATCTGAAATCAATTTTTTTTTTAGCTTCTTCACATACGGCATAATTAATAAACGAGGCTCCATCTTGGCATTGGATAAGCAATAACATAACCCCTCACGGCCCTCTATACTCAGCACAAACACAATGGCAGAGCCACAGCCACCGTTCCCGGGAGCTGATCGAATCCGCTCATTAACAGACCAGGACTCCATCTTCAAAGCCTTTGACGCCTACCCCTGGACCAAAGACTCCGAGTTTCTCGTAAGTGATTCCCTCTCTCCGTCAAACTCGCCTTTATCCTTCCCATGTGTAATACATCTCCGACTTGGGTATACACAAACACACGCACATATACTTCACATCACCCGCCTCCCACTTACATCCATCCTTACCCCAGTCTGGCCTCCGCGCCATCCTCGGCGCCCCAAACCCGTCCAGCCCCCAAAACGGCTCCCTCCGTGACATCGCCACCCACGCCCGTATCTTCTACTACGCCCAGCGCATCGGCGTCCAGATCGACTTCGCCTCATACCAGACCTGGCTCTCTCAGCACCCAGAATACCCACCTCCGCACATCATCCCCTCGGAGTACGAGCAACAGCCTGCCGCCACCAACAGCAGCTCTCAGCACCCAGAAGCGTCATCGACATCTTCCGCCACAGCATGGCAGCAGGCCGCCCCTAAAGCCGACCTCTACGTCGATCGTAGCGCTCAGTCTCAGGCTTCTGGGGAGGGTGGCGAACCCTCTTATCCTCTTGCTTTCGCAGAGATGATCAAGCTTATCCAGGAAGGCAAGCCCATTCCCGGCATCAGACAGATTCCCAACACAATTGAACGAGACCCCGTAAGTTTATCCAATGTTCGCCCTTGTCTTGCGCCTGACATGTGCTCACGCTCAGCCTTTTTAGACTATTAAACCCGTTGGATCGCGGCCAGTGCCTAGAAAACCTTGGGAAAAAGAGGCTACTGCAACCGCTGAAACAGGTGCCGGAGGTATCGTGAACGCCCTGGACCTTGAATTTCCCCCAGTCGAGCAACAGGCAGAAGGAGAAGAAGCAGCTGCTGCGACAGAGTCTTCATGACGCCGCGGTAGTAATCTGTCAGCCATTAGAGAAAAATTCTATCCAGTTCTTTGCAGCTGAAAGCACGTTATATTAGACTCGCATTCAATATCAAAGCGTGGCATCTTGAAGCCAAGTTCAGCAGAACACATTAATCGAGAATGCAAATTCAACCGGTCTGGCCTGAAAACTTGTCTTTATTAAACATAGAGCATTATTATTCGAAATTACGGCGGCTGGTGTAAACACGCAGCGTCGCGGTCAAAACAAAAAGAAAAATCCTGTAATAAAGAGCGTTGCAGCTATTAACACAATAAGTCTTCTCCATAAAACATCTTTCCCCTATCTCCATCGCGCAAAACAAAATGCATTTTTCATCAGAGTGATACACCGCCCTTGAATTAAGATTTTCTAACGGGCATTGATTTCTTCTCAGGAAACGCATGGTTAGCCCCATCTCAAATCGCAACAAGATGGAAGGGAATAAAAGGGGAACGAACCGTCCTAAGTGAATATGCTACTGTCTTTACATGTCGAGATGCAATCTGGGCTCAAGTCGAAGAGGGAATGTTGCCGCCACGGTTAGCAGATGTAGTCTCCTGCATATTTCAAAATGCATAACCATAATGTGTCCAATGCACCCAGTCAGGCAGTAGCCAGCTGAGCGTAGGATGACGAGTGATCTTTAAATTGATTGCATGGGAAAATGTTCATAAGAAGTCAAATCCTTTATGTGATCTTGTGTGATCCGAGTGAGAACGGCAAGAGGCGGAACTAGATATGGTAACGAGTCGCCAAGATGTGCTATAAGTAGAACAAACGATGCTACGCAGAATCGTTGGGGAGAAAGCTTGCCAGATTGTTAGGTAACGTCTCGCACACTAATGGATCTCTGATGTTAATACCGTATCAACGGTAAGAGGTACTGAATCTCGCTGGTCCTGGTCCGATACGGCTACTGCCCATGCCCGGCCCAACACCTGGGCCTGGACGAGTCGTAACCGCGTGGTTGGTACACAACATGCCAACGCGGGATCCAAATTTGGATCCCCTGAGAGAGACCATGTGCTTTCGGATATGAGCAGCTACCATCTCACGATGTTGAGGAGAAGCGTTGTTAAGAATCCACTGAATAAGGTAATTTCCGTATTGGTCACTGGCAATGTCAATCAGAGGGATACGGGTGCGATCGCGGCGCCCCTCGCAAACTCGATCGAGATATCGGCCGAGAAACTCAGCATTACCAATCTTGAGGCACTTCTCCACCACCTTGGAGGCAAATTGGTCAGTGCTATACTCTGCAGCATACCGAATGACGTGATCGACGGCTCGGCTGCGATCAGGGGGAGCTCCATGCTCGCATATATGTTGGATGCACCAGTTTCCAAACTGGCCATGAGCTACAATGTCAATGTTTGCGAGGACTTCTTCGATACAAGGGCGCTATTTTGCACTTATTAGTCACTGCGATGCCTTTGGAGGTAAACGTTGACTTACTTTGTCATCTTCCAGACAGTTCTCAAAAATATTCTGAACAACAAGACTACCAGTCTCTCCCAGGGCAACTTCGTGCCACATTCCCCTCAGAGACTCATTGACGAATTTCATAATTTGAGGGGGGGATTCGCTCCATCGCAACTCAAAGAGCTTTTGCCAAACATGACAGGCATATCTATGAATCACGGTCTCAGGGATGCGGCGGAGGAGTTCGTGAACCATAATTGCCTTGTAATCTTCTGGAACCGAATCGAACGCCTTCTGGACGACATGGCAACCAAAAGGATCCATGGAGAGATTCAGAGTATTGCCTCGAATGGCTTCGGCAATCTTGATCACCTGTTCCGGGGTTCCATGCTCAAAGCAACGTTGAACAAGAAAGTTGCCAAATCTGTTGACCATTAAGGGGTATGCCTGGGCCACAATGGCTTCAACAATTTCGTATTTCTGCTCAGGTGTGCCCACTTTGAGCTTCTGCTGTAAAAAGATGGAGGCTTGCTGGTCGTTATTGCAGACAATTTTATCTACAATGTACTTCCAGTTGCAATTCACATTTCGATCGAGGAGGCGGCGATAATTAAGAGGCTCTGTTGGCGGGAGATAGGTTGGCCCTTCAGAAGGAACAACCTGTTTTTCATCAGCATGCGGTTGGTAGTGAGTTATCTCCATCACATTGCTGGGTACCTCATTCTTCCAACTAGCCTTAGAGGTAAACTCTGAGGCGTGTGGAGAAAGAGGAGTACCCATTGCTTGTTGATGGAAAGGGGGATACATGTTCACGCCCATAGGAGGTAGTGCTGGACCAACATTCACGTGAACGCCTGGCACAGGAATTGGGACTGGATTTCCAATGCTATCAAACGGGTGAGTTGGGTTATTGAGATTGACAAATGAGCTTCCAAATTGGTGATTCGCATTCACGCGATTGTCAAAGCGAGTGCCGCGCCGGTTTGGGTGAGGACGAGTAACGAGGTCATGCTCAGCGGCCTGGCGCTCAGCACGATGACTGTCGATCAACACGTAAGGTGAGCTTGGATCTACACAGGCCTGGTTAAAACCTCGGCCTCCGAACCAATGACCAGGAGTCGGCTCTGGACCAGGTGGTTGAAGAGAGCTGTTGTTGGCAAACGAGCTCTTGGTAGGTCCCCAGATTCCGCGAGCTCGATTCAGTGCAACAGCAGAGGCAGAATCGCTGGTATCAGAGTGGGTATCATCTGGCGTGCCTCTGCCCCAAATATTCTCTCGTGGAGCCGCTTCAACACGAGCAGTGGGCACGTCGGATTCCTTGACAAACCGCGACTGAGCAAGCTCCTGGTCAAGCTTGGAGATATGGTTCCGGGCTTGCGCAAGCTGTAGCTTTAGGCGAAAAACTTCTTCAGCATCTGCACGAGGATCATCAAGCGCAACGCTAGCTGGTCTTGCGGTTAGAGCTGCAGTAGGGAAGCCCTCGGTGGCCGGAGTGATTGGAAGCGAAGTGCTTGAGGAAGCCTGGTCTAAAGCTTTCAAGAAAGGACCCTCGTCTTCGACTTTCAAGACTTGGTTCTGTTGAGTGTGGGCAGCTTGCTGCTCTGGTAGTCTAGTGAAAAGCTTCTCCATTGGAAAAGAGTCAGTTTTGGAGATGTCACAAAGGGGCTTACGCGTGCTCGAGTTGTAAAGAGAAATGGGGGAACCAAAGCAAGGTACACTTACTTTCGGATAGCCCTGGTTCGCCAGCTTTGAAGTAGTCAAGGGCGTGATGCCTTTCTCCTTCATTATAGAAGCGGTCGTTGCCGGTTCCTGAAATCATAAGAGTTAACAGAAATTTATAATGACCATGATAAAGTAGGAATACAGCGGGTAAGGCCATATCATAAATTTATGACATGACTAGATATCAAACTTACGCAAGAGGCTGAAACAGCTGAGGGTCCATCTCCCGCCTGCATCGAAAAATCTCTCTGAGCTGCGTCGGCAGGCAATAGGACCGAAAGCTGAGGAGTAGATCCAGAAGAGCTGGAGGTCGACATTTTATCCGCAGGAAATGTTCAAGAGAGATTAATGGGAGTGCTAATAACGGGAGAGACGGCAGCGGATGCAAACGAAATGGAGAAGCTCCCACACAGGCGCAGCTTGTGTGCCAGGGTTGGGAAAGTAAAAAGAAACAAAGACGCGTGTAGGATTAGGAACCGTGATTAAGGTGGAGGAGAAATTAGAGAAATAAAAATCGAAGACGTAAATGTTAGTGGTCGGCTATAAATGGAGGTGAAAGAACGGCCGATTGGGCATTAAGAGGAAGGAACTGGCAGCCCTCGCCAAAAAGGGCCACCGCCTTGTTTGTCACTCGCTAAGGCCAAAAGGCAGGATTTATACGTCAGTTGAGAATGACAAGTGACGCTCTAGAGCGGCCTAGCGAGTAGAAATAACGGAGAAGAAGGTTTAGACACTTGGGGCAATCCAGGGACTCACTATATTAAAGAATTATATAATTCAGCGTTGGCTGGAGGGGGTTGAAGAGAGACCCGCGCCGAATTTTCGAATGTTATATGTGCATAAATACATCAAAGACCGAGGATTTGTGACCAAACGCTCGTCAGTGAGTCACTACAACCCCAGGCGCCACGGGCCTTGGTACTCGTCCTCCGTGCTGCATCATGGTAATAAGGTAGACCAGCGGTATGGGCTTTTTGCTAGAATATCGACAGTGTCTAGCTAGCGAAGTCAAAAGATGCCTTAGATAGTCTACAATACTACCTACCATGTGTCTGCGAGGCATGTGCTTAATAGTAGAACCATTGCACATTTGCCGCACACCAGCTATGCGCTTTCTGCCTTTCCTAGAATCTACTTCAAATTTAGGTAGCTCGCGCTTCATACGACGACGATTTAAGTGGTCACATAGTCTATTCATACACGTCTTTTAAGGTACCTTTTTAGAGCCTCGCAGCAAAATCAGGTCGTCTGATATGCGCTTGTAAGGTGACTATATCGTACAGCCTGTGTTACATTTTCAAGTAGCAACATAAAATCTTGAGCCGCCGTATACTTCAACGACTTTTTTTTTGTTTCCCTCAATAGCCAATCCCCCATAATTCATATAAAATTCATATTCACGAGAACTGGACATGGCATTGCGTAAATGGTCCGGCCGTAGCTAATAATGCAGCTATCATCGCTTCTTTCCGGGTGTGGGAGCTATGGAATTGTTAGTTGACTGGTGTTCCAAGTGAGTCTCCCTCAAATAAAAAGGGAATATGAATGTGGCGTACCAGGGGGACCCGTCTTCTTCTTCGGTGCACTCTTTCCACGCTGTTTGAGCCTATAATTGTGGTTTCAGCAAGCTGCTCTATTAAATCTTGTTCCCAATGCACCTACTCTTCAATGTACTCGAACCGATCTTCCTCGGCTTCATCCCATGTGGCAAGCACCGGGCCAAACTCTCGCTTCACATCCTTGATCGATGCTAACTTCCGGGGGTAATAGGCGGCGAGCGCTGGGCCTTTCAATCGCTGTCGCAAGACCTTGTTGCCCATGCGAACCCCCTCAGGGTTGAATGTCGTGGCGAAGACTTGGCATTGCGCCTATGGAATATTAGTGGGAGAATGGAGAGAAAACAGTAATGGAGATTTACCTTCATCAAATCCAGTAACCGCGCACGAGGGACACTCATCTTTACATGCTTGATCTCGAATGTTGCGATCGACTTTGGACGTTGAATTGAAGTTTGATGCACACCAGAAAGAGCACCCGCTAAACCTCATTGGGAATAGTCTCTTTGGCGCGCTTGAACGCAGTGGACCATTTTCTTCTCGCTCTAAGAATCCTCAACCCACCCTCTATCCTTTACATTAAACGCGAAGAATTTCTGACCGTAAAATTTTGGATTTTGCCGTCATTTTCAAAATGTCTAAACGGCATAACACATCATCAGTAGACAATCGGGCCAAGCGGCAACAGATTGGTGATTTCAGAAATGATTCAGAATTCGTTAGCAGCGTCGAGACAACAAACCAGGCGCTAGCCTTACTTGCAGAGCAGGCAGATGAGCTAGTTGACTGTCTTCAGTCCTTGAAGCGACAGTTTTTGCAGAGTAAAAACCCTGCAGAATTCCAAATTGGAAGTATAAACTCGAATCTGCCACGATTAACCAAGCAGCTACTTCCCTCTTTTCAGATCATTGGGTCTATTGATGAGCCTGTCGCCGAGACGGCTACGCCCATAGCTAAGAACACATCAACGGTATGTACTACATTTTCTAAACAAAGACTCATTTAACTAACTATTGGCATAAAAGGATACCCTCTCAAGAGCTGCCCAAGACTCATCAGGCATACCGATACTCTCTCCAATTAGTGTGACACCATGGATCTCGTCAGATATCTTGCAAGAATGGCCTCCTTTACCCCCAATTCTTGACTCCAAGCTTGCTGAAGAAGCATTCACCCACCCAGGTCTAGGCATGAATTTCAGCTATGAACGCCTAGAATGGCTTGGAGATGCATACCTTGAGTTGATTTCCAGTTCTCTCATCCATCAAACATTCCCACAGCTGCGGTCAGGACCTTGCTCTCAACTCCGCGAGAGACTAATCCGAAATATCACTCTTGCGGAATACTTTCGGTATTATGGCATGGAGAAGCGGGCCAAGCTTCCAGATCATTTTGATGGAAGCAGGGGGCTCGGAAGAGGTAGATCAAAAGACAAGGATATACTAAAGACGCAAGCCGACATGTTTGAAGCCTACGTCGCGGCTGTTATTCTATCGGATCCTCAAGAAGGGCTTTTCAAAGTGGTGAAGTGGCTGAAAGCCCTCTGGGGTAGAACGATCAAAGAGGACATCGAAAAGGCAGAAGCTGCAAAAAAGCGCCTGGAAACTCAACCAACAGGGGTGGAGGCAACAGAAAAAAATTCTAAACAGCGGCTGAGTGTCAAAATTGTGACCAAAGGTGTCAGCATTGACTACAAAGATCTGCCTGGCGAGAAAAGGGACAAGAATTTGAAACTACCTCTTTATACCGTCGGAGCCTATCTAACCGGCTACGGCGAGGTAGGAAGACTACTAGCAGTCGGCACAGCCCTGAGCAAGAAAGAGGCTGGTCAGAAAGCTGCTGAAGCGGCATTACAGAACAAGCGACTGATACAGGCATATGAGGAAAAAAAGAGGCAATACATGCAGGCTAAAGACGACAGTGCACTCGTGGACAGACTTCTGGGGTAGCGATCTACGGCTGCGGCTTTTGGACATAGATGATATTTGAGTGCTTCCATATGATGATAACGACTGGAATTAGGATCACTGTCTAGAGAATTGACCATTGCTTAATCGTAGAGGATAGGAACTTTACCTAATAAATGAGCAGGGTTTAGTTAACGCATTTATACTGGTATAGTTATAAAGAGCCGAGACACAGTATTGTGAATAGCTATTAGCGAGAAATCTCGCCATGATCACCAGCTTGTAACCACCTGTCGCATCATCCGTTTTGGGGGCCTGATCTTTCGATATGTGTGACCTTGGCTTGTACAGCTATTGGGTACTACTACTACTATATAGCTGTGTGGTCTGCGTGTCACGAGCAAGTGAAGATATCTGCTACGTAGGCATGGAACCAATGCTTACTTTCACCTCTCTTTGTTTTCTTTTCTGGGCATAAGATTGGAACACACACAGCCATATATATAGGTGGGTATATATATATTAATTGTATACTGGCGCCATCAAAGAAGCCGGATCTCGCTACCAAGTACTGGTGTTTTCCTGCCACCAACGCAAGACCTCCTCAGGTGCAACAGTTTGGAATGTACTTGCAATCTGGGGTAAAACTGGACTAAAACATTCACGGCACCGTCTCCAGCGTCGAGGTACCGTTTACTAAGCACGTCGGCGACTTTCACGTGTCGCGGCAGGTATCGCATACCCCGACTCGATGACGCTCAGCTTGGTAGTGCCACACTTCTTCGTTCTCAGCAGCCGAGCCCCCTGGCGGTAGCGTCGCAAGTCCCACGGCCTAGAGCGCGTGCGCGCCGAGGTTCAATTGGGAGCCGGTCCACGACAAACCGAGCCGCCAAAAAGCTACTGTTCCTATGATCATAATACATAATCGTAATCCCAGCACCCGCTGCTCCGACTAATCGCCTCCATCTTGCCTCTGCCAGCCCTCAACTTGCGTCATCTTTCTCAAAGGAAGCACCTGTCCCTGCGCTGGTCTGCGGTGCCGCATTCAATCCGTCCCGATTCCGTCCCTTGGTCCGTCCTTATCGCCAATCGAGCAGCCTCTCCAGATCAGCAAATCCAAATACGCAATCGGTGCCTTATCCCCCCCAACGATTGCCACCCATTTGACACGAAAAAGACCACGATCCGAAGGAGGAAGAAGAAGAATCAACTATAATTTCAAAACATTTTTTTTTCTGGCGCTTTCAAGAGATTGCATCAATCCCGTTAGGAGCAGCAAGGCTCCCCGTCATAGCCGCCCCCGATGGCGGATTCCGTGGGTGGGTATAACCGCAGTCGCATTCCTTTCCCCCCCACGATGTGCCCGCAATGGTACATGCTGACCGCCGCCCAATGCTGCAGATCGAGTCTTTGTCCATGCCTTAAACACGGTCAAGAAGATACCCAAGACTGGAGCATCGCGGCCGCCCCCTTCCGAGCGGCTACGGCTCTATGGCCTCTACAAGCAAGCCATGGAGGGGGATGTAGATGGTGTTATGGAGATGCCCACGGCTGGGTCAGGTCTCGCCCCGGATGAGCTGCAGAAAGAGCGGGATAAGTGGGATGCATGGAATTCACAAAAAGGACTGACCCGGACTGAGTCCAAGAGACGATATGTCGAGGCGCTAATCGAGACGATGCACAAATACGCAAATACATCGTGAGTAGCAACCCACTCACATGAATCTCCCCCGCCTTGTTGTATATTCACAAAGAAGCTAACTCCTTTAAGCAGAGATGGGAGGGAACTCGTTGCTGAGCTTGAGTTCGTCTGGAACCAAATCAAGGACAACGCTGCCAGTTCCGATTCCTCATCAGCCAACCCAAGCGACCCGTCACATGTTTTCCACCAGCCTAGGAGCGGCAGTGATGGGCCTATGAAGATCCTCAGCCCTATGAGTGAACAGGATATCGAATTCCGATCCCGTAGGCAGATTGACGAGGATGACGAAGACGCAGTGGCTAGGGATGAAGAAGAACGTCAGGTCAGCCTTCAGAACAGCCGGTGGACAAGGAAGATGGAGCGAGCCATCACCAAGCTCACCGCAGAAGTTGCGGCGCTCCGCGAACAAATTGCCACGGGGCGGGAGTGGAAATCGAAAAAGGAGAAAAGCTTCCCTTCTTGGATAAGATGGCTTATATTCGTCGTCATGAAGCACCTCTTAATCGACTGCGTTGTTTTGTGCATAATACTCGTCTGGATGCGGAGTCGAAAGGACCGACGGCTCGAAGATATTGTACGAGCGGCACTACGGCTTGTCAGGGAATATGTCAGAAAGATCCTCCCATCCAGGTGAACAGAACAGGGGCAAACAGCCGGCTATACATAAACCTTGGCCAAAAAGAAAGCGTCCAGGGAGAACTATCATATTGTACTAATGCGGACCAGATTCCGCGACTTTCCATGCCCCGTCACGAAATGCCATGCACATATTTATTTTCACGATTGAGAATTCATCCCAAGTCAAAATCTGTCTATTTAACCCACTACCGAACCAAATACCTGTTGTCTCTAATTGCAACTGCTTGGACTATATAACAAATACTATCTATCTAGACTATAGAGGCCAATATATATCCAGATTCTGAATAACTTCATGTTAGATTAGGGTTCATGCTTGGATATATGAAAATAGTAAATGGCAGTACAATCAGAGCGCTCGTAGAAGACACCATAGAACCCTAAGAACATAGATGCAAAAACGTAGCAATGAAGAAGGGTATTGTTATCTAGCACACCACATTCGTTCTCCAGTACCCCAACCATGGCTAATGTCATCAACATACATGTATTCTAAATTACTTTCTCTACCTCCTTTACTTCTTTAAGCGTCAGACACTCCTTGACAATTTTTGCGTTTGGATAAACCGCCTCGTTAAGCCAGGCCCAGGGTGCTGAATAGCAATTTGGACAGCAAATTCTCTTTCTATGCTTCCCAATGGGCCTTCTCAATTAAGTCGTTGTCGCACTTAATAAAGTCGTCAATGTGAGCATATTATCGCATTATTACGGATATATGCCTACGAATATTTACAATGCAATCCTAGTCCAAGGCCCTAGGCGAATAGGGTCGCCGTGAGCTTGAAAAATTCCTTGACGTGTGCCATCTACGATCTCTTTTTCTTTGACTCACATATTAGGTCTAACGCATATCTGCATAGTTATATGATCGGCAGTTCTCCATCTGCTCCATTCATTTGGGCCGAGTCCATGTGCTGGAACAGGCATTCAACTCTCTTGTCCTGCCCTTATACCTTCTCCTAGTCTCCCTCCACCTAGACCTCTTGTTTCGGATGCTACCGCTCTTAGTCTCTCTCGAAGGAAAATCATCAGAGCGTGTTGGCATTATTGGGTTAAATCTGAGGGCAAATTGAAGCAGAAACGGTGCAAACTTTGTGGGGGTTTACTCAGTACATTGTTAGACTGCGTCGGCTGCTGTAATGTTAGGATTTATCGGAGGTGCCATTGGAAGAATCACTTGGCTACACTTATTGACTGAATCTTAGCTGTCGATGAGGATATGAGGTTATTTGCTATAGATAGGTATGGGTTTGACGACTATGCAGACAAGTTTGTCTATAAACACGGCTAAAACGTTCAACCACCTTTACCGCCACCTCCTTGGCAGATATTCTCTCTGATTTCTCACAAACATGCTCTGTAAGGGAGAAATATTATATGTTATTGTGATTGAGCTATACAGCTGTCACGGCACTTCTACTTGACCCTTTTGTCGGCAGATGTTTTCGTATTGCCTCCTTAAGTAAACAGTCGCAGGGGTCCAGGGTATTGTCCCGAAATGAGCTGGTTGCTATTTTGACACCCAATATGCTCATCGAGGCACGCGCCACCTCGGCAAGCCGCACTGTGGGCATCTAGAAGCCTGCTGCGGGTACGTACCCTTTCTCCGCCCATTTGAGGGACCAACCACTCTGCGTTTGCACCCAATCACATGCGCTAGGCCCTATCCCAGCCTAGCTCAGTGCCTCCTCCACCGTGCCAGTTCGCAAGTCGCCATACTTCCCAGTTCCTACACTAGCACTACCAGATTGTCCCGCGGCCTGTCAGCTCCATCCGAGGCAGACGAGACGGAGAATCGCAACCCCAATCAACAAGCCAGCTCCCACAGCCTTGGCCGCCGCCGCCGCCGTCCAGATGCATCGTGCTGCTGTCAGGGTGCTCCGGACAAGTCACCACTCCAGCGTCCGAAACGCAGTGCGCACCGCCCGCCGCAGCCACCTCCACTACTTCACAAGCAACGCTCGCCTGCACCACAGCTCCGCCGATGTGCCTCTGAGGTCGTCCATGTACGTCCGTCGTCTGCCCGTTGCGCTGGCCTCCGGTCTGGTCCTGGGATACGGCGCCTGGTACTACAACGGCGTCGACATTCTGTCCGGGAGCCAGGCTGTCACGCGAGCCTTCACGTCTACGCAGGGAGCGGCCGATGCTGTGCCGACGCGCACCGTCTTGGTTGTCGGAGCCGACGAGCTGACACAGGGAACCATTGTGGGCGAGGGACCCCTCTACAAATCTGCCACCGAGGACGGCCGTAGGATAGTGGAAATGTTGACGCCGGAGCAAGCTACGGCGAAGCTGCGTAGGCAGGAAGAGTCGTTTTGGGTCAATCGGGGCCAAGGCGTTACGCGATACGACCTGGTCCAGCTGGGAAGCAATGATCCAATTGAGGACGATCACGCCGAGAAAATTGTCGAAGTACCAAATCGAGCAGCTACCGAGGAGGAAGAAGTGAGCAGCAGCGACTGGATGTTCTGGGGAGTTTTCGATGGTCACTCGTGAGTAGCATCCGTTCCTTGTTCATTTCTTTATTTATTAACACGGTATCTCTTCTAGGGGCTGGACGACATCTGCAACTTTGCGTGAAAGCCTTATCAGCTACGTTGCTCGAGAATTGAACAGCACTTACAAAGCCGCCAGTAACAATGCACCGCCCCCCGAAGCCATTGACTCAGCCATCAAGGCCGGCTTCACCCGTCTAGACAACGAGATTGTGCATAAAAGCGTCGAAAAGGTCTTCAAGGCAAGCTCTAAAGCTATGGCTGCCGAGATTCTGCAACCTGCCTTGTCCGGCTCTTGCGCTTTGCTGACCTTTTACGACAGTCGGAGTGAACTTTTGCGTGTGGCATGCACAGGCGACTCTCGCGCCGTCCTGGGACGTCGATCAAAATCTGGCAAATGGATAGCCACGGCTCTCTCAGAGGATCAGACAGGAAATAATCCTACTGAAGTTGCTCGCATGAGGATGCAACACCCTGGTGAAGAGCATGTTATCAGAAACGGCCGTGTCCTGGGTGGCCTAGAGCCAACTCGTGCTTTTGGAGATGCAGTCTATAAGTGGAGCCGTGATGTTGCTGGAAGGCTTCGCGAGAACTTCTTTGGTCGAAGCCCCTCTCCTTTATTAAAAACTCCTCCTTACGTTACGGCGGAGCCCGTTGTCACTACGACCAAGATCGAGCCAGAGAACGGCGACTTTGTTGTCCTTGCTACGGATGGACTGTGGGAAATGTTGACAAATGAAGAGGTTGTAGGTCTTGTCGGCCAATGGATCGAGACGCAGAAGTCGGGAAAGTCAAGCTCGCAATTTGACAGAGCCTGGTCGAAGGTCTTTGGATCCCAGAACAAACCGCTCCCCGTAGAGCAGGGCAGGGGTGCGGCCGGTTTTGATGGGAAGACGCCGATTCGCCTTCAGCAATGGGGAATCGACCCTGACGCAAGAGACCGGTTTGTCGTCAGAGACAAGAATGCCGCGACTCATCTTGTTCGCAATGCACTTGGCGGAACAAATGATGAGCAAGTCTGCGCCCTTCTAACTCTACCATCGCCCTTTTCAAGACGATACCGGTGAGTAACCTGTTATATGATATTTTCAGCTGACTCGTATGCTAACTTGATATAGGGATGACTTGACTGTCCAGGTCATCTTCTTTGGCCACGCTGATAAAACAAGCGAAAAGACCGGTGATGTCACAATCAACTTAGATGCTACGACAGACCAAGACCCAAGAGCCAGGCTTTAGATTACGATTAGCGGCGGTGACGACATTACCAGCTGTACAACTATTTTTGTAACGATTCCGATGAACTAGGCTGATTTTTATATCCGATGCTCATTTACAGCAGCGATAGATATTTCATCCTGCAAAGAAGCAGCAAGTCAGCAACTATAAACCGGGGGCTAGCTACCATGCTCTCTATATCTCTCTTTACCACTTCTTTTGCAAACAGCTTGCTGCGGCAACAATAGTAGGGGGAAGCGTTGTAAAAGGCATGGCGTACGGTTCTAGCGGAAGGTGATACGGGAAGAAGGGCAAGGAGGACTAAGGAAACTTGACGGCTTTTGTAATGTTTTTTTTTTATGCTGGCGGTCCCAAGTGTGGTGTTGGGGAGTGAGTTGGGCTTTTTGTCCTTTTTATATATCTAGTCTAATTGTTTCTTACTGATTTGGCGATGTGAATAAACCAGACGTTTCATATGGCGAATATTTGATGTGTAATGGAGCACGGCTTGCATCTGCTTTGAGGCAATTGCCTACCTGTACATCTACACCTTTTGCTATGCAGAGAACCTCTTTGCTGCGATGGAATTGACAAGTTCATAAGTGTTTTTAAAATAACTGGTCTTCAACGCCTAATACGGTCTGGTGGTCTAGTGGTATGATTCTCGCTTAGGGTACACCCTACAGCTTGCTTGCGAGAGGTCCCGGGTTCAATCCCCGGCCAGACCCCTGAAATTGCTATAACAGCATCAAATTTCTTTTTTGGCCATTTTATTATTTTGCTAAACTGCCATGCTTTTTTTCACTTTTCTTCCCGAGGTGTTGTTTTTTTTGACACATTGAGTACGGTCTGTGATGGAGTGTTAATGGATGACAGAGCCTAGATCGGTGGCCGGAGTGATAGTAACTCAAACAGTATTGACCAAGGCTAACTAGGCTGTAGACTCTGTACGGCGGGTATCTCTGTCTATCAATAATTCGCACAAATATCACATACAAATAGAATATACAACAAGCGAGATTAGGAGCTTGATTTCGGCCAGAGCAGTTTCTTCTGCTTGAGACAAGTAACCATTGCCAAGAAGACGATAATCCAAACGATAATAAGAGCAATCGTCATGGCACACCCAAAAAGCTGCAGTCCTCTGTTCTCAAAGATGTCTCCCATGATTTCGGTCGCCGTAACCTTAACAGATTGCATCGAGCTCTGAGTCAGAGAATAATTGTGGTATAAGTTGATGGGAAAGGGAGAGAAAAACTTACAAGAGCAGTGTTTGGAAACACAAACGACCACCAGGTCATCTGGAATGGCATGCCCTTCCGCGCCCGTAAGTACTTCCAAAGTGATCCAACAGATACCAGGAAGAACCACATGGAAAGGCCCCAGAACCAAAGGGCAACAAGCAAAGCAATTATTTTCACAATATCGACACTATTCTCTGTGCCGAGGAAATTCGACGGAAGGATGACATTGGCTTCGCTACCAAGCTGTGCTTCAAAGAGAGTTAGTAGGGGTTGAGCTTTTTTGAATTGGGAATACGTCTTCAACCAACCGATTGATCCCGCTGTGAAGGCATAAGGCCCAATAGAAATGAACTTTTAGACAATTAGCGTCACAACTTTTGGGGTGGGGAGTCGCTAGAATAAAATAAACTTACAACACCAGGTCGCTGAAAGTCTCTGGGCAATTTCTGGGTCATTAATCTATAGATGAAGGCGGCAGATATCATGAGAGAAATTAAGCAGCCTGTGCCTTGTGTGGAAACGGCCGAGAAAGCAATAGCGGGAGCATATAACACGTCAATATGGCCAGTGTCAGAAGCTGCTGCGATGAGATTGCTGGCAAACGGTGCCGTGAGCATGAGGGGGTATGCAGGAAATACCCAAGTAGGGGTCATCATGTGAATCGGAAATACTCTGTTGATAGGAATAAGATAAAGTAGCTCAAAGCCATAGCAAGGGAGTAGTTCTTACAGCGTTGACCAAAGGATGAGATATAACCCAGCACTAGCAATGGCGCTCAGCCCAGTGTATATCCAGAATAGGACTTGTAATGTCTTAATGAGCCAGACACCACAATGTGGAACGCCGTACTGGCAGACATTGGTAAGGATGACTGCAATACTAGAAAGAGTTGGAAATATTAGATCCAATCGAACAGCTGCAGAAGACGAGGCTGCTTACGAGACGAACTATAGTATTATATATTAGTCCCTGGTATATTACAGCGGCATATGGTAAGCATAATATAGGTAGACTTACAAAGGCAGGAATAAATAGAGATTCAACTTGATCCGTAAAGGATTTAGTAAGGCTTCCAGGCCGCAGATAGAATCGCATAGACAGAAAGACACAGTTGGCAAGGAAAAACACAATGTTGAGCAGGCAGAAGAAGATGCCAAACCCGTTTACCCATTCCGGTCTGTAAACCACTTGTATCAGGTCAGTAAGACGCAACGTATTGATGAGATGAGTATTGTCCATACGTCCATGAAGTACACTAGACACTCCTCCGGTAGCCATTGTCTATAAACCAAAACATGAGCTGCTGGTCCAAAGATACTTGGTTAATTCACCGCTCGTACCATAGTGAAGAAAGTCCATTGATAGCAGGCAATGCGGTCCCGCAGACCTACGCGGCGAGGCATAGCCTGATTCTCTTTATCCAGAATGACGGTATCAAGATTTGGTGGGGTATGGGAAAGCTGGGCTGCATCGGGGCTTATATCTCGACCCGAGGGATGGAGAGCAAGATGCTGCGAACGCCGAGAGGCGCCCTGTGCAAATAAAGCTGCTGCAGGAATTGGAGCTGATAATGATTTCCTGGCGGGCGTGGTCGTCCCCGACGCCGTGGGAGTCGCGCCAAAGAAGAAGCACGGCTGGTTCTCTTCAGTGGGCGACTCATAGCCATCGGCTACCACGGCACGACGCTGAGAGGCGGCCATGGCGGGGGTTCGAGACTGTCGTGCTGGCGATTGCCCAGGCTGGACAGCAGATGGATCATCAAGATCTGGCTGGGCTCAGCATGGGCGAGGGCGATGTGTACGTAAATGAGGTGAATCAGGAACACCACGTTGTCCAGGAACAGCGACCCCAGATTGGCCAGAGGCATCGCGGGCGATTGGCATGCAGCCTAAAGGAGCTGGGGGGCGGGAGCAGTGGCGGCCAAATGGACCGGCGTGGAGCGGAAGAGGCCGTCGGCTGTTGATTCCTCATACACTCCACTGGGGCTGATTGGGCGGATGTGGCAGAAGAATTTTTTTCTTCCCTCCCTTCTTTTCCGTCTTCCTTGCGTTGCCGAGGGTTTAGCAGCGCTCTAATGGGCGTGGTGAGATTCCAGTTGCAGTGGACCGGACCGACGATACCAGCAGTGCTTGCCGTCTGTAGGCGGGTTGACCGGCTGCTGCTATCATACGCGGTCTGTGCTTGCTGGCTATCCGAGTCGGAATAGCGATATAAATGACGCGATGGGCCTAGGGGTGCTCCGTAACTCGGGTACCAACTGAACGTGATTATACCGCATTTGCCGATGATAGCATAGTCTGGTTAATGAACACAGCTTGTGACTGGAGAATAGCGAAAGCTGTATGAGCGCGAAAGAGGCTGTTGGTAAATGCTTGCATGCAATTAGGCCTCGGACAATGGGATAGCTCGGCGCGAGCCTTATAGTACAGATACGAGACAAATACTGTTCGAGAATCGCAGGAAGTGGAGCCAGTAAGCGAGCCATGAAGGAGCAAGTAGCCTATCAGCCCGTAAAGAGAATACGTAAAAGGCAATGTTACTTAACCCGCCGCACTGTGCGCAAGCAGCTCCGGTAAGTCATCTTTTCATCAGCTTTACAAGTTGTACAATGAAAAGGCGAGAAAGAGAGGGCATACAGAAAAGCCCGGCATCGAGTTTCGTGCTACCGATTGTTGCGGATCTACTTTTCGAGCTGCCCAACTTGTCTCTCCACATTCCCCGGACCATGTTCCACAGTACTTCCTTTGGTAAGCTGCGCTGTCCACGTGATCGCGAAAGTGACACATGTTAGCTGCTTGCCGTCACTGGTAAAGACCGTCCCATCGAACTTCATCCGTTTCAATATCAAGTCCACGAGGCTGCGCCTTTGGACGATAAGCCCTCACCGTGGTGATGCATCATTACTGGATAGCATCAGCCTGATTGAATTCGCCAAAACCAAAATCCTCGAGCAATCGTCCCTCTGCAGTTACTTGAGTCTCTTCCATTGGCGAAGCTCATGCGCGGCACGCTATCTGCCCTCGAGCTTGTATACCTATATCGGTTTATAAAACCTTCCAGCATGAAGGCCTGAGACGCACACAAGGACAAAACCATATAAAAAGACACACCATGACCTTCACAAACGCTCCAGTGACGAGACTGACCGTCTTGGGCCTGGTCTCTATCTCGATAGCCGCCAGTCTCTTCGATGCGAAACAATACTTCTATATCCTCATAGACACCCATCTTTTTCGGTATCGGCAATTTTGGCGGCTTCTTTCATACCAGCTATGCTATATGAATTCAACAGAAGTATTATTCGCAGCCATATCGCTGTACAATCTCAGGGTTGTTGAGCGGATGTGGGGATCGAGAAAATATGCAGTAAGTGCTCCTGTCGCTGGAGCTTCTAGGTCGGTTGCGGTTTACTGACGGACATAACCCTACAGTCATTCATCGTCCTTTCATCCTTGTTCACGGCTATATTTCCGCCGCTCATCCTAACTATCCTTCGACCCATAGCACCGAGTCTGTTCAACTACATGCCGGCCGGCCCGACGGCAATCATCTTTGCCGTCTTAGCCCAATTTCACTCCATAGTTCCTCAGATGTACAAGTACCGGATTGCATTCTCCCAAGTGCCACCAACAAATGAGCGATTTTCCGGCATAACCTTATCAGACAAATCTTACCAGTACTATATCGCCTTTCATCTAGCCCTGTTGCAGTGGCCAGGCTCTGTTCTTGGAGCTATGGCTGGCTGGGTTTTAGGGTATTCTTGGAGAGTGGGGTTTCTGCCCACGTCCTTTACATCATGGAGGCTCCCGGGGTGGATTGTAGGTTCAGGCTCCTACAGGAGAAGTGCAGAGTTTGAAGGGCTGCGGCGAAGGTTAGAGGGGGAGAATCCGGCAACAGGAGTGTCAACCGGCGTTCAAAGCCAAAACGAAGGCCAGACCGATCGACGGCGTACTATGGGTCAGCAAATCATGGACCAATTCCGAGAAGCATTATAGAAAACTAGCATAGCAATAAGTCGTACATATTTCAAGACAATAACGAGAATAAGCAATATCAGCAGATGGCCATTGCGGAGAATGACATCAACGTGGCTGCTTGCTATGGTGCTAGCGGCCGACGTCACATGTGAGAGCCTCTGTTTCCGATTACCGTATAAGCGCACACTCAATTGTTTCCTTTTCAATGAAACGTTTTCACTGCCTTCAGCGTACGTAACGGAACCCTGTCATCATCTAATGAAAGTGGGTAGGCCATTTCGGGGATCTGGCAACGTGGGAAATTAATTGTACCCGCAGCTCCAGACTGACATATGATGATGGGCCTCGAGTACCCGGCCCTAGAGACGCCTAGGCCGTGAGCGCAAGAAGACGCCAATCCACGCAGCAGGGCCATGATTATCTGTCAGACAGAACATGAAACTTTTTTTTCTCGTCTGTGCGCTGCTGCTCGAATGCGGATTTGTGGAAATGAAGAGGGTCTTTGGCCGCATAGAGCTGAAAAGCAACAGAGAGCAAAGCCTCAGCGTGCGAGGCGCAAACCGATAGCTCGGCAGCCGGAGCCATATGCCATTCTTGATGCGGTCTAGCGGCGGGATGGCAAAGGGCCAGCTTTCAGGGGTAACAGCGCGTCTAAGATCATCTCGGCCCCAGTGCAAGCTTCCGGGCTGGCAGCACGGCCAATATGGATGCGAGGAGGGCTTTTCCCTTGCATGCGCCATGCATAGGCTGAGGGGCTGGATTCAGTGGCTGCAGCTCCCCTCAAAATCCCCCTCCAGGGCGGCAGCAGCGCTGTGGTAGTCGCCCAGCTCTGGACCGTGGGCCATTCAGTGGTGCCAGGGCCCTCCAAATCAGGCACCTTGCGCCTGTGCCTGGCATCCCTCGTCCACCGCAATCTGCGATTGGGCCCTGTAGGAGCAGCCACCAGCTCCTTTCTTTTCTTTTTGCCCCCTCCCATTCCGCGAAACCAACAACCTCCAACTTCCAACTGTCGTTTGGCTTAGGCTAGTCACGGCTGTCCCGTCGTCTAGGACGCTGCCGCTGCGCAAGTGTATCTTGGTTTCTTTTTTTGGTCTCAGTTCGTTTTCTTTTTGGGTTTGGCTTTAGATTTGGGGCTTGACGTTTGACCTTCGTCACTCGAGGTGCGTCTTTGCGCTGGCTACATATCCTGGCTTGACTGCGAGGCTCGACAATCGCAGCCCACGACCCTGACTTCGCTTCCGACGCCCGCCTCGCCATCCGTTCCATGATCTCATGCCGAGCTGCAGGACTCAGTAGCAACAAACCTCGACCATCGAAATTCACCATCTAATGTGCTAATACGAACAAATTCGTGACGAATACGGACACCCACTATGAACGGATATCAGACGGAGCGAAGCTCCTACGAGGACGAAATTTCTAACATATCTACGCCAATTTCAAGCCACGGCGACCATGCTATGGAAGCGGTATTTGAGAAGGGCAGACCCAATGGATATGGCAACGCTGCCCCTCAGGAAGAACCAGTAGGTTATGCGCCGGCCACGCCAGCCAGCTTGGACATTGTATTGACGCGTTCCAGATGGATCCCAACGATGCGCCGAATGGATCGCTCGCCGATCTAAAAGATCCGATTCAAGTTCATTTGCTCACCGAGACTGCACTTTACGACAGCAAACAATATGACATCCTATCTCAAGAAGAGGTTGATAGGCTGAAGAAACAGTGTCAGTTGTTAGAACAACGGATAGAACCCACAAGGGCCAACCTGGCTATCCAATCGAAATATCGAGACGCAGCGGTGTCTATGGCCAAACTTTACGCCGCTGGTAAATCTGAAGAAGAGCTTCTGGACGATCCTAGGGCCAAAGAGGTGGAACTGGAGAGGGAAGCAACTGAGAAGAAATGCGAGGAATTGTCGCGCGAGCTTTTCAATCTCGAGAAGAGTCTCTTGGGACCTCAGAGGCGTCTGCTTCAACACACGGCTGGTATCCTCCAGCTCACTCACAAGGCGTCCAAGAGAGCTGCAGCACGAGCCTTGCAAAACGATAATGGCATTCCTGGTAGCCCCGAAAGCTTATATACCTACTCCCAAGGCCGAGATAGCATAGCGCGTGCTATGGAAGAGAACTATTTCGAAGATCCAAACCTCTACCAGCTGGATTCCGTCGAAGGACTGCATACTGGACATTTGAAATCGGCGATTGATATACCCCTCAAATCTCCCGTTCGAGAACAGGCTTCCCAAATCCGAGGGGAGCTTGAAAAGGCCCGAGAGGAAAACTCATTGCTTGTCAACCTTGTCGCTGACATGGAGCAAAAACTGGAAAGCCTAAGCCTTTCGATTCGCGAGACCATCATCAAATTCAATCCTGAAGTGAACAGCGACTATCTAGAGCCTCCCCGACAACCAGGCACTGGTGAGTTGAAGCCTGGCGACATGCTCAGAAAGCAAATCGACTATCTAGAGAGTGGACTTGTTGCCGTGCAAGCAGAGCAAGAATCTTTTGTTAGCAGCGGTGGCAATAACGGCGGTATGTACCAGCTAGACGACGGCGCCGCCGAACGTATCGAGTCTGTCTTGGTAGGGCTCTGGGATAAGATGCAGTCGGGCTTTGCTGAAAAGAAGCAACGGAATGAAGAACGCCGGAAACATCGCGCGGACAAAGGATTGGTGGATGACGATGACACGTCAGATGACGATGCGTTTGACGCGGATGAGACTTACAACCTGATTGCCTTCTCCTCCAAGGTCGAATGGCTCTACTCTCAAGCTTCGACACTGAAAGATCAGAAGTCTGTGTTGAAGAGGCAGATCAAACAGCAGCGTGAACTCAACAACAAAACCGACGCTGAAAAGGATGAGGAGCTTGAACGAAGACAGGACGAGCTGGATCAGACTCGCTTCCTGCTCGAGCGAGCCGAAAAGGATGCTTCTGACGCCCAAAACATGTTGGCTGACGCCTTGCAAGACCTCGAAAAGGCGCAATCATCATCTTCTGGTATCTCTGAAGAAGAGCTTCGTACGCATGCTCTTAAGATAGAATCTCTAGAAGCTGAGATTGCCACACGAAGCGCAAAGATTGAATCTTTCGAATCCGAGATACAGGCACGAGACGCTAGATTAGAGGCTCTGACTTCCGAACTTGAGGCAGGAAATGGAACGTCGGAATCTCTTAGAAGTGAAATTCAAGCACACCAGGCTCGGGTTGAAACACTGGAGGCTGAAATTCAGGCACGTAGCGATCATATCGCATCCCTTGAGGCTGAAATTCATACACACAGCACCCGGGCAGAGTCTCTCGAAGCTGAAGCTCTCGCAACTGGTGTCCGGCTTGAGTCATTGGAAGCAGAAATCCGAGCACGCAGTGCTCACATCGAAACTCTGGAGGATAAGATCAAGGGCCACGACACAAATATTGGATCTCTTGAGGCAGAAATTCAGTCACGAGATGCACAAATCAAGTCTCTGGGCTCGGAGATCCAGGCGCATACTGAGAGGAGCGGATCATTTGAGGCTCAGATTGCTACGTTAGAATCCGAGAAAAAGAAATTCGCTGAGCTAAGCTCTCAACTTGATGGAGTTTCTAAAGAGAAGCTGGCGGCTGAAGAAATGGCAAAGGCTCTGCAGCAAGAGATGGACGATATGAAGGCGCACCACGCAACCAAGGAGAATGAAATTGCTCAGAAAGATGCCGATCTGGAGCAGTTGAATATGACTCTAGTGGAACTCAAGACCGAACTCACAATTGCCAGAGCAGAACTAGATGGTGCGTATGGATCTCGCGCTGAGCGTGCGGCGGATGCGGCGGCACTGTCGAACCAAAACGAAGTTATCAAGCTTACCGGCCAAGTCGAAAGACTCAAGAAGGAGCTGGCAGGTACTGTGCAAGATCTAGAGGCAATCACCAAGGAGACAATCGGATCAGAGCGTGAGAAGATTGATCTTGAACAAAAGGTTGAAGAGGCCATCACAGCAAAGGCCAGCTTGGAGGTAGATTTGGAGAAATCTAAACACTTGATCGCGAAGCTGCAAGAGGATCTTGATAGCGAACGATTCAAGGTTGGCGTGGCCCAAGGAGGCGTGACAAAGGTTGGCGCTGGTGCAGCCCTGCTCAGTGAACAGTTTAGAACGTCGATGAGAGAGGAGCGGAAGAGATTCCACGAGGATATGAAGGTACGTGCAAAAAGACTACATTTCCCCCCTCACTTTGGCAAAGGATGCAATAACTAACGATATTCCGTTTACAGGAGGAGCGCGCCAAGTACCGAAAGCTGGAAGAGGAGCTGAGTCGACTGAAGAAGAGCCAAGCAGTGCCCAAAGGTCCTCCAAGCCCGCAGTAATCCATCAAGACTAACCGTGGTCTTATGACTTCTTTTTCATCTTGTCATTATTAGACCCCTTTTATGCCCCATTCATCAAAGCGTCTCTTGCCATTCCATTTTTTGACCGATTTCATCTTTTTCATCTTCTTGTATATGATACCGACTCGTTGGGCTTTTCGCTTCGCTTCGGTTCTTGCTCTACAAGGATGGCGAGGGCCGCTCTTAATTATTTTAATCAGCTTATGAGTTGAGTATCGGGCTATACTAGCACTCAAGGTCAATGAGTCTCCCGCTCCCCTGCGGTCCCGGTCCCCGAAGAACCAACTACTACAGCTATTATCTTGGTTTTATCTGTTGTCTTAGGATAGATTTGTTCATGGCATACATGGCCTGTGATTTTGTCTTTTTTTTTTCTGGATAACGATTATATTTGAAAAGAGAGGGTAGTTGGATGAAATAACTAGATGAAACGTTTATTCAATCATAGAGAAAGAAAAGTTACAACTGTTCTTAACTAGAGGAGATGAGTATCAGTTGATGAGGCGAGACTTCTATCTGGATTTGTGCTAGTCTGTCCCCTACTCCTTTCCCTGAACAACCATGCATCCAAGGGTGATACAAACCCACGCTATTTGTTTATCCACGCCCTATCTTCGCCCTATCTTTTTTTGCCTATATTAGGAAACGTCCTAAGATGCCATTGGTCGAGAAAAAAAGACCCAGGCAAAAAGAAAAACGAAAAGGCTGCCAAGCTTCCCCCCCTTTTCTCTCAACAAGGCAAGGAAACAAAGGACATAAGGTAGTATTCATTACTATTCTAAGGTGGGAGATTATAGTGCGCGCGCTGTCCTAGATAGGTAACCAACTTATTGCTAGGTAGCATTGCCGATTGCGGATCTATTGTAGCATCTGTACAGTGGTGAAGATACTATCGGAAGGGGCAAAGAGGTTCTTTCTGCTTAGGTAATAGATAAATTACAAATGATACCCTCTTCTGGTCTTGTTTTGGGATTCTTGATTTGATGCTTTGAGTGTGGTTTCTAGAAGTTTGCTCAATACGAATTCCTGACGAAAACTAGCCACCATTGTTTTTTTCCATGGCTGCTTGAAATATAAATGAAAAATTGTTGAAAGGGAGTTTTGTGTGATTACAAATTCACTTTGGTAATATTGAACTTTGACAAATCAGCCAGACCAAAAACTGTAGGTGGCTGAGTCTGTGTATAATTCTGCCAGCGGCTTCTTCAAGTCGTCGACCTCTTTCGAAAAAGTTTAGCAACCTGTTCCTCACGGCCCTATCAGACTATTTCTTTGGGAGTCATCAGACTACTTCTTCACTTCGGCAGCCCCCCCCCCCCCCTTTTTCTGACAGTCTGTCTGCCTACAGATGCTAAAAACTTATTTCCATATCAACCGCGTTGGGATTACTGGAATCGTCGAGTCCTGCTCCACTTACCGAGACAGCATATATTTCCAAGCCTGAGAGCAATACGATGCCCGGTGACATCCCTGAGTATGTATCCCTTGACTTCTGTGCACTTTTCGCAGCCAGTGGCTGCCACAATTGCTACTCCCTTTGCGGGGTCCAATGGCGGTGCAAGTACCGTATTACTTGGCTTTTTTTCGCGGTTCTAGATAATTGAATTGGTTAAATTTCATATTTTCGCTACAATAAATCATTGTCGAAAAATGGAGGGAATCATCGTCGAAAAAGCGAGGGAACCACAATAAATTAATGATTAACCAATTAAATTCTTTCATTTTTCAATTATTGTGGTTCCCTCGCAACTTCGACGATAACTATGGAGTCTAATTGGCTATATTCTTTATTTTCTCCAATATTTACTTTGTCGTCGAAAAAGCGAGGTACGTAATACGGTTTAGGATCTGGGGTTTGCAGCAAGTTGCTGTAATAGCTGGGTAAATGAGCAATGAGTTTACAAATTCCTTGTATATACGCTGAATTTACTTTATAGAGTATTTAAGTAAAATACTTGGAAGGTAACCACAATGATGAAGGGAGAGTACATAGGTATGCAAAAAATGTATCATATGATCTAGTATCTCATAAACTAATCAAACACTTTCGCTATCCTGGTCCTTGTATTTATTAGTTTCTCCCCATGTATTAGAAGAAACCGTCTTCTTTCTTCCAACTCTTCTCGTCTTCCGTTCTTATTCCTCTTGCTCTCTCACATTCTATGAGGAGATTCCACCGCTCTATTGAAAAACGAGAAAAACAAAAAAAAAAAAAAAAAGTAAGGATACTCTAATAAAGTTGCCAGGTAAAAAGAAGCACACGATCCAACCGTCTCCAAAAAATCAATATATAGAAGAAAAATCATAATCTTGTGATTGAATAGACAAAAACACAAAAAATCAGCCTCTTTGGTATCGAGCGAAAACATAAAAGTAATAGTATAAAAACTCAAAACCCGTGTCCCCATTCCTCTCCAAAAATTCCAATAAACGCCATTTTCATAAAGATCAAAAGTTGAAATCGATCCAAAGTGAGGAGGATTAAGATGGCGAAGTAGGTGCGAAAAAATTAAGTAGAAGTTAAAAGGTTTAAAAGCCAGTGTAGTAGGTCTATAGTGTAGAAGATAGTGTCGGAAAAGTCTTTCAACTGCAGAAAAAAAAAAGGAGAAGAGATGATGAGAAATTTTGCAGAAAAAAGAAATACTCCATGGGGCTGTGATAAATAATAGTATGTAGTGTATGCGTTGTAAGGAAGTTTGAAATTAAATTTGCATCGAGTCATCATCAACCGTCATTTGATCGACATCTTCAGCGTACGCAAGCTGAGACCAAACACGCCAATGCAAAACGCCGAGGTGTGCCAGTCTGGTAGCAATGTCGTCGACACTGGCATCGTCAAAAGCCTCTCGTGAGGCGCCATCAGTATCGCGGTCTGCCGTGGCGGGTCGGCGGCTGGGGACTCGAACGCCAGTTGCAACTGAAAACAGGGCAACGCCGGAGAGGCCCTTGAATTCCCGGACGCGAGCGCCAAGATCGACCATCAGGCGGTTGAGAAAGCTCTCCTCGGCATCGCGGTAGTAAGGAGAATCGATGTCGCTGAGAGCAGAAGCCAGTTTGGCCTCCAAGAGAGGAAGGGTGGTGGATGGCAAGTTGACGAAGCGGAAGATTTGTAATGCCATTGACGGGGCCATCATTTGCCATCGTGCAGAGGGCTGACTTGCCGGTGGGGAAGTCTGCAGCAGGGCAACGAGTGTCTGGAATAGCTCACGAGCCTTGGTCTGAGTGTCACGCTTGGGGGCGACATAGGAAGGGACCACAAACGAAGACCTGGGAGATGAAGAAGCAGATCCTGCCGCGCTGTGGACAACGCTTGACGGCCTAGAGATGGACGGAGGAGTGTTGAAGTCAAATCGGTCCAGGATGTCATCCATCTGGGAAGAGCAATCAGATGAAGGGGCTGCTGGTGTGCGACGTCCTATTCTCTCAAAGTCTTCATAGACACGCATGCACACCTCCAGGTTGATGGCGTCCAGCGCGTCGGCTCTAAGCTTCATCAGTCGCTCTTCGTCAAAGGTAAAGGTAGTAGGCAGCCGTTCCTCCCAGGCTGAGGGAAGCATAAGCCTAGACAGGCCCTCGAAGAATACACCCATATCACCAAAGGACTGTGAGGGATGCATTCGGCTGTCGGCATACGCCTGCTCTGCCTCCTTATACCACTGTCTTGACATTCTGATGTCAGTCTTGCCTGACTCCATCCTCTTGAGAAAGAATTTCTGCTCAAAGTGAATTGTGTCCTCGATCAATGCCGGTCGCAGGCAGCGAATCTGATGGTTTGCGACATCCAGCTTCATGGCTTCCAGGACATTCAATAGGCTTCGCATTCCGGTGACGAGCTCGTCGAGGTCCATGTTCTTGTTTCCATTGCTCAGCTGGTTGTACATGGCATCGACCCATTCATCACGCATGGGAGCGCAGTGTGATTTCAGCACATTCGATAGCCATTGGGCAAGCTTCTCAAGATCGGCAACGCCCTTGTGGAACTGTCGCATGAGCAATTTGACATCCAAGCCCTCGTCCAGGAAGAGGCGGTCTCGCTGGGGAACCAGTGTCTGGATGATATCCTTGACCGCGTTGAGCAAGACGGGCAGAGTCCAGTCATCTTTCTCGCCATGCTTGTAAATAAATGTAGGCCTGTCGATGATGAACTCTGATAGCTCCTGTTTCAGCGCCCTCCAAAACTGGTTTGCCTTTTCATGCTTTCTCCGGCCCTTTTCACCATCGATGTTGGGGCGGAAATGGAGCTCAGGGTCGAAATTGATATCGTGGCGGAGTTTGGGGTTGTGAATGATTTTGGCGACATCAAGCTCGCTCAATGTAAGTTTTGTGACTGGCGGCTCAAGACGCTGTGTGTGGTGGGATGATGGAAGGCTGGGCTCGGGGGTGGGAGAGGATGAGACACCTCCTACGGAGATGGCAGAGTCGGACGAAGGATTGCGGGTTAGAGGGGCAGATCCAGGCGCCGAGGCACGAGGCTCGGCCTCACACTGTCGAGGCGATACTTGTGATGACTGTGTAATCTCCTGCGCCGCCTCCTCTTGGCTTGGTGCAGGCACCTCGGATTCCTTTATGGGCTCTGCTTCGTTGTTGGTTGGGCAGGGGGCCGAAGTAGAGAGCTGTCTCCGGGATCGCTCTATCGATCCTCCAGTTTCTTGTTCCGGTACCATTTTGATGAAAAGTAAAAAATAAAAAATCTAGCTGTTGGGAGAAAAAAATTGTATGTCTTCTTCGAAGTCAAGCGGAAAAGAATTGCTCTATCTTATATATTCGTCAATGCTCGAAAACGCTCTGGGTTCCGTTGCTGCAAGTATCAGCGTAGTGTGGATGAAGCCGCTTCTTGTTCGGTAGCTTCGCCCGATAAGGTAAGAGGACAATGAACGAGTGTATGCCTCGACTGGTTAAAGCTGATGGTTAGCCTTCTTCTTTTTTAATCCTGTGCTCTGCATACGCAGAGCATCTAAAAAGGGTGTAACCGATGCAATGGAATGAAGCGGCTAGCAGCAGATATAACCGGCTGCTCAAGGTTACCAGGCCCTGGCCCTATGTGTGTCGAGCAAGTCCACAAAGAAAGAAGAGATATCGTCTTTCAATCTGTGGGGCGTCGTTCAGGTCCAGGTGCCGGAGATGGTAATGGCCCAGAGTTGGGCAGGGTATTTGCTTTGTTGCTGTGGATGGTGTATATACGTACTTGGCGTATAAGACGGAGTGGGCTCTGCGGTCCAAGGCCTCTCGGATTCCTTTATGCCTTATTCTTTGATTCTGGAATTGGTCGATCCAGCTCAGTTTCCAAGATAGTCTGTTCAAAGGCAATTCTCGCTAACAAGACACAATTGTACGGATAAAAGAGCACAATGGCGGAGGGTAGCCAAGGTGAAGCACGCCAAGTGAAGGATGGGTGTAAGCACCACGAAAAAGAGAGAGGTGAGGTGGAAGATGGGAATGGAGGACAAGATGAGAGGAAGACGGGACGGGGGGGAGAAGAGAGTAGAAAAGAGAAAAGAAAAGAAAGACGAGAAAAAGCAGGACAATTAGTCAAGTTGAAGTAGGAGGCGTCTGGCTAGTGGAAAAGGAAAGCCATGCTGCAAAAGAAAAGGAAAAAAGGAGCGGAAAGACGGGACCCTGGGAAACGGAGATGGCACGAGGATGGCAGGGCCATTTACATGTACATGCATCCCAGGATCCGGAGGTATGGGGGAGACTGGTACCGATACCTGACCACCAGGTCACCCAGCACCCGCGCATGCAAGCCCGAGAGACCTCCTGAAGGGCTAGCGCTCCAGCGAGGGAGGACTGCAATTTTAGGTGTGCCTGAAGTAGCGGTACCGCAGGCCCGGCGGTGGGCGCCCAAACGCTGGCGCTGCAGTGCGTGGCAATGCGGTCGAGGGGCCGGGGACAGCGACGTAGCGGGTACCCGCGCCAGCACGCAGCGCTGCAGCCAGGGCGCTGGCGGTAGGGACCATGACGCTGATCCAGCAGCGCACAACAAGCCGCTGGAAGGACGAAGTGCCCCCGTGCATACTCCGACAGCAGGTACCGGTACAAGGGGCTCTCCGTCGCAGCCCCGAGGGAGGGTTGGAGGGAGCAACAGGCGCCAGAACGCCCTCGAATGCTCTGCGATGGGTTGACCGAGTACACACACACGGGGGGTCGAGGGTACTTTGCATTAGCAGCACCTGTGGTTGCAGACCCGGTAGCAAGGGAGGTACACAGTGGGTGGTGGTGGTGGTTGGTGGTGGTGGTGGTGGTGGCGCTACATCTTAGGCCTCATCCATGAGTAGCCAAAAAAAAAAAAAAAAAAAAAAAAAAAATCCGAGTGCAATACCGTACAGTAAGGCAAGAAGGATGAATGGATGGGGTGGGTACAGATGGCGGCACCATCGCCAGGCAGGGCGCTCAAGGCGCTATCGGCGCTGTCGCAATCCAATCTGACCACGCATAGGCTTGGGACGAGGCCAAAGCCAGCAACACCACGGCGCTGGGGCTTCCGGCTGGAGGGGGGCGACATACTGTCCTCGCTGGTTCACCACCCCAAGCCACCACAAAAACGCAGGGGGGGATGACAGAGATTCGGAAAAAGGTCACGGTACTTGCACGCCTCGTGCAGCACTGGCTTCAGACCACAAAGCACTAAACTCGCCAGGTCTAAGATGAAGATGGCGTGGGGGAAGACGGAGGCCCTTTTGGGACACCACACTGTGCGGCTGCTGGCATGCTCACGCTCACACCTTGGCTGTGGATACACCGTAACTTTGCCTTTTGCTCGCCGTAGCGACCAGCCCTTGCATTGGCCTCTGCTGAGAGCCAAACACACAAAGGGCGGAGAGCAGCGGCAAGGGGAGAGTCATGACTAAGGAGATGGAAGGCGTTTGGAAGGGAGGCCGATGGCCAATGGCGGCAGCACAAGGCGAAGGAAACGACAGTGCGAAACGGCCGAGGTGAGATTTCCCGTCCAATCTACGTAGCATCTCATCCGTCGTATGTTTTATCTCATCACCGTCGTATTATGCCGCCCATTAGTCGTCTTCGCCTTGCCACGTCTGCTCAATGCCCTGCAGCCAGTGCCTAGGCATGAGATGCCATCGCAGGATGAGAGAGAGAGGGGGGGGCCACACGCACCGCAACTCGACTGGTTTCTTATTAATAAAGAGGATCAACTCTGCTGTGCAAACACGGCGCCAGTCCACATACACAAACGAGCGGTGCAGTAGCAGTAGTGCAAGTACTTATTCAGCAACCCCCCGTCCCATCCCAATCCACATGGCCAGCCGTGGTGGCGGACGAGTCCTCGTATTGGGCCATTCCAGTTGCAGTGCGGCCTTATCCCAACAAAGCCCAATGTTTGTCTGCAGCCATGGACAAACCCAGAGCCCAGTGCAAAAGGTCCGAACCCTAGCACTGCTGCCGCTAGAAACGCCCATGTACCTATCTGTGCCGCTGGTGGTGGTGGGAATACCTCAGCGGCGCAACATGACAGCCTGCCATGCAGCCAGAGGACCACATACCAGCGCCACTGGCCGAGCTAGAGCACGGAAAAGTTTTCTTTTTTTTTTTTTTNTTTTTTTCCTTTTCTTTCTTTTTCCTTTGTAATCAATCTCCAATTAACTTTCCCTCGGCCTGAGTAATGGGACAAGCGTTGTTGCCGGTATATCTCCGCCTCATTTGCCATTAAATCCCGACCAACCAACGAGACACTGCCGTTCTCCAACCAAAATGGCGAAGAGCTGCGCTGCACGTCCTATCCAATACGGTTCTTTGCCCCCGGCTGACCATGCTGGTATGGTACCTAGTACGTTGCTTTGGCGCGGCTGGCCGCTGAAAAAAGAAAGAGCACGGCAAACAATCAGGCTAACAGGGTATCCCCGGCAATGTGGGATGACACGTTCGATAAGATGTCAGTAGTGGACGAGGTTAATGCTGCTCCGTACCGTACGCCGTCCGTATTTTTAGCACGGGTCCTACTTGTAAATTGTTTAGCGATGCCATGTGCTCTCAAACGGAACATCCCTTTGAGCATTCCGTGATGTGCATGTAGGTTAAGTCCGTAATGCGGCTATTGCTTTTGCATCGCCTCGCTTTCCAACTTTCCACTGTTGATTCTAAAGATGGAAAATGCAAGAGACATTGATAAAGAGATAGAAAGGGATGCGAATGCAATGCATAGTCGAATTAAACTGGCCGTTAATCATCTGGCCCGATCGGTATGGAATAAGGTCCAACGCATACCTGCACACGTAGCTACATAGTAACAGATGTGCACTCGAGCGCTCCGTAATCTGCTATTCGCTCCGTTTGCGACAAGCGGCACTTGGGCAACAATACAGCTGCTTCTGCTTGCCTAGACGAGACATGCTCCAGGGGGTACCGCCAATTGGATGGCTCCCTTGGAGTTGGAGAGGACCCCTGCCCACCTGACGACGCACCAGACAGCTGGTACCGGTACTCAGTACCACATACGAAAGAAGAAGAAAAGGCCGCCGCCAGCGCTAAAAGCGTCACAGAGGCTGAAAAAAAAAAGAGAAAGAAAAGGGAAAACTGGAGAGCGTTTCAAACGGCACAAAGAGCAGAAGCCTCGCCGCCAAGTCATGTCGCCAGATAAAGAACTCGAGAGGAGCAGCATGCAAAAAAAAAAAAAAAAAAAAAAAAAAAAAAAAAAGCTTTGTTGAGTCAAACATCCATTGTCAGGGCGGGCGTGTGTTCGATTCCTTTCACTTCCCGACGCACCGAGTCTTTGACGGTTGTCTGTTAGCTGCTAGGACCAATCAAGGCAAAGAACAATGCAAGCTGGATCGGCGACAAGACAAACAAACGAAGCAAATGCCCGTCTATAATTAGGTAGCAGTACCACAGGACAGGCATGAAGTTGGCTGTTTAGGCTAGTTGGCCGTCAATCAAGGCTTGGGGACGGCGGCCGCATAGGGGGTGGGCAGCTTCGAAGTCAGTCACCCGCATCGAAAAGAGCAATGCAGACGGGCAAGGTGAGAGAGAACCGTCAATGCGCGTCCCACCAACTCCTCTGCGGCCCATCTGCGCTACCGCCAGAAAGTGAAGGTGGGATATGACAGGTGGTCTGTCGCTCCCCGTCGCTGGAGTTGAGCTCATCAAATTGCGTGGTAATAGGGTAACAGCGGCCAGGCTTAGTACGTTTTGCCCGCGCCAGGGTGTAGCTGGCACACCTGAGCTGAGGCCGGCTCTACCAAGGCTGAGGCAACGTGAACATACAGCTGCATTGGAGAGACGGTGGCAATTGGAAGGCAATATTATGCTGCCTCTTGTTTCCAGGCACTAGCCCAAGTCCGTATCTCAATACCACGACAGCTAAAGTGCTGCCGGCCTAGCGCGTGTGGAGAGCCATGGCGCGAATTCCGTACCTTGATGCTAGCAGGACCTTCATTTAGCACGGGCCACGTCTAAAACGGAGGCTAGGCCGTCCGTGACCCGTCCCCTACCAGAACCCAGCGAGGGCCCCTCACTAGCATGGCGTAGTCTCGCCTCTAAACTCCCCGAAATCCAGGCACGAGATTCGGCCTCGCTAGGGGCGATGCGGCAACGAGTTCCAGTTCTTTTGCCTTCCCAAGACCCCGGATATGGTACATGGCCCATGTACCGCCCGCCGCAGGCCTGCCCAACCAACAAAGAAAAACGGCTAAACTACAGAATCCGAAGGCCTGCATTGACTTGCTCAGTCTGCAAACAAGCGGGCTCAGTGCTTTGGCGCTGGCTTCTCCAGCGACCAAGGGCCGGCGCCAGCGCATCCAGCAGCGCAACCGCGGCTTCGCATTGCGACGAGGCGCACTTCCAATTCCGTCTGCCCCTCCATTTCGGGCCTCACCGACAACAATGCGTACTAACGTACCGTGCTAGGTACCGCCATCTGCCCGCCTTTTCTGCCGCCGCCACAAGCACGCCAGCCCTCGACGACGCTTGCTTGAAACGCACCGGCGATGCGCCTGGAAGACTGCTTTCCCACCGGGACACCATCTCAACCTCCCTCTCGCGCAGACTCGCTGCTTGGCCCTTCTGGCTGACTGACTCGGGCTTACGAACTGTGGCATTATTCGCTGCTACTACTAGCTGACACAGCCGCCCCTCGCCCAGAGGCAAAGAGGGTGTTTACGGGCAATCTCCCTTGTCGCTGCTTGCGCTCGCCAAGCTGGAGATGGCAGGCAGGTGGGATGGAGCATGACTTCATCGACAGCCACTCCGTTATATACATAGTACTGTACATGTACCTGCCAAAGCATGGAGTGCCGAGATGGTCCCGGTACGCAGTGCTGTCGTCGCTGCTGCTGCGCTGAGCCGCTGTGGCCGGTACTGATACATGTTCGCGGCGTGCTGACGGGCCTGCCATTTATTTTCCCGCGCCCTTCTTGACTCACTCCTCGGCAGCAAAACATGCGATGCTGGCAGGATGATTACCGTCTGATTCCAATGTTTCTCTGCCCTTCTCCCTTGGCTATCCGTCATCGTGCATCCAAGCATGGCTCGGCCAAGAAAAACACTCGTCCGGATATCGCCCTGACGACGCATTGTGCGCTTCTGCTGGTGCCGCAGCCGCCGCTACCGACTACAAACTCCAGACATGCCGGTTTCAAATTTTATTCACATACTTGTACTGCACGCACAAACGCATACAGTATGCGCACCATTGTCGCTCACTACGTTAGTATTTAGCACAGACAAAAGGCCACTGGCTACTGCTGCAGATGGATGAGCAGACGAGGCTAGTCAAATGTCCACTTGGTGGTCACGGGGGCATTGTCAGACTGCCACCACGGCTAAGACGAGACGGAGCATGTTGGGCTGTCGTTGACCCATCCGAGCACATGTCTGGTTGTTGCTGCAGCGTCGTCGTGGCTCGTGGCTGGCTCACGGCCGTCAAGAACCACTAAGCAGCGAGTCTACATTACAGCCATTGGGGGGATTGGCGTTTCTCACCACTCCACACATTCAATGCAGCACGCGCCGTGCAACACCAGACTGCAAGCTAGGGAATAGCGCCTCCGGCCATCGTCGCTCTGCCATCCGCCAACCTCATGCTTTTGGACCCAGCAGCATAGCCCGTAGATGCACCACACCAAAGACAGCTCATCCTGGGGCCCCGTGATTGTGCGATGCAATACCTACCTGCCTGCAGTACTCGTCCTGGATGACCCAGCACAAAAGCATGCTCCGCGACAGCAGGCATTTCTACGGCCACCCATCTGACGGACTTGGGGCCTGAGCAAGGTGAGGTGACTCAAGCAGATGACAGCAACTCACTTGGAACCCCCATCAGATACATACTGCCATGTACTGTACGGCCAGCACAAAGCGGATTAGCAGTCGTTCTTTCAGATTGCTATACTGTACTTCTATAACGTTTGGGGGACCAAGAGGCTTCTGTGATAACAGGAGGCAGAGATGCTCCAAGACGGTTCGAGCGGATAGTATCCATCTCGATGAAGCTGAGAAACCAAGAAACACATACCCAGTGCATATCTGTCGCCGGCCGTACCAATGAGCACCGGCAGCTCGTAGATGCGCCTACGTGCGCTGTGTAACTACCGCAAACTGGTGACGATCCGAAGACATCTTCAACGGTCACTGCTTATGGAGACGGCATCGGGATGATACCCTGGCCGGCAAGCCAATTATTTGTTCGCCGTTGCTGCATCGCGCCGAAACTGGAAAGGCAGTTGCCGTAATCAGCATTTGCAGCGTCGGTTTGTGTCTGCTACTGTACAAGGCACTCCATGGTAGTCGGTTGTGCCTGTGCTACGCGACACTGTCACCACACTTGTCTCAAGTTATAGCCTTCTAAAGGACGCTGCATTCATGCGCTGCTACTATTCGCTGAGACCTTCTTTGAGGCTACGTCTCGTCCTTTTCCTCTCAGTTGATATATGACAGATATGCACGGGAAAGGTTTATCTGATTCATTTAGACCGGAAACCCCGTATCTTGCCGGATCGATCGATGGCCTCATTCTCTCTCCCTCTGCGCCACTCAAGCTTCTTTTACTTTCAAAGTAAAATAGAAAGGAATCAGAAGAGAGAGAAATGGAAAAGGGCATGGTACCTGAATTAAGATGCATCTCATAACTGCAATGCCATAGCTAGTATTACTAACTATGCATCGAATATCGATCCCGCATCACTCCTCCTATTCACGGGAGAGATGCCACTGAGATGAATGGCAGCACGTCATTCTCTGCCCGTTGCTGTCGTCCGAGAGCACTATTACACCTTCCAATATATTTGCTGCTAGCACTTAGCTCTGGCTTATAACTGCATACTGCTATTTCGGGTCACAGCATCTTAGCGGCCCTGGGCCTGTTTGACGGCGAACGACGTTCGACTCGGGGATGTTGGCTGGCACTTGCACCTTAACGCCACGGTCATACAGACTACATACTGAACCCCTGTCGAACTCAATCTGGGCCTTTTGTCCCTCATTGCTCATTGTTCAACGGTTTTCCCAGGGTCCGAGAAAGCGGGAGGACTTAGAGACGGGTAGTCCGTGGCTACATCTTACCGAAGCTTCCAGGATTGCACCAGACGGGATATGCCAGTATGCATCGCCACGATGCAGATGCGCTCTCCTGCCGTGGTTTTCAATGCCTTCTGAGTCGTGATCGTCGGAAGCTCTGATTATGAGTCAAGACTCTATTATTATCGGACGCGCTTCTTAAAAAAAATTTTACCAGTGGCGTTATGATTTTCCTTCCCCTTTTCCTTCTGGAAGTATTCCTAGACGTGAGGTGGAGCTTTGCTTCGCCGCCACAGCTTTCTTCTCTAACGTGCGTTTTGCCATTTCCGAGGTACACGGAGTACAAGGCCTACCTAAGCCTAGTCAGCATCTAGGACGCAGAAATAGCTTCCCTTGGAGAGAGATTTCCCTTACGCTAAGATGAATGGGTAGCTGATTAACTACTATTTGGCTTCTTGCTTGAGCATGTCAGAGTCAGTGTCCATACCCGTCCAGACATCTATGACTGAGATGTTTATCAGCTCTAGACTCAGGTTGAAAAAAGCCTGTTCTTTTTACATGCATAAAACACCGGGATCTCACTGACGTGATTCTCTATATATCAATAGTACGGGCAGTCTGATATAGGTATTGCAAGTCGCCAGATATTCACTCGTCTATCTATATACGAAGCAATCAGCTTTCTCCAGGACGCTAGCGGTGAAGCAATACAGTCCCGGTATGAGGAATGACAATACAGTGTCGGTAATGCGTTGGGCCACGAAGAGGTTAGGGTGAAATAAGCCCTGTTGGTACGGGGCGAAATCGGCGTGCCGATCGCCATGGCATGATCGGGATGCTATCCAACAAGATGTGCTTGTACGGAGCACTTTCACCGGCGATATGCGGGAGTGCCTGAGCTTGCCACTCAAGCCCTAACCAGGAGCCAGAGCATAGAGATGAGAGACCCGTTTTCCCCTCCGCTCTAGATGTAGTGGGAGAGTCAACGGCACGGCACATTGTACCAAGACCCTGAGAATCGACATCTAGTTCATACGCGAACACTTTCTAGCTGTCTAGAGCAGGAGGATAAACGGATAAGTACTCGTAGTTTGATTCATCATGGCTAAATGTCTGTATAGGCCATATCCATGCACTCCCTACTGTATAGGTGTGTGCCTTGTTCCAGTTAATCAACCTATTTGGACAAGATGTCGTCCCTGGGCCAGGCAGGGACTAGAGAAGCTTCCAACACAGCCTAGAAAATTGCCTATCAGCTACTAGTACCTCTACTTTACAATTCGTACCGAACAGAGCCAACGGGTAATGGCCGAGACATGGGGATGCTATCCTTGTGCCTTAGATCAATAGATATCGGGACCCCGGGGAAGAGAGTACATACAGAATACAGTCAGCACCGAGCAACGATACGCAATGACATGCATGCAGATTCCTGGATAGCCTCTTTCCAATGCTCCACCTCAGTTCCGCTTCTCCTGTTTGCCCTCTCTAGCATCAAAAGGAGGTCTAACTCTAACGCCAGAAGTGCTGTGCCTTCTTCGAGGCAGGAGGAGGTATAAAGGTCGCAGTCTGCCTAGTTGACTCATGAAGGCTCCAGACTGAGCCGCGATTGCTCTTCTGATACTGCCGCTGCTTTTGATGATGGGGCGGCTGGGCTTGCCGATCCCGCTAGCATGATAACGGCTGGTGCATAACGCAACGATTGTTTCCACTCCACTCAGTCTCCCCAGAGGAAAACGAGAAGAGGAAGCAAAAGTTTCATGCTAGTGGCGCTGATTAAGAAGGACGAGAGTGGGAAACAGCGAAAAGAGAGAGCTGCTAGTAGTAGCTCTACCGGACAAACTAAGCGAGGCACTGGACTTGTCGCAGTGGCTGTTTGGGCCAAGAGAGCAGAACAAACCAGCCCCCCGCCCATTCATTGGGTTCCACCGCTATTCGGGCTCAGCATCGCGCTCAATCGCATATTTTCGGCACGTAAGTCTAAATGAAAGAAAAAAAGTGACAATCCAGCTGGCAAGCCTCGCTTCTGCGGGCAACTCGCCCGAAGACACCGAGGCGGTGGAGTCGTATTTGGCCAAGAAAAGGAGCGCCAGCCAGCGAAGCATACAGCAGGGAATATGGAGAATGGAGGAGAAGGCGAGGCGAGCTGAGAAAGGGACTTTGATTGTCCACGCGGATTCGCGAAGCAGCGGCAGAGCCTTGGATTGCTCTTTTGATTTCTTCTTTCGGTTCTTCATGTTTTGGACTCAAACTCGACATACCAGACAACAACGAGCATGGTTTCCTTAGCTCAAGGTTTCCTCTTTCTGCTGGAAGCTTTTTTGATGTGATGACCTTTCTTTAGCAGCCCATAGGTACAGCCAAACGAACCCTGGTTACGTTTTAGTCAGGCTCTACTGCAGCATCGAGGATCTCGGAGATGACCTTCTGGAATACTTCCTTTCCGCTTTCGAAGAATTAGGTCCCCCCAGCCAAGTCATGCCACTGACGTCAAGGGGTGCGTCGTATTACTAGTATTTGTCGGTGAGCCAGGTACCAGAGACTTTAGCACTCTATATGAGACAAGGATGGCCGAGAAAGAGAGATTGAGGCTTTCATAAACATAATGCGGAGTATGCAAATGCTACCTTGTATAAACGCGGCTGCCTTGATGCTACCTTGCTCACTAAGCTTGATTGCGACCCTATGTAACTCTTGACTATACGATATTCGGTCAATCTTTAGGTTAGAGTCGCAATTAGGATATCGTGATAAAGTATTTCAGCTTGGGAGGGGTGAAACGCGACATTCGCTGGAATGGAGGCCTCGTATTCAGGTAGCTTTTTTTTCCCCTCTTCTTTGGGATGATACTTTTTCTGGGGTAAGCAATGTCACTGAGGCTGCATAGACAGGGCAGTTAAAGTTATGATCCGTCGTGCTAAAATGCGTAATTTGACTTCAATGCCGGTTGAACGGGTTTCCTGCCGTCGGCTGATCCATCACAACTCATGTAGAAAGAGAACAAGGTAAAATAAAAATAGAAAGAAGATTGTTTATATGACAACCTTTCGTATCTATTAAATCTTACTTTTACTTACTTGCGTGTGCGTGTCAGAGGCACTATTATCTAAACGCCCGCGCGACGACATAGACATTCTAGTGGAAACCTTCAGACTACAGAGCTGGGGTCTTGGGGAAAAGCATCTCATTTATTTTGCAATTAGCGTGCCATGTTGAAAACACATGATCAGATAATGATATATATTTGTCTTTAGCGGCGATATTGGAAGCGCCAGATCCGCGATCTGGGACTGTGCAGTGGAATGTCCTTCCCCAGTGCTGGCGCATCAAGCAGAGCTTATGCTTCGTGGATGTATGCAGATATTGAGCGCAACATGGGCTCTCTAAACACCTAGCTAGGATGCTTTTGAGGTATGTCCTAGGCTACTGACGCGGCATCATCAAGCCTGTTCGCTGGAAGGGGGGGGGAGTGGCTGGTGTCTCCTTCGTCAAACTCTCCCCTTTCCCCTGAAGGTGCGGCGCTGTGTGTCTATCGAATTAATCGTACAAGTGCCCTTTTTCTGCACGAGCTGCGCTCCGAAAGGTGTGTAGTACTCTCTCTCTCTCTCTCTCTCTCTAATATGTGTCCAAATACAAGGTTTAGGCTGGTATCTTTCTTTTTTTGATTTGTTTGTAATATGTCGTAGATGTTTAGCTGAGCAGGATGGAAACCTAGTATCATTCATATCAGCATTCAGTTCTAGCACTCTTTGAAAAAAAAAAAAAAAGAAGAAGATGAGGGCCTGTGAGAGAGTGTGTGTACGTACGGCCATGATGACACAGCATATACTTATATATGGACTTAGTCGCTCTCCTATCCTTGCGCACTTCCAGAAGATGCCCATAACTCTAGAAGTCAATTGTTAGCCTTTGAACAGGATGTTTTTTTCGTATAAATTCGCGGTGGGTTTTTGCATACCCGTTCTTGTTTCGGTCCATGATACCCGGGGTGAAATGGTGTACATAGGCGCTTGTGCAAATCAGCAGCAAGATGACGAGCAGGAGGGATCTGAAGTTGAAAAGCGCAGACTAAATCGATGCCATGTTAGCAACTAAAGCTCATTCTGCAGGGGCACAAGAGTATTTTTCGCAGTAACTTGCCATCTTGGCGACTTTGAAATCAAAGCTATTCAGCTAATAGGAAAGCATTCGTCTAATTGTCTGGCCACAAAGCTGTTCGCGATCCCATGTCTCGTCATTCCTAGGAGCTTAGAAGGGGCCAGATGTGGATAGGAAAAAGGATTTGCCGATCCGTTGGCAGCCCGTCCCGGGGGAGGATCCACAATCAGCTGGAAATTGATGACATGCAGTCCCGTCTCCACCAACCAGAAGTTGCGATTTCGAATGCAAGCTTGTGATTTCAATCTCTCTTTCCATAACTTTGCGACTTTGAGCATCATTGATATTCAAAACTTTTCCCGAACGATCTATTCCTTTGAACAATACACGATAAGAGAAGAAGCGACAGACACAAAGCATTTTCAAGATGGAGCCTCGTGCGCGCGCCGGCAAGAATGTTGGCAAAATGAACTTTTCCTACGCCGAATGTATGCACCACTCTCCTATCATCATGAGATCAAAGATATAAGAAGAAGAAGAAGAAAAGTAAACATATATTCTAATTCGGCATTACGCTCTACAGTGGCACAACTCCTCTACGCCCACGGCGACATCAAAAACCCCATGCCCGAAACCGTCCGCGTGTTAGACGAGATCCTCACCGACTTCATGCAGTCCATCGCCTTCGAAGCCAACCGCGCCGCAAACTACTCGGGCCGGCAAAAGATCAAGTACGAAGACTTTGAGTTTGCCTTTCGGAAGAACCCTTCGTTTTTGGGTAAAGTGCAGGAGGTGTTCGAGAAGCAAAAGGAGATCAAGAAGGCGCGAGAAATTCTGCGGGATGGTGAGGATGAGATTATGAAGGATGCGGCCGAGGAGGAGAAAAAGAAGGAAAAGGAAAAGGACAAGGAAAAGGAAAAGCCAAAGGCGAATAGAGTGGAAGAGGAGTTGGGTGAAGCGGATGATGATGCTGAGGCGGAAGCAGATGCTTTGGGGAAGAGGAAGTAAGGGTGGTTGTTCTTAGATGGGGTTTGATTGGGCCCGTCTATTTCCCTTTCTTTTCGCTGCTTGGTTTTACAAGGCATTGTTCTGGAGTTCAGGGCGGCAGAAAGCATGTAATAGATGCTTGATACATGGGATCGGTGTTTTTGGGGTCATTTTACTTTGCTTTTCTTTTATTAGCACGTACTTACAGCTTAATGGATGCCAGCTGATCAATACCACAATTTATGCGATCCTTCAGCACATCCCCTCTGCTCTATCGGTAAGGGCTGGACAAGCGTTTTCAGCTACGGCTGAGCAGCCTGCCCTGCCCTACTAACCTCGCATATGATATAGGTGGGCATCATGGCAGCACTACTCACAATAGATATCAACCTGCCCATCCTGACCATCTCGGGTCGACTTTGTAGCCGGAAAAACATTCAAGCAAAAGCTGGATAATTTAATGGCTTCCTACGCCACAATATCACAATAGCCTCTACTACTAGATAGGCCAACAGCAGCGCAATTAAAGCCGGGCGCATGGGAATAAAACGGAGCGGAGACGATCGGCGACCGATATCCGCATTATGCCACCACATGCTCCGGGCCGTCCGTAGATAGCGATATCGGGTTACCGCGTGGCCAGCTCATGGTTGGGTTTTTATCTAGCTACTAGCTAGGTATTTGCACCTTTTAGCTCTTGGATGGGGAAAAAAGTCCGATTTCGTAAGCTGTTGCCGCTGCATCTCCGCCAGTTAAAAAAATGCCTGCCGTCACAACTCCTCGGTGATGGGGCGAGAGTTGCGATAGAGGCGGCTAGAGGAACGACTATATCAGATCCACCCCCAGAGAAGCCAATAGGGTGCCATGGGGAAGAGGCGCCAAGCAGAATGAGTGCAGTCTTCTGGCTGCTAATGCTGGTGGTGTTGAGGAGGAGCGGGTGGTCACCAGGCGGTGTCTGCCTAGCTGGAGTAGAGTTGTAGAAGAGAAATCTCTTTCTGTGACGGCACATCATTCTTGGTCTGCTAGAGACTTGGAATCCTAAGACTTCTTGGCGTTGTATTGTCGTTGCCACCTGGTTGCTGCCATCAGCTTCATTAATCCAAATGCAGTTTTATCTTCTTGCGTCTTCGAGGTGATTTAAGAGGGTCATCATGGAGGCTGAACGAATGACCGTGTCCCCGCCTCCCCCGGCAGAGATTGAGCTGCACCTCTCCCCATACAAAAACCATCCAGAAGAGGCAGATGGCTACCATATTGCGCCGCAACATCCAGTTATTTCAAGCGATTTTCAGACGAAAACGAAACCATCGCTTTTGGCTGATGACTTCCGTCAACTTTCAATAAGTCCGGCTCCCAGTGGAAGACTCTCCCCGATTCCCCATGGACCATATAACCCGACAGGAGTCCATCCGCCTCCTCTCGAAGCGCCGCCGTCGTCTTGGTTGAAACAGTTTTGGTTAAGGAACAAGCCTTCTATACTTGTAGCGGTCTCTCAATTTTTCGGAGCTTTAATGAACCTCAGTGCTCGACTGCTGGAATTAGATGGCGATGGAATACATCCAATCCAGGTCCTTCTCCTTCGGCAAGGACTCACATCTGTCCTCTGCTGTGCATATATGTGGTGGAAGGGTATCCCAGACTTCTTCTTGGGCAATAAAGAGGTCAGATGGCTTCTGCTGGCTCGGGGTTTCTCGGGATTCTTTGGCATATACGGCATGTGGTATTCCATGATGTACCTGCCACTCGCCGATGCCACTGTTATTGGCTTTCTCGCCCCTGGTGTTGCTGGCCTTTTATGTTACTTTGCCTTGCGTGAGCCATTTACACGGCCTGAGCAAATTGCCACGGGTGTAGCCCTTTTAGGAGTGATACTCATTGCTCAGCCGGTTTCTTTGTTCATGGACCTCTCTTCGTCCGAAGAGCAGGTGGTGGATGCTCCTGAGCAAGTGGATGGGGCTTTCCCCGGTCTCGACCGTGAGCCAACAGCCGAAGAGCGGTTGCTCGCCGTTGGTGTTGCTCTTCTCGGGGTGTTGGGAGCTGCCGGCGCATTCACATGCATTCGTACCATCGGAAAACGCGCTCACCCTCTAATCTCGGTCAACTTTTTTGGCATGGCTTGCACGTTCATCTGCATCATGGCGTTGACTCTGGCACCAACCCTAAACATCAGCCAACCTCACCTGAGGTGGATCACTCCATCGTCTTGGAAGGGATGGTTTCTGCTCCTTTGGATCGCAGTGCCTGGCTTCATAATGCAATACCTGCTGACTTCGGGCCTTGCAGCCGACAAGTCCAACAAGGCAAATGCCATGATATACACGCACATGCTGTTTGCCGTTAGCTTTGACCGATGGATTTTCGACCACAGCATGAGCATGACAAGCCTAGCTGGCTGTGCCCTCATTCTCGGCAGCGCCATCACCGTCGTTTTCACGAAGAATCCGCCAGTTCCAAAAGTTAACGATGTCGAAAGGCAGGGAAATCTAGAAGGAGAAGCAGAAGGATCTCCAATGCTTGTCGATATTGGGGGTCATGTAGAAGGAATAAATTTAAGTAGAACTTGATCTGCATAGGTAAATGTTTGGGTAGTGGGCAGTTGGCATCATATATAACTGGATAGACAGTAATTCAAGAGAAGAGTTACCTTTAAATCAAACCAGAGCACTGAACGTACTTAGCATATTTGCGTAGAACAGAGTAAAAGCACCAACAGTGATTTGTAGGAGTAGAAGAGAGAATTGCCATAGGACATTTTCTATTTTAAAGTTTATCATGACGGGGAGCTGCTGGAATGCTAAATCGTAAGTGGCAGCTTAAAATAACTTCACTTACAGAGAGCGCAACTTGACCACATATGAGGAAATCCAAGCCGATGATAGAATTTCGATAACGAACCCGTGCATTAAATTGCAAATCCCGTGCGAATAATTCAACAATAAAGAGAGAAAATGCCTGAAAATCATGCTTGAAGCGAGTAAAAGAGATCACAACCCAAAGGCGTATCTGAGGCTTCAGGGTAGGCCGGTCGGATCACGTGCAGCGAGAGGCGAGCTAGCAGTCGCGACGCCGCGCTTGGTAACTCGATAGCTGCAGGGCTGTGATCCAATCGCAAAATTTCAAGATCATCAATTTTTGCGCCTTGTGACCCAACCCGCCTCATCCGGACATGCGATAGGTAGTCAAATCCGAGGATATTTGATTTCATAATAAGGACATTGCTATTTTGCCTCTTCGCAATTGACACCAAGGCCCGAATCGCATCGCCAAGATGGTCCAAATCAGCGAAGTCAAGGGCAACAAACGCGATAACCGCACTGCGGCTCACACACATATCAAGGGCCTGGGGCTAAAATCTGATGGATACGCTGATACCCAAGCTGGTGGCTTTGTTGGCCAGGTTCCCGCTCGAGAGGTAAGGAGACTCCCGAAGGGTGGCATCCGTTCAACCCACTAACCCTTCTGCTTGCTATTACAGTCATGCGGCGTGGTTGTCGATCTGATTCGAGCTCACAAAATGGCCGGCCGAGGTGTTCTGTTAGCTGGTGGCCCGGGAACTGGAAAGACGGCTTTGGCTCTTGCGATTAGCCAAGAATTGGGAACCAAGATTCCCTTTTGCCCAATCGTGGGCAGCGAGATCTATTCGTCAGAAGTCAAGAAGACCGAAATCCTGATGGAGAACTTCCGAAGAGCGATCGGCCTCAAGGTCCGGGAAACGAAGGAGGTCTATGAGGGCGAGGTTACCGAACTTACGCCAGAAGAGGCAGAGAATCCTTTGGGCGGCTACGGAAAGACGATCAGCACGCTGCTAATCGGACTGAAGAGCGCCAAGGGCCAGAAAAAGCTTCGATTGGACCCAAGCATCTACGAGGCTATCCAGAAGGAGAGAGTCACTGTCGGCGACGTCATCTACATTGAGGCGAACACCGGTGCTTGCAAGAGGGTGGGACGGTCCGATGCATATGCCACCGAGTTCGACCTTGAGGCCGAGGAATACGTACCCATCCCCAAGGGTGAGGTACACAAGAAGAAGGAGATTGTGCAGGATGTCACATTGCATGACCTTGACGTTGCAAACGCTCGGCCGCAGGGTGGCCAGGACATCATGAGCATGATGGGCCAGTTGTTAAAGCCCAAGATGACAGAAATCACGGACAAACTGCGTGCCGAAATCAACAAGGTTGTTGGAAAATACATTGACCAGGGTGTGGCTGAATTGGTCCCAGGTGTTTTGTTCATCGACGAGGTAAATGCTTCCCCCCTGTCCCATTGTATCCGAGATTAAGGAAAATTGGCATTTGGCATTGACACTGGATTATAATAGGCTCACATGCTCGATGTGGAGTGCTTCACCTACCTAAACCGAGCATTGGAATCGCATCTCGCCCCCATTGTCGTTCTGGCTTCGAATCGGGGAATGTGCACAATAAGAGGCACTGACGACGTTGTTGCGGCTCATGGCATTCCTCCCGACTTTTTAGCGCGAATGCTCATCATACCCACGTCCCCATACTCGGCAGATGAGATCAAGAAGATTGTCAGGCTCCGTGCCACGACGGAGGGTGTCTCGATTACCGACGCTGCCATTGACAAAATTTCCGAGCACGGTGTCCGCGTTAGCTTAAGATACTGCCTACAGCTGCTGACACCCTCAAGGTGAGTCCCATGGGTTCTTTGAATAAATAAGTTCCTTTGTGCGAGACAACTGACGGCTGACGTGTGATCCCCCCCCGACAGCATTCTTGCCAAAGCGAATGGCCGTACTCAGATCGACCTCCAGGACGTGTCCGAATGTGAGGACCTCTTCCTAGACGCCCGCCGTAGCGCTGCACTATTGGCCAGCGAGGGGGGTAAAGGCTATCTGTAATTTGCAAAGAGGATGGACGAACAGGGCTAGATCATGCAAGGGAGGAGTATCATTGTGAAGGATTGGCGCTGGGCGGTGTGCCAAACGAGTCACTACTGGTTAATAAATAGGTCATGACGGATTTTGACGGAAATCCTAGGCACATCTTTTTTCTTTTTTCGGTTGTCTTTTTGCAAAAACGATGTACGGAGTAATAGCTACTGGGGGGGAAGGGTTTTAGACCAGCCCTGAGAAATGATTGGGCTTGAATGAATGAAAGTAATCTGAAATGGCGGGCCGGCCATGTCTCTTACGCTGCCAACGTAACAAAGATTGCCCTGCATACAAATACTCCGTGCTTCTACAGCAGTGTCGGTCTCTCTCCCTCTTACGCCACGCCATCCTACGGCCCGAGACATTGTAGGCCTCAAGGGAGAGAATAAGAGCATCTCATAAGCCAAAGAAGACTCAGTCTTATGTGGAGAAAGAAAAAAAAAGGCCTGGACGTCGACTTATACGAGTACGTAGCAGCCATGATCCGCGCTCCACCCTTCTTTCTTTATCTCATTATATTATTTTCAATTTTTATTGTTTTCTCTTTGCTAAGCCCCCTCACATTCTGCCTGGGTGGGTGTCCCGCTGTCAAAGCTGCATGGGCGCCATTGGAAGCCTAGTGGCATACTATAAGTGTACAACTTACATAGTAGACGGAGGAAAGAGGCGGCGGAGACGGAGGAAACAAGATGGAGACGAGAATACACAATGAAATGTCACGTTTAATGGACGTGTAATAGAACTTTTGCCCCGGGCTCGGTGAGCTCGCACATGGGCCTCCAGCCTTTGTCTCATAGCCTAGCATTCCAAAGGTCTGATGGCGTGCATTCCAAAGGCGGCATTGTCCGTCTCTGGTTGAGGCTGGGAGGGGGAAGGGGGGCGTGCCAGAGGGGCGTGAGCGCGCGATAGGCGGTTTAGAGAAAGAGAAGAACTAGAAGCAGGAAGATCAAGACGTAATAAGAACGACTAAGAAAGGAGGCGGCGTGCTTCTGAACTTTTTTTTTTTTTCAGCTGCCGTAATAGTATTCGTATGGGGTCGAGCTGTTTAAGCCAGTCCACGATTTTTATGCACGAGGAAATGTTGGGGTGAGGGGGCCATAGACCAGTTAAGAAAAGGTGAAGAGGCGTAAGTTGCCAATGGCAGACGAGGACGATATCTCACACACGCAGATAGATATTCAGCTGCCTGGCCGGGGGTTTTCGTCGCTGCCGCCGTGTGCGGATGGCGGACGTGCGCGCCTACGCCGCTACCCCCTTCAGGTAGGGCAGCATCCCTTGTTTTGTTTATTGTTGCCGCATGGGGAGGCGGACAGCTGGCAGGCATTGTCTGGTGACGAACGTGGATCAAGCCTTTTCGTTTGCCGGCGAAGTAAAACGCGGGTAAGGGAAAAAAAAAGCAAAAAATAAAAATAAAAAGAATGGCGAAGAAATTGCAGGGTACTCGTGGCGTCCCACCGCAAACGATCGACCAGACAAAGAAGCTTTCCTCTTCGCAGCCATTTTGCCCAACCGGCTTTTTCCCCCAACCGTACCCGTCTCCCGTACCCACGGTCCATCTCAATCGGCCGCTGCTAGTTTATAACTTTCTTTCTAGCTTGATGGAGCTCTGAGCTCTCCAGGTGGGTTCAGGCAGTCTTGCTCACAGGGGCTTCGATTCGATGCTATGGCCCTGGATCATCCAGCCAGAGGCAAGCTTTCTTCCAAGCAAGACATTTGAGACATCGGAGGCAGGGTGGTGTCCACTCATCAGATGAGCCCAAAAGCAGTATCGGTTGTAGACGGAAGGAACAGCCACTATTGTGAAGTGAATGGGCAGCTCTTTGCATACACAAAGCCACCCTCCACCTGGTAGCCTTCCCGCTTTTCACACAACTCTCTTCCATCATCTTCTCCCCCTTTTTGAATCTCAAATCCCTTCTGACTTCCCAACCACGCGAAATCGCCTTGTGTTCCACGCCTTTGTTCGCGGCACTCTTCCTTCCCTGCCAGAGCTCCTCAGGGTCTCGGCCCTGCGGCATGTTGGTTTGCTGTTCTATTCTTGTCGAAAAACAATCAGCCCAGCTAACCCTTACACCGAGATCTGTGGCTCTTGAGCCAGGGGAGTGGTCGCTCGACTTCAAGTATTGCGGCCAGTATATCTTCCGTCTGATCTTTATCTCGCATCATGGCCCATATTATACCCTCTCAAGAGCATCGGCGCAGTATGGCGCCGATCCATGTTCTCAGGGAACTGATATCTCAGAGAGATGACTCTAGTGCCTCATCTCTCTTGCATCCTCTGAGCCCTAGGAGAGAGTATACCACGAGGTTACCACCTGCGCCCCTTGGAACACCTGAGATGAGCCGCAGTGTGGAAAGCCAGCTAAGAGTCGGTACCTCGAGTGCCGCAATACAAACTGACAGTATTCGAGATATCATTTGTGTCTGTCCACCGGAGACAAAAATTCCTAGGCCGCGAAATGGTATGTTGTGACTGGCATCTCTCTGGTTGATTTTTCACTTTAAAGCAGACTGTAATGATGATGTCCCGAGTGTATGAGGCATTGTCTTCGCCGCAATACGGCCGGGGGGAGAACTGCTGAGGATTATCGACTAACAATGGAGCTCTTCTCATAGCTTTTATTCTGTACCGCCAATATCACCATAGCCATGTGACAGCTGAAAATCCGCGCTTGTCCAATCCTCAAATCTCTAAGATTATTGCAGCAAAGTGGAAAAACGAACTGGCCCATATCAAGGGCGATTGGAAAAGATTGGCCGAAGAAGAGAAATATCTCCATCGTCTGCAGAATCCAGATTATCAATATAGACCGCGCCGTAAGAAAAGCAAGAAAGGAAAGCCGTCCTCCCCAGCAGCAGCTGAAGAGCCAAGCCGGTGCTCCAAGTGCCAGGGTCGACTTATTGCAACTCCACAAACCCCGACCAGACGCGCGTCAACTCGGCTAGCACCTGGTCTGAGCAATTCAGAGCCGCGGCCTGGGCCGTCTCATTCTATGCTGTCTCCTTCTACGCCATCTCTCCATAGGCTAGACAATGGCATCTCTAGCCGGACAAACCACGAACTTTATCAAATTCATAGCTTGTCCGTGCAAGGCAGGACGTCCTCGATTCGAAGTCCTGAAGACTATGAGCCAGCATCGCCAGAAGTGAAGAGACGCCGCACAGATAGCATGGGAGACTATCGTTTAGCCAGTGGCCGTTCTGACTTTTACGGCCGAACTCCTGGCGTAGAATTCGCAAGATTGGTGTCAGGTGGAGAGTCAACGAGGTCGACTAGGCCATACTCCTCTTCCACCTTGCCTGAGCTTGCGACGATGCCCAGGTCACAGAGTTTTCCCTCGCAGCCAACGCAACCCCCACCTCGGCCGTGGGAGATGAACGCAGCAGGTGGTAGTTCGCCACGAACTCCTTTGTTTGACGAGTCTCTGCGGCTCCCTCCTATTCAGATGCCAATATCACCATCCTCTTCACGAGCAAGTATGGCAGATAAGTGCGAGACAGGGCCAGACAGGGGCCATATGAAGAGAAGAATATGGGAATGAATAATGATTTATGATAATGAACACTAGAATGGATGCCAGAAAGAGAATGAGAATAGATAAAATGGCTGGTATTGGTATTAGACTTGGGAAACGGCGTTAAGGGCTGGTATTCGTGTCGGTATTGATGTCCAGGCTCAATAGTTATGATAGGAGTTTAATTGGATGTTGATCTGTATACCTTGAATGTCCGCGTCTCGGAGAAAGAAAAGATGCCCAGCGCTTCGCCGCAGCTGCTGAGCTTGTTCCCTTCATTGTCTTGTTTGCTTAGCAGCGAAGGCTTCTTCGCGATCTTCCTCACTTGTTCTTGAAATCTTCCATATTGCCATTCTTTGGTTGCCTTGTTTTCGAGGCTCAAAGGCGTGTAGCTTGCCAAGCGGTGCCGCAACAGCTGTGTGCGTTTTGACAGCCTCGCAGGCGCTACTGGGTTAGTACTGCCACAATGCGGGTGGCAGCGAATAGCGGGCGCGCACGCTGCATTCTAGCGGTCTAGCGGGATGCAGAGCTCCCTGAGGAGCGAGCATCTTCAAGATTCCCTGTCCCGCGCACTGAAATTCAACGCGACTTGTCTGCCTCCACTTTAGCCTGCCTCTAGTCCTGTATTGCTTAATACCTCGATTCCCTTATTCCCTAGCTTCATACACCGTATCTACAGCTTCCGAAGCTCTTTGCGACCTCTCGCTAGCATTAGCCGCCGATTCCAGAGGCGATAGGAAGGAATCGTCTAGTAACGAACAGCAACCGCCTATCTCGAGCGCCGCGAGCCTCATGATGCAACAACCCCCCTCTGCCCCGTCGTCATAATGCCGGACTTTAAGCCTGGGCAGACAGTCCTGCTCAGCGATGGCCGCAAGGCCACCGTGCGGTTTGCCGGCCAAACTCACTTCCAGGTGGGCGAATGGATTGGCGTCGAGCTCGAGGAGAAGACGGGGAAGAACGATGGAAGCGTCCAGGGCGAGAGGTACTTTGACTGTCCCATGGGGTACGGCATGTTCGTCAAGCCCATGATGGCGACAATCATTGCGCAACCGGCGGCCGCGCCGAAGCCAGCAGCTCGAAAGCCCACCAGGCCAACGAGCCTCCATCCTACGGTTGGCAGAGCCTCGGTTTCTGGGAGCGATGTCAGTCTCACCAGGAGGAGGGGGAACTCCAACGCGCCGAGTCCCAGCCCAGCTCCTCACCACAAGCCATCGCAGTCGTCGAGCAACCTTCGGGTAAGTGGATACGCTCTTGATCTAGCATATTCATATTAACTGAGGACTAAGTCGCCTTCTAAATCTCCTACCAAACAGCTTAGCGGTTCATCAAGTGCCAATGCGTCTCGAACGGGGACGCCGTCAACCGTCCGAGTACCCTCGGCCACTACCAAAGCTCGCGCGTCGCTACCGGCGTCGAGGACTTCCATGGGGCCTCCCCCGCCTCCCCAGCCTGCCCAGCGATCAATGCGAGGGTCCTCGATATCTTCAGTCACTTCACGATCCGGTAGTGCCCCGACTAGATCCGTTGGCGGGCGCGGTGGCATTACGGCCCCTAAAGCTGTATCACGACCTTCTGATCCGGGTCGCCGCACTTCTGCCAGCTCTCAAGGTGGGCGTGAATCAAGTTCAGCCACCAGATCCGATGAGTTTTTGAGTTCCCCTGTTGAAGACGATCCTGAAGAAGAAGGCGATGATGAGATACTCTCACCTCAGCCAACGAGCCCGGTTGTTGGGAGAACAAATGCCCTGGAGAGAATCGCGGCCGAATCAACAGCCACATCTTCTATGACGCCTCCGTTGAAAAAACCTGCAGCGGCCGGATCTTCAAGATCCTCCATTGGTAGTACCGCTGCAAGCAGAGAGATTGAAGACCTCAAGGCAAAGCTGAAAGTTTTGGAGCGAAAGCGAATCGAAGACCGAGACAAACTAAAGCAACTGGACACGATTCAAGGAGAAAGGGATAAATTTGAAGGCATCATTCAAAAGCTACAGCAGAAATACCAACCAATGCAGCAAGAGAACACTGATTTGAGAAAGGCAGTGAAAGAAGCCGAAGCAAGATTTGAATCGATTGAAGCCCTTCAAGCGGAGCATGATTCTGCTTTAGAGTTGGCCACCCTGGATCGAGAGATGGCCGAGGAGACTTCTGAGGTTTTGAAAATCGAGCTAGATGCTTTGAAAGAGAAGGCGGAAGAGCTACAATTGGAGCTCGAGATTCTAAAGGAAGAAAATGCCGAGTATAGCAAAGGCATGACTCCCGAAGAGCGTGCTAGCACAGGTTGGCTACAGATGGAACGCACAAACGAGCGACTACGAGAAGCCCTTTTACGACTACGAGATCTCACGCAGGAGCAGGAGCAGGAGCTTCGCGATCAGATTGCGAGCATGGAAGAGGAGCTTAAGGAATTCAACGCTCTAAAGGAAGATCACACTACGGCAAAGGAGAAACTGGCTCAGTCAGAGTCGGCTGTAGAAGATTTGCGCCAACAGTTGGACACCGCACTGGGCGCAGAGGACATGATTGAGGATCTGACAGAAAGAAACATGAGCATGTCTGAGCAAATAGAAGAGCTCAAAGCTGTCATCGAAGATCTGGAAAATCTCAAGGAGATCAACGACGAGCTCGAGATTAACCATGTCCAAAATGAGAAAGAGATGCAAGAAGAGCTTGATTTCAGAGACAGCATTATTGCCGAGCAGGCCAGACGAGCCCAGCAACAAGATGCCGCGTTGGGTGACATGGAATACACCCTATCACGATTCCGCGAGCTCGTTACAAATTTGCAGAGCGATCTGGATGACATGAGAGCATCCCAGGCCGTCACTGAGGGCGAGTCCGAGAAGCTCAATGACCGATCGAGAGCCATGATGGATCTGAATATGAAGCTACAGATTTCTGCTTCCAAGGCTCAAGTTAAAACGATTGACCTTGAGCTGCGACGGCTCGAAGCTCAAGAGGCGGAACAGCACTTGGAGATTGTCAAGCTATTCCTTCCCGACAGTTACCGAGACGACCAAGACTCTGTTCTTGCCCTCTTGCGATTCCGCCGACTTGCATTCAAGGCCAATCTCCTCAACGGATTCATCAGGGAACGAGCTAACGGACAGCTCGAGCCAGGCCATGAGGATGACATTCTCGCCGGCTGTGACGCTATCGACAAGCTTGTTTGGGTTGCTGCAATGTGTGATCGCTTTGTCAACGATATCAGCCACTGCTCTATTGAACAGTTTAACAAGTACCAGAACTCTCTACTGGAGCTGGAACCTGTTGAGCGAGCGCTGAATAACTGGATTGACGGCCTGCGGCGAGATGAGCTGAAAGAACAGAAGTGCGCCGATGAGCTCCAGCGCACTATTTCGCTCATGTCGCATCTTGGGGAGGTGCACATCTCAAGCGGCATCGCTGCCTTTGCTGACGATATTCACATGAGGGCGCTGGTTGTTCAAAGCCACCTCGATTCAGCAACTGTCGCCTTTAACGTGATCCGAAGCATGGTCCAGCGGGCTATTCCTGCAGCAGGCGAAGAAGAAGAGCTGGCGCAGCATTTCGCCAAGAGGATTGATCTCGCCATTACGCAAACGCGAAGCACCAAGGTCTTTGCTGGAAAGGCGGTTCATGCCCTGGAAGACCTAAAGGCACGCTCTCTCTCGCTAGGTGAAGATACAAAGGGCGCATTTGAACAATGCGAGACTCTAGCCCAAGACCTTGCACGACTGACCCGCCAGATGGGCTTGGGCATCCATAAGTTACTTACGCATGATGAGGGCCGAAATGAGCCTTTCACTTATGGAGAGATTAACGAAGTCATTCACCAAGCTGTTCTCGAATCTACCCAAGCCAGCGAGTCGGACCTCTTTTCCAGCTATCTCGGCATGCTCAAGACTGCTAGTGGACAAATCTCTGATCTGGCAACACTCGCTGCAGACTTGGATCAGACTCATGACTTTGATGTCAGCCCCACTCCTTGGCGTCTTCGTGCCCAAGAGCTCAGGATACTCAAAACAGTCCCGGTGGATACTGAAGAGGAACTCAGGAGACTCAAGGCTGAGCATAATGAAGTTCGTCGGACGATTGCGCAAAGAGATGAGCATCTTAGCACAGCTATTCTCAAGATTGAGACGCTCGAGTCCCGTATGCGTGACGCTCAGGCAAACGTTGAACGCATTGGCACCTTGCAGTCCGAGCTTGAAGATGTAAATGGTCATGTCACCAGCCTCAAGGAAGATATCGAGAAGCAAGACCGAGAACTCAAAAACCTGGAATCGGAGCGAGACAAGTGGAAGAAGATTGCGAGTGATAGCAGAGCATATGCTGACGGTGCTGATGCTGCGGATATGAAGGCCGGTCAAGAGCGGGCCGTCGCTACAGCGCGAGAAATGGACACGCTGAAGAAGGAAATCGAAAGCCTGCAGGGCGCAGTCCGTTATCTGCGTGATGACAACCGTCGTGCGCGTATGAAGGAGCAGCAAAGCTACGAGTGGCTCGCGGAGCCTTTGAAGAAGGAGGCTAGCCCAGAGCAACAGCGAAAAGCACTGGTGGCCGCCGAAGGTAGAGATGTGCTTGGAGAACTCATCAAAATGGCCACGTCGACCACCGTTTTCGACCTCAGCACCACGCCAAAGGAGAAGCTAGCCTGGCGCCCGGCCAGATCGACACCACAGTATCACGTGGCGAAGCAGATGGAGGATCTCGAGGCTTGGAGGGCTTGGCAGGAGTCGGTGCTCAAAAAGACAGACATGCTTTTCGCCCAAGACCGCAGCCTCAGCATCGGAAGAGAGAAACTAAAACAAGCTGCTGGCGCGAAGCGAGACGCTGTGGCGCGGCTGAGGATCAGGTTGCCTCGAGACCCTGCGTTGCAAGGCAAGCTGACGACGACGGGAGACAATGTGCGAATTGTAGGATCGCAGGAGTGGGATGCTCTGCAGGCGGCTACGAGGAAGTTTGCCGTTGTGTAATGATTTGAAGCCACCCTTTTTTAACCCCAAAAAAGCACGTGTATATGAATGAAGCAAAGAAATGACTTGATCTTTTGTTTACCGAGCCCCCTCTTTTCTCTCCCTCCCTTTTTTTTTGTCTTTTTTATATGAGAGGTTGTAGACGGATGGGGATGGACGTCTTTTGTATACCCCCTCTTTTTGTTTGCTCAGCCAACTCTCGGTTATCGTTCGTTTTTTTTCTTTTTTGCTTAAGTGTATCATGACGATGATTTCGTGTATGTGTCAAGACTTTGAGATTTGATGCCCTACAAACAAACAAGCGAGCGAGCAAGGAAGAGCAGCGAAAGATGAAGAAAAAGTTTCAATTTTTTATTTTTCGTTTGTTAGAAAAGCTAGTCAGGTGGAGAGCTGAATAGATTTTTTTGGGGGGAGGATGAAGAATTCAGGGTTTTCAATGGCTTTTATTATTCGGTGTGTGTTCTGAGCGTAATTCGTGAGAATGGATGAAAAGGTGTACATTGCCGATCCTCAAGTCATGTCCTCCAGTTCCTGCAGAATACCCAGAGGCACACACAGCTTTAGTCTTTTCTTCCGAATTACCCTCTTGCATTATGTACATCCCTATATTTTCTTCTTCTTCTTCTCTCCGCTGAATCATTGTGAGTTCGTCATTATAGAAAGTCGTATAATCGCCATCATCACAGCAAGTCTCTAGACTCTAGATCATCCCCTAGGAAAAAAGATATTTCTTTTCTTTTCGTTTCTTCTTCATTTTTTTTTTTCAAACAATGCCCATCCCTCATTCATACACACCTAAGGATATTAATCGCCTTGACCTTTGCTTCCGCATCGCCATCACCAATTCAACCAATCAAGCCTTCCCCTTGCCCTTTTTATCTTTCTTCTTCTTCTTGCTCTCCTCCGCACCGCTCGCGCCACCACTGCCACCACCACCACCACCGCCGCCGCCAGTCTGGCTCGCAAGCAGCGCAGCCATGGGATCAGCCCCGCCCTGCATCTCCTTCATCATATCCTTGAACAAATTCTCGGAAACGCCCCCGCCCGTCATGGCCGCGCTCAGATACGGCAGGTAGTCGTTCATCTTCCAGCCCCGCGGCACCGCCGGCTTCGGGTAGGGCTTGTCCTCGGGCGGCTGCATCTGGTTTCCGAAGCGCAGCCGCAGGCCGGGCGAGTTCTCCGTCGTGGGGTTCTCGCGCAGGTATTTTGCCACGAGGACGTACAGGTGGTGCTTGTTGGCAATGTTGCCGCCGTTCTTCTTGAGGGCGACCTTGACGCGGCCCGGGTTGGACCAGTCCTTGGGGTGGATCTTCTCGGGCTCGAGCAGCGTCTGCAGGCGCAGGCGGGAGCAGGCGTTTGCGATTTCGCGCGCCAGCGGGTTCTTGACGGCCAGGGCGGCGCTGACGCGGCGGCCCTCGGCGCGGGTCCGCGAGGCGTCGAAGTAGACGGGGTACAGGCACTGGTGGTTGTTGAAGGCGCTGCGGTCCGAGGTGGCGGGCAGCGTCGAGATGCCCGGGCCCGACATGGGGTTCAGGAACTGCTGGGCGCGCGCTCCGGCGGCTGCGGCTGCGGCGGCGTCGTCATCGTCGTCGTCGTCTGACGAGTCGACGATGCGCTTCTGGGTGCTGGGCCCGCGGGCGCGGATGATGTCTGTTTCGGCAAAGTCGTCGATGTCGACCTCATCGGGGTCGGAGATCATGTCCGGGTCGCTGTCTGAGACTTCTTCTACCCGTGGGTGAGACATTGTGGCTGAATTGGGGGCGATGGAAGGAAGAAAGAAGGGGAAATCAAGAGATGGGGTGAGAAAGAAGAGAAGAAAAAGGGGGGGGGGCGTAAAGAAGAAGGTTAAGCAAGGGAAAAGAGGCGGCGGGTTGGCGAGGCTGCGATGGCGAGAGGTTGAAGCAAGCAGAATAAAGCCAGGTCAATGGTGGGGTCAGCCGCACTTTAGTGTGTGGTGGGGTTGAAAACGGCACCTGCAATAGGCTCTGGGTGCCTGTGTCGATACTTGGCCTACAAAATCGCAAGTGTTTACATGCCCAAACGAGCAGAGTCTCGATGCATTTTATATGCACATCAAAGAAACGTCCAAGATCAGTGTCACGTGGCATTGAGCAATTCTCGTATTTGTAAATAAACACTACAGGCGATAGCTAGTTTCTATGTTAAGCGCGCTCCAAACGAATGAACCTATGTTACCTTGCTGCGCACAAATTAAACCATCCGTTTTGTACTCGCGCGATTCTCTCTCTGTATAAATGAGAATGCAAGTCATTTCTTCTAAAGCCAAGCTACTCTCTTTCATTAGTTTAGTATGATGAGCTTTCAAACCAAATGGCATCCGGCCTGCCATCTCTGCATTGCTCTCTAATTGGCATGGATGTAAGCATTCTTATATTTTGTTCCAGGAGGATGAGCGTCTTCTGCGAATTTGCAAAAAGGGTGAACGCAAACGCCATCCCGGATGCTAGGGCACTGCAAAAAAATTAGAATGTTAGTATGTTGTGGGCCAATTTGACGTATTATTGTTTCTAATTGAAGGGAAGTGAAGAGGGCACTTACATGGTGGCCATATATACAGTCTTCTGCCTCGCAATACTGGCCAGATGAGCATGGATTCTGGCGAGCCAGCACAGCAACCGCCTTTATCTCATCCTCGTTGATCTTGTAATCGTGGGCAAACGGGCAAATGTCCTTCTTCGCGCAGGGCCCTCGGAGGTAGTGATTATTGCATAGCTTGTCGTTATCTTTTCGCTTTTTGATCGTTTCCATTACTTGTATATTCACTCTGATGGGTTCATCAAAACCACGGCGGCCAGGATTCCAATTGTCTGGTATGCTAGACGGGATCAGTTGGTACTGTGACTCAGATTGGACACGAGCCTGGGACTTTTCTCGCCAAGATCCCGTTCCAGACGGCGTCTGCTGTTTTCGTGGAAGCGTAAAAGGAAGCGTAATCTGTGGCGGCGGGCTGGCACTCGAAACGATGCCGGCATAGGACATGGTCGGAGTGCGAGTTTGGCTGGAGCCGGCGCTTATAGCCGGGCTGGCTGTGCGAGATGCAATCAACTGAGCTGGGGGCGATTGGCTAGATGCTATTTGAGCCAGCGTGGGGTATTTATCAGAAAGCTTGTCGTCACGGAAGAGGCCGCCCCCAAGTTTTTCAATCTTGACATTGGTCGCAACAAGATCAGGCACAGTAGCGACGCCTTCGATGATGCTAATCCTCTGTCGGGTAGCCTCGTTTTGAAGAGTTTCGTCCAAGAAAGGAGCATAGCCAGCATCATGCGAAATTCCGAGCATTATATGCTTACAATTGTGATTTCGCAGATGCCACCTAGTCGTTTCTGTACCATACCAAACAAGGTCAGCTCCATAAACTTCCACAGTTCTTCATATTCCCCAAATAGTACAAGACAAGAGAGCAAGAGAGAAGGAGAGAATAGAATGAGGGACAGCCGATGAGCTTACCTTTAATTTTGGAATCGGCTCTTTCTTTGCCGTAGCCAACATCAATATAGTCGAATGTAGCTTTAGCTTGAGTGAAGCCGAGCGTAAAATCTTTTAGAATGCTTGGGCTATCCACACAGCCATCTCGCTGCATTGCTCTGCTCAAACCAGAAAGATTCGCTACAACTTTGGCCACAATCTCCAAGCCCTCGGCCTCTTCGCCAAATCTTTCTGCCACGGCAGCCCGTAAGGCATATGCGACTTTTTTACCACCTTCAAGACCTTGCTTAATCCATGTATCTCGGAACTGTATGAAGATGGAAAGTTAATGGCTGTGATTATTACATAGGCGGAGGACTAGATGAATCGTACCATAAGGCCATCGCCATCTATCAATACCATGACATAAGGATTGTGGTTCTGTCATGACTGCCGTTAGCATTTGCATTCTGTTAAGGAGACGTAATTCACGAGCTGGAAAGAGAAAGGCAACGCTTGAGAAAATACCTTTAGTTTGTCCATTTCTTTTTCCGCTTTGTCTTTTGCATCTTCCTCCTGGGCCTCATAAAGACGAACGCGACGCTCCAGATCTGATCTGAGATTTGCCGCATTTTGAAGATCTATCTGGGCATTGAGCAGTCTCTGACTTTCATGGCGAAGTTCATTTTCGACCTGATTGCAGTATATCACGAGGTCCTAAAAGGTACATAGAGATAAGTACATGTGACGTTATGCAGGGAGAAAGTGAAAAGTAAGTGAAAGAAATGAGCAAAAGGTGAGAAAAAATGGCAGATATATCGGTTCTGCTCATGCTTTAGAGCAGGCTTAATAGCGATCATGGTGATGACCGTTATCACCAAGGAGAGATAGAGACAGGAGGTGAAATGAAAAGCAAAGAAAGAGCCGCTATAGATACACACCTTGAACAGATTATCCATCGTATCTCTATGCACTTGCAACTCGTGAAATCGCTGAACGAAATCCCTTATATCATTCCCGACGGATGGATTCATTTTATGTGCCATTTTGAAATCTGCCCCTTTGATCGAGGCTTCTTTTTCTTTTGTTTCTGAGTCGCCGTATTTGAGCGTGAAAATACTTTTTTTGGTGCGGCCCTTTCCTTATCAAAGAGAGGAATATCGAAAATGCGAGAAGTAGGTTGAAAGAGCGGAGGAGAAAGAAATTAGAAAATATACTATCACTCTATGTTTTGACTTGGTCTGAAATTTATTGTTAAAATGGTAATAAAAGGAAAACGGATATATGATGCGTGAGTGGTTGTTTATTGCAAAGCGTAAGGTGGCGAGTCCAGTTTTTTTTTTTCTCTTTTTTTTTTTTTTTTTTTTTTTTTTTTTTGCCTGTGATTTCGAACTTCTCAGTATTGTTTCACGTCACTGCGACTACCCGTTTGATTGCTCTTATTATTGTTTTTACTGCACGTGTTTGCGCCGACAGCCGAGCCAAACCTCACACTTTAGAACAAAGGCGCCAAAATAATGGTAACGAAGTAGGATTGCTCAAGTTTTTGTTGTTGCAGTTTTTTGTCTGCTTAGGAGCAGCGCATCACTAGTATCGATTCGTTTTTTTAATCTTCTAAGCTAAAGAAAAAAAAAAGGGGGGCGCCAATCATCCAAGTGTCACCGGGCAAGGCCGACTCAGCTATTTTGCCTACAGAGCCGCCGCGAGGTTGTGAAATGAACGCCGCCACCAACCAACAGCGCTTTATATTAAAATGAAATTATATCATTTGGCATCGGCGCCTGATGCCTCTGTTTGCCAACCTGCGGAAAGGCTGACAGCCGCTAGACGGCGACCCGCGACAGGGTTCGCCGCAGAAACGGATTAGCGCAGGCGCCAACGCAGACTCCACCGCATCGAGAGATGGCGATTTTCATTGTCAACTGCCTTATTGGCGGCGCTTCGCTTCGATCGTGGAAAGGCTGGATTCATTCTCATGTGCTCGTCCTGGTACCTGGACCTGCCTTGGAACCTGTATACAGTACGCTGCTGCTTCTCGCTTGTGTCTTGAACTCAACAAGCAGTGAAAGCAGGATGCTGGAGGCCACCGCGAGCAAGCCGCCAAGGGGATTTCTGTTGGCGCTACGGCGTCTCTGCCGCTGCTCGCGTCACATCCCTTTGGGGCTTAGAGGGCCGTTTGTCAGTCTCGGCGCCAATCAAGCATTCTGCTCTGGCGGTTTGTCGCCTGCACCGTCTTGGCCAGCGTTCATTCAGCCTCGGCCACTGGCCCCCTGCAGCTTGCAGCTCGCAGCTCGCGGCTCGTAGCAAACGGGAGAATCCCTCAGATCCAGTGGGTTGCCTAGTCTCGTATACTTGCAGCGTCAACAAGCCACTTCATTAAACTCTCCCTGGCTTGTGCATCTGCGCCGTCACCACCACCAACAGCTCCTTTGAATCACACGAACATATCACGCCACTCTTCGAATCAAGACTTCCCGCCTCAGCCGGTTTCGTTGCCGCTGGTCTGATGCTGATTCAAGAACTGCCACACTGTGTCTTCCCCAAAGCCTCCTTCGAATTGCCACATGAATGAGCCTCCCAGTAGTAACGGATCAGAATCTGTCTGTGGTGGTACATCGTCGATCTGATCGACTGTTAGATCCTTATATATAAGATCTCCCATCGCGAAAAACGGCGCTATCGAGGGAAAGCTATTTCCATTTCCATCTTGTTGCAGCTCCCATCCACCGGGCATCATTGTCGAAAGGCAGGCCGACGATTCCTCGGCAGTTGATGGAATGGCTGCTGCAGCTGACGATATGGATTCAGGAGCTCCTTTGAAGCTTCCTTCCACTGAAGCCCTGCCAACCGAACTTGCTGGTGTCGATCCAAAAGTCTTCCCCGTCGATGTCGGCGTAGTAGTATTTGAGTTGTGACGCAGGGGATCAACAGGAGGACTGACAGAAGAAGATGGCGCGCAGTTTCCGACGGCCTTGACGAGCCTAGCCACCACTGCTCGAAGAACTCCTAATGCCGACTTGGCTAAGGGGTTCATATCTTTCATGGTTGCAAACCGCTCGACCGTCCAGTGACAATGCTGTATCGCAATTTCTCTAAACTCTGAGTTCTCGTAAGGAAATAGTATGTAAATGGAGGCAATCAGCGTGACTGCATCAAAGCTGCCGTAGAATAACTGCCAACTGTAAAGAAAATAATTAGCTGCCATTTCTTAAGAATTGTATTTGGCTTTAAGGGCTGGATGAGACATACTTCTTCCAAGATTTCGGTGGCAGTCCTTCAAACATGCGCTTCTGCATTTCTAGCATACCGAGGCAGCCCTTAATCACCTCAAGTCGACTCTCCTCTCGGTGGAAAATGTAGGGTCGATTGAGCGCAACCAAGGTGAAATAGAACATCTGTTCAGACAAACACCTTGCCTGATGAAGCCAGTGCAATTCGGGCAAGTGATCCCATTGCCTGTCTGGATTATCTATCCGGAAGGCGGCTGGCGTGCTGTCATGTATATCCATGATGTTTTGTTGTATCTTGTGCACTTTTGAAAAGTCTCTGGGGCATGGCCCTTCGGGTTCTAGGTCTAGAACGTCCCGCAGTGGCAACATTGTTTTGTACAGAAGTATGTTTCTTGTCAATGGCGTTGGGGGGTCAACGCCTTCTTCTCTAGGGATGACGGGAGTTTTGGACCGATCCGATGCCTCAGTAAATCGGGCGTCAATAGGTAGTGTGGGGAAGCCGTGTCTCCAATTCATAGAACCGGGACGACCTAGGATGAGGCACATGTGAATATCCCTGTGAATTAGTTCAAGGCATCATTAGTTATCTCGATTTACTCATGCTAGCCACAGCTGAAGCCACCTCCGTCGCTTAATGTACTTACCATGACCCGAGCATCATGTACAGATGTCTCCTTTTCTCAATTTGCCATTGATTTAACAAGACACTCTCTACATCGTTCGACTTCGGCTTTGGATCAAGCGAATCTCGGTGCATACCCAGCTCTTGTGCATCTCTTATCGTTTTACCAACTTGGTGCCACTAAACCCAGGCCATGTCAGCCAAAATTGTCCCAGAAAAGAGGACAAGGCGTTTGTAAGGTATTTAATTCACCCACCGATTCCGTAACGTTGGCAGTATACTTGAGGAAGGATGCTCGAAGGAATCCAGTCTGAATCGACGTCGTACAAAGGGACTTTGTGCCCAAAAGATTGAGGATAGACATACTGGACTCGCTGTAGTCGATTGCCAGATCCTCAAACGTCATGTTTGCAGCATATTTCAGCGACTCAAACGATTCATGGAGAGATTTGGGAAGAACGAGTAGCGCAGTCGCAATGACTTGGAATAAGAGCGCCGGAAACACCTTCAGGTCCGGAGACAAAGCTTCTGGGCCCCGAGAAGAAAGGAGCCTGAAGGGAATATTGGTCCATTGGCCCAAGAGTTCGTGGAAGTGCTGAGGCTCGACCAGGTAGTACTGCCAGTTGAGATCGGAGAAGAAGATTTCGGTCAATTGGTCAATGTACATCCTAGCGGGGAGCAGCCGAATGAGACCCTTGTACTTTTCCCTGACCGCAAACGTATCCTGTTGCGATGCGTGGCCCGATGCTGAGGTATTGGTCAGCGCATCCTCCCCATCCGCCGTGCTGGCTCTCTCGATTTTCTGGAGGAAGCACAGCGTCGATGACCCCCCTGATTGAGCATAGCCCCAAGACGAGGCCACGGAAGACAGTGGCTCAGACTTTGATTTTGACGCATCGTCATCGTTCTGCTCTGAGGAATATAGACCAGCATGCGCTTCGTGTTCGCGGGCCGTGGGCGCACCGGCCTCGTAAAAGCAGCTCGATTCCTTGTTTCTTGACCTGCAGTTCCCGCACGGCAGCTCCCGATCGCACTGCAACCGCCCATGGTCAGCATTGCCCAATGCCACTCAATATCGTATCAGCACAGCCCTGTTCGGATTCCAACCTTTTGCTTCCTTCGATGACACTCCGTACACGAGATGACAATTCGTCTCCGCTTCTTAGTCGGGCCCCGCTCGGCCCGGCCATCGACTGCAACCTCCATGTCTGCCATTGCACTGTGGTCTATTCGCACTTTGGCGCTCGGTCGATTCGATCTGGATGGGCGGTCGAAGGGCGGAGCAGCGACGCTCAGAGGAGTGAGAAAAGCGAGGCAGGATTGCGATTGCGTAAGATTGCAAATTCAACGAAGCTGCATAGAAAGATAGAGATTTCGTATGCAGGCAGGTGGGGCCCACGGCAGACACGGAGAACCATGGGACGGCCGTGCTAGACTCCGCGTTAAGTCCGGCGTAACGGCGTGTGCGTCCCGAAAACACCAAGGCTAAGTTTTGGAGATGCATGGTGATGGAAAGACGGCATATGCATGTCTGACTGTTTATTGTTTACTATCATCAGTTTACTTACAGCTCTGTTATTTGTATCAAGCATCACGGCATGAGTCTTGTAACCAATACGTATATGGATCATGCAAGACACGGAACACGGCATGTGCCGAAAGGATGACTGGAGCATTTGAAGCTTGGACTACAATAACTGCCATGTTTAACAAGCTTCCCCTTTTGGATACTCTGTTGAATAGCTACCCATTATCATAACAAAATCCTCCGCTAGGTACTTCCAACCGCTGCCTTCTTTTTTCTCTCTAAGCTACTTGCGCCGAATCTTTAGTTCCAATTTAGGTAAGTTTCCGCAGTGCTATAGTGCATCTCAAGAGGTTTCCTCATGGCCGAAATATCTCTTCATAGTCTCTGGAAAACTCGAGGTGTCGAGTAGCCAACTGATAATGCGGAATAAAAAATAGCTATATATATATATATATTATTGAGGATATCAAGGATATAGATACAGATATATGCAGTATACGTAACAGCACATCTATAAACACGGGGCATCGGTGACATTATCTATCTTGCGGACTAAGCAGATAGTACGTCGGTGGCCAGCGTTGCTCCGTGCCTGGGCCAATCCAGCCATCGTCCCCATAAGCAGCTTATCCTCCCTAGCCTAGATTGGGCCTTTGGTCTGCCGCAGAGCTTTCAATAGTTCCATTTCTGTCCAGTTCACCATAAGATAATAAACTCGCAGATGCTGCACCGGTTAAATGCTAGATCGAGACTTCACCGTGTTGAGTTAGCCATCTATGCATTCTACATGCCCGCAAAGACAAAAGCGGTAATTTTAACAGTCCCCTATCGTAACCAACCCAAGCAATTTATAATCACAGCTTAATGTCTACTTGCGATGCTTGAGACGCACTCAGCATCTCGTCGCTTGCGCTGCATTCACTATTCACTGAAATTGTCTTTTCTCCTTCTTTTCTCCTCCAATTTTTTTTTTCAAATAGAAGGAATAAATCATTGATAGTTGATCCTAAAAAATCCCTACAAGCCGCCCTAGCGTTTGTTTCCCGAAAATCGCAAGCGTACCAAAATCCGAAAAATCCAGATCCACCATGTAACGGACCAGTGAGCCCCAATGTGCAGTTCGCCTCCACCTTTGTGCATGCAATAACATCAAAACTGGGTAGCCTCTTGGCTAGTAGACGGCCGGCCTCCCTAAACAAAAAAAGAAGTAGAAGAAGATAAAAAGAGTTCGCCTAAATACATTGCATTCTATGATGCGGGCATTGGATAAGAGCCTCTACCAGCTCCGCTTCTCCTTTTTTTTTTTATCGCAGCAGCCTCTCGGTGTAGGCTTTCCATGCTGCTGATCGGTAACGTTCTGCCTCCTCTACGGGATCAGATGCCTTCAGAATGCCTCTACCTACAATGGCGATGTCGCTGCCGGCGATGCCAATAATCTTATATGGCGTGTTATACTGCTGGCCTTGGCCATCTCCTCCAACCTTGCCGTTTGTCTGCTGATCTTCGTCTTCGGGAGGAAGCTGGCAACCTGGAGTCATGTGGATAAAGTCGTCGTCTGCCTGTGTGTTCAGCGCCTCTTGTGAGATGAAGCCCATAACAAAGTCTTTGTGTTCCCTAGCAGCCTCGACGCAAGCTTGGGTATATTCCCTGGTCATAAAGTTGCCTTCGCTAGACATCTGGGCAAGGATGAGGAGACCACGGTTCAGTGGCGCCTCTTCGATTCCCGGAAATAGTGACTCATCTCCCTCTGCGATTGTCTTTGCCAGTCGGGGCGAGGCGGCGGACTCGTACTGCTGAGTAACAGTAGTGATAGAAACGATGCTTCCCTTGCGGCCATCGCCATTGCGCCCAGCGTAAATGGGCTTCTCCATCATATTGGACCCGTTGCCGTTGACCGTAACAGGCTCACCATCTTTAGCATCTTCAGCATCCTCAAACTGGTCCATGGTAGGGGTGCCAACAGTAACCGATGTCTTCACCTCGCACGGATACCGCTCCAGCCATCGCCTGGCACCCTGGGCCAGGGAGGCCACAGACGCCTTGCCTGGTACCATGTTGACGTTGACAATGTGGGCCCAGTCGATGATGCGCGCCGAGCCGCCGGTGTACTGCAGCTCAACAGTATGGCCAATGTCCCCGAACTTGCGGTCCTCGAAAATGAGGAAGCCGTGTTTTCGAGCTAGCGAGGCCAGCTTGGCACCAGTGCCAGTATCCGGGTGAAAATCCCACCCAGAGACCATGTCGTAATGTGTCTTGAGCACAACGATGGAAGGGCCGATTTTGTCAGCAAGGTAAAGGAGCTCTCGCGCCGTCGGCACATCAGCGCTCAAGCAGAGGTTGGACGCCTTGAGGTCCATGAGCCGGAGCAGATAGGAGGTTAGAGGATGCGTTGTCGCTTCGCTCCTTACAGCGAAGGTCGTCTTGAGGGTTGGGTGTGATGCCATTGCTGCGGTTCTTGGGGGAGGGGGGTCCTGTAGCGGTGGCGGATAAGATCGATTGATGCTGGCGCAAAGCGTAGGGAAAGGTTGACGTCGAATGCGCAGCAAGAGAAATAGAGAGTATTTGATAGGACCGCTCTATGGAGATGCTGTCTAATGTCGGGTTTGTCCGCTGCTAAAATTATAGGGAGGAGTCTGAGGAAGGCCAAGTATAGAGCGGGACAGGAGAGTCAATGCTGGCGGCGATACCCGATATTGCGATGTTGCAAAAGGCAGGCCGGCGACCACCGAAAAAAAAAGAAGAACAGAGGGTATGAACTTGGTGAAAGATGGCTGCAGATTCGGTGCACCCGAGAAGAGGAGAAAGGTATAGAGAGATAAGACAAAAGAGGAACCGAGAGGCTGGCCTTGGAGGAACAGATGTCGGGTCGCTCAACAGTCAGATGTGTGTGAAGGCCACGTCCAAAAAGGGAGCTCGGTCAGTCGAGGAGCCCTAAATACTGTACGGGCAACAACAGATGGCAGATGTGACAGGCGCCACAAAGGAACTAGTCAGACCCTTAATAGACAAAGGTCGAAATAAAAAAGAGAGAGGAGGAGGGAGAGGAGAGAGAAAAGGATACAAGAGTACAAGAGGATAAAAAGAAACCAAGAGGCGCTGCGGCGAGCTTGGCGCTGTTCCGATTCCCGCTATAGCAGCAGACGACAGTCTCGAACGGGATCCCACAAGGGCTTAGGGACCGTGCCTGGAAGTGCCTGCAGCAGCAGGATCAACGAGCCCAGAATTGGGACAACCGGGTCTGTGTGCTGGGGTGGCTCGAGCAGGGGGTTTGGCGGACGGGACGAAGGCGAACGAACGGGGGTCGGTCGATACGTGAGAAGAGGAGTTTTTTGTGGCCTCTGGCTCTGGAGCGCAGCAGGAAGGGCTTTGCTCGACGCTGACCAGGGGCCGGCCGGTGGATGGGCGGATGGAGATGGAGATGGAGATCGAGTGCAGAGCGTCGAATGAGCTATTCGCAAGCCGGGCGGTCCAAGCGCAGAAAAGCCCCGGTTAGGCTCTTGCTGTAAAGGAGTTGAGATGATGGGCTGGAGAGAAGCGCTGGAGGAGCCTGCAAGTGTTGAGCGACTCCCGAGTCAGGGCAATCCAAACCACTTCTGGCGGTATCAGAATCGGTCTGGTTCGTAATGCTCGCATGCTGGGTGCTTTGCCCATATTTGGCGGCAAAAACTTTTTTCTTCGTCTTTTTTTTAGCCGCTCGTCGTTGTGTGCGGTCTGCGGAGTTCTCCTGCTAGCTGCTAGGAACATGTGCTAGCAGCTGGAGTCGCGCGAGCAGGTCCCAGTAGCTCCCCCAGTAGGCTCAGTTCCGTGGTAGTTGAAGCCCTGCAAGGCCCGCCACGGCGCTGCTAAAGGCAACCCTAGGCTGGCGGTAACGGCTAGTTGGGACTCGCGGTTGGGGCTCCAGCAGGCACGAGTACAGGTACATGTACTCCGTGCCTCAGCGGTACGTTTAGGAGATGGCGGGGCTTTTTTTGCTTCCCATGCACGGAGCTTGGGGGGGGATTATGCATGGTGATGGCGCCCACCGAAGTACTTGTACAGTACGACTCTTGGCTGTCCGGGAACCGGCGAGTCCAGCACTGCAGGCCAACATGCGACATGTGAGTTCCATTTCAGCTGCGCAGGGCGGGCCATTCTCTCACTCGCGCCTCAAACCCTCATCCAGACTCGTTTGCAACGACAGCACAAGCACCCCCGTGCAGGCAATAATGCCTGGCGGAGAAGCACGCGACACGGTCGAACACCATCTGATGAGAACGCAGGAAGCCCCGAACTGGAGGCGCCGCCGATTCCTCTCTGCCTTTCCCTCCTTCGGCACCACAGACCCGCTGGCGACGTGTAAGTCCCAAGACCCAACATCTGGACTACGAACTAACAGGCGCCGTGTCCAACCGCTCCCTCCCTCTGGATGATGGATGAGATGGGGTCGACAACCTTCTCCGCCGTGGATAGACACTACCAAGCTGGGGACGCTGCATGGCCTCAATATTCCCATCAATTTGTCTAGACCTGTTGCTAGCTACCTAAGATGTGCTGGTACGATATCATGCCGGCAGCACCGCTTGCCGGAATATGTGCAAGTGGCCGGTAGGTGGCGCATCACTAGCATAGACATGGTGGATGGAGGTTATTAGCAAGCTAGCATTTCTGATCAAGTATGTGCGGAGCTCTCCTAGTGCCACTGCGGTTCCATAGCGTTGGCAGCAGCCCTGCTACTTGCAGATGGCTGGCGATCCTCCTCCAGGCGTCGGCAGTAAGACGACTGCTTGGAACTACTACTACTACGACTACTATGTAGGTGGCACTGCTGGTGCGTATGAAGCTCATACGACCAGAGAGACCACACAACATTGCTGGCCAGGCATAGTCATGTTACTGGCTGTTCAGAAGTTGGCGTACTTGTAGTAGGAACCAGGAACATGTAACTAGTATTGCATATTTGTAGTAGGCAGGCTGCGATCGTGCCGACCCAGCCAGCCAAGGCCAAAGTGCGGTCCTATTATCCTCGACCTGCTTTTGCCTTGCATTGCCGTGGTCGCAATGCATGCTGCTGCAACTAGCAACGTCCAAAGAAAGGCAGGTCGAAATGCGCTAATGCTCGAGCCTCCATGGCGTCTTATCCCGTCTGAGGTAAATCTTTTGGGGGCCAGAGCGGGAACAGAAAGCGTCAGCACTCCATCAAATGTCATTGCTGATGCGCGGCTAGTACATGCACGTTCGTGCGAACTACCCGAAATGTCCATCCAGCTCCAAGTTATCATCCGATCAACCGCCTTCAAGAGAGACAGCGGCACGGCGACGGGCCCCAGGCCTCCCCTTCTCGCCATTTGTGCAGAGTGCTACAGTACAGTATTAGGTACTATCTATTACTCCTAGCACGACAACCTGCACAAGCGACCAATGTCGGCTAACGCAGGAAAACTGGACTCGGGCCTCGCCGGGACAAGTCGGCTTTTGTTCCGCATCTCAACCTTCGCCAGGCCCCTGCCAGGCTCTAGCACAGTGCACTGTAGTGTGCCTAGGAGCCCCCAGAGACGATAAACGAAACCCAAGCGCCGTTGCTGGTATTTTTGGCCGTGAAACCTGCATTAGAGAGGTTGCGTTGCTTCATACTGTTGTGCATCTACGGACTTCTCCGTCTGCTGTGCACTGCGGTTGCTGCACACGCCTGCCAAGGCTAACGCCACATCGCTGTCAACATGGGAGACAGCTTCCCAGCTGTCTCCAGAGTGCTCAAGGATGTCTCCAGACACGCCATACCCCGTCTCTCCCTCCTTTTGTGTCCGGCAGTTGAGGGTCCCGGCGAGCCCTGTGGTAATTGCCTGACAGAAAGGAGAGGGACGGCATCTTCCCTGGCCGATCTGAACCCAGCATGCTGCCACCTAACTATACCCCTACAAGTACCAGCAGTACCATCGGCAAATTAACAACCCAGCATTATGGAATACGGGACCATGGAGTACGAAACAGGGAGATAATATACCTATTACTACTTTACGGTACGATGGTCCCATTTGACTGGCACTAGGTAGGTATTACCAACTCGCAATCCTAGTCTTTCGCTACCGCCAACTTAGAAATCCCCGCTTTATTACGGAGAAGTACCTAACAGCATATTGTTCGCTGTTAATTGTTTATGCCATTTTACCCATACAAATGCTCTAATAATATCACTTGACGTGGCATGGGAGTATCATGGACATATGTCCTACAGTAATACGAGGGTGAATAATCCACCAAGTACTATTGATATCAAAGACAGGCATTGCAGATCCGTCCACTCGGCAAAACGAGTCATTCAAACGTGTCCAACAGCAAATGCAGAGCCGCTAAGCTATAGGTACCTTTACAAGCGTCCATCACAGGTCCCAACAGCTAGCAGAGCTGGGGATAGCCTCACAGACACCTCCCGTATGGCCCTAAACAAGATCTTTCTCCGAGTTGGGCTTATGGTTCGCGCCAGCGGCACGCATGTACCGCGATCGACGGGCATCCCGAGATCTAGATGAGGAGGCTTTATGCTGACGAGACACCATTTTTCTGTGCCAATGAGAGGGAGAACAAAAGAAACAAACAGGTTAGACAAGTCTGACAGCAGGAAAAGCAAGATGACGAATGATACCACACACGCAACCCGCCGTCTCCCCGCATGCCTGTTTCGTGTCCGTTAGAAGCAGGCCTCGCCGGAGGGTCGCATTGGGGGAATATCCTCGCATTGGGGGAATATCCTCGCATTGTTTTTTTCCATCTCCTCCGTGCTAATGCCGGGCCATGGCTTGTTTCGGGTTCTGCGATTCGCCCTTCTTTTCTTTTCTTCTCTCTCTTTTTTCTTCTTTCCCTTTTTGTCGAAAGAGTTTCTTTTTAAACCCTCGTCTCCGTAAAAGGACCGGGACGTTTCTCCTCTCCCCCTCCCCCTCCACCTCCCCTTGTCTTGCATTCAAGCTTCAAACATCAAGTAGGATTAAGAGGACCACCACTGCCGGCAAGCATTCCCCGGAGCTTTGTCAAAAATGACACATCACTTTGTTTTATTCCATTTCAATGGGAGGATGACGAGCCTAATGCTAGATGGCGATTTTTGAGTTGAGTGGCTGTATTAGCACTTTTTTTTCCCTTTTTGCTGCTCCATGCAGGCATGTAAGCTGTAAGGCCAATGCATGCTGTTGAGTTTGTTGGATCATTTTACTACCTATGCTTGAACTTTATGCTCGCTGATACTACTTATAGGCAGTATTGCTCGCGGACTTCATCCAACTGTCGATACCGAGCCCGGCAAATAGCCTAAATTAGTAAAGTTTAACAGTAGAGCCTGATACTTTTAAACGACTTGCCCCCTTGGCATTATTTCGTGTCGAGTTATCAATAGCAACGGCGGCTTTTAAGCGATAACGCAAGCGAGATGTTATGAGTTGAATCCTGCATGTGCATTTTCCAAATACCGACCTACATACACCTAAACCCTATTCGGAATCGCCATTTGGCGCTTGCCCGGGCCATTGTCTCAATGCAGATATAAACGCGTTGAGGAAATGCTTGCTACGGCGCCTTTAAACTCGGTATCACAACTCATGCTGCTATCAAATAGTATATGCTACAAGGTTTTAGTACTAGCATTACCGAGCCCCGTATAAGCTAGGGTGTATGTAGTTGTGAGCTAGGTGATGTCTTATAGAATCATGCGTAAACTATATTGTGCCGACTGGAGTGGAAATGATTTCGCTGAAAGTTTTCGATATAATAAAGCGACATTGTAAGAATTAAGTGAGGTACTTATGTAGCAGAAAACGCCCGTACAAGAATCCAGTCTGGCTATGGTTGGTTGTATTTGATCGGTATTTTGGATGGAGAATGTAGGTTGTTATTTGGGGGATCCTACGAGTGGGAGTAGGCAAGTTGCCAAATACGTAGAAACACCTTCTGTCACAAGACTGGACAGTCAATCACATATCGTCTAATAATATTATCCTTTTATTCCTTGTGTTGTCTATTCAATCGTAGTTTATGCGTTTGCTTGTCGCCTCTCCAGGGCCTTTTCTAAAGCCGCCACCCTTTCGTCAATCTTCTTGAACGACCAGCTCTCGAACGCAGAGGGGTAAAGAAAGGGGCGGAGATCGAATCGATGATCGTCCGGCGAGTAGCTCTCAGCATGGTAGGCTGGTGTCGCCACTACTTGCTTATGGCGGTTAAGAAAATGATAATGGTGGAAGCGCTTCACCTTGTCGGCGATCTCGCGAGGACTCAGTTTGCCGTGGCCGCCCCATTCGTTGAGGAGTCTCAGGAACATGCCGTATGGCCCAAGTTTATACTGTTTACGTAATGACTGGTGGAATTTAGCGCTAGTTATTTAGCTTCGGGCCATGGAATTGATTTACTTACACCAAAACGTGATAATTCGTCGTAGGTCATGCCCATATCAGCTGTAGTTGTTTAGTAAGCTTATGTTCTCTGTTTAACAAAGCATTGCAATGCATTAGTTACCTTCATCGCTTTGCACGTAGTTTTCAGTAATGGGCTCAAGTTCAGCCGTGGCTAATTTCGTTGTCAGCGAATTGAGACAAAGTTGTAAGCTGCAGACTGTTAACTCACGAATGGCGTGGATGAACTCTTCCAAGATAGGGAGGTCAAAGTTTTTGCCTGCCCAGGCAATGAATCGTTTACTTTTAGAGTCTAGTGTTAGTAAATTCCCATACAAAAAGGTACTTGTAAAATTCTGCATGGAGGAATTACGTACAGGTCAGATTTGCTGATAGAACCGATTGGATTAAGGTCGGCAGAGCTGCAGTCGTATTTTGTGAGATCTATTATATTTCTGTTAGCGTAATTATAGCTAGGATAATTAGGACTCGTAACAACTAACATCCTCGAAGGCATTCGTCGACGTTGCTGGATCCAAGAACCAGTAGACCGCCTCCTCCCGGCCGTTGCCGGACGGTTGGCAGCATCTGCGCATAGTAGTAGGCGATGACCATGCGAGAGCGGCTTTGAATATTTTGCAATGCCACTGAGATGGTTAGCATATTGCGATACGACAGTGGAGAAGCATAAGAAATAATGAATACATACAGTTTTCAGCGACGGACCCTCCGTGGACCTTGAACTTGGGCTCAAATCCTGTGCCCTGCGTGAGCAAGTTCTTTGTGGCGTGGAAAGTATCGTCGATATTCATGTCTGTATGGTAGCTACCAATACGGCTGGCAAGATCTTTGGCACGTTGTCGAGTTTCTTTGCTGCTCTGAGCGGCCATTCCCATGAAGACGGTGTGGAATATCTGATTACAAAATTCCTCTGGTGTATCAGGCAATTTATCAGAGAAAGCAGCGAGTCTTTTGACGTCCGCAATCACTTCTTGATTGCCATCTTTGACGGCCTGGACTACGAGTCGGCACATGCTATAGACGATGACAGCCGTCGCGCAGGAATCGATGCCTCCCGATAGAGGAACTAGATAGCCCGCAGTTTTACTTCGTCGTACTTTGAGTATTAGTTAGTAGAGAATAAAGAAAGTCGATGCGAATAGACCACTGGGGAATGCTAGAAAACTTACAGTAATCCCAGAGCCAGCATGCGGGACCGAGAGCCTACACAACATCAATGATTAGCCATAATTCTTCTAAACGGAGATCGGAGGGCCTCTGCAGGGTAAAATTGGTTTGTCGTGCGATTTTCGGATATTAAAAAGAAACGTACAATTTCTTCCTCTGGGAGGTGATATCTTGGGGGCTTAATGGGAGTCGGGACTTCGAGGATTCTGAGGCTATCATGGGAGAGCGTAAAGTCAACCTCGATTCTTTCGTACACTGGTGCTTGCACGGCTTGGAAATTGCGAGATGGAGCAAATCGGTAGGCTCGCACTTCCTCGAGGTCGACTGTCGCTGTCACCACCTCAACATCTAGCAAGCTGAATTGCGCGCCCTGAGCAACAATGTCGCCGTTGACCACAATCATTGAGCAGCCATCATAGAGGAGACGATCACCATCACAACCTGTAGACAGTAAGTAGAGGAACATTTAGATAGGTGAGTAGTATTTGACACACCAGACTGGTTTGCGTAGAGGTAGATGCCACCGTTTTTCCGGGTAGCCTCCTGAATCAAGGAAATTCGCTCGTTGAGCTTTCGCAAGCTATGATGCGAACCAGAGCTGTTGGTGAAGATTTCAACGCCGTTTAAGCCCCTGGAAAAGAGTTAGTAAATCGATGGCTTCTAATCCTGCGGTCAAAAAGACAAACATGTTGATGTGTGGTGCCTGAGGGGTGAAGAGCTCTTCACAAGTTTCGGCGGCAACGGTAGTATCATTCAGAGATAAGATGACGTCGCCGATGGGGATCTGCCGTGTTCCCTGATGTTGCTGGATTTGAGGCGGAAGATTGTACTGCTCAACATATCTGGGCCGATTCCACGGAGTAAAGAATCGGTTTTCTCTAAAGTTTCTGTAGAGAAAAGAAAAAGATCAGTCATTTTCTGTATCAGATCGATAGAAGGCATATGTTGGGGACACTGTAAGGCCGCAACACTTATGCTGGGAGAGTCAGCTCATAGAGAAGCACTGTGACTCACCCATCGTTGGCTAGATATATCTTGGGGCGAAGACACAGGAGCTTTCCGTCAAGGATAATTGCACGACAGTTGTATCGGCAGCCACGGTGCATAACCGGTAAACCTATATCAAGGAGAATGCCATGGAGGGAAGTATCCGTTAGAATTTTTGATAGCATATCCATTGAATGATTATAGGTATCAGACTCCAGAAAGTGGTCAAGACTGTGGTGCGCCATTAGCAACTGGTCGACTTAATAAGAGCAGTGATTTTGATATCTTATGCCTCTAGAGGCCCTATTTGGGAGAATCTCAAACTCACCATCCATAACCGCTTATTTCCAGCTCAGGACCAGTTCGCAAGGTAGCTCCGGCTTCTTTAGCTTTGAGGATACTTGTACGGATTCGAGCAAGGTTGCCCTCCCAGTCCATTGCCCACTGGTTGAGGGAGCATGTTGCCAAAGTGATTAGCTGCGCCATTTCTAACTACCAATGTGGAAAACAGAGGTGATGCAAGAAAATCACAATAAGAGAAAAAAAAGTAAAAGAGCCTTGAGTTAAAAGAAAGGCTATGCGTAGCTGAGGATACCCAGCATTACCATAATAGGATAGGGAAAGAGGGGTGTATGGATCGAGGTACGAAACTTTTCCATAAAACTTGCTTAAGTAAGATCCCGAACAACGCCGACGGATTATGCTTTTTCTTCACCGTTACTAGCAGTTAAGAAATTGAGCGGCTACTTGCTGAAAGACTCTCGCAAATTGGACGAAAAGGGCGAATACAAGTAGATACTAAAATATGCAACCATCATCAAATTCTGGAGCTTACCTCTCCAGTTTCTGCTCCCACAGTTGCATTACGGACTCTCAGGGGTTCCAAATCCGGAGCACCATAAGCACCGTGTCGCGTCTACATTTAGCTACCGAGTACGCAGCTACAATCTTTGCGACTTATGATGCTACTAGAATTGTGGTAAGTATTACTATAAGTCTGTAGACATGAAAAGTACGTCACTAGTTAGTTACCGCATCATTTAATTCTCCCAAGCAAAAATATTTTTTTATTGCCGCGGAGTATGAGAATTGTTCGGGAATGGGTGTAATGCGGATTTACAGCATACCGCCCAAACCCTTGTCTGCCCGGACTTTCGGGTGACACCTGGGCAGAGTTGAGGCCTCGTCGCCCAGTGACGTCTACAGGGCTGAGTGTGAGGCCGCAAATATATTGCCCACGGACGTTCGGCGCCATCCCGAGATTGCTGACCGGGGCAGTAAAATTGCCCTGCACATCAACCAGCCACAGCGCCAAGAGCGTCTGAGGCCAAGAGGTGACGATGGGCTGTTAAGGAGGCTGAGAAGGCGACAAGGCAGCACAGCTCCAGCCACTAACAGTGGAGATGCCTCTGACGAGTCTCTTTGCTCTACACGTGCTCAAGCCTGAATAATGCGGGACGCAAATGCCTTGCTCGGGCGATGCTGAGGCTGGACGAAATCTTCTGTCCTCTAAGAGAAGACGAGTCAAGGGTCATGCGCGCTCTCACCACCGAATCATTGATGCACAAGGACCAAGTCAAGTTGAGGCATCGAGTTACGCATGGACGCCTTGCAAAATCATGCCCTTTTACGCTTTGGACGATGGATGCTAAGCTTTATCGCGGAAACGCAAATCCGCGCGTACTGGCTAGCCCGAAGAGGCTTATCGCCATGTATATCCCGCAGTAAATTACGCCAAGCTGAAGCTCCGAGCACGACTTTGGCACCGCCCTGACAGCCACCACGTCAAATTGCGACACCGTGTCCGCCACTATGGTCTGCTAGTACAAGTAGCTCTGCTTTTTCCAATTAAGCTCTCCTTACTTGTCTGAACATTTCCAACCGCTCCTTCGCCAGGCATTTATATCTTCCATTCGACGAGGCCTTTTCTCTCTCGATTTCTGGTTCTCCATTCTCCCCCCCGCCGCGATCCACCTCATCTGCAGCTTCGAACCGACGACCCCTCTCTCCGCGATACCGTTGCTTTTTTTTTTTTCGCCTCCAGCCTTAGCCCAGGCCTCCATATAAAGAAGTCGCCGACACGCTGCACCTTCGGCCCGTAATCACGCGAGCTTGCTGGCAGCGCGGTTTGCCCCTCCTACATTAGCGGCACAGATTCGTGATAGAACATCAGACTCGATTATCATGTCGGCACCCAGGACTCGGAGAAGAGCTGCCCAGGAAAAGCTCGAGCAGGTCTCTGACGACGACCGCTCCCCGGCCGTTGTAGATGGCAATGGCTCAGCTCACGATGCGCCGGAAGCCTCGGATTCTGATTCTGGCAGCGACGAGAACATTTTTCTGTTCTGGCCCAACATTATAGGTACGCGGTAACGCTGGACAGGCCAGATTCCGTGACAAAGAAGAAAACCTCCATGAGCTGTCGCTAATGATGCTGGTTGTTAGGCTACTGCCGAATCGTCCTTGCTATTGCGTCTCTCTACTACATGCCACTGCACCCTCGTACCTGTTCGCTTCTCTATAGCATTTCATGCTTGCTCGACGCTCTCGACGGGTATGCTGCGCGAGCTTTTAACCAGTCGACTCGCTTTGGCGCTGTCTTGGACATGGTCACGGACCGCTGCACTACCTCGTGCTTGCTGGTCTTCTTGTCCTCGGCCTTCCCGCGATGGGCCATCATCTTCCAGAGCTTGATTGCACTCGACTTCTCCAGCCACTACATGCACATGTACGCTACTTTGGTTGTGGGCGGCTCTGATTCTAGCCACAAGAATATCGACAAGAGCCAGAGCTGGCTTCTGAACTTGTACTACACCAACAAGGTTCGTATCGACAGAGCCTAATTCCCCTCCATCAAACTCGATGAAGCTGACCAATTACCACTTTAGACCGTACTGTTTGTTTTCTGTCTCTTCAACGAAGTCTTCTTCATTGCGCTCTATCTCCTGTCCTTCTCGTCGCCGCTCCTCTCGCCCCACCTTATCAAGAGCGTTGAGGAGACCAGCGGTGGTCTGATCCAGCCAGGCGTGCCGGTCAACACATCCCTGCTACGACAACTGTTCCCCGATCCTTTCAGCGCCGCCGCCCTCGAGATTGCCCGAGCCAACAAAATGGATTCTACCCTCCCCTGGATCATCACTGGTATTAGCTTTCCTATCATGCTGGCCAAGCAAATCATCAACGTGGTGCAGCTGGTCAAGGCAAGCCGGTGGCTTGCCGAGGTTGACATCAAGTCACGGAAAGCCAAGGGACTGGGCAAGAAGGCGAGAACGGCTTAATAAGGCCGAAGCGGAGAACAATCAGTCAAACATCGTCGCGATAATGACACACAGTGACAAATTGTTCACAGACTAAAAAGGACAATTGCCGCTTTGCAAAATGATTTGAATGGCAACTGTTGACCATTTAGGGCCTGAGTTAGACGGAGAAATCTAACTCTCAGTCCTGTTGTATCGCAACATGGGTGTTGTTTTGGTGAAAATTTATGCAGTGCTAGCTTTCGTGATGCCTCTCTTTTTATTTTTCACGGCAAGCAGCTGTTAATATTGCATGGCTTGGCGCAAACGGGGCTTAACAAATAGGGGTGGCGGCTGTGACACTCGTCTCATTCCACACCGTATGGACAGATGGGCTGGAGGGATTAAAAACACAATAAAACATAAATTTCGGAGAAATATTGGGAACGAAGAGCTCTGCAATCCTGCAATCCTTTCTTCTTTCACTTTACTTTGGGGTCCTGCGGGATGCTGTTGTTCATCTCTGTTCTGGTTGGTTGGCTGGACATGATCAATTCTTGTATTGCCATCTTGTCTGTCGTTCTTTTTTACCTTTATTTTCTTTTTCTCTGCTGTACATATATATTCTTATTGTTCTTTCATTATGATTTCTTAATATTAGTAGATTAGTGGCATAAAGCCGATGTGTTGAATACAAACAAGACTGTTGAGTCACATGAACTTTACAGGCTTTCCGCGACAACAGTTCAGAGCAGAGAATTTGCTTCATCTCGGGGGTATCTCGAAACAGAAATTCCATTTACGTGTATACAAAAAATTATATATGGCGCAACATTAAAGTCCTGATGTTTTTTTTTCTTCTTCTTACTCTTTGGTATATACGTCAATTTCATCTTCTCGAAGAAGAACCCCCGTCAACAGCGTTATGGCTCGACGACACTTCGTCTTTGAATGCACCGCCAGTGACACCGCCGGTTGTTTGAGGAGCGTCTGACTTTTCAATTATGTGAGACACTTCGAGGGGTACAATCTCCATTGGTGTGGAGAGGCCGTACCAGGCTACGACGATGACACCGAGGATGCCAGTGACGCAGCTGAATACGAGGGCGACGATGCCGCGGGGGGTGAAACTGTCACGATACATGTTAATACACATCGACATCAAAGAGTGGGAGCAAGAAAAAAAAAAGCATTAGGGCTCTAGTGAAGAAGGCTGGAAAGGGGGGTTCTTACCCTCCGGGGATTGTGCCGGGAGGCTTATTCTGGCCGGAGAGGTCCAAGAAGTCAGCAGTGTTGCCTGCAGCATTGCCCTTTGTGAGCGTATTGGAAGCAGCGCAAACAGACAGATGGTCGTCGGGAATGGTCAACTGCTTCTGGATGTCTAGCGGAGCTTCAACAAAGGTGGCGAGAAGGCCAGAGGCAACGTGCCACTCAAGATGGCAGTGGAAAAGCCAAACTCCTGGAGGGAGAAAAAAAAACATATTGAATTAGTATTAAGTTTGGTAACTAAAACGGAAGAAGAACGTTACTGCGCTTCGAGAGGAGAACATACCGGGATTATCGGCCCTGAAGCGCATGACGATATTGCCATTCGGCCACATGACGAGTGTGTCTCGCCGCATAGGCACGCTGATGAAGTCGCTCTCGGAGAGATTCTCATCGGCAAAAGTGCCGGCTTCTTCCTCAGAGCGGTGAATGGCCTGGAAAGCGTGGCCGTGGAGATGGACGGGATGGCGGCCAGAGTCGAGGTTGTTGACGACAATCTGGACGATTTCACCCCTTTGGAGGACAAAGGAGCGGGTGTACTCTCCGTAGACGGCGACGTTGTCTGCGAGGTCGCCTGTGGAGAGGGCTGTGTAGAGAGTGGGCACTTTGGGATGAGTGTAGGTGATGTTGTCGAAGAAGGCATAGTTCTTTCCATCGCGGAGGTTGTCCATGATGATGTCGAGCTGGACGACTTGGTCCGGCTCAGGCAGCAGCTTCATTCTATCATATGGTACGAGGTCCATGTCATCAAAGGGGTTGAGTTCATCAATGAGCGCGGCTTCGGGGAAGTCGGCTTTGGAGTCGTACGTCAGCCATCCTGTGGCGTTGTAGTTGAGATCCTCGGGCAAAGTGTCAAACAGAGTCTATAAGCGAAGTTTAGTATCATTACTCATTGATAACGTGGGTTTTCAACCAATGGAAGAGGTTGGTGAGCAATTGCTTACAGTGTCCATGCTAGAAATTATGGGGAAGTTGGCAGAAGTGTCGTTCTTGGTGGTAAGGAGGAAGCTGACTCGTTGAGCAGCGGCGATGTAGACCATCTCAGCTTCGGCGGCCTCGGTGTATATGCCGTCGACTTCGATAATGCGCATCGTGTGCCCTTCTATCCAGACGTATTGTCCAGCAAACGCACCAATATTAAGGACGCGGAACATGTAAGTCTTATTGGGCTCAACGGAAATGGTCAGATTTTGGGTTTCGTTCATGAGCACGGCTTTGGGCACCGGCTCAGCACCCGTTGGGTTGTTCTTTGACATGAAAGTTGGGAGAAGAGTGGCCATCTGGTCGTGGTACCAGTCTGAGAGAGTCAGGACAAGTTCATGATCAACTTCCTTTTGGTAAGGGAATTTAGGATCGTGAACAATGAGAGGACCACGGAGACCGTCAGGATACTGGGCATTGTGATGAGAGTGGTACCAATATGTGCCCGGCTGGTTGATCTACAGCGTTTTGGTTAGGATGCTACCATTTGATAGAATGAGCGGTTGCAATTGGGGACTTACAGTAAAGTTGTATTGGAAAGAATATCCCGGAGGAATCTGGCATTGAGACACACCCACAGGGCCGTCCATGTGCGTTGTTCCATTTTGGTACATGCCGTGAAAATGCAGGGAAGTAGACTGATTACCAAGCTGGTTGTTGACGTTGATGATGATACGATCGCCGACATTTGCCTCGATACGAGGAATGGGCCATTGGTTATTGATGCCAATGACGGGACGTGGGAACGCTCCGTCTGGATTGGCAGTGACCCAAGTAATGTTGAAGTCATAGTTGACAGTGGCCGCGCTGGCAAGGCCCAGAGAGGCGGCAAACAAAGCCGCCGCTCGTGTGAAGCTGTTCATCCTTTGCTGTCTAGTCAGGATATCAGAGAAGCCAGCTCTCTATGTGGAAGATGCTGTAGTGATCTCTCTCCCACACTCTCGTCACTGATACCTAGTAGACGACTATAAAGAGGAGGGGAGGGGAGAGCGAGGGGATGAGATGATGAAAAGAGGAGCGAGGAAGCGAATACGACGTGGGAGGGACTGGCACTCGCCCACGGTAGCCTTTCAATTCCAGGTTCTCGCTGGACAAGAGCAAATAGTCAAGAAAATGTTGAGACGCTTCCGATTATCGCATCAGAGATTGATAAAGCAGCTGTGGGTAGACCCGGCGGAAAAATGCGTTAACCACGCTACTCATGCAGCCGGTCCGCCGCCACGAGCGCTTGGCCAACGTGATCTCTGCTTGCCAAGGCAGAAGACAAAATAAGGGTCCAGCCAAGGCGCAAGACTATTAAAAAAAAAAAAAAAAGACCCGCCCGGCTTGTTTCGTTTCGTTTCGTTTCGGCCAGCCAACTGCGCGTGGATCGGGCTCTGCAGTTCCTCCGGAGGGTCATTGGGGCAGCAGAGCAGGGATACGACATGCATATAAATAAGCTACAATGCTAAATAATAACTAATACTACCTACTACTGCCTAGGTAGGTAGCACTGTGAGTGCGGTGTTTATTTGCTAGCGGACAGAAGGACAGTATCTTCAGCTCAGAGAAGCCATGGATGCGGATCGATGCCCTCGAAAAAAGGCGGCCTCGGCAGCAGCTCGCTGCTCCTCCGAGATAGCGCCAAAAGTTCGAACAAGCATAAATCTTGGCTTAATTCATGCCTGTGATTGGGCAATCAGGCCAATAGCGGCCCTCGCAGCGGGGTGCCCCGTGGCCGTTTAGCGTGATCAGATAAGATGATCAGAAAACGAAAAGCGCTGCAAGAGTTCCGGTGCGGTGGTCGCTACTGTCAGCCACGGCGCAAATACGGGCCAGGATGAAAATGGCGCACAGAGAATAGCCTGTTGGTTTCGATTTAGTTCGTATTTACGAGAGAAAAGAGAAGCAAGGTAGGAAATATGGTAGTCATAATGGGGCCACTCGATTCTTTTTGGTCTCGTAACTAGGGAGAACTCGGTCCATGGTGAGCCACGGCTAACAAGACTAATACTATAGAAGATGAAGAGGGAAAAAAAAAAATCGCACATCAGATGATAAACTGTCATTAAACCCATAGGCCACTCTTTCATATACTTACCGCTAGTAGTAGGTATCCATATCAGCTTCTATTCCGCCAATGGTATGTATCCTCTAGCCATGGCACTTTGAAGCAATCAACCAATGCCTCCAACTCACACCTCCCGTATATGGCAGCTGTCTGCAAGTTCCTCACTCGCTCATACGTAATTTTCTTCAGCCGTGTTATTTCCTCCGTCGTTACAGCGACAAGACTGCAGCCCTAGATAAAATTAGATCCATGCAACCCCACGGCAAAATTTTCTCTCTTCTTTCTCCGTTGTTGGCCGACCCATCACCCATGGCTAGTTAGTGGGAGTGGGAGTGGGGTAGAGAATGCATGTAGGTGCCACAAATAAGTAAACTTGGCGGCAAGCTTCTTCGTCAAGCTTATCTGATCCGAGTCGGAGCTGGACTCCGGCTGTTTGATCTGGAATTGAGCCGGGCTGGAAATGTCTCGGCAACTTGTCGAGGTAAAAGCGAGCTTCCTCTCTTCAATTCTGATTTATGCTGCCAACGCCGCCGACACCCGCATGTCCATGGCCGTCGTGAGAATCAATATTTTCAGCTCTCCCCCTTGCATTTTTTAACTTCTTTTTTTTTCTCACTCTTCCTTTTGTGTGGTCTTCTCTTTGTGCCCAGTAGCTGCTGCTCTTGTGCTGCCAGAAGACTCTGCTCGTCGCCCGCAATGGCCAAAGACGTCTTCTCAGTCCCCGTCTTCCTCGTCGTCTTCCGCGAGACGCTGGAGACGGTCATCATCGTTTCCGTCCTGCTCGCCTTTTTGAAGCAGACGCTCGATGGTCCAAATGCCGACCGCGCAACCTACAAAAAACTGCGGAGACAGGTAAATAAGAGATGAGAACAAAAAAAAAAAAAGGTCCCCTGTCTGGAACTCTTTGAGCTTATACGTCAAACTATGTAGATTTGGATTGGCATTGCCTCGGGGTTTTTGCTGTGTATGATCATCGCCGCCGCTCTCATCGGCGTCTTCTACACCGTTGGCTCCAACACCTGGGACAAGAGCGAGCAGTACTACGAGGGCGCCTTTTCGCTGGTTGCCTCCATCATCATTACCATCATGGGCGCTGCGCTGCTCCGCATTGGTAAAATGCAGGAGAAGTGGCGCGTCAAGCTCGCCAAGGCCATTGAGTCACCCATCAAGGTTGGATCGAGCCGAAACTGGCTCTCCCAGGTCTTGGAGAAGTACGCCATGTTCTTCCTGCCCTTCATCACCGTCTTGCGAGAAGGCATTGAGGCTGTCGTGTTTGTAGCCGGTGTGACATTCTCGGCTCCGGCGTATGCTGTACCTCTTCCTGTTGTCGTCGGCTTGCTGGTTGGTTTTGTTGTCGGATACATCTTGTACAAGTAGGCTCACCTTTTGTTGTCTTTTCGCTCTTCATTGCACAATGGCTAATCTCTCTCCACAGGGGAGGATCATCAACGAGACTGCAATACTTCCTTGTCGCATCTACTTGTTTGCTGTATCTCGTCGGCGCCGGCTTGTTCTCACGCGCTGTTTGGTCGCTTGAACAAGGGAAATGGAACAACATTGTCGGCAGTGACGCCTCCGAGGTTGGCTCTGGTCCCGGGTCATATGATATTGATAAGGTTGTGTGGCACGTCAACGTAAGTGATCATCTCCAACCGCAAAGAGACCGTTTATCTAATAATCACAGTGCTGCAACCCTAATGTCCCGAACAATGGAGGCTGGGGCATCTTCAACGCTATCCTCGGCTGGAACAATACTGGTACTTACGGTTCCGTCATCTCGTACAATCTCTACTGGGTATTTGTCATGTCTTCCTTCATTCTCCTCAGATTTCGCGAGACCAAGGGGCGGTGGCCGTTCCAGAAGGCGAAGTCCGCTGTTCCTGTTGACACAGAGGCCCGTAGCGGAAGTGAGAGCAACGACGGAGTTACCGAGTCTAAAAATGTGAGAGAAACAACCACGACTCTGCACTAGAAAATGAGTATGGTGCGTGAGATGAGACATCTAAACTGATTATACTATTATGATATACATATACATGATAATAAATCAGTCAAGCTTCGTATTCTCGTAAAATTGCCTTGAAATAAGCGTAATAATGTACACTGATTCAACTCTCTATATTTCATTTCAGTGTCCTTCATATTGCTAGTAGATTTTAGGCCACAATTTTGATGCCAGCATATACATTTCAAAATCCCAAACTTACTAAGCGGTCAACATACGTGCACGGCACAAGAACGCAAGGCCCAACTCCTCTTTCTCCGCATCCTAGGCCTCAGGAGTCCAGTCCCACGAGCTCGCCGTGAAGAGGCCTTTTGATAGCCTATCGGTATACATAGCTGCTTCGTAACGAAGACGCTGATCGCTTGCTACTGCTCTAGTAAAGACGAATTTTGTTTCTTCTTCGTCCTCTCTAAGCCGACGATCTCTCAGCTGCGTCCACGACACCTCAGATCGACGCTTCTTCCAGTCAGCATGAGCGATGGAAGTGCCGCTTGCGCTCAACATGGTCCGGATGTAGTCGATAATTGGATCCATGCGGATTTTAAGCCCACAATTTGTGTGGTGCTTGTCGATTTGATAGTTGGGGCACTGCTTTAGAGTGTTTAGGAGATCATCAATGTTGATCATAGCACCGTCTGGCACAGCTTCAAGAGACGGCGAAGTGTAGTCGACGAGGAACAATAGATTCTTTGATACCAAGAATTTGAGCATTTGTCCCAGCTGGAATGAATCACAAGCTCCACTGGAATCATAGCCGAGTTTGCACTGTCTCTCCTTGGAGCAGTACAGGTTAAGAAAGTGGCGCTGAACGGACGCAATGGTATTCAAAACGCACTCTCTCCGATACTTTAGTTCCTCTGTGCCTTCGTTAACCACTTGGCTGCAAGTGATACGGATCAGTATGCATTAGCTTACCTTCTATGCCTTCGGGCAAATGCCACCACGCAGCCGTCAATTCGTCACGCTCTTCGGAGTAGTCGCTCCATAGACGAGATCCTCGCATGACAAGCTCTCGCGCCGCTTGATGCAATTTCATGCCATTGCTGAGAAGCCAGGAAACGAGAATCTTCTCACGAAGCATCTGCTCAGCATCCGTATTACGGCCACTGTCATCGGTGAAGGGTCGATTGCTCGTCGTTGGCCAGCGGATCCCATTAAGAGAGCGAGCCACCACGGTGAGGCAGTCGAAGCGGTCTGCAAGAATGGCCATTGTGGCGACTTCTGGCAAGGCTACTCTCGGCGCCTTGAGCGGCTTCTGGTGGATGATCTTGAGCATGTCTTCAAACACATGCTCGCGGCCCGCCGCCTTGGTGGCCTCGTCATCATCCGTGATTCTGATCCACGGCAGGTCTGCGGCGTCTGCCTTGCCGGGTTCGATTTTCAATGACGCAAGTTTCTTGTGCGCCTCATCGATAGTTGAGGCCTCACTAAACTTGGGATTCGACAGGAGGTTGGCAAAATACTGAGAGTGCTTCTTCAGTGCGGCTTGGCTGACCCGATAGGCAACAGTCACCTTGCTCTTGTGGGCGGGCTGAGGTGCGTTGCTGGGCTTCTTGGCCGCCAGCGCAGACGCCTTTAGCGACTTCTTGAGCGTTTCCTTTGAGGTTTCGAAAGTCACGTCCAGAATGATATCGCCGGCATCGGCGACGTTGACGACTCTTGGGCTGTCTACTTCCGTATTCTTGGCAGCCTCTGCGTCTGCGGGTGCGGCTGCCGCAGACTCGCCCATCCTTCCAGCAGAAAGAATACTATCGACATAGAATGATTGAGGATGGGAAAGGAAGTTCTGACCGGCCAGCCAGTCGAAGCTTTATCTGGGTGCAGCGAGAGGGCCAAGGACCGGCGAGACGCCTTGCAGTGGCATATCAGCAGTCCGCATCAGTTGCCAGTCCCTGATGCCTAAGCCGCGGCGTGCTAGGATAGGTCCTCTCTCTTTTTTCTTCGGTGCCTGGGTCCGCTCCAAAAGTTGATTAGTGCCATCCCATTGCCGCTGTGAGCTAAGGACGGCCGGGCATCAACAGCGACGATTACTCAACGCAGTTGCGCTGCTTCAGGGCTGCGCCGCCTGCGTAGTGGCCTGTGTCGGGTGCTTGCAGCGGCCAGGCACCAAAGTTCAGCGCTGCGGCCACCATCCACAAACGCTGCACCCCTGCGTTGCCGCACTCTTGAGAGCCTGCAGGGGGGGCTGGCATATCGGTCGAAAATGATATCACGTTGGATCTGCTTGCCTCGTCTATCAGTGCGATAAAGCTTTGACATGGCTTGGAACGTAGATGCGCAGCTTGGGCATCAATCCACATGAGTCAATCATGGCAGAGAGCAGTGAGAACATTTGGCTACATATTGTACATTAGGCGTGGGGTGCCCGGCTTGTCCATTGAACGGCAGTTCCTACTCGTCGTCACTAAATGGGCCCCCAAATTAGCCTCCGCATGTAGAAGTAGTAGGTACTGGGACTAAAGTTCGGGCGTGCCAACAGCAGCACGTCGTTGCCGAGCCTGCTGCGACTGGCGCGCAACACTCTCTCGCCTTTGTTTGCCCGCTTCACGAGCTATTTTCCTTCCAAGCTTCCTTTTTGCAATCTCTTAATAATCCTGCCACTCTCCCCTCATAGCCCAAACACAGCTTCTCCTCCTTGAAGCTCCCCAAGAACCCTCAGGTTGACGCGGAAGACTTTCTCGCTGAGCCGAATAAAGCCGTTCGGCTATCTCAACAAACGACTAGGCGTTCTTTGCCTGAAGCATCCGTCCCTCCTTCTTCTGCGTCCCCAACGGCGAGCCCATGGCTGTGACCGAAGGCAAATTGGCAGCGATTCGACTCCGAAAACGACACCGAATGCTTGGGCTTGCGCTTCTCGAGCTTCGGGCAGCACACATAATCTCCAGTCTGAATGGCGAACTTGGCAAGTAAAGCGCTAGGCTCGGCATCGAGAGCTGCCGCCCACATCTCCCCCGACGCAGCTACGATCCCGACGATACCGACCTCGTTGCGAGCTTCTTGCGTGGGAACTCGGTTGAATCTAGCAGAGGATGCTCTGCGGCTCCAGATTGAGGGCACAGCAGCTCATCGAAGCCGATATACGGCTTCGGCGACTAGAACAAAGTCGCGTCCCGCACAGACTTGGCTATGCGGAGCCCGCGGGGTATCTTGCGACACCATCGTCGACTTGCCTCTAAGACATGCTTTGCCAGCCACCAGACGGGATTTCCACACGTACTTCGTCACTCATCTGCCGTCTTCCTCCTTACATCCAGACTCTGGTCGGCTGCATGGGCCTGGCCACAAGCTTCCCCGCGATGCCTCGACACCACATACCCCAAGTCCTGGGTCTTCCCCCGCTGTCTCGATACCAAACATGCCTAGTCAAAACCTGACAGTCGTTCGGATTCCATTGCGGCGGGCCAAGCATCACTTTGGCACAGCAACCGCCCGAGGAAACCGTCCTTACAACGAGGATGCAGACCAGGCGGGGATCGTTGACATGCCAGCCTTTGCAAAGAGGGCGCCAACAAGCGTGAAGCAGAAGCCAGGAGAGCCTACTGCTGCAGATAGCGCTCTTGGAGATCCTCAGGTATTCTATTTTGGAGTCTTTGACGGACATGGAGGAGTTCAGTGCTCCCATTTCCTACGGGATGAGTTACATGGCTATATTGAAGAAGCCGCGTCTGAATTTGGCCTCCAGAGCAGCCTGCGGCGAAAGAACCCTTGGGACGTACCCAGAAAGCCAGTGACCAAGAAACAGGCCCTCGATGACTTAAAAATGAAAAAGCCTAACGAGGTAAAAGACGATATCCAGCTTCCAGACCGTGATGAAGAGACACGGCAAGCCCCACGACATGGAGATCCTCTACCCAGTGCCAAGTCTGAGCCCGTTGAAGTATCGGACTACACAAAGGCGATTAATTTGAAGAAGAGCCTGGTGCAAGAGTACAGAGACTCAATCGGTGGCTACTTTCGTCGTTTTCAGCCAGAGCATTTTAACCTCACAGACGATGGTGAGAACCAGACCATTTCGGTTGAAGCGGCCCTTGTCTACGCATTTCTCCGCGCCGATTTGGATTTTGTCTCGGCACAGGTTCGGAAAGTCGACCCAGACGACATCCGAGTCAGCGACAGCCCCCTGAATAACGACGAGATACTGGGTCAGCCTCACGCCACGCCGTCAGGTCACGACATTGGTGGTACTACGCGGTTCAAGGGGGGGTCTACTGCGTCGATTGCGCTCATCTCCACACCCACGCCCGCACCCTTTTGGCACCCTGGCGCACACTCGTCTCTCATTGTCGCACACGTCGGAGATACTCGCGTGCTGTTGTGCGATACAGCGACCGGCCTCGCTCAACCCCTTACGTCAGATCACCATCCTACCACGCCGCGCGAGAGCAATCGCCTGCGTCGATACGCCCCGGCCGGCTCTATGGTCTCCGGAGATAGTTTCGGGGAAGAGCGCATTGCGGGACTAGCCAATAGCAGAGCTTTCGGCGACGTCAAGAGTAAGCGGATAGGTGTCTCTGCAGAGCCCGAGATTACCAGGGTAGAGCTCGGCCCTGCTCAGTATTCGTTCATAGTGCTAATGAGCGATGGCGTCTCTGGTACCTTGAGCGACCAGGAGATTGTAGATGTCATCAAGGAAGCTAAAACTCCAGAGGAAGGTGCTCGCCGAGTTGTCGAGTACGCCACCGAAGTTTCCGACGATGGCGACAACGCAACGTGCCAGGTTGTGCGACTCGGCGGCTGGGAGCGTCGGTCTGAAGGTGGCTTGGGCAGTCTTGGGACCAAGGAGTTTAGGGATATTAGACGTGCAGAGGCGCAGGATCCGCGACGGCGTTCGAAACGGTAGGGTCTTTTATAATGGACAGTAGCTAAGAAGAGGTGAGAGGGCCGTTATGAGAGCAGCTGGAGGGGTTGTGGTGAGGAGAGATCTCGTTTGGCGATTGCATGAAGAATAGCGGGTTTTTGCTTGGAATTTTTGCGAGCACATGCGGATGCATACACCCTACTATCCTGAAGAAAGGGCAGGATGGAGTTTAAAGGCAAAGCATTGTGGAATGGCTGCCGTGTGGCCTATATATACTCTGATTTAATTTCGGTTCGCTTATAGTCTCGTTTGGAATCTGCTTTTGAGGTTTGATTTAAATAGGATGGGGGGAATTGGGATGCCTATCGTATCTACAGGTAGATAAAGTTATAAGAAGTAATAAATTCTAGAGGATTTGAATGCTGCAAAGATTTGACGATGGGCATATGTATTTGATTTCTGTGGTATAAACGATGTAAACAAAACACAATACTATCATATTTCACATGTACCTGCTATCAACTATACTGTTTATCAGGCCCCAACTTTTTTTTACTGTCATACTATCAATATCTCCCGAAATGGACACAATTTTAGACAAAAGCACGTATACACACCACCGCGCACAAGCGTCCATACCAAAAGCTTTTGAAATTCTGTTCATTGCCAAGCCAGTCAAGAGATATTATGCTTAATAGCGTTCATGCTGTGATCCCCAGTATGGTGGCTGCTGCTGGTTCCCTTGGCCGTGACCATGATGAGGAGCATATTGCGGTTGGGCTGGACCGCCATATCCTTGGCCACCATATCCTTGATCGCCATATCCATGAGGAGGTTGAGGCTGCCCGCCGTACTGCTGTTGATACTGTGGTTGTTCGGAGTGGCCCTGGAAGTGGCCAGAAGAATGGCCAGAATGACCTTGTGATGATCCAGCATGGGACTGAGCGAGGTATGAGGCACTCTCTCCATACCCGTAGCCCCCCTGAGCTGGTGGTGAATAGCGCGAAGGGGGAGCTGGGGAATTGGACATATAGTTGGCGGACGGATTACCATCATGCCCCTCCAGAGAGTTCAAGTCTCGAGTCTTGACTTGCTCCCAGAGTGATCCAGAAACCTTGCCGTGGCCAAGCTGGGTGATTGTCTCCCAAGCATCGTGACCATGGCCGCCGCCTCCCTTCTGCTGATTGAGAATGTGATTTTTGCCCTGTCTGACAGACTCTGACGACAAGAGATGGTCGATTTCGTGCCGGCGAGGATGCTCATTGACCCAGGTCTGTACGGTGCGGAACATATCCTGCTGGATCTGAACGTCTCCGCGGCGAAGGGCTGGGTGATGGAATGCGCGCAGTACGTCGTTGACAACTTCATCTACGGGGACATTGGGGTTCTCCCATGCGTAGAGAACACGGCTGTGAGAATCAGTTAGCAAATAAGCTCTTATACATCTATAATACGTCAGAGGGCAATAGTCAGAAAAGCTTACGGGACTGTATACTGAAGGACTGTACTTGCAACCCGACCCGCGCAAGAGTTGAGGACGTTGGTAAAATGATCCTTTGATAGCATAGAGTGTGTTGGATCCGTGCTTCTGGGGTTGTCCCATGGCTCGAATTGAGAGTTAGCACTGGCGCTGAGCACTCCAGAGGAGCCTTCCTTCAAGACCTTCGACACCTGGTTGATAATGGGCCGAATAAAAGGAGCAAGGAGACCGAGGATAAAGGCTGTCAGCGTCTCACTGATGTGCTCAAGGAGTTTCTCGAGACCGGGAATCTTTTCGATTCCTCGGCTAATCGCCTTCACAATCCTGTCACGGAATTGCAATATGGGGTAGATCCGCTTCGCAGTCTTGACTGGGTCAAAATTCGGGCTTACGCCAGGAATAACATTGGTGTTCCCTTCAGAGCGAGAGCGCATTTCGTTTTCTTGTTCTTGGGCATCTGACATGGCCTTGAGCTCTCGAGCTTGAGCGGCGAAGCCAGCGCCATCGCCAGGTATCTTGGCAATGAGAGAAATAAAATCTCGTGGAGCGCCAACGCCCAAGAGACCCCTGGAAGCACCTCCGCCGCCGCCGGCACCACCCGCATTTAAGAGAGCAACATCGACTTCATCGACTTCGGATTGGGTGAAGTGGTCGTTTGCCTCGCCAATCACGGAATGCAGAAAATCGACACCTCCAAAAGTACCAGTCACCAGAGGGAAGACACGCTTTCCATGGATTGTGATCTCCGACTGTGAACCACAGTGTGGGAAGACCTCTCGGTGACCCAACTCACGGAGGGCTAACTCGCAGTAGTTGCTGTGAGCACTAAAGTCTTCCATGCAGTGTAACGCCTGACCAAGGCACCTGAGTGCTTCGTTCAAATCTGCCTCCTTGCCACTCTGTGATCCATGGGTATAGAGGCGGCCAAAGTGGATGCTTCGAGCAAAACTATATCGGAGATAGCCGGCGCTGGTAGCCCATCGACCAGTCTCATTGGCAATGTAATTCTTCATGCCAGTGTTCATATCAATGTCGATTTCAATGGGATCAACTGGACCACGCAGGCGAGGGTCGAATGTGCGAGCATCAAGGCCATCGGCGTAGCCCTTGGGGTTGTCGATATGCTCCTCCGGACGGTAGCAGCCCAAGCGCTCCTCTGTCACTTCAAATTCCTCTGTGGCGTAGCCAAAGGCCATGAACGAGAGGATCCAAACCTTTGATTTTCAATTCATCAACAAAAGGTTTCCATTAATATGTGAGGGCTTCATTCCTACCAAGATACGGATTGTGGGAGCATTGACGCCCTTGAGAGAGCCAACGTCGATGGCCTGCGAGTAATCACGAAGCCAGTTGCCAAAGTAAGTCCTTTTGACGAGCATGGATGTCCATTTTTTCCCATGGAGGAAGGCAACAGTTGTCAACATGTCCTCGATATCTGGGATCAGATTGTCAGTGGCCGTCCACCCATATAACACATTGCCCCTCATTGAAGTATCTGCACCACGCACCTCCATGACGCCAGTTGTGGCCCTCGACCTGGAGCTTGTGAGCTTCTAGACGCCATGCCAGCACGAATCTTTGTGGTCGTGCAGTTCAAAGACCAACCTGCGCAATCGATGGAATATTGCCTGCTCCAAACGCAGCCGCCTTGGACGGCAGTAGCACGAGACAGATGCAGAGCACCAGCAGCCAGGTGCCCCGCGATGGTGAAAGTGACGCCATGATGCAGAAGCTATGGCGGGGCAAGCAGCAAAAAGATGAAGAGGCAGGCCAGCGGCAAACTTTGTGGCTGTCCTCCTCCGAAAAAAAAAACCAACTCAGTGCTGAGTACGAGAGCCGTTTTCCCTTTATCTCTTGAATTCGTCAAATCGGCTTCTCACCATGTGTACATGTATGTATGCTGCAGGTGAGATTGGTTGCCTCTCTGTTTGTTTGTCCTGAGCTACCCAAATTGCTAGCGCGTGCTTTGTGTGGCTGCTCGCCTACGTTCTGGTTCCTAGGAAGATCGACCAGCCACACAGCAAGCCACGACTTTGTTTGCGCCACGTTGTGGACATGATGCAACAGAACAGCAGCACAGCCGCGGCGCGGCGTCAAGTTCGAAGCTGACTCGCCACACCTTTTCCGGCATCTTAGGTGAGGAATATAGATGCCATAATATGATCTAGAACGCTATGTACGGAGCATGAGCGCAGCAGATAACCTTGCAATACACCCTACTATGTTCTCCGACAGTGGATGGCCGTTTCAAATACGGGCTCAGCAGATAGTTCGGGCTCTTCGGCATCACAAGCAAGAGGCAAATTATGGACATCATGGGCCCCAAGCAGTGGATGGTGCCCAACGAGGAAATCGAATAGGCTACCCAATTTCTCTCCTGGGAATGCCACCCACCCTACTCCGCATACGGACACATCCAGCAGTTCCAGCCAGCTGCAAAGGTGACGACGACGTGTCCAGTATCCAGCCGCTTATAGTGAGAAGGTCCGCTTACGAAGGCGTACTCTGCTCTGTTGAACAAGAGCAAGACGACTTTCGCAGTGCTGCGCCCCACCTTTTGACGCATCATCGGCGCTCTGCTAGTCTAACGGTGGATAGGGGAGACCAGAAGGAAAAGTAACCTTGGCGCCAAAAAAGAAGACAAAGTAAAATCCTATTGGCGGTGGTGTGACTTTGGTGTGCGCTCTGCTGAGATTTTGCTGGTAACGCCACCTGCTAGTGCTCGGCTTCCGCTGGTAGCGTGCGTCAGGGGATTCCCCAAATTAATCATCGGCAACCTAGAAACCCCGTCCGATCTTCAGAAAAATCTCACAGCCCCCTGATAAATCCTGCGCATCCTCTTCTTTTCTTCTTCCCGCAGCCAACTGGCACCGTTGCGATCAGTGCTTTGCTTGCACAGTCATATACTTTCTTTTTTAGTTTTTTTACTTTCAGATCTGGCTTGCTGCCAAGAGGGCCAATCTTTTGATTCCTCTCCACTTTCGTTGCCGAATTGGTTGCTTTTAGTCTACCGATCTGTCTTCATCTGCGCCACTTCATCCCTGTCCGCCTTTTCGGATCTCGTGATAGCACATCAAGATGGCTACCGAAACTCTCACTAAACTCACTCGCGCCGAAGTCGAGAAGCACAACACTGAGCGGGACTGCTATGTCACTCTCGACGACAAAGTCTACGACGTTACAAGCTTCCTGTTCGACCATCCCGGCGGCCACAAGCTCATCCTCGACTATGCTGGCAAGGACATCAAGGAGATCCTGAAAGATGGTGTCTCGCACACCCATTCAGATGCTGCATACGATATCCTCGACGACTCTCTTGTCGGCTACCTCAAGCCTGAGCAAAACGGAGCTGCCAATGGCGAGTACGTGCACCCGAGGACTGGCATGTCCAAGGAAGAAGATCTCAGCAAGGACACGGATTACAACCAAGATTATAAAAAACACAAGTTTTTGGATTTGAGCAAGCCTTTGTTTCCCCAGCTCTGGTACGGTAACTTCACCAAGAGGTTTTACCTTGACCAAGTCCATCGTCCACGCCACTACAAGGGCGGCCAGTCTGCTCCCCTCTTTGGCAACTTCCTTGAGCCACTCACCAAAACCCCTTGGTGGGTGATTCCTCTCCTATGGCTCCCTTGCGATTCATATGGCTCCTATTTGGCCTTCCAAGGTTTTGAGAACCCCATTATCCCTGCCGCATATTGGGTCTTTGGCTTTTGCATTTGGAGCCTTGTCGAATACGGACTGCACAGATTTTTGTTCCATCTTGATGAGTATGATATTCTCTCTAAACCGCAAGCCATATGATTTATTGCTAACTGTGATGCAGCTACCTTCCTGATAACAGATACGGCATCATTGCGCACTTCTTGCTTCACGGCATTCACCACTACCTGCCCATGGATAGGTACAGGCTTGTTATGCCCCCAACCATGTTCGTGCTGCTTGCTACTCCGTTTTGGTATCTCGCCCACACCATTTTTGCCTACAACTGGTATGCTGCGACCGCTGTCTACTGTGGCGGTATCTTTGGTTATATCTGCTATGACCTGACTCATTACTTCCTCCACCACGAGAATTTGCCTCTCTGGTACAAGGAGCTCAAGAAGTACCACCTGGAGCACCATTTCCTCGAGTACGAGCTTGGCTTTGGTGTCACCACCAAATTCTGGGATAACGTGTTTGGCACAGAGCTGAAGCCCAACGTTGTCAAGACTAAATAAATATGAAGCACCTGATACATTTGAGAAAAAATAGATCGTCATGAATATGGACAGACGGAGATCACGAGGCGGTTAATGCATAGTGGGAAGCAAAATTACTAATAATTGTTGGTATGACTTATGGATTAATCAAGAGATTGTCTTCATGAAACAAAGACACTAATGGCAACCTTATCGGACGTTGATATCGCCGATGGTAAATTTTTTAAATAGCAAAATTTTTAATTAAGGAATAACATTCTCCAGTTGTCTTATTTACTGTAGTAGCGCATAAAATTTGACTTAGTACCAAGGTAAGTACCTAGCAGAGGCACCTACTAAAGTACGTATAATTGTGGTATAATTTTGAAGCTAGAAAGGAAATCGCCCATAAACGCCAGAATTGTTGATTTTTTTTTTAGATTACGTAAGTTTGGCTTATAGAGCCATTCACGTGACTCGCCTTCAGCTCAAGTCCCAAGGAGAAAGTATCCGTCTCGAGGCCTAAAATCCCAACTCGCTGGAAACTTCCTGGGGATTGATATCCGTGACAACTTTGCCGATCCCGAGAAACGACGCAAACGAACATTCTTGTATTCCACGGCAATTGTACATTTGTTCATGGTCCATTCCTCCCTTAAATCACTAGCAAATTCTTCTCCTTTGCCATTGGTCGCCAGGACAGTTTACCATCATGTCTAGCTTAGATGTCGAGGCCCTGCTCGACGCTACGGCTAAGAACCCAGAGAAAAAGCAGAAGAGCCCTGATGCGGAACGTTCCAAAGATGATGGTAAATCTGATAGGCGAGATAGAGACTCCGACCGCGACAAAGGCCGAGAACGTGATGGCAGCCGTGTGAGAGATAGAGATCGAGACTACGACCGTCGCCGTCGAGACTACAGCCTTACTCGAAGCCGCCGAGAGACGCCCGATGCAGGCACTCCCCGTAGCGACACTGGCAGCCACAAAAGTAGGCGGAGAAGCAGGAGTCGTGATGATGACCGTCGTCACTCACGCCGCCACAGAGACGGCGACTACTATCGAGGTGGACGAGCCCGCTCGCGTTCACGTTCGCCCCCTCGACACTATCGTCCTCGTGACGATCGCGATCGACGAGACCGACGAGATCGAGGCGACCGCTATTCCAATGACTACGGCCGCCGCGGTCGAGATGATGACCGACCTGACGCCGGCAATGAGGGCGGTGGCAATGCCCCGCTTACGGAAGATGAGAGGGATCGTCGTACCGTGTTTGTCCAGCAGCTTGCAGCTCGGCTGCGGACTCGTGAGCTGAAAGAATTTTTCGAAAAAGTCGGACCTGTTAATGAAGCTCAGATCGTGAAAGATCGAATCAGTGGACGATCTAAGGGGTAAGTTGCTCTGAAGACAAACTCTCCATATCTTATCGTGTTGCTAACTGGACGGCAGAGTGGGCTATGTTGAGTTCAAGAGTGAAGATGCCGTGCAGCAAGCCCTTCAACTTACAGGACAGAAACTCCTAGGTATCCCTGTCATTGTGCAACATACCGAGGCTGAGAAGAATCGCCAAGCTCGCAACCCAGACTCGTCAAGTGGACATCCTAACTCTATACCCTTCCACCGCCTTTATGTTGGCAACATTCATTTCAACGTCACAGAGCAAGATCTTCAAGCTGTATTTGAGCCATTTGGAGAGCTTGAGTTTGTTCAGCTCCAAAAAGACGATAATGGACGCAGTCGTGGCTATGGATTCGTCCAGTGAGTTTGAGCCCTATCCAAATCCGTCTTTGTCTTACAAATAGAAAGTTATGGCTAATGCCCTTTTAAAAGATTTCGGGACGCAGGCCAAGCTCGCGAAGCTTTGGAAAAGATGAACGGCTTTGACTTGGCTGGCCGTCCTATCCGTGTTGGTCTTGGCAACGATAAGTTTACCCCTGAGAGTACTGCCAACCTAATGCACAAATTTTCCGGTAACAACCAGGGCTTCCAAGGCTCTGCGTTCTCCGGAGCAGGCGGACGTGGCCAACAGTCTACGTTCGACCGAGCCGGGGGTCGCGATAGCGAAAAGACTGGTGGTGCTAGCGCTTTGGATGATACAGACGTTGCTGGTGTCAACTTTAACAACTATAGCCGCGATGCATTGATGAGAAAACTTGCCAGGACCGACGAAGCCCCGACCAACGGCAATGACGAACGCCAGCAGATTCTCAAGCCTAAAACGGAGACGAAGCCCCTCCCTGTCAACGTAAATATGGCCAGTCGCTGTGTTGTGTTGCACAACATGTTCGACCCCACAGAGTAAGCATTGCCACGCCCACCTTTTTGATCATTTACAAACAGAGATACTAATTGGGAACAACAGAGAGGAGGGTGACGACTGGGTCAAAGAGCTCGAAGATGAGGTTCGACAGGAAGCGGAACAACGATATGGGCATGTTGTCCACATCTCTGTCGACCCGAACTCTAAAGGAGACATTTACCTCAAGTTTGACAAAGTCCAGGGCGGCGAAAACGCCATCAAGGGTCTCAACGGTAGATACTTTGGCGGCCGAATGATCGACGCGTCACCTGTTGTAGACGCCGTCTACAGCAGTTTGTTCTCTCGCACCCGGGCAATCTGAAGCTAATGCTTTCCTATTCACATTGTGCAATCTAGGAACTTGGAGGTTGGTAACTAGCTTTTTTTTATGAATATATAACCCAGTATCCCTCGTTAACCCATTGATAGCCCTCTCTATGCCTTTGTGCAATTATCCAGTACGATTTATGCTACAAAAGAAAGAATAGCAGCGCGATGCAGGTTACACCTTTTGTCCAACCGAATACTAAATCAGCCAAGTTTTTTGGTGCAGCAGATTTTTGAATCGAACGGGGCGCCTTGGTCGCCGGTTTTGTCTTTTTTCTTTTTATCTTGTTTCCATTTAATAATGCGTTCCAGCACCTCTTTATACGGCAATGTCCCAAACTGATGTTTATGCCTAGGACGGTCATCGATAGTCGTTTTGATCAAAATTCGTTTTCGAAGACGTGTAGGATTAGTTTCTGATATTGATGCCATAGCAATGATAAACTCTTAAAATACCCGACGTAGGATGGATATTCATGCTTCGCTGATATGGCTTGGAGGATCCGAAATTTCAAGATTAGAGCAATATAAATTGTTGAGAATTATTCGAAAAGCTCCCATATCCATTTTCTTTTTAGCTTTGTTCCATTTACGGAGCTCCAGCTTTCTTCCATTTTCCAAACCGAGTTCAAGTCTGAGGAAGAGAAATGGTTTCGCAAATATGGCAGCACGAGATGGTGAACCACGTGATAACAGCTCTTTATTGCATTCAACTCCCCGGCACTTGACTTCTACATCTATACACGCTTCACTTTCTTGATTTTTTGGAGCAATTCTTCTATTATTAATATCCAATTTAGCTTTGTGCGTGCGTCTACCAATCGTCCAACTATTCACAGCATCGTTACTCCCAAAGTACCGTCATTCCCTAGATTCTCTCTTTTTCTTCTCGATGTACGACCACTTTCTCCGTTTTCCATACCCTTTTCGGTGGTGTTTTAAGAGAAGCACCACAGCGAGCAAAATCTTCCAGGAGTTGCGGTACGTGGCATACATAGCCGAATAACCTCACTTCAAGCTCAGGTCAGAGTGAGCCCTCAGCCCTTCGGCCACGTTTTTGCGGCATAGTTTCTTGGGGTTTTGCCAGGAGGCTTTTTTTTTTTGTTTTTTTTTTTTTTTTCGTTTGCTTTCTGCCCACACATTATCTCTATTTTCCCCCTCGCTTCTCTTATCTGCAGCATCCGTTTCTGAGAAACTCCATCCCGCCAGCATCTTCTCAACGGAGGGTTAACGCTTTCTTTTTAACGGATATCGACATACACCTGCAGCTATATTTTCAGATACCTTCTTCTGTTTCCTTTGCATTTTGCATAGCCCCTGATTTGCCTCCCACGTTTGGCGTATCTGGACAGGTTCTCTAGGATTGACGGGCCATATCTCAAGAGAAACACATCAGGTGAGTCTCCAGCTTTTGATTTTCCTGTTTTATTTTAATGTATAGACTCCTTTGAGTCATTCTACAGGTGACAATATTTTTTACCACAAATATTTCCATTAATATATACTATACTTTTATCCGAAGAGGCTGAGACATGCCCAAAGGTTATCAACAAAGCTAATGAAATGATAGGCTCGCTATCTCCGCGTCTTTCAAGCCTGTCAGAAACTCCTATATCGCTCATATTCTCATTGGGCCTTCACCTACTCTCCTTTCTTCACGCCGACTGTGGCGCTATCTTTCTGTCTCACTTCCAGAATATGATCTGGGGGGATATCAGAACCCTCACTACAGAATTCGGCTTCAATAGGTGTGACACGCCGGTTAGCTCAGCGAATTCAGCCATCGAAGGAGTTGCAGCTGTGATTGGGAACATGTTATCTGTCAACTTTTCCACGCCCCTCAACGGGCCTGCGCGGTCTGAGAGGATCAAGCAAATGTCCAATAACCATGTAAGTCTGTATTCTTCAACCACCATCATCAGTGGCTGACCAGCTGTTGCTACCAGCCTGCTTTCGAGAAATCTCGTATAACGCAGGAGATTTTAGTCAAGATACAGCACTCTCTGAGGCGCATGCCTGGTGTTGCTGCAAATGAATCGAATGAAATCATCCAACGGCTAATCGAAGTTGGCCAAGTCATCAGCCAGGAAACGAGCGCGCTCGTTGAAGCTGTCATGAATCTTCATCTCGATCAGGAAGACACAGATAAGGCGATTGCTAGGATGAGCATCGAGGCCAACCTTGCCAAGGCCCATACAGATGATCAAGCCCAGCGGATCAACAGCCTCGAAGAAGAAGTCCGGCTAGAGAAGAAGAAAAGAGAAGACGCTGAAGGAAATCTCAAGAATCTTATGGGTGGTATCGCGGATATTACTACTGAGTTCAAGCAGTTAAGAGATAAAGCTGACAAACAGAAAACTGACTCATTGAATAAGGGCTTGTCGTTTTTTGATGGCGATTTTCTTATCAGGGTAAGTAGCATCCATGTGCCAAAGAAAAATTGTTTCTGATCTGACGGTATGCATCTAATTATTAGAGCCTTGATAACACTATTCAAGTATTGGAAGATGAAGTCAGTAAACAGCATGATCTGTGGGCGGTGCAACAGCAGCCCTCTTCTGAGGGCATCCCTCGACCCATTGAACCCTCCCCTGAAAATGTTCAGGTTACAAATGGCCACAATAAGCCCCTAGTACCTCTTCAAGAGGAGGGTTTGGGCGACGGCAGTATTTTCAGCGATTCTCTGAAATCGCCCAGAGCAGCTACGGCTTTTCAACCGGTCCGCCGCCCTCCTACCGTTGGTCCACCGCCAAAATTTGGCCATTTTCAGGGAAGTATGCCTCCACGGCCTACAACAACCTTACCCCATGATCGCCGAACCGCAAATGCATGGAATTTGGTCGCTCCCATGCAGGGCGGTAGACAAGGCCTCTTTAACCATAAGCCACAGTTCCCAGGCCCTCCTTTTGGTCGAGCGGCTTCTCGCCAGGGTTTTCAGAATAACCCTCAGTTTCGACCTAGCTTCCCGCAGTCTGCTTTTGCCATGCCAGAGAACCCTCCTCAAAGGCCCAGCAGTGCGTTTGGCTATAGTCGTGACTATTTCCCCTCCACTCCAACTGGCCAATCTCGAGGCAGATACAATGGCCGCCTTCGCGATAACGCTCCACCGCCCCCTTTGCTGGATTTTGGAACTTCTTCATCAAGCGGTTCTACCTCTGTTCCCCCTGGTGCTCTTGTGAGTCGCAGCCCCTACTCTAACCAGCCGATCACGATCACAGAACAAGCCGTCCAAGCATGGCACGGGCATATGATGCATTTTTATGCAACTATACGCAACTTTGTCGAGCGTCACGCCAGTAACCCTGATCCCACTGGAGAAACAAAACTGAGCCAGACGCATCTATGGCCAATCCTCCTAGCCACGTATTACCCCTTATCTGAACAGGCAGCAGAGTCTTACCTTGATCATCACATTCGCAGCGAAAACTCTAAATCCTGCATTGTCACCAGGGTTATTATAGACTTTGTTGTGAACCGAGTTTGGAATCCTAGTGCCTGGGCTGGCGCCGATGCAGATTCTACTTATGCCATCATGGAAGTAGAGAGAGACCTAGAGCGTACAACAGGTGAGTATATTCCGACTCATTTAGCATCCTGCTTCATTCACGTACAGGAGATTAACATGTCACAGGTCAACCATCTGCTATTCGCCAACCGATTCTCGACCGTATGGCTGTAATTATTGATGTCGTCATGAAAAAGGAGCAGGGTGGCCCCTTTATCAAGAACCGAATCGAAGAAGCCACTCACGCTCTCCTTACTAGCCTTCAGCCCCTAATGAATACATTTTACAACGCGGTAGATGCGATCCAGGACTTGGAGCAAGTCATCGACAGCGCCTACGAGATATCCTTCAGGATTCTCACCAGTCGTCTGACTTTTGACTTTCGATTCCCTGAAATCGGCAGCCGTTTCTCTTCGCAGTCGATGCTGCCCATCTGGCCACCCACCGACCCGTTGGAGCTGCAGGCCAAGCATTGGCGTGTGGCGCTGGTGACAACTCCGGTGGTGACGTGCCGAAACGATACTGGTTCGAATATTTCTGCACACTCTGTATCCCTGGCAGATGTGTTTTGCATGCAGTGAAACGGTTGTTTCGGCTTGGTATAGGGAAAAAATGAATTTGGCTTATTAAATATTTGCCTAAAAAAAAAAACACATAAAAACACATAAAAAAAAAAGGTACCTACTAGGACAGGGACAGATTCGGTATTGAGGATGACTGGGCTAAGGCGTTTACTGGTTAATACGATCTTAACAACTTCTATTCTTCTCTGGTTGAACTTTAATATCAATCAACTCGCCTAATAGCCAGGCACTCGGATAGGAGGCTTCATCATTCAGATGGTAATACCTCCTCTTTTCCAAGTATCAGAGGGGAAACATCCGATGGGAAATGGCTTCGCGGCAAAGATAACTTTTTCTTTCATTCTGAACATAACGATCTGGGGAGGAATCCTACGGAAATAATTCGATGTAAATAGGACTACACGCACCTTTATTTGCATGGACATTTTCTTTTTTCTTTCGCGTTTTAGTAATCGAAATTCTTCTGATATGAACAGTATCTCTTCTCGAATTGTAAACCTCCCCCCAAATCGTGATAGTGTGCCCTTTGAGACAAAGACTTTTCCCAGCCTTTGTCCAAAGTAACAAACGTAACGCCAGAATATTTTTTGGCCCCTTTTTGTTACCGACACTTTCCCTTAATACGTAATGAAGCGTTAATAGTTTTACTAATCACTATAGGAGTCTTATCATCCACTCTCTCCCTCGCCAATTTTCTCTATGAGGCCTCGCGTAAACATCCATCATGTAAAATCCACTTCCGTGACTTTCTTAAATCAGAGAATTCCTCCCAAATAGCCACAGCAGTCTCGTTGCCGAATCGAATACATTGCAAAAACACCCCTAAGCTTAACGTCTCGACTGATTTGCTGAAGGCCTTCTATCCAAGCGGCGAATAACCGCTCCGAGAACAACCTTGAGAATACCATCGGCAGTAAGCCCCTTTCTACTATTAGAAGACTTGCCATCCCAGGTCACGGTGTCTACCATGTCTCTGACACCCAACTTTGCCAGCTCATCATCCAGTTCCCGCAGCGCCTCCGTGGCGTCCTTGTCAGTTCCAATTTGGAAGAACTGTATGCCGACTTGGTGAGGAGGTGCGCCGAAGCTGTCAAGTTTCTTAGCGCACTGGTAGATGACGGTCTCTGGATCGTCTGTAGGACGGCCGTCCGTGATGACGATGATATTGATGGGCTTGACTTTTTCAATGTCTTGTTTCTTTTCCTTGCTGGGGTCTACCTGCGCGATATATGGATTGAGAATGTTCCATAACCTAGTGCCAGTAGGCGTGGCACCAGTGGGCCGGGCCATCTGAAAGGCTACTTGCACCTTTTCCGGGGTGTCGATGCCGTAATACCCGCCTGAGGGCTTGTTATCGTCTTTAGGGTCTTCTGTCGACTTGTGGTTCAGGAAGTAGAGATCGATGCCATCCTTGTCGTGAGCAGTGCAGATGGGCGTGATGGAGCGCAGGACCTCGGCAACTTCTCTCCAAGGATGGCCTGCCATGGAGCCAGAGTCGTCGACAACGAAGATTGTGTCGAAAGACGACAGAAAGGCGTATTTATCATCCTCGCTAGTGATGTGAGGCAAATACGGCGGCGCACTGCCGCTCGCAACCGGCGGTGCCAGCGCAGAGTATGCAGGAGGTGCCTCGTCTGCGGAGAGAGACAGAAAGAGAGAATATGTCAGTATCCATCTTGTGCGTTTCTTTTGTCTAAATTTGACTCTTTTTTCTTCTTTACGGGGTAGTTTGGGATTACTTACTCGGGTCTAGAAAAAGGTTGTTTGGAGCCAATGACTTCTTGGACTCCCTCTTGTCAGATTCTCCGCGAAGCTTGTCTCTTAAGCTTCCAAACACTGAAGATCTCCTCATGATTTAAGAAGAAAGAAAAAGGGACAAAACTCAAAGTCGAATGGTATGTGCAGTCTATCTGAGACCAAGAGAGGCCGAGAGAGAGCTTGAGAGAGATAACCGGTATGATAGGAATAAAGGCCGCCCAGCTGGGGATTTATTTAATCTTTCTTTTCAAGTCCTCCGGCGGTGTTCGTTTTCTGTGCAAGCTTGGTTCAATCAGTCATGCCTCAAGTTACACCTGCCAGAAATATGCCCGACGCAAGTGGCAAAAGGACAAGTGGCAGACGGTGCCGGCAGCCGTGACGTTTTCTTCAAGTCTTTCTTTCTTTGTTTGCCGAAGCCTGGCAGGTAACCAAGGTAACCACCCGCTGTGCCACTCGAAACAGCAAAAGAACTGCCTTTTGTTTGCGAAATTGATACCTATTCGGTAATGATTGAATTTCTTGTTCCAAGAGTTTTCTTCGTGTGTTGTCAATTGTTATTTCATGAACAGCCCAATTGCATGCATAGAAGATACCTATATATAAATACTCGTTTCGCTCAAATTGGAAGCCTCTCCCATGTTCTTATAATTTTGCCAACTTTCAACCTTGCGATTGTCTGTGCAGCAGACTAAGTAGATTCACTAACTTTAATTGAAACCTTGTAATCTGTCTAACAAGACAAAAAAGCGCTCACCATGCACATTGGAATTCCGATGACAGTCTACTCACCTGCCATAAGTTAGGCATACTTTGGGCGTAATCGCCAAGTATCGTATTATCAGAGACCCGACCCCACCTGGCCGGCCGGTAGGGCTCCGGAGATCGATTGGCCTGTGGCGCAGCCTGGCGTGTGGATCCATCACTGCCTGGGCATGGCCGCGGGGAGCAGCAGAAGCGCCTCACGGCCGCCTTTGTAGGCCGCCTGCAAGGCAGAGAGGCAACCGGATCTCGATTGGGCTTGACGGGGGCGAACCAACACATGACCAACGAGACATCAATGGCCGTCTGTAGCCATGGCCCCTGGATGTCTAGCACGTTTACGTCCTAGGCACGCGTCTCGCAGAGCAGCGAGCACATTAGACTGTTCCAGAGAACTGGTTTCATGGTAAGGGTTCATGAGCGATCCCCGTTTTTGGCGAGCAGCCTACCCAAACTGGTCGAGAGGCTTCCAACCGAGAGTGGGAAGCTGTCAGGTACGCGAGGCAGCGGCAGGGCGCGCGGCAAGCGATTGGACGGATAGGACCGGTGGCCCCAACGTAGCCAGAGCGGCTCACACATGACAGGCTGATGTCTCGAAACAGTTTGTTCATTCATTCATCTGAGGCGATATTACGTCTTGACACACCAGTGCTAGGCCGCCGCCACCATTCAACCACCTGAGTGACGGTCATCGTTCTTTTAAGTTCAAAGCTCATCCATCTTCAACAAGTCCTTGCACATAGCCCCACACCTTACTCAGTATACTTCCACTACTCCACCTACTACCTACTAGGTAGGTAGTCATGGGAAGCTTCACCCTCGCCTCTTCCTGCTAAATTCAATCAAAATTGCTGCTGCCTTGGATAGGCAAACCGCCGATATCCGTCATTTACGCCGAGGGGCTTAAAAAGATCAAAGCTTTTGGGTCAGTTCGGCCAACTCTTGTTCAATCTTTTAGTTGGATCGCTTGTGCCTAGAGGGAAAATTCAAGTGTTAGTCTTTGGTCACTGTAGCCGTAGTTGATACAATTTGCGGTAATAAAACGTACTTGTTGACAACGCGCTCGATACCGTCCAAGCCCATCTTAAGGACGTCCATCTTGGGGCCGTATGACAGACGCACGAAGTGGTGGCATGGGCTGTCGAACAAATCACGTCGTCGTGAGGGGTTGAGATCGAAGAAGATACCAGGGACAACAATAACCTTCTCTTCCAAGCAGGCCTGGAAGAAGTTGAGGCCGTCAGCGATGGCATCGGGGAGGCCCTCGAGGTTCAACCACCTTGAAAAGGTCACAGAGTTAGCCTAACCGCACACGAATATTATTAGAGAGAGGGGGGGTGCTTTTCTCATAATCATACAGATAAAAGGTGGAGTCGGGAACGTATTTGATGGAGAAGCCCATCTCACGTAGACGTCGGACCGTGTAATCACGCTTGTCCTATTGGCCAGTTAGATTCCCGTTTTCTCACATCATTAACGAGCATTTTTGGTTAGACGAACTCGGAAGTGGCGCTGGAGATGGACCATCTCACTCTGAACCAAGGTAGGGTCAAGCATGGGGACAGCAGCCTCCTGGAGAGCATGCACGGCACCACCATCCAAGTAGCTACCACATGAGCCAATACTGGACAAGGCTGTTAGCTAAATCACAAAATCATCAAGTGAGCTTCCGTTATTTTATCAACATACGCGCTGATGTACTCTAGAGAGAAATTAAGAGTCAGTACTTGCAGCTCCATCATCAGAGTTCGTTACTGTGTCTTTGGCTTACCCTTGGGTCCAATGATCCACGCAATTCGCCATCCAGGCAGTCGGAATCGCTTTGTGAGACCGTCAATGATCAAAACATCGTCTTCGTCAACGTCCTCGACGTTCTCAGCGGCCGAGATGGTGGAACCATCGCAGTTGCTGGTGTAGTTGTATCCGGAATAGAACTCGTCACTGATAAAGGTGGCGCGACCTCGGCAAAGATCCTGAATCTCAGCCAGCTCGGGGTTGGCGACGACTCTGCCAGTAGGGTTGCGAGGGTTTGAGGTAAGGATAACGGAGGTACCGCGGGCGATTTCTTCGGCAATCTTGTCGGGGTGGATGTGGTAGCCATCTTCTTCAGAGAGAGGAACGGGAATAGCTGCAAACTGCAATTCATCCAAGTCAGACGAGGCATCCATTATATCTGGGTGCTCAATCTAGAAGAAAACTTACGTTCTTGAACAAACTCAGCATCTCGTTGTAAGCGGTGTAGTCGGGCAAGAAGAAGGACAGGTATGAGCTGCCCAGAACAGCGGCAATTCGGATCAGACCAGCACGACCACCCGGTACAATGGCGACGTTCTCCCAGGTGTACTGGCTCTCTTTGCCCTGACGGTGCGTCTCATTGTAGAGCTTGGCAACAGCTTCTCTCAGGGGCTTGATACCAGCTGTAGGGCCGTACTCTCTAGCCGCAACGCTGATGTTGATTGTCTCGGGTCGCTTGAAGCAACCGGCAATTTCGTCCTCGACTTCGGGGGCGCCCTGGCCGAGATTGGCCCACGCGTCAGGCTCATCCATGAAGCCATACTCATTGGCTCGCTCAGTACACCAGATGACACCTGTAGATGATCGGCTGGCATCCAGGCCGGCATGGGGCATGTGGCCTTCGTGCGCATTGCGGAACTGTCTGTGGACCTTGGATTGGAACTCTATAAGCCAAAATCATGTCAGCTTCCTGCAATGAAATTTCAATCAAGTTTCAGTCGGGAAAAATCGATGTTGCAGCTCCAACGGCAGAAACCCTGTCAGCACAGTACAAGCTGGCGGTGGCTATCAAGCTGCGGGGGAGGGGTAATCAGGCCTGGGAGTTGGGGTCGCTGTGATGGCGGGGCTCATCCAAGGACAATTAAGCCCAGTTCGAGAGCGCCACCGCTGCTTTTGACGGCCGCCACTTGGACAAAAGAAGGAAAAGGAAAATAGGGTGGTGGGATTTCTTTGTGGCTTGATTGACAGCAGCAAGACTGGCTCTGCTGCGGCGGCGGTGGCAACATCCGCTTTTTCGATCTCGTCCCGGTGTGCAGAGAGACGTGCAGAGAGGCCTCACTAACCATTCATCGACGGCTCGGCGTTGCTGAAGCGTCGCAGCAGCGGCTTCGGGGCGCCGGTATGGCGATTGATGGAGAATTTGCGTCCGGAGAACATGTTTGCGACTAGGAGAGCTAGACAGACTGCCCAATCAATCAGTATTACCGGACTGCAGTAGCGGAAAGGAGGAGGCCTGAAGTCGGGAGCAACAGACCAGAGGTGAGAAGGGGGAAAAGAGCTTCTTTGTAGCCCGCAGAAAGGTACGGGACGGGGGACAGCTTCGGAAGAGCGGCACGGTATAACGTCACTCAGCTGTCCAAGCGAGAGGCACAGACGATGAGTGAAGAGCAGTTTTCAAAGGCCTAGAGCGAGCAAGAGGAGCTGAAAACCTCTGGTCGTCGGTAGCAACAAGGAAAAAAAGAGCTGGACAAGAAAATTACGTCCCAGAAACCTCTGGGGCATCACCGCGAAGCTCTACCTATATACCGGAGCCATAAAGAGGCCTAGAGGGGGCCACCGCGAGCACTAAGAACGGATCCGTACGTAAAGCACAGCGCTAGATACTCCAGATGACCCCCCGAACAAGGCGCTTTGGCAGGGGATTGGCAGTGAGAGCAGCGACCCGGCAGGCTCTTCCAGGTGGAGGCAGCGCTCCGGCTGCCAATCCGCGACGCCGTCTGGGCACCAAGAGGGGAGAAAGGCTTGTGCATCTTGCAACTAAATCGGCATGGGCCAACCGATCCAGTTGAGAACGGCATGGCCGATGCGAAGTGAGCGCCGAAACAAGGAGAGAGCATGAGGAGAAAAGAGGAGAAAAAAAGAGTATCAAAGAGTATCAAAGAGACTCTTGATATTTCAAAACTGGAGTTGATTTTAAGACTGAATTTAGACTTGCCAAATTTTACTCAATTACTACCTTAGGTAGGTGAGTTGGTGCTGCTGCATCGAATAAGTCTGGGCAGTCAGCTTTGTGCTCCAGCTGAGGCTATTCCCACCGCCGCATTTACTCCTCACTTCCCCTTCTCCTCCCCCTCCACCACAGCTGCATGTTAGTTCCATCAGCGTCACTCCGAGCCACAAGTCCTGCTGAACCTCCCCCGGTGTGGAGCATATAAAGCTGGTCCTGTAACGATGTGCAGGAGGGCACATAAACAAACCAGAGAACGAGGAAAAGGAGCGGTGTCCGTGTCCGTCTCTGGTTTGCCCAGCTTAGCCCAGCCTGATACATACATGTAGCTTGTCGAGCAGACTAGCAAAAAGCCTCATACTCTGCGGCCCGGGGCATGTCTCAAGTAGACGTTGAACAGGAATAGGTCGAGCAATGCCTTTGCGTTACTCGGTGTTGCCGGGCTTGACATGCAGCGGGTGGCTGCAGCGTCGCACTTGGCATGTCTACATGTATGCAGGCCGTGATACGAAGCACAGCAGCGTCTCTAGACGGATGTCGATCGAGGGCCATCCAGCCCCAAATATAGCACCCTAGTGCAGTGCTTGTATTACCTCACCTGCCAGATCTATAATTCTCCGCCGCTCATCACACACTCGTTCAACTCGGCCGCAAAGGATGTGGCCTCAAGTGAATAGTCTCTCTCCCCTCCATCCAACCTCCGCAAAAGAAAAGCAACAGCACCTTGACTCGCGTTTCTCGTCTGTGTCGTCTGCGTCCCGAAAACGGCCGTCCCCCTGATTCCATTCCGTCTCCTCTTTCCGTTGAGATGCCTTATGGGGCATCGCCTGAATCAGGCGCTCCGGCGCGCTCCACGCTGAAGATCCATCAAGCCAAGTGCCGAATCGGAACAGGTGGTGGTGCCCAGCATCAGCAGCAGAGTCGGCAGTATTCGCAAATAGCTCGGCGCATTGAGATACGACGTTGTTTGAAACTCGGAATCTTTCTATCTGTGTTGGAAATTGTCGGAAGAAAAAGGGGGCCGCTGCAGCTTCAAGTGCGTACATGAAGGGCTTTTTTGGCCCCTACAGGATTCTTCATTTTCGTGTTCCTCTACGGCACCCACTACCGAACTAGCTGCTACTAAAGTAACCCGTATATTTTTAGGTAGCGGCCAGCCAGCAGCTTGGCATCAGGATTAGTATTTCTAGCTTCCAGTCTTTCTTCTAGCTTCCGTGTTATTCGTAAGAGCAGTACGGAGCATTGGAAGCCATGAATGTATGCGCATAGAAACCTCTATCAACACCCATCAGCTCCCTTCCGATCGGTCATATTGATTGTTGGCTCTATAGCTGAAATCATCTTTTTCACTTCCGGTGTCAGGACATGCTAGGTTTTCCTTCTACAGCTATACATCTTTCTCCGATATAGAGTCTTCGTTCCTAGCTATTCCCCTCTTCAATTTGATATTCGTAATGCTTTCACGGTACTTCCAATTACAGAATGTTACAGAAAGCAGAAGTTTACGTGTGCTTTAAGTACCTAGTAATAGTGTTACAAAACTTTAAAATTCCGCCCCTTGCCTTACGTCAAAAACACCCGTTTAATAGTAAACTTACATCCAAATTCTCAAATACTTGGATTCAATTAACAATTCCAAATTAAAATCTCTTATAGCAAGATTTACATCATCTCAAGCAAAGATAAACCCAGCAATTACACAAGATTTCTTGGGCATGAAATGGAGCACCGCAGCAGCAGCACTAAGGCTAGGTCGCACGCCAAAACCGGCCAATTACACAGCAGAGAGGGGCCAAGCCTCGAAGGAAGAAAAAAAAACCTCCAAAGCATTCTAGAACCACCGACATCGTCACCACCACTCCCAACCCCATAAAAATATCAACGTCTCTGCAGCAGCTTGATCTCTAGAACCTAATCGGCAATTTTCTTCAGCGGCTAGCCAGTTTATACTAGTAATTTTACCCCAACTTTCGGGCTGCACCTTTGCAACCACTACTCCATACAGGCTGCATACAATCCAAATTCAGCTACACCTCCAACGAACAAGGAAAGTAGAGGATTTTATAGATCCCAAAAACGCTTACGGCATATAATCTCAAAAATCTTTCTTATACTACACCATTTTTCACACCTCTCAAGGCCAATGCTTCGTCGCAGTGTCTTCTCCTTCCGCTCGTCACTCCTCAGCATCCAGCCCCGCCATTTCGTCTCGCCATTCTCATCCTCATCTCACAAGATGAGCTCCGACTCTCAAGACAACTCATCCTCTTCATCTTCTTCGTCAAAGCCGTCGCCTCGAGAGGCTCTGCCAGCGCCAGGCTCTCATGGCGGCGAGGATGTCACAACGCTCGACGTCAGCGGCTCAGGCACAACCGTTAAGCTGGACGCCCTCGGCCCGCTCGTCGTCAACGTGGACGGCACCATGTCCCGCATCTCCAACTGGGATAAGATGGCAGAGATCGAAAGACAAAACACACTGCGCATCATCGGTAAGCGGAACCAACAACGTCTGGCTGCCCTGAGAGAGGCCCGTGGCATCAGCGAAGGGAGCAATGGCATAGGCGCTAGTGGCAATCACGACACCGATGGCAAACAATAGACCATATATATATATAAAGATGCAAAACGAGAATTAGAAGAAAAATTTGAACATTTCATATGATATAAATAAAGCGTCATTTCCCATATAGAGCCCATTTCTTTTTCTTTTGGCTCTCTATTTCCAACCACTTTGGATATATGCCACATACAAATAAAGCCAAATAGATATCCGCCGGCCCAGCTTCGTTTACTTCAGCCCCAGATTGAATCGGTTATCCCGTGATTCAATCTTCCCAAGACAGGACAAAGCTTCCTCGACCCGAATAACAATAAGAACGCCAGTAACCAAAGCAACGCCCCCCCGCTCCTTTCGATCAGCACAACATTAAGAGAGATGAGAAGAAAATATTATCAACATGAGTCAGCTCATTGCTCTCCTTTGATCTTTTCGCCGCTACTTGATTCGGCGGATGCGGCCTTGCTCTTGTCACTGGCATGCTTGGTGAATTCTTTCCACAAAGCAACAATGTCCTCATTGCCCTCGTTCTTCTCGACCAAGAGGTTCTTCAGCCACTTGTTCTCGGTTTCAAGCTGAGCCACTTTGCTTTCAAGGTTGGAAACCTTGTCAGACATCTCCTTGGCGGACTTCTCCAGAGCCTGCTCGCGCTGCTTCTTCTTGATGCGAAAACGGGCGCTAGCAGCAGTGTTCCTCCTCCGCTTGTCTTCCTCAGCAGCCATTCTAGCAGCTTCCTCCTGGTTCATAGACTCAGACTTCCGCTTCTCGCCAACCTGTGGGGGTGCCTGATGGAACCGCGCATGGTGAGGAGGAACCTGTACGTGGCCATGGTTTGGCTGCAGGGGCGCAAAGCCCTGTTCGGAAAAGTTGTTCATGTGGGGCGCGGCATATGTATTATTGTTAAATTCTGGGAAGGCAAAGTCTGATATCACCATTGATAATTAGCACCATGAACACCAAGTATGTTGTCTCTCACACCAATGGATCACCAGATGAAGTAGTAGAGGGCGAAACAAGACAAAACAGCAACACTGCGGGTATCAGGGAAAGGGGGATATATCTCCCGGGCCATCCATGGCCAGCAACGAGGCCTCGCTGATCCATGGTTGCATCTGAGGATGAGAATGCCAAATCACGAGTTATGGCGCCATAGCCCCGGGATTTGTCAGCGCATGTGAAGTGCGGGATGCCCCACTCCGCAGGCGCACTCCAAAAGCACCTTTGCTGCATCGCACCAGTCTAAGAGACAGCTCGTCCCAATGACAGAGAAGGAGATGAAGTGCTATGGGGGGGACAGAGCAGCAAAAGGACCAGAGGATGCAAGGGCCCGATAGATGGGCCGGATGTCTGCGTGGTGATTGCGGAGATGGTTGACGAAGTGCGCCAGTCACGCTAGGAGCGCGCGTGGGCTGCTGGAAAGGGAAAAAGCCAGGGTCTCGTTACTTCCCAGGAATGAGAAGACGGATAGGCGAGGAGCAGCAATATAGGTGCAAGGAAGTGAAACGGGAAAAAAAAACATGCGCATATGCATAAAAATATAGACGAAAAATAGTAAAGAATAGTAGACTCACCGGACATGAAATCCAAGTTGGGCATTTCACCGATGACTGAGGGTGCAGCGCTTACATCCTCAGATGTGGTGCCACTGTGGGGAGCTTTGCCCTCAGGTTTGGCGGGCTGGGCTTGGAAGTCGGTGTTCTGGCCAGAATCGAAGTCGAAGAACTGGGTGTTTGTGAAGATGGTCAGGTCGTCCTCGAAGTTTAAGTTGCTGTCTTCCATGGTATCCGCCTGAGGGCTGATAGTGTTGAGGTCGCGAAGGTATTGCGACACGTTGGGGCCGTGCCGACCGCTGTAATTCGACATGATGATTATTCGTCAACGGGTGTCAGACGGGACTCGTCAATTGGGTTTGTGTATCGCAGCCAGCGTCTCGCTCGTAGTTGGCGGCTGTTGAGGCTCCGGAACGTTTTGATGCAATTGAGTAGCGAAGAGAATGCCTCCAACTGGCGGAGTTTGAATGCCACGTCGATAGCGTCAAAAAATGAATGATGTAGACGATGCGTAGTCAGAGACGGAGCCGCAGGCGTCGCTATGATGCGTCGGGATCGATGCTAGTCGTCCGTCCTGTGATTGTAGTTGTCGAGAGTCGGACGTCGATGATGGCGACAAAGATGGTTGTGAAGGAGAAAAGCCTAAAGCGAGTCCGTAGCGGGATCGCTATGAATGTTCGGATCGGGGTTATGACTCTCCAGCCCTCCGGTGGAGTGTTCACGTTTTTTTCCCTCCCCCAGGCCACAAGTAGGACAGCATAATAGGTGCAACGTGCCAGCAGCCGACCGTTGGCCGAATCGCTCCGGCTGCAGTGGGCCAGGAAGAGACTTTTTAGCGTCCTCACAGACCGTGCTGAGAAATCAATCAGCTGAATCCCCACTCTTCAGAGCCCAGAGCCCCAGAGCCAGCGGAGTGACATGCCTCTGACGCCGGGTCACCACGTACCACCACGTACCACCTCGCAGCTCTGCGGCAAAGAGTTCCTCTTTAGTGCCAAGGTGTGGGCGCCTGTAGCGTCTTTGGCGCCTGGAGCCCCCGCCTCCGCCCCGGTGCTGTAGCCAGTCAGAGCGGCCGCTGCGCCCATATCGCCGCAGCGATTTGCTCATTCGGTTGTTAAGAATTAACTGAGCTGCCTGGCAGTTTGCCTGCCCACTGCGTCCCATCCTTATCTCCAATACTGCACGTACGCTACACTGTACCAGGGCAATGCATCCCGAAAGCGGCAATTGCCCATTCCCAGCAGCTATACCCTACTTTTGACTATGGAATCAATCACTGTCCCATTACTAAACGCTAAGTCTGCTGTGGGATGAATACCATCTTCGAGGTACTAATCCATCATGCAGGATCTTGGTGCAACGCACATGTAATTTGCCCTGCACAGTAGGGCCTAGCATCCGGTTACGTCGATGATGCAGCTCTGAGCGCCTGAAGATGCTCCGCTATCCGGTTTCCACCTTTGCCATTGTTGCTGATCAGAACCGATCATTGCCCCCTTGGCCTCTGCTTCTCTGGGACCGGCGGCGAAACCAGATTGTGCGGCTGTAGTCAAGCCCTCAATAGATTGAATCCTTCAATCCTTCCTTCCGCAAGGCACGCCCACGCTTTGCCTGCGAACCCTCAAAGATGCCACTCAGAATGCACGCGTGGGGGGCACTGGGTGCATTACGACTCGCAGGGCCCGGCGCTGTTCAGCCCCGCTACTCTGTTGCTCTGCGACTCGACATTGCCCGCACTGCTGCTAATGCGCAGGCTCCGCCGGTCCACGACAGCCGGTTTGTTTCGCGCCAGCTAGCCGAGACAGACGAGCGAGTTATTTTCGTTTCTGCAATCTCTACAATGCTAAAGATGGGATCAAGATTAGTCCGTGCGATTCTTCTCTCCACCTCGGTGCACTGCATCATTGCTGATCCCCTATCGGCAGGTACCTCGTAGATTGTGTGTGTTTTACACTCCTCTATAGTATATGTACCTATTGACTTCACTATAATAGTATCATGGACGCCAGACAACTGGAGCCTTACCAAGAAAAGCGCCACCCTAATGTTGTCTGCTCTGCAGTTGGGAATTGATTGCCGTCGCTTCGTGCGGATTGTGTACGGAGGTACATATATGCAGGATTTCAGGATCTAGTGCCGCCAATCCCTGTCTCGGCTAATGAGGTGCCCGTGGAAGCCAGGATGCCAGAGTCCCTTAAACAACGAACCGCACCCTGCATGCATCGCCAATACTGCCGGGCACCTCCAATTGGTGCGTTCACGCATGGCCACGGGGATTAATCCCGCCATGTGATCTGTAATAGGCGTCCGGTGTACATACATAAAGCTGTGTCGCATCGTGGAGGCACAATCACGCAAGATGAACGCTGCTGCGCCGTTGGATATTTTAGCCGTGCAAAGCCTCGCCGTTGGCCGCTGTGGGTGGTGAACAAGTCCTACCAGGTGCGGAGTACATGTAGTAGCGAGGCAACGGAATCATTCAATCTTCGTAAAAACCGCTCATGGTGGGCTCAATCCAAGCCTGTCGTATTCAAACATGCCATGTGGTGGCTTGAACTTTGATAGCTATCGGCTGTGCAAGCTTGCGCCGTCTCCTGACTCTAGATGTTGCATGTGATTGAGCTTCCATCAAGCCACCAACGTGAGCTGATGGTGTCCATTTCTTCAGCTCAAAAAAGGCCCAAGACTTGGTTAAGGCTAACATGGTATGCTTAATGCAAAACTCGGGCCGTATTCCTCAAGGTATCTACATGTATTCATGTATATACATGTAAAGTAAGGTACGTGCTATTACGCTAAAGAGAAAAGATCATGCACAAGGATCGATAGCGTTGTTAAACAGGGTTTTTCTGCCCAGGTCACTTCCATCAAACCCCTACTAAATAGGACGTATCTTCACAGGAAAATCAAGAAATAAGAGAATCTTACTATATTTTCATAGGAAAATCAAGAAATAGAGAAAAGAAATAGGAAATGAATCTAGACTATTTAAATTATGCGCAAAGTTTTTTATACATGGGCGAAGACCCTTCAAAATCAGACGGACTACCAGAGCCCTACACACTTCCAAACCAGTCATAGTCTCCCCCTCGTACCTTACACCAGAAGGCCAACACCCTGAACCTTGCTGGTTGCAAATGATCCCTTTAGCTGGTAGTGTTGAGCCACCTTCTTGCTCACCACATCAAACACAGTCACAGCTGGTCCAACGGTTGTATTACCAGGGCTCAAGGCGTAGATGAAGCTGCCAGCAGCCTTCAGGTCATTGAAGCCAGGGTCGTTAGTACCGAGGTTGGAGACGGACTTGATGCTGCCATCGGTCGAGGATACTTCGACCAGTCGGTCGGCCCCAGCGTCTGAGAGAAATACTGTGTTCGTCTCCGGAGACAGTACAGCCCAACATGTAGCTTTCTGGCCAGCAATGTCAACAACGTTCTTGACGCTTGCAGCTCCACTTGCGGTGTCGACGGATAGCATAACAGCTCCAAATGCTGCATCGGCAGCGATGATGTTAGAAGAACCCTTAAGATTCGTCGCGCCAAAGAGAACGACAGTCTCGTCAAGGTGATTCAGCTTCCCCTCCTGGCTAACAGCGACAGCTCCACGACCGTCACAAGGCTGTTCCACGGCGAAAACTCCCAAAGTTCCGGTGGTATTTGTGGCCGGGTCGCCTTTCACGGAAGCATACACCGTCTTTTCATCTTCAGAGAAGAATACCTGGGCGATGGTATTAGGGGGACCGACAGGAGGTGTTGTCTGATTCAAGCCAACCGGGCGAAGCTGGTCCATCTGGCCCAGGCCCTTTGAAGAGAAAGGTGCGCAGGAGACACCAGACTTGGCGCCTGTTGCTCCAACGCAAATCAGCTTGTTCTTCGCCGATGCGCCAACCGTCACGGGAAAGTCGCCGGGCACGGCAGCGGGCTTGCCGACCATGGTGAGTTTGGTCGGGTTGAGCGGATCGATTGCGAACATGGAGACGGTATTGGAACCGGCATTGACGGCAAACAGATACTATTGTAGTAGGATAGCACGTTAGCAAGAGGCTCCTTGGCGGCGAGATCATCACATGTAGTCAAGTTCGTATACATACATTGTCAACCACGGTCACGGCCGACTGAGAGGACAAGACGTCGGAGACTGCAGGCGCTTTCACGTTGCCATTCTGCTCCAGGATGCTTGAGCCTGAGCCGCCTGTTGAAGTGAGTGTGCCGCCGGATAGCAGTCCATTGGCCCCAATCGGCAGGGCAATAATGCTATTCTGCTGCTCATTGCTTGTGATATAAATAGCCCGTCCAGGCTTAACCCTGGGCTGAGGACAAGAAGTTGGTGCTGCCGCTGATTCGGCGACCAACTGTGTCAGCCCTAGGACAAGCAGAGACTTCCAGGTAGAGGAATGCATTGTGGCGTCTGACTGGCAGAGGCGAACGAATTGAGTAATTGGTAGGGAGATCGGATGAAAATAGATATAAGCTAGGCTGGAAGCTGGTATTCAAGAGAATCGACTAGCGAGTTCTCAAGCTGATTGTTTGAATTGAAGTGTGAGTTAAAAGTTGGAAAGCTGGATGATTGAGAAGACTTGTAATTTCTGTCAACTTCGTCGCCTCTTTATACTTGCTAGATGACTCTCCTCGAGATGTCTCTTATCTAGCCATCCCCACGGTGCTGCCGTATTTCCGCTCAATAATTTGCGTTTCATGGGGACTATGGAACAGCTTCATTTGCGAATAACACGCTGGGTGCCGAAGAACCGTATCATCAAACAGCCGAGAGGCAGAAGCCTCTTCAAAACATACTCCTCATGAGGAATCTTTTCCAACCTGTCAGTGCGAGATCATCAGAATTCCCTGTTTGGGCATAGCGTGCACGACCGCGGGTTATACAAGCTTACTATAGGACCCATGCAAATGTTTACGGGTAAAACATCAATCTCAAGACGGGGCTCAGCGGCGTGTTATAGTAGTGAGCTAGGCGAGCCTGGCATGTTCCTTGTTTCGGAAATAGTCCAGGAACAGAGCCTCTATGGCGCAGAGCAGCAATGCCTATACCAGATGGCTAAGATTGGATATAGGAGTTTATACATGTAAGCTTGTACGTGCGGGGCGGCGTCCCAGGAACAAACGCTCGGTTAGCCGGCAGACTCAATCTATTGGATTGATGGGAATTGCCAGTGTACAATCTATCGTCAATCAGTAGCCCTACAGGATTGCATTTAGCCAGGAACCCAGCGCTAGCGCTAGCATTACGGAGCAGTTATACGCACGATGCACGTATGTATGAGCTGGTGGCGTATTTCTCGGAAAGACGAAGCCGCTTCTACCTATCAGTCCAGCAATTATGTACTAAATACTACTTCTAAGTAGTGGTCTAGTAACAGCAATTGAAGGCCTTCCGCCGAGCATCTCGGTCGTAAACAAGCCGAAATCAAAAAGCGTGCCCGCCAATGCTGAATAAAGGGCAGCCATGTATGTCATCCATATCGATGATGCCTAGCCTATTCTGGAAATGGAGGCGTCCTTCAAGCCCCCTGATGTGCGACTCCGTATCATCTTGTCTGCAGCAAAAACGACAAGGCTGGGTCTCACCTGATATTCCACATCTGCCAGCTTCTCAATCATCCAATTAGGCACAACAGATTATTTCGAACTACCGCTTTTGCTCCATAGTGCTAGCAGGAACAGCACATCACGTCGTGCGTGCCATAATGGGCGACAGGATATTCCGCATCTTCAACCCGAGAGGTCGGTCAGATTCTACAGGCTGGGCTCTGATCTCCAGCCCCATAAGCATAGCCAAAGCACGAAACCATGTACTGACGCAGAAGCAACAGAACCAAAGGCTGATCCCGTCGAGAAGAGGCGCGCCCAGCTTCGACGAGCCCAGCAGTGAGTACTTGCCATTGTATGGAGTATTCCGATGCCGCTGACTGTCCACCCATAGATCTTATCGGGATCGGAAAGACAAGTATACCAAGGCTCTCGAGGCTGAACTAGCACGCGTTCGGAAGAATGAAGCTGGCTTGGTGTCCGAGGTTCAGCAGCTCCGTGCAAAAGTCCATATACTGACCACCCTTCTGTCGCAAAACGGCATATCCTCCCCGCCCGAGTTCACGAATGAGGAGGTATCTCATAGTCCTACCCTACATCTGGATGATGGCAGCCTTGCAAGTGAACAAACACAACCGGCTACCAGGGCCCAGGCTCAGAATGATTGGCCACTAGAGTCTTCAAGCAAGTCGGCGAACCAAAGCAGCGTTCCGAGCAGTGATGTTTTTAGTTTGCGGCATCATGGTTCAAGATACTTCAAAAGACTACGGGATCCAGTACCCACGGCCACCATAACGCTCTCAGCTGAGCCCAGTCACAAAACTCACCTTTCCGAACTTGATGCCACGACAGTTGGCATGGAGTTTGTATTAACGTATGGTGTTTTTTCCCCTTCACACACATATATGAATGAGACGCTGATCACTTGACGATGAAGACTAGAAAGGCCGTGTCTAGGCCATGTACACGGAAACCCCAAAAAGCCCAATGAACCAGGTGGTCATGCTTTGACTGCTACGGTTCAGCTTCAATCCGCCCTGTCTCTCCCTCCTATTGATCCACAAGATCCCAAGCCTCCGTCTTATCAAAATGCCCCCGCAGTTGTGCTCGATCGCTTATTAAACCTTGCGCCCAGCGTATCAGAGGACGGCGACGTGACACCGATTCAGGCGTGGCATTATATACGACACCAGCCACACTTTGGCGGGTTTGAGATACAAAACCTCAACAGACTGGCAGAAAAACTACTGGTAGCCATGAAATGTCACGGGTGAGCAAAGAAGGTTCCTTACTCCTGGCTGCGTTGGGAAATGACAGCTGACTATTTCTATAGATTTGGCGCTGCGATTCAGCCGAACATATTCGAATCAACTGTACGGGAAATTCTCAATCCAGTGATGCTAATGTCACCGTGACGCAAAGAGCATGGGTCTGTTGACTGTCGTCTCCTTGAACAGCCTCTAATTAAGCAGCATTAATTCACCAAGAAGTGGGAAAACTCCTTCTGAATAACAACAGGACCATTCAGAAGACATACGAACTCAAATTATAATGGAGGACAATAGCTGTGGTTAATAAAAATGAAATTGTAAACAAAGCCGATAAAGACCGATATACATGACTGGCCATGGTACATTTTATTTTCTCTCGTTTAAATTCTCAGCGATATTAATTTATCATGATTCTTTTTATACAGAGTATATGGCGTAAGCAGGGGGGCATTGATGCTGTGAGTAGACACATGTGTGATGACTAATCTGGGCCCCATATCTTTTTCAACGCGTCTCACTGAGTTGGCCGCGTCTGCTTTACTTTGTCTCAGCGGGGCATCCATTCAAGCCTTGTTTTCATCTACAAGTATCTTGTCACTCTCTCAAATCCCTTCTTCAGCCCTATGGAAATAATCATGTAGTGCGATACCGCAGGCCTTTTCTCGAATTGCCTGGTTATAGATATCCTCACCACAAGTTAAACCAAATGGCCCGGTTTTCGGTACCAACAAAGGCCAGGCTGCCTTCTTCGCTGCGCGTTGATTCTGCAAACCCAGCTGTGGTAAAGAGCCTGGGCCGACTATCCCGCGAGGCTCTCATTTCTCTGGCCATGAGCTGGCTTGACGGCGATTCTATTGCCAATGCGATACCTTACCTGGAGAGAAGGGACGACGAAGACGAAGTCGACTTAGATGATCTCTATCCTGCATGTGGGTCAGTCCAGGAGCTCTATGAGCTCTATGCCGCAATGCAGCAGCAAAAGGGATCCAAGCGCGATGTAGCCAATCGCATACTGGAAGGGGATTGGAGACATGGGCTGTCATTGTATCAGCTTGCAATGGTCGATTTCTACCATCTAGAAGAACATCCCATGTCACAGAAGTGGACGGCATATAAGATCCTGCCACTGAAGCCTCCAACGCAAGGTGCCGACGACGAGATCCTTCAGGTCGACGATCAAGCGCTGAATGTTCCTCGTTTCCATCCTTCAACATTCTTGCAAAGTCTCCAAGACCAAGTTTTGCCAGATATCAAGGCGCACTATCATTTTCACCGACCCAAAGATCTCCCAGTCTTGCTGCTGCGCATCTTCGTTATCGAATCCCCATACAACAGCAGCCTCGCTCTATCTGGTGCTACCAATTTTACATCATCTCGGACGGTATACCTCGCTTTTCCAGATGGTTCATCTCACATCTATATAACTAAATCTCAAGCCAACGGCCCGGCCGCTGCAGGCGAATCGAGAAGCCTCCAGAACTTGATTGTCCATGGAGTGCCGAAAGCACTATCTCGACCAAGAGAACGATATACTCTGAAACCAACAAGTCTAACAAGCAGAAACTTGGAAACGCTGTTAGATAAAAGAGGATCTGGGCGAGGGAATGCCGCCGGAGGCGGTTGGAGCGTCTACGCCTCCGAGAAAAACAAGAAATCTCCTCTTGACGCCATCCTCCCCAGCCCTCCGCTTTCAAGAGAGCCCTCTCTCTCTGATCAGAACCGAAAGAGGTTGAAACCGCTAGATCAAAATCAACGGTCTGCCAAAAGAGCCAAGCTAATTGCTAAAGCGCGATTTGGTGACTCTGGTCTTATCACAGATGGAAAAGGTATCGAAAAGGTTGACATCTTACTCAAAGACCCATTTCCTACAGCCGCCGCCGCTTCAGAGACCCAAGAACAGGACGAAGAGCAGACCAACGTAGAGCCTTCAATTTCAGCTCGGAGAAGAACAATTGACGCTGCGCTTCGCCAAGCTGCTGATGGGGATGAAGAGTCAAATGAACCGGAGAACCCTTCACAGTGGCGGCCGACAGTCCAGATTACGTTTCAGGGGAATCACGTTTTTGCCGGTATTCGGCAGCTGGTTGAAGCCGGCATTGTGGATGGCGAGCGTATGCCTGGTTGGATGACAGGTGAAGATGGCGTTACTGTGGGCGTCGTAAGGCATGGCCGAATACGGGGCAACAAGGGCTCGGGGTTATGATGTGGTCTCTAACGTCGTTGTCTTTTTTCGGATGTACTGTATACTGCTCTTTCTATGCGCTTGATACCCTTTACGATGCACCATGATAAATCTAGCTTCTTTCACCAAGGCCAAAAACATTTACCGTGTTTCTCCAAGACGCCTCGCAAAGTTCTTCGATGGTTACCCCTTTAACGGCGGCAACGATTTTAGCAACCCGCTCAATGGTGCATGGTTCGTTGCGGCCTTTAATCATGGCTCCCTCTTGCCACTGCTCCTTCTTAACTATCTTGAAGCGATTCGGCACATCGGGCTCCTTCTTTTGGTTCTTCTGTTTTTTCGGCCGCTTTGCCTGCTGCTGTGCGGCTCCCACGGGCGGCTGAGCATCACCATTCGGCACTGGCAGTTCCGGCTCAGGCTTTTTCTCGATCAGATATTGGTATCCAGCATGGCTGGGTCGTACTTCGCACCAAGGACCATCCGTTTCGAGCATGATCCTGTCAAGAGTGACCTCCTTGACCATGGCCAGGTTTTCTTCCGTCTTGAGACTGCAGCCGTTGACACCAATATGGAGGCCCAGATCCATCAATTCCTTCATCTCTTCTATGGTCCCTGTGAAGCTGTGTACCACACCACCCTTTTCTAGCCTTTCTAGCCTTTCGCCGAAAGCCCCTTTCAATAGGTCTACAAAGTCGCGATGAGCAGCTCTTGAGTGGAGAAATAGCGGCAATTGAGGCTGTAGGGAGGCAACAACTTTGAGCTGAGCCTCAAAAGAATGCAGCTGAGCAGCCTTGCTGCAAAAGTTTAGCCGGTCATAATCAAGTCCAAACTCTCCCACGGCAACTAGATGCCCTTCGCCAGACGATCTGGCATCGGCGAGGAAGGTTATAAATTTCTCAATCACCTTCGCCGAGGTTTCCGCATCCGGCTCGCCCTGATGTTCACTCTGTTCTGGGTCTTCAGGCTCACAGGGGGTCGTATGTTCTTCATGTCGCCCGTGGCCTCCTTTGCAAAATATGGCGCTGCTGCAGGGGTGAATGCCAGCGGTAGCGAAGCAAGTTCCAGCTAAATGGACACGCTCAGCTTATGATCGTTACTGCTAGTGAAAGGGCTTACCAACGAAATTCTTTTGCCAGCTCCAACGAGTCACGCGAGCTTGTGAAGTCAGAGCCCGTCACGATGAGCTTGGTACAGCCTACTTCCTTGGCTCTTCCGATGACATCCTTGAGATCATCTGGATGCCGCTGGACGCCACGATGCTTGCCCCTGTATATAGGATCGGCTAGGTTAATTCCTATCTTTACCAGCCACGCATCAGTAACCAGAGTGTAGGTTAGTGGGGACCAGTTTAGAAAGACAAAGCATTTACATCGATATATCTGGGCTTATAAGGCTCTGATCCCGGCTCCAGGCTGGGCTGTGGGGCACTCATTGTGGAAAATACTGAGACACGAGAGATGGCTGCAGTGTAATGGCGTGGCAGAAGATGGCGGGCCCTCCCTACAATCATAGACATATATACGGAATCTTGATATATATTGTTGTATGACGCAGTAATAGCAAACCCGTGCTCAACTCCCTGTCTCGCTCTGCCGCAGGAGTTGGCAAAATGGCTTCACAAAGCGTGCTTAGTAACGTGAAAATACTACGACAATACAATTAAACTCTTGAATTATGGCACGTGACTCCGCGACATCATTGAGAAACTCGATGACCAATACACGCGCCAAGGGTTCGCGTATCCACCAAAACAGACCTTGAGCTGCCCCTCCATTTTCTGTGGTTTCAATGATGACTTAATGCTTCTCAAATGCTTAGTACGTATCTCTTTTGAAACCCGATCAGGTTTAAGGAGATCCAATGAGGAAGTGGTTTGTTGGACCCTTTGCGCCGTTCTCGCGCTTGACTGGCCACAGAGCCACTGGAATGTCCCAGCGCGGGGCAGTTTTTTTTTTTTAATGAGTTTTTGAGCGTACCACAGCTATTTTACACGCTAAGAGCTGGCGTGGCGCGTGCTGGAGACGCGCCGTAGAATAAAACCGTCTGTCCCGCCGTCTGAGAACTTCACACATAACTCTTCCCTCCTCTGCAAACAAAACATCCCCGAGGCCTCGATTCATCTCGAAGCCGCCAAAGCTCTGCCTGGCTTCCTGCGTGTCTTGATTGATACCTGTGAGCGTCTGAGAGCCTTGAATCGTCGCAGCCCTCGTCATTCTTTCTCTCCCTCGCCAGTTCCTCGCCATCCCACGCCGCCACCATGTATGTGAGGAAGCGTGGTATGTATCCCCACCTGCACGCACTTTGATCTAAATTGCGTCTCTGTAAACCATTCTAATCCATGGATAGACGGTCGTCAGGAGCGTGTTCAGTTCGACAAGATCACGGCTCGTGTCTCACGGCTGTGTTACGGCTTGGACACTGACCATGTCGACCCCGTGGCCATCACCCAGAAGGTCATCTCTGGTGTCTATGGAGGCGTGACTACAGTACAGCTTGACGACCTTGTAAGTTGAGATACACATCCTGTAATAAAGAAGTCAAGTCGTTAACGTATGGAATAGGCTGCCGAGACTGCCGCTTACATGACCGTTACCCATCCCGACTATGCCATTCTGGCTGCCCGCATTGCCGTCTCCAACCTCCACAAACAGACCAAGAAGCAGTGGTCAGCTGTCGTCAGCGACCTCTACCATTATGTCAACCCCAAGAACAGCAGGGCCTCGCCCATGATTTCCAAAGATACATATGAGTGCGTCATGAGGCACAAGGAGGAGCTTGACTCCGCCATTGTCTATGACCGAGACTTCAACTACCAATACTTCGGCTTCAAGACCCTGGAGCGATCATATCTCCTGAAGCTTGATGGCAAGATTGTTGAGCGGCCACAGCACATGATTATGCGAGTGGCTGTTGGCATTTGGGGAGACAACATTGAGCGTGTCCTTGAGACATACCACCTCATGTCCAGCAAATTCTTTACCCATGCGTCCCCCACCCTCTTCAACGCTGGTACCCCGCAAGCTCAGCTCTCCTCATGCTTCTTGGTTGACATGAAGGACGACAGCATTGAGGGTATCTACGATACTTTGAAGACATGTGCCATGATTTCCAAGATGGCTGGTGGTATCGGCCTCAACGTCCACCGTATCCGTGCCACAGGCTCTTATATCGCCGGCACAAACGGTACCTCCAACGGTATCATCCCCATGCTTCGTGTCTTCAACAACACTGCTAGATACGTCGACCAGGGTGGAAACAAGCGTCCTGGTGCCTTTGCCATCTACCTCGAGCCTTGGCACGCCGATGTCTTTGAGTTCCTTGACCTCCGCAAGAACCACGGCAAGGAAGAGGTCCGTGCCCGTGACCTGTTCCTCGCTCTCTGGATCCCTGATCTGTTCATGAAGCGCGTCGAGAAGAACTTGGATTGGACTTTGATGTGCCCTAATGAATGCCCTGGCCTTGCTGACTGCTATGGCGAGGAATTCGAGGCTCTGTATGAGAAGTATGAGAAGGAGGGACGTGGTCGCAAGACTATCCGAGCTCAGAAGCTGTGGTACTCTATCCTGGAGGCCCAGACTGAGACTGGTAACCCCTTCATGCTCTACAAGGATAGCTGCAACCGCAAGAGCAACCAGAAGAACCTGGGAACCATCCGCAGCTCCAACCTCTGCACTGAGATTATTGAGTACTCTGCCCCTGATGAGGTCGCTGTCTGCAACTTGGCCTCTTTGGCTCTCCCTGCTTTTGTCGACTACAACGAAGGATGCTATGACTTTAAAAAGCTTCACGAAGTTACAAAGGTGGTTGTCCGTAACCTCAACCGCATCATCGATGTGAACTACTACCCTGTTCAGGAGGCTCGCAACAGCAACAGCCGTCACCGACCCATTGGTGTTGGTGTCCAGGGACTTGCTGATGCTTTCCTTGCTCTGCGTCTTCCCTTCGAATCACCCGAAGCTCGTGAGCTGAACAAGCAAATCTTTGAGACCATCTACCATGCTGCTCTTGAGGCCTCTATGGAGATTGCCAAGGTTGAAGGTCCTTATTCGTCATTCAAGGGATCACCCGCCTCTGAAGGCATTCTTCAATATGACATGTGGGATGTCAAGCCCACCGACCTGTGGGAGTGGGATTCGCTCAAGGAGCAAATTAAGGAGCACGGTCTTCGCAACAGCTTGCTCGTCGCCCCTATGCCCACTGCCAGCACTTCCCAGATCTTGGGTAACAACGAGTGTTTTGAGCCCTACACCTCCAACATCTACCAGCGACGTGTCCTTGCTGGCGAGTTCCAGGTTGTCAACCCCTGGCTTCTCAAGGATCTTGTCGATACCGGCCTTTGGTCCGATGCTATGAAGAACCGCATCATTGCTGAGAACGGCTCTATCCAGAACATTCCCAACATTCCCGCCGACATCAAGGCCCTGTACAAGACTGTTTGGGAGATTTCTCAACGTCAAATTGTCCAGATGTCAGCCGACCGTGGTGCTTTCATTGATCAGTCCCAGTCCTTGAACATCCACATGAAGGATCCCACAATGGGCAAGATTACCAGCATGCATTTCACTGGCTGGAAGCTTGGTCTCAAGACTGGCATGTACTACCTGCGTACCCAGGCCGCGGCTGCACCTATCCAGTTCACAGTCGATCAAGAAGCACTGAAAGTTGCCGATGCCAACGTCAGCAAGGAACGCGTGTTGAAGAAGCGCGCTCCTCCCCCAGGATCATCCTTTTCGATGACTTCAGCCACTGCCGTTCCTCGACTTAGCAGTGCTAAGACGGAGGAAGTCTCTGGAAACTCATTGAGTTCTACTGGTATTCCTACTCCCACCACCACGCCTCCCCCTCTGGGCAGACCTCTGGCTTCGCCCCACAAAGCCCCTCCTATGAAGGCTGACATTGAAGAAGGCGACAGCCCCAAGGTGCTCCCTACGGAGCCTTCAGACAATGTCAAGGAGGAGGAGCTGAACAAGAAGCCCGATCAGACGGAAGATAAGAATGATGATAGTGAGGAGCGCGAGAGGGACATTTACTCAGACGCAGTTCTAGCCTGTAAGTTACCCTTGAATATGCTGCCGGACGAAACATGAGTGTTCTGATACTGACTCCTTTATAGGCAGCATTGAGAACCCTGAGTCCTGCGTTATGTGCAGTGGTTAAAGGGAGATTAATAAGCTGTAATGGTGATGTGTATGAGTGGTGGGGAGATGGGTATAATCGAAGAGCTTGATCAATTGATTGAGCATATACAAAACTGGCAACGGAATGGGGATTAAATAAATGTTTTAGGGTTTGTGCATGGTGAGCGCCGGACTAAAGAGCCCGACTGATCTCACTGGATGTTTAATGTGTTTGGACTATTATGGATATTTGTTATACTTGCGACATGTTACATGTTGTTTACGTTAGTCACTACGAATTTTGCGTGCTTTCCAGATGCAGTTGTTAATAGCATAGAGGCGCGAATGTTAAAATGAAGTAATGTATTCAAGGGGTTGAAGTGCCTGTCCAGTTGAATTGCTTTATGTCGTAGAGCTCAAGTGCTGCCTGTGTATTTCGAATTGCACATTACTTTGAGCTGTAGGGTGTTGTTTCTTGACTTTACAGATCTCTTATGTCCTGGGTATCGCCTTCACTGTAGAAAATTTCCTTTGTCGTGTTTAATCATCGTACCCGGTCTTTAAATGCCCATTTATTAATTACAGTTATTCCAACTCTATATACTCAGTCCGTATTGTACGAATCAAGTCAGACTTTAATGTGTACTTCAACGCCATCATCCATTACTTTCCCAGTCAAAGGGCGGCTGTTATCAAACCAAAATTCCGGGTGTATTACTGTCAAAAGGACCGACATGATAATCATAGGGATGGAATCTAAAGCAATGAAAATGCCCTCCTTATTTGACAGAGGGCCGTTGAAACCTCCATTGAGCTCGGCAACACGCCAGCAGGAGCGAATAAAGAGACAAACGGCAGCTACTGCTGCGCCTGATATAGAAAAAAAAAATCAGTCATTGAACCTTGACAACGCAAGCCAGTGTAAAGAGTATATGGTGCAGTGCCGCTTACCAATAATGTAGCCTAGCTTTTTGTCCTCGGCAAGTTGTTTGTGTATCTTGAAGCATACTATAGTCAGAAGGATGCAGAATATTGCCGTGAACAGCACTTGGGTTGCGAGGCCAGCAATCATAAGATCGACCCCTATGGGGTCTGTGTCGTATATTGCGGCCAGGGAGCCTCCGCATCCGATGAAGCAAAGACATATGAAGTCTCCGAGTATGAAGAGGGAGGCAAAGAGGCGAGGGCTGATGTGTGCGAAGCGGGCTGCTCTGTAGTGCCTTTGTAAGGTGCTGATGCCGAGATACAAGGATGAAGAAAGAAAGGTAGGGCCTAGGGTGAGGCCAATGATGTACCTAATGGAATACCCCCGTTATTAGATTAAAAAAAAAAAAAAATAAAGGAAGGAAGCTAGAAAAGCATGGACAAAAATAATATGAATTTAGCAGCTTACATGATATATCCGTTCTTGTTGGCTCGGTTGTGGGAGAGTTGGACTTTGGCCACATAGCCTAAGAGCTCCAAGAGGAGGCCGCCTAGCATGCCAATAGCATAGCCATAGAAGCGCCAGAATCGAACTGTCAATATAATCTGGACAATGAAGATGAGAATGAATAAAGTGACAAAAATAGCATTTGGCGCAAGAAGTGGCGTGAAAGATACAGCACCGATGCCGTTTGGAGGGATTTGGCTGGTACTGTTTATGGTGGAGTTCATAGTTAAAATCTTATGAAATTTACAATCAAACGAATGAAAATGAACAGAATAAAAAGTATTAATTGGTATGCAAGCATGAAAAAGCCATCTAGTTGAGTGATTCATGCTACCTATTTATCGCTACAATACACGGAGCCTTCCGCAAAACTGCCGTCAAATCGCCGCTTAATCCCCGCTTTACTTCCTTCAACGCCTCAGCCGCAAGTTAATCAAACGGCATTTCTTCTTTAAATAGCCACCGCATCCTATGAATCTCCGTTCTGCAAGCGATAATTGTCCATCCATACGGCGGAGATTTCTTCGTTTTCATCATGCGGTTGAAACGCGGCGTTGAGCGGGCGTCGTGCGATTTCTGCCATCGGCGTAAGATCAAATGCGATCGAGCTTCAAGGGAAACCCAGGGCCAGTCTTCCTGCTCTCCTTGTTCGTTGCGTCAAATTCAGTGCATTCTTGATAATGCGGATGATATCCGACTTCGCCGACGGCGAAGATTAAGTGTCCGCGATGAAGACATCGTAGAGCAGAGCACACCGCAGCCGTTGACGAGGAACCTTACCAGCGTGGATGCTGAAAACTTCATTAATCCGAGCGTATTACCCGTCATACACGACAGACAAATCCGAGAAACGCCACAAGGGAGGCTAGAGCAGCCATTTCCATCCCACTTCCCGCCAGATGCAGAAGATAATATCCCCTCATCGGTGGACCAGACGCCAGATTTCTCTTTCATCGACACCCCGTTCGAACTCAGCCCAGAGAGCATTTTATTCTTAGACCAAGTATTCATGGGCTGGTACGAAGGATCACTAGAGAACCATGAGCCACAAGTAATGACAGACGGCGGTATCCAACTCTCAATGGGAGAAGAACAATCTGCTGGCGACACTCAAGACAAATCGGCTGCTGAAAGCTTAACTACCGGCGCTCGTCAGAAACTCTGGATTGATTGCAATCTTGACAAAGAGACATTTGATGCCTCACTGCACGCATACTTTAATTTCTCTGCAGTTCATCTCCCGATAATCATGGAAGATGCTTTCTGGAAGGATTATCACGCCGGGAGATGCAGCCCTGCTCTTGTCTATGCCGTTGCCTGCCGCGGAATCATTTTCACAGCTACTTCGGATAGCTGGGACAAGCAACAATGCTTAGCCCTGAAATTTAGACAGAAATTCTTGGAGGCCCGGCAGAAAGCAACAGGTATATCAGCTATACGTCTCGACGATCTTGAGGCGCTGGCCATCATGGCCAATTGGATATATGATGAAACAAAAAGTTCGCCTCTCGATACACAATTGGGAAGCCTTTTCTTGACACACGAATCACTTGTTCTAGCTACACTGGAGTCTCAGATGCAAGACTGCAATACGGGAAATCCAGCCTCGTTAGGTCCGCTTGCTCGCTCGGAAGAGCGTCGTAGGCTTCTTTTTTGGCATGTGTACGGCTTTGACGCGTTCCATAGCCTAGATCGCAACCTCATCTCTAGAATTCCAGATGGAGAGAATGATGGTATATCACGAAAACTGCCGCAGCATGATACTGGAAACTATCTCGATGCCATTCTCAATTTAGCCATTATTGTGAGAGAGATGCTGCAGGTCTTTGTGACTGTCAGCACAAAACGGAATGGAATAAAGCCTCAAGACGTTATAAATATTTATGAAAGGCTCGATTGTTGGCAGAAACGCGAGTGTCCCGTCCACCTTCGTAGGAAGAGAGATAACGAAGGCAAGTTAATGCCACTGACAGTCAACGAGCCAACAAAGACCAATTTTATCCAGCCACTGCACTGCTGTCTCCTTTGGCTTTTGGAAATAAACTGTTACCTGCAGGTCGAAGCTTGCGTTTCTCGTTACGGTATGCGAGATGGAGGCCCCTTTGAGGCAGAAATGGCTACACTTCGCGTCGAATTGGAGTCTCTCCGCGCAGTCAAGGATGGTTTGGAGATTTCTCAATGGGTGAAGCAATATTCGACTACAACGGGTACGGGTAGTGGCGCCAAGAGCCATTCTCTAATCGATCTTGCACCGTTTGCCCGCGATATCTATGCCGGCCAGTGCTTTTGGATAAGCGAACGCGGCAAAACGTTGACCTGCCATCCTACAACTCGACAACGAGGAGATAAAACCGCAAATCATCATCAGAAGAAAGACATCGATGACTATATGAAAGCCGCCAAGGAGTTTCGAAGCGCCGTGGCGATGGCAACGTCGCACAGAGACACCGAACTTGTGTTGGAGCGGCTAGACCAGCAAATTTCTTCGTTTGCAGAACTTTTGGCACAGTAGTCGTTTGCCCATCGATCCAGGAGTATCTCTTTATCTGTATAGCAAGAGGGAAAGAATAGCGTACCAGGGAATTCTATATACAAGGAGATCAGTGTACAAAGAGATCAGTGATTCTGTTGCTCAGTGGCCAGGCAATGAGCAACGAGGAGGTTTGAAACATGGCATCGTACAGCATACTAATAATACTGTTGTTTCGTCGTAGCAATGGCTAAATAATACTGTTTATGCATTGAAAGATGACGTAGGTCTGATTGTCCTCGTTGAGTCAATGACAGCAGAAATCAACATGATGAGGTCAGTGAAACATAATAGGACTGGGATTCAATGAAGAAGAAGCGTCCTGGAACAGGGACTTGTGCACTCCGCCGTCCAATACTTAAATAGCCTGGTGGCAGAATATAATGCCTCATCCAATCTGTGCTCTCGCTGCGACTAGCCACTTGGCAAAACGCGTGGCCTTGACTCAAAACTATTCCGTGCGAGCGAATCACGGAGATGCAAGCTGCCGTTACGTTACTCCAATGTCCGATCTTGACTGCCCGGACCGATGATGCTGGGGTGGGGTCCGCTTAGCCCTCTTGGATTTTTTGTTTCCAATGGAGGCATGTTGGCAGCCCTGGATTGGATGATGCGAGGTTGACATGAGACATGCCTGCATCCCGCGTGCGTGCGTATGAGGATGTACTGCAGAGGATGATGCTGAGAGAGCTGGGTAGCTGCCCAGAAAGGCTAGAAAAGCATTGAATACGCTTGAATGTTCAATTGCATTTTGCGCGTGTTGTAGGAAGAGAAAATTAGCGTCGAACAGGCGCACGGAATCCGCAGTTGAACTGTCGGATACTTGCGAGATGGAGGAGGGAACCTTGATCGCCTGAACTGCCATACTACTCATGTATGTGTGGTGGGTGGCGCCGCTAGTTGCCACCTGCTAGGTGCATCTTGGCTAGCTGCGGAAGCCAGCGAATGAGCTAAAATGCACTGTCAGTGGCCCACAGCAGTAGATTCAGCTCACCGAAGCAATCCATGGATCAAGCAGCCTCTGGAATGCTGAAGTCACAGCCCGCATTATCGGCAGTCTTCAGCTCTGCCAGGGTCGGACAATGGCACTACCCAGTGCTAGCAGGCACTAGGCCTAGGTAGCTCCGCAGACGATGCCGTCATTCCGACTTGCAGCTCCCAGTCGAGCACCTTAAACCCAAGTCACTGTGTCTGGCGTCTACTATTTCACAAGACTTGGAAGAACATATGCAAGGGTCAACGCGCTAGGAGAAGCAATGTGAGTACCAACAGCAGCAGCTCCCAAGCACTCTGGAAAATATGTACATTGGTGGTTCGATTCTTCTATCATGCCCCGTCACAGTCCCCACTACCAGCTACTCCGTTCTTCATCTTTTAGGCACTCCAAACTGGACTAAGCAAGCGCTGTCTTACCCTTCACTGCCTGTGCATCTGGACCTGAGTATCTTCAAGGTGCAGCGACACGTACCATTAGATAGTGGATGAGAGCACCCATCTATGATACTTCCAACACACTTGACCTATCATGCATGGCACAGTAACCGATCTGTGGTTTCGAAAGAGGGTGTCACGCAGACCTCGTCACTCCATTCACCCCCTGCTAGAAGCATCGCAGCTTCTGCCATGAATGACGTTGATCAAGCCGATCTGCCAGCTGGCGAGGGCCCGGAGCTTCAAGTGGCAGTAGGCACTGCAGATAAGGTACATGGGAAAAGGCACCAAAGCAAAGGCAAGGCACGGTACCTCATGCCTGCATGCTCTCTACTCCTTCCCGACTTCTTAAAGCTCTACGCCCTCCTCACCTGCCCAGCTCTTGCCAGGTGTTCAGGCTTTCTTTCCCCCATTTCCTTTCACACATCCCTCTTCTTCATCTCTGCTCTCGTCGGATTTCTCAAATCTTCTCTCATCACGATCACGGCTTTCCATCAAATCATCAAGAGTCCAACTCTTTCAAGTCGCCTCGTCGCCCTATCGCCACTCTTTGTTCTTTGTTTGCCTCGTCTTTCGTTGCGCATCTGTATCGCCCAGGTTGGTCCACTTCGCCTATCTAGCCCTTTCTCTCCAAACATTCTCTGCGTCTTCTTCTTCTTCCCGTCTCTCTCGCGAATCTCTCGCCCAAGTTCCCGAGCATCTACAACGCTGGGTGACTTGGTTGCTCGTTTTGAGGGGACACCGTAATTTCTTTATAGTCCACCTCACAATCCGCTCATCTCCTCGATCAAGTCGTACAAACCCCTTGTACGGCCTAGCACAAAGACTTGCGGTGCTTCTCTGCCCACCAATAGTCTATACTTTCTCTTTCATGGCCTTTGTTCTCCCCTCTGTGATTAAAGCTACCATCTGTCGTCGATGGTCCGTCACTTTTCAACTCCCCGATCATCTTCCTTCTTTTTCATCATCGAGTTTGATTCTCACACGCCCTAAACGGTCGCTCGTTTTATCACGCTACAAGCACAATCACTCAAACTGTATTCGCGGACTGACAGTCATATCTCCCTCAACAGAAGTCCAGTTCGATTTTTTGACAATATCAACGCCAAGATGAAGTCCGTCGTTATCGCTCTTTGCACCTTTGTGGCGGCTACTGCCGCCCAGGGCTCGCCCAATCTTGCCGCCTGCGGTGTGAGTAATTTGAGTCATATCACCTTTTGACCTCTTGACCGTTACTGACATTTCTCCAGCAAACCTGCGCCACTAACATGCTGGACGCCGACAAGGCTGAGGAGCTGGGCTGCAAGCAGAATGACTTGAAGTGTCTGTGTGCCAACAAGAACTTCCTTTACGGCCTCCGAGATTGCTCCGCCGCTATTTGCTCGGCTGAGGATGCCAAAAAGGTTGTTGAGTACGGCATCAGCATATGTGCTTGTACGTCTCCTTCTTCACCCATCGTATAGAATTTCTACTCAAATAATCGCAGCGGCCGGTGTTGCAATCCAAACAAAGTCTGAAGGCGGAAATGGTGGTGCTACTAACACTGGAAGCGCATCTGGCATCGTTATTACCGGTGAATCGACAATTGCCACCGCTTCTTCTTCTGGTCCGGCATCTGGCAAAGTGTCCACAATCCTCAGCACCCTGACTTCTGATGGTAAGACCATTACTACTGGTATCGCCACTACTATTGCCAGCAACCCGAGTGGAGGAAGCGCCAGCAGCGATACCGATGCTTCCGGTCAAGTTTCTACCGTCGCTACTATTGTTACCGAATCTGACGGCAGTATCGAGACAAAAACCAGCCAGATTACTTTGTCTGGCTCTGCCACTGCCACAGGTACTGCCGCGCACCAGACCGACAGTGTCATCTTGAGTACCGTGACGTCGGATGGTTCTGCTATCATCGAGACCCTGACCACGCTTCACAAGACAACCAGCGAGTCTGACACCGCTTCAGCCACTGAAACCGTCACAAAGCCTGAGTCCAGCTCTGGCTCTGATAGCGACGCCACTGCGACTGATACTGGCAGCTCAAGCGCTTCCACCACGTCCACCAGCACAGCCGCCGGTGTAAGAATCTACCCCCATACTCTGGTATCCAGTCCGTTCATTCTAATTGCTTGTGTGCAGGTTCCTCAGAAGACCGCTGGCCCCGTCGGTATCATTGCTGCTGCTGGCCTTGCCATGCTCATGCTCTAAAAGATTTCCTTGATGGCCCTTTTTTTGATGTTTCGCGTTGCACATGTTTGATATATAATACCCTATCATTGTCTCATAATCCTCGAGTTACTAAACATCTTTCGCGCTCGGCGTGGGGATTTGGCGCTGAGTCTATCTTTCATTACAAGGAAAATAGGGACAAGGTGAATGGACATGAACTGGGAAGGTTAATGAGGGTTAATGACTCCTATGGTTTATCGTTGATTTCTTTTTTTTAATTGGGCCATGAGAAATATATCAAGGATTCGGTAATTAATTCCTGGTGATAAGCCAGAAAATTTTTGGAATGGAAAAGAAAAATGAAATTAGGCTCAGGCTCAGGCTCAGGGAGGGCCGAATGCAGTTCTTGCTTCCCTGTGGGACAAGAAGAGTCTCTAGACTATCATTTATCTTGGCATGATATGGCACCCAGATCTGGCATTGTCTAGATACGCGGGCTGAATCTCTTGCTCTCATTTAGCAGGACATTAATTAATAATTTTGGTGCAACTTGCAATTAATATGACGCATCTTACATCTGCAACTGTGATATGTAGATTAAGTCAAAAGGCAAAAGAGAACAACAAATGCACAAGGGAGATCAGGTTATATATAATGTATAAATATTTACTATCTAAAGTTTAAACCATGGTATCCTCAGTTGAGTCTTTGTTCCCTTAATAAAATCTTATGAGTTCAACTTGCAACCTATAAACGCCGGAATATGCCGAGGACGCCAACGCGCAGGAAAAGAAAGATGACGAGTCTGTAGAACCAAAGGACGATGGTACACCAATCTAGTATACACGATCACCAATCTGGCTCCTCCAGCTCTTGGCACGTTCAAATCCATTCTCATGGGTCTGATAGTCAGCAAATGTTTGCATGACTTCCTCCTCCGAGTTGAGGACAAAGGGGCCGTATTGTACAACAGGCTGGTCAAGAGGAGTGCCCGCAATGACGACTTGAGATAAAGAGTTAGCATGATAAACGCCTCTTTGAACTGCAGAGTCAAAAATTCAGGGAGATGGTGAAAACTTACAGACTCGAGCGTCCTTTGTGGCGCTGGCCTCGGTGGACAGGTGGATCACATCGCCCTCCTGTTTGAAGAAGACGTTGTCATATTGCTCGGCCCTCTTGGCCTCGGCTCCCTCGCCGACAGTAACGTCGCCTTCAAGAACGTAGGCGAAGGCGTTCCACCCCTGGGGAAGAGCCTGGGTGACCTTTGCGCCGGGCCGCAGCTGGAAGTCGAGCAGCCACACGGGGGTGTAGGCCAGCTCCTTGACGGAGTCGACGCCGTGACTCTGGCCCGAGATGACTTTCACGGTGACGCGCCCCTCGTCGACGTCGACGGTGGGGATCTCGGCGGCGCGCAGGTCGCGGTAGCGGGGCTCGCAGTACTTGAGCTTCTTGGGCAGGTCGACCCAGAGCTGGAGGCCGACGTTTTGGCTGCCGTCGGGCTGCTTGCGGGGCATTTCGGCGTGGACGATGCCGCGGCCGGCGGTCATGAATTGGAGGTCGCCCTCGTAGAGGGTGCCGCTGTTGCCGGCGAAGTCTTCGTGGTCGACGACGCCTTTGAGGAGGTATGTGATGGTTTCCTGGCCGCGATGGGGGCTTTTGGAAAGAAAGTAAAAAAGAATGGTTAGTTTTTTTTTTTTTTTTTTTTGTTTTATAAAATTGAAGAGATTTGGAGTGTGCTTACTGGTCGGGAAAGCCAGCGGTTGTGGCAAAGTGATCGAGCATCAGGAAGGGGCTAAAGTTTCGCTGCTGTCTTGTGCCGATTGATCGTCTGACGCGGGCTCCAGCTCCTTCGGCCTGTTCGATGGCACGAACGACCTTTGCGACGGCTCGCTGGGTCGACATTTCGGTGACGATGAGAGGTTGTTGGGGTATGGGGAAGTGGTTTTTTTCTGAAATTGCTTCAGAAGACGACGGCGACGATGACTTTTGCGTAGATGCAGCTGCTGCTGATATTGTCTCGTTCAATGCAGTACCAGTGGTAGTTTTGCTGAAGAATGTAATGTAGTGGCTTGAAATTGAAGATTTCGCAAAGCTTGCAAAGTCGGAAATGCTTTCGCGGTATTGGTATAATAGCGTAGATGACAATCCAATGAGAATTGCAATGATGATTTGGAAAAACTTCATGTGAACGGGATGAAAGCAGAGAAGATGTCTTTATATAAACGATCGGGGAAGCTCAAACAAAACGAAAGGGGGGGGGTTGGCGAAGAGCTTTAAAGAAATCTTGAGAAGTTTCTTGTTCCGGGCAGCTTCAGCCAAAAATCGCATTATACAAGATTATATCATCCACACTTAAGCTGCCGTAGAGCTTTCGCGATCAATTAGTCGTAGGAAACGCCGTGGAGGGGGCGTATTTGCAAAGCTTGGACCCACAATTAGTCACTTTTACATCAGCAGTGGTCGATACATTCGCAATGTACTTCTGGACCCCACTTCATCTGGGATTCCACATTCCAGATTAAGCAATTGTTACTCAGCGATTTGTAGCCATGCCTCTTGGATTTGCTACAGATTTCTAGCACTGGCACTGGGTAGTGGTACCAAAGGCATGTTTCAGGTAACATCACATGATCAACTCTGCAAGCAAGACCGTGTGAGACAGTGTTGAGGTTTCAATTTCATCAAAACAAACTCCATTGGTATTCTACCTTTTTACGTCCCTCCATGTAATTGCCCATACATCAAAACAAAGAAGAGTTAGTGTCCCGTTGAAAAAGAAAAGAAAAAAAGAAAAAGAAAAAGAAAAAGAAAAAAAGAGAAAGAATCCCATCTCCATAAGCACACAGCTCTCTAGCCGCCATCTCTTCCCAATTGCAACCTATGATTCCTGATTTTTAGAGACAACGTCATAAGTATCGAAAAGGGTGAGAGGTGTCGAGTAGGTAATAAGCCTACTGGAATAGGGCAACAAAAAGTGAAATGTAGTTTAACAAAAATGCATCAGAGCTTGGCCACCGGGTAAAAGAAAAGAGACACAAGGAAACCGGTCGTAGATGTTCCGTCTTTATAAAGAACGCAGTAACAGCCCACTTTCTTGATACTTTTCATCGAAAACTAGCGTTTCGAATTGATGAAGATCAAGCGACAGAGAGCGCAGACCCAATGCCGACAAGTAGTATAGAAAAAGGACAAAAGAGATGAGAGCTGGTCAAGTCAGAGAACGTATGCGCTTTTTCGCCCTACGGCCCGCTCTCATGAAAGTCGTTTACTGGTTGATCTTCTCCTTGGTGGTCTCAGCAGCTTCGCCCTTCTTGACAGCAACAAAGCTGCTCAGCCAAGCCAGCGTCTCGTTGCTAACAACAAAGGCCGTGGAGACGGCAGCCTTGCCCTGGGCCACTACACCCTGCTGCTCAAGCTTCTTAAGCTCGGAGGCGTAGATTTGGAAGACGTGCTCCTTGCCCTCGAGTCCCTTCTGGTAGGGGAGAAGAATCAATCCACGGGTATCGTTGTACAGGTCATTGGTGGGCTTCTTGATAATGGGGAAGCGCTCCTCGATGCGGTCCAGGGTCTTGTCGCCAAAGGAGTCGGCCTTTTGGACGTATGGTGAGACGTAGCCATAAGGTCTAGCAAAGTAGGGCAGAAAAGGGGCGGCAAAAGTCTGGTACGCTGAGTCGCCGAGCTTGAAAGATCTCTGTGCGTACTCGTTGGACGCGACGGTGTGAACGCCATCGCTGACTAGGGGGAATGAGAGCAGGTGCTATAGAAAGGATTATTAATATCTAGGCGAGATACGACGCCAATTCACCCTGCAAATTGCGCGAGAGTGAGCAAATGTCCCATGCATACCTGTAGGAAAGCGGATTGGACATGGCTGGCCACGTCGCCGTTGACTTGGGGGGCAGGCATTGTGAGGTCGGAGAGATGGAGGTATAAGGTATAAGCTGTTTACTAGGTGTTTGGAGATGGAGAGCGAAGATGGAGCTTGGAGGCGAGCGACAGCAGAAGGTATCCAGCGAGATATTCAATATGCTTTTGAAGAGAAAGTAAAATCGGCCGGAGACGAGAAGCCAATGCTCAGATAAAAAGCAACAGCAAGGGATGAGAGGAGGTATGAGATGAGAAGAGAAGGGAAGAAAACAAAAAAGCACGAGTGAGCAGCAGCCAAAGCAGTAGATAAGGACGGGGCGGATAGCCTGCCTTGTACCGGCGAGCATTCCCAAGGGTGCCCACGGCTTGGAGCCATGGCTGGCACGCCACCCTGGATGATGTATTGATAACGCAGCGCGGCGCAGGCCAGGTACATGTCGCTCCCGCAGCGGCGCCCTCCCGCGAACGGTACTGGTACATGCATGCAAGCGAAGACAGGACCAAAAGGAAAAGGCATGTGAAAGCGGCGAAACAAGCTTGCCCAGTCTCCAGCAGGCCAGGCGGGTCCCTCTCGCCGTGCAGGACTGGAGACGCTCTGTGAGGCTTGCAGCTGGGAGCGGTGCCGCGATTGGCTCACCAGCCACACCTCGCATGGGCCCCGTCTCACCTGGCCGACATGTGAAAGCGCTTCGACCCTCGACCCAGCTGCTGTTCTGAGCCAACCGCAGCAGCACGACGGCATCCCAAGGTTTTTGGGTGATTAATTTTCTCTCTGGCTTTGACGGTCCCCTTTTTAGCGGCTTGTCCGGGTAAAACGTCCCGACCGTCTGTTAGGCTGGTTGGACCAAGGGAGCGCGACGACTCGACCGAATTTAGGCCAATGGACGCTCTATCTCTCACACACACTCGCACGCATTGCCTGCATCGCATTACATGCTCTATTGCATTAGAGGCACTGGCAGTGCCCTTTGATGCGGAGCAAGGCTCGTCACATCAATGCAGATAAACCCCGTACTGTCCGTGATGGCGACATCTCGCACTTGTTGCGGTGAGCGCCAAGTGTCTGATGTGTCTGATCCGTCATCCGGCCGTTGGCGCTATCTTTGCGACTCGTCCCAAGCTGTTTTGCTGGGTGCTGATTCAAGCACATGCATTTGCGGTATACCTACATACCAGCAGTCGCAGTGCTAGTTTTGGCCTCATCCGCCTTATCGCTTGAGATCGATCGTCAGCCAGCTAGTTTAGTGCATCCCATGCCCAAGAATGCTTGCGGCATCGGCACGTTGGCGGGTCATGTTGGCTTGGAGGAAGAGAGCTCATAGATTACTAGGGATATCTTTTGTCCTTATCTATCAGCATTCATGCATACATATGGACATCCATACATGTACATACATGCACATAGTACTATACATATGCACACGAGCTCAATATCCGTGTATTGACTGGATCCTCCCGTGCGTCACATCTCACTCCAGATCAGGTGTGCCTTTTTTTAGGCAGCACGATGCATGGCTAGCTTGTGGAAACGGCCAAAGGAGAGACACTCTACTCATTGCACCACACACGAAACAAAAAGGGACGAAAAGCAGCCGGGCATGGGGCGATTCTGAGCCGACTTCAGTCCACATGTTGACAGCGTGAGCGCCAAGGCTACCCTGCCTGCCTACACGCACCATTGCCCCCCTAGGTTCATACCTAGGCAGGTCCTGTATGCTTACTTTGCCTCGTATCTCTCGGCATCAGATGAAAGATAGCAAAGAGGAGAGAGGACCCTGGAAGCTTGCCATCACGTGTAGAAAGCGCCGTGATGTTGCATCCCTTGGCAACTTGCTCACGCCAAAGGAAGCACCTTTTCCCTCTCTCTCTGTGCCCGGGCGTTCGGCCACGCTGGTGATTGGCCAGGCTGTTGGTTCAGTAGCCAAAAAGGATCGGCGCGAAGCTGCGCAGCGAGACTGTCTTACAGTAGTACTGTAGTACTGCATATTTTGGTACGCGCGGGTATCATATTCCGCGCTCCGTATTATTTCGAAATTTCCTGTCCTTTTGGGGGGGCCGATCGGCTTTAGGATCAGGTTTTTCAAAGGCCGTCACGGCAAGCCAAGGACAATTAAGTTTTGCAGGTCGGAAGTTTGATCGATCCACGTCTGGTGCTAGTACCCGCACCCCTGCTTGGTTTTTTGTGGATAGCTTCAGTGCACCAGCCACAATCACATGCCAGACAATTCATTCTCTTGCCCCTCGAAAATGTCTTTCTTGACCTCATCGCTTGTTTACTTATCGTGCGAGAGACGGGTCTTGCTAGCTTGGCATTTTTCTTTTATTTTGAGTCTTATCTGGGAGGCTTAATTTTATATAGCTTCCACTGTCTCTACGGCAAAATTAAATTGCTCTTGTCGAGTACCTCGTAGCTTAGATAGTCCTACGGCGGGGACTCTTGCTTAGGCGGCCTCACAAAGTTTTTTTTTTTTTTTTTTTTTTTTTTTTTCTTCCTTTTCCCCCCCTCCCTTTCGGTGCCTCTAGTTGGAATAATGACTCAATAGCTATCACATTGCCATTCGGAAAAGTAGCATAAATCCCCGGTATGGGTGTGGATAAAAGCCTGCTTGGCGCTCATATACGCATTCATCGCCAGCGTAAGATGTTGCACTAATCTTCGATGAAAAGCCCGTAATAATCTCTTTATCTTATTCGAATTATACATGTGACTTGAAAATTTTCTCTTTGGCACCCATTATACCTATATCTCTTGAAGAAAGATGGAGCGGCGTGATCACATGGTTCTAGTCGGTGATTTGGTGGCCCGATTTACATAAAATTAACCAAACACTATACATCCCTCAATAATGATGAAAGAGCTGCTACTTATACGATTCGACAAATCCATGTAATCCTATCAAATGAGCTCCGCAAGCACGTGCCCGTGCCTGGAGATTAGTAAATCCATGGACAGACCTAATCAAGGGGCTAATACCACTATGCCGATATGCTCTGTCTAAGACATATTTTTGTGAGCACAGGGTGCTACAGAATCGCAGACTCCCTTGAGCGAATAAATATGGTTGCAGTAACAATTGATAGCTTCGTTTCATTCTAAGAGTATATAGTATTTCTAGATGTAAGTGGCAAGTTCCTGGTAGTATTGAAGGGCAACTACGAAGTGCTCGGGATCAGAAAGATTAGTATCAGCATCATCTCAAATCCTAAACATAGACCTACGGTAGCCGATATTGCCTCAATAGTTACGTCAGGAGTAGTCATATTAAGAATAGTTACATCGAGATAGTACTACTCATGTACTCGATAAGCATATGCCAGTCATTGTTGAAATTTGGATCCAAGCCTCGGGAATGCTTGAGATCCTACCATTGATCATTGCGCTACTGGAATAGCGTCATCGTTTTCTGTAGGATCTATCATGTAGCCGAAGTACAACACGGTTTACAATGTCTTCGGCAGCATGTGATTCCGCGAGGATAAACTTTTAGTCGTAGGGGCCATGAAATATATACCTCTTACTCTTCTTGTAATACCTCTTGCAAACTTTTTTTCCTTCCTCCTTTTCTCTTTTGGAAGATTAATAACCCAGCAATAGTGAAGTCATTGGAAGAGCCAATGGATACAGTTATATGTATTATAGGTTGAGCGATAATATTGAAAGTGTCATTTCCTGATAACACTTCTATGTAGAGCTGCTTAGTAGATGGGGTATATATCTCAACGGAAGAATCTTGCAGCCCTTGGCCTTCACAGAAATTTTAAGAGACTCCAATGCCATCACTAGCAAGTAAAGAGGAAGTAAAATATAGCTGAATCACTTTGCACAAGCGTTTTTGAATCGGGTCTACGTCCCTCACTCACTAATAGCAAAGGAATCTAAGTTTACGCTAACTGTGCGTAGGTAATTCACAGCATTTTTATTCCCTCACGACGCCCTCGCCTGCTAGTAGAGGGAATAAAATACAATTAGGTCGGCCTTGTAAAAGAATTTATGGTATTTATTTATTTATTTGCCTAGAAGATCTTTTGCCTTTCCATGATTACATCTTTCACGCATTCCTTTTAACTCATGAGTATCTATTGCTACAACTTTATATTGTTCACAATACAGTACTAGATACACTCCGATTATCCCAAAGAAACTTGAAATACTCAACTGTAACATCATACTACGATGTATCATGAACGAGAATCACGTAATTGAACTGATAAATATTTAGAGTCTAGGGTAAGGGCACAAAGATGTTCAACCGCCAGCGAGGTACCATTGAAGTTCGAATCGGCGAGTCATCATAGCTGATTGGTGTCATTGACAAAACGACTATAATGTTAATGTTATTTTCTACATATACTATTAAGGCATAATAGTCTATTCAGCACGCTATCTTTCACGCGTAAACTGCAGAGTCTATTGCCCTTTACTTATATCGCGAAGCCACGCCTACTACGATTACATTTAGGTAAGCAGTAAGTATACCATTCCGTAGGATAGGTACATGTAGTTGATAGCACCAGTATCAAATGCTAAAGCCACATGCAATTACACGCTCGAGCTTGCAAGGGGCAGCAGACGCGGTGGTTTCACGGCCTAGTCTAGCACTTGGCTGGCAGCACAAGCTATCGGGACTGACAGGATTTGAAGTCACTTCAGCTGCGAAGCATGTTGGCTCGTGCACTTGTCCTCAATGTCTGAATTCTCGTTGCTTTTTTTTTTTTTTTTTTTGGCCGTCGCATGCCTTGCAGGAAGATGGGCAAAAATANTTTTTTTTTTTTTTTTTTTTTTTCGAGCTTACTTGTATTTTACGAAACATAGATGGAATGCGGAGCACCCCCGGTGCCGTCTGCAACTCCAATTTCTGGTTTCTTTTCTTTTTGTTTCGACGTCGTGTTGGACTGAGTCTGACTTTGCGGCTCGCCCTGCAGCCGTATGTCACCTGTCACTTTATGACAGTTGACAGCAATGTATATTGCGCATGGCGTTCAAGGGTCCGGCCAATTTAAGTAACCGTCGCATTAGAAATGCCGCTATCTCATGCACGGACGGATGTAGAATAGAAACGCTGCGTAGTGACATTCATGGCGAGGTGTTCATATCTGTAGGGCAGGCCGCTTGCTGGACTCTGCGTCTGAAAGCTATTGTTGATATTATCTTTACAAGTACATGTGTGTACTAGGAAGCGCCGCCACGTTTTGGCGGCAGCAGGGGCAAAATACGGGGTTTAATCACCCGTTTCGCTTGTTTGCGATAAAGGAGGGAATTTATCGTGCCCTGGTGTGTACTCAAGTACTGTAGCATTTACTTGACGCGGGCGCGGGCTATGCATCCGAACAATCGCCACCCGAGCTCTCTACATTAGTCCTGCAGCTACTACAAGTGATGGACTACTATGGTGTGCCACCCAATATGTAGCATCACACTCCTGCAAGGAATATTGATTGATAGCGAATTGTGGCTTTCGAAGGTGCGACGTGGATGACGAAGCGGGCTATCCATGTGTTACTTGATGTTGTTACCATCTGCCGGTAGTTGCTGGATGAAGGAAGGGCTTTGAACCCTGCGTGTCAAAGTTGATACGAGAACGCACACTGTATTCGTTGAGACAACACCAAGAGCTGAGGAAATGAATCAATTGCGGACGTAGCAACAAGACCTGTCGTAAAACTCGCAATTAGAAGGATCAATTCAAGATAGACGGTACGAACACAGTGCCGTCCTACTAGGCTCATATCAGACACTCAACATCCTTGTTCTGCTGATATCGTTCTCCCTCCCCGCAACTCATAACGGGTCTCACTTGTACCTGTATTGGCAATTCAAATCAATGAGCAGATGATGTCCGCAATATGCATGGCGTCATGCAGGCACACGGGGGAAAATGCATGGTCTTCCCATATTCGGCGCATATGGAGCAATATGGTGTGCATACTGGCCTTGCATGTATACTCTACGGCATGTATGGGGAGCATAACGTGGGTCGCAAACGTCGCATTCTGTCGTGTATGTATGCACAGCAACTGATGTCAGTCACGGCCACGCTCGCCTATGTACTCCATACTTGGCTTGGACGGCGCCGTCTCCTCCGTACGCCTCGTGGAGTTTCAAAGCACAGAGCCCAGGGAACTGTCTCTGAGCTTGTTCGTGGCTGGGCGAGTTCTGGAGCAGAGAAAAGCAGGGCAAGGGCACAGAACCCTGCCGTCGAAGGTTGTCGAACTGGTGACGATATGGAAGCTACCGGGAAGGAGATGAGGACTGGACTCAGACTCGGCCGATTTGGTGGTGGTGATCATGATGAAGATGCCTGCTAGTATGAAGTGGTAATCTGCTTTTAATTCTCTGTACGAGAAGAGAATATTTGGCTACTTGGCGAAGCTCCAGCTCGAGTCGGGCAGCCCGTAAGTCGCACGGAGTACCGGATACTTACACGAGCTCAATTGAAGGCACAGACTCGAGGCTGTCACTCACCACTACTCCTGTTCTCCTCCCTTGCAGCGCATCGCATCGCATCGCCTCTCCCTTCTCTCCCTTCTCTTCCTCCTCGCCTGCCATCCTCAGGGCATTCGTGTGGCAGCAAGAGAAAGAGAAAGAGAAAAACAAATACTGCATATGCATGTTGGTTTCAGATGGTTTGTTTACATCTGGGGTACTTCGTACTCGTGCTGATTTATGTTCTTGGCTGCAAGTAATCTGCGATTCAGTCACCCACAGGCAGCTCCAACTCCGCCGCTGCGCTGAGGCCAAGCCCCAATCCCCTTTCCTGCTTGTACATGGCATGTACAAGTATGGCAGGTTGGAGAAGAACGAATTTCGCTCGCTGGGGGCTAGAAGCTGGCCTCCGGACGCCGTGATTGGCCCTTGTGCACCTCAATTTGCAAATTCGGCCAGGACCCCTGAACCCTGCAGGGACCCCATGTCGCCCTCGTGCGGACAGCACTGGCTGGCTGGGACTGGGCAATTGGATGCCAGAACACGGCGATGCAAGCAAGCAAGAGATGCTCCCTGTGCTCGCTTGGCGTGCAGTACAGCACAGCACCGGAAGGGAGGGGTGTCTCCGTCTCAGGAGCAGGAGGATTAATGAACCGCTCGCCCGCGCTGGAACATGCATCCGCTGAGCATAATCGACTGCAGCATCGGGTGGCCCAGGCGACGATGGCGCGCAGATATGGGGTTCAATGTCCAATTGAGCGTCCCCGATGCTCGGTGCCACGCCAGCTCGGCCAACTAATATCGCACGCCGCACGCTATTGCGGACTATTCTTGATTGTGCTCCGTCCTGCGGGCTAGCACGTAGCACCACCATGCCCATCACTTGCTTCAATTATCCAATATCCGTGCCGATTGGGATGGCTGTTTTGGCTAATACCGCCTGGAGAAGAAGAAAAAACACAGCGGGTGGGGAAGCATTCAAGGCCCCCCTGCTCCATGCAGCCATGCCCCTGAGAGCGCTGCAGCCCGGCCGAAGCTGCTGCAGCCGCAGGTACCTGCACCGCTAAGCTGCCACCACTGCCGCCAGCTGCTGGGCGCAGCAGTGAATGTTCCCCCCATGCGCCTGTCTGGCCATCTCGACCGGACTCCTCTTTAGCGGCAACCCGAGACCCAAGACAGCACTCCTTTTCTATTTCCCGTGTCTCGCCTCGCCTCGCGTCGCCTGGTTCCGACTCTTCTCTCTCTCTTTTGCCATTCTTTTCTCGTTCTGTACGGGATTCTCTTTTTCTTCGTACGGGCCACTTGAGGTCGTCCGACAACACCTGCTTTTCCTTTCCTTCTCCAGACCACCGTCTCTCTCTTTATCAAATCTCCGTGAGATACAGAAGCACTTCGGATGGACCGCTGAGATCGTCCCCCCCGACTCAAATTCTTCTCTTCGCCTCGTTCGACTGAGAGCGAAGAAGTGTTTCGTGGGAGCTCGACTCGATACTGCTGTGTTATCGATCAGCCGCAACCATGTCTCCTTCTCTCAACACCCAACTTTCGTTTACGCGCCCCCGAACTGGCGACCGTGATGGCCGGCCCAGCACTCGCGACCAGGGCGGCGCCGAATCTGCCATGATGATACCAAGCCGTACCTCATCGCTCCATTCCCGCATCACCCAGCCCATTCCGTCTACGTTGGCCCAGAAGCCCCAGCAGCGAACCCCAAAGACGCTCACTCATGCCTACATGGTCTGCGGTGTCGGCCGTGAACCCTCTCAATGGGTCAAGGCTCCCACTCCCGCCCAAGGCAAAATCACCCACATGAAGGGCGCTGTTGGACAATTCTGGCTCCCCGAAATCCTAGGCAGCAGCCCCCGCCTTGAGCAGGACAACGAGATTGCGCGGGCGCTGCACTCTGCCATGAGGGTAAGTTTAATCATGTTGAGCACCGTTTACCAACCGGCAAACGGCATCTCCCAAAGCGAAGCTGATGGGTTCTGCTAACACTGGTTCGAATAGGCTTGCTTCCCTCACGACGTGGAAATCTGCACTGGCCGGAACCAGCCCCACTGCACTCACCATTCTTTCGTCCTCCAGCAAGACTCTTCTCACACTCTGTACGGTATTTGCCTGCGCGTCTGGTCGCGGGCTGACGAGAAGAGGGCCGAGACTATCCGCGACCTGAGGAAGAGGACCGAAACCGACTACTATGACAACCCGGAAGAGACCTACTGGATTCCTTACTGCCTGTCTTTCCTGTCTCGTTACCCTCTGTACAACCTTCTGGGCGATTACCTGCGCGGCATGTGGATTCACTGGAACAAGGCTACTAACCTGTTTCATGCCGAGGAAGTATCCCGCATTCTGAGCTTCCCGGCTCCCAGACTCAACGATCTTGTCCGTATCGACATGAAGGATTATGCCCTCTGCTACCAATTCCCTTCGTCCCCTACCGGGTTCCAGAACTTCGCCATGTGGCCCCTTTTTAACTGTTTGTCTATTCCTAACATTGTCGGTGTCATTGAGGCTGCCATCTCACCCACCCGTCGTATCATCTTCGTCAGTCATTATCCGGCCATGCTCACAATTGCCTCTGAGACTGTACGATACTGCGTCCGAGTTTTCGAATGGAGCGGTCTTTACGTTCCAGTGGTGCACGCGCGTCATACCAAGGAGCTCGTCCAAGAGCCTGGCCCCTACATCTTGGGTGTCACCGCTGAATGCCGATCTCTCTTCACAGCTCCTACCGATGCTCTGGTCGTCGATTTGGACCGCAACTTCGTCCTCACATCTAGCCCTCCTACTGCTCTCACCCCTGGCCAGCGTAACAAGTTTGTCAGCCGTTTGACCCAAGCTCTTAATGGCGATGTTACGCCTTCTGGTGTTCCCCAGCACCTCCGTTCTGCTTATGGTGGTGGCAAGTTGGTGCCTGCCGGTCAGATCATTGTCATGCGCGGCGAGGTTGAGTCCATCCAGGACCCCGAGTGGTGGAACCAGGATTCCGTCATGGCCGTCATGGACCACGTGTGTGAGAAGATGGGTCGCAACTCAGGCATTAAGGCTGTCTTTGGAGGCTCAGTTAAGAAACCTCTCATGACCAAGGTGTCGATGAGACATCTCAACGAACTCGTTCGTGAGAGAAACCAGTACTCTCGAGATGCTCTTGAAGCCTGGCAAGACTTCATCAACCTCAAGGGCCGTATGGACACTGAGCTCGGCAAAGTTACCAAGCGGAACAACTATCTTGTTGAAGAACTTGAAAGCTGGAAACAGCAGTTCCTCAAGTTCCAGGCATTTGCTGAGACTCTCACCAAGGAAACCCAAGACCTCAAGGTCAAGATTGAAGGTCACAAGCGGGAGAATCGCCGCCTTGCTGCTCTCATTGAGCAACAAAAGGAGGACAACAGCCGCCTCACCACACGCCTCTCTGGCACAGAGAAGCAGCGTGATGATGCTCTCGAGGCCCTCGTTTTGCAGCAAGAGATTGCTGAAGAACTCGAGCGTGAGCGCAAGAGGAACAAGAAAGAGCTCGCACAGCTTCACCACACCAACGCCACCATCACTCGCCAGCGTGATGAGGCCCGCCGTGTCGTTCTGCATCTGCGCAGCTTAATTGGTGGTCAGAGCCACCATATGGAGCATCTCATTCAGTCTCTCACCAAGCCGGAGGAACTTATCCGCGAGGTCGAGGATGGTTATGAATCAGATGAGGTTCAGGGTGGCGCTGATGTGCACACCCTGCGACCCTCTCGCAGCAGCAAGCGCCTGTCTACATCTAGTCTGGTTGATGTGGCTGATCGTCACCTCAAAGATAAGACTGATGCTATCGCTCATATTGTTCGCAACATCGCGGACCAATGCCAAGCTGCCGTTGACGGCCTGCAGCTTGCCCAGGATGCCGAATCTCGAGCCAGCACTCGTGCTAGCCGACGACTGAGCAGCATGTCGACTGCTCAAAGTGATGATGGTGAGGACGCCCGCTCCACCGCCACCTCGGACGCTGGCGAGGGGAGTTCTCGCTTACAACCACGTGCCGGGAGGCCTAGCTCAATACCACCAACGCCGGATCTCATCCCCAACCGCAGTAGCACTGCATTATCGTTTGCGTCCACGGCCACAACGCCTGAGCGAGCCAGCCAACAGTACTCTATTCGAGACGAGATACCAACCAAAATTGTCGAGGACGATGAAGAGGACTTCGATGACAGCCGAAGTGATCAGATCGGAGTCTCCCATCACCACGGAGTCGTCTCGAAGCAGTCTCAGTCTCTTCTCCACCGATCTTCTGGAGCAAGAATCAGCGCTTTCGGCAATCTCCGATGAAGAAGGCAAGCCTGAAGCTGAAGCTGAAGCTGATGCTGAGCCTGAAGCTGAGCAGGTCGGAGACGCCCAGCCGGCCTAGCCGCAGCCTTATTGTACCATTGTCGATCCTCGTGCAGGATCACCCCATTTTTCCTTTGTGTTGATTACTTCGATACGGCGATCCAAACTCTATATCCTTGTATCTTCAGCGTTTCCGGCCTCATTGGGCAGACATCTTTTTGTTTTGTGGCGGCTTTGGATAAAAACATGTTTCGGATCACGGCGTTCATTTCTTACCTTGTTCATTTTTGAGTATTATTTTTTATCACTATATTCTTAGATGAAGGGAACAGTTTGCGATGGCAGGCTGACTGATGACTTGCGTGGCGCCATCGAGGCTTAGGATCTCTTCTTTTTCTCATGACTAACATAACTTTTTTTTTTCCCTTTTCCCTCCATAAGGGTATTATGACACTTGATAGTTCAAGCTTTGCAATTGAGTTTCTTACTCACTTGACCTACTGTGTTTTCTTTCCCGAGTCTGTTTGTGTGTGAATGAGGTGACTCTGGTGAAGTTTCAATTTTTGCTTGAGCTAAGCTTGAGCTAGCTGTCGTAAATGTTTTGTAATTACATGCTTAAAAGTTTGTCTTCGTGAAATTGTTTGGTTAGCACGGAGTAGGTAGATCCTAATAAGAACTGATACGGTTGTTGTAGTATAAATTGCTGGGGTTGCCACTGCGAAGTGGAGTAGTAGTTAGAGCGAGACTAGCGTTCCGTATTCCCTTTCACTAAGATAAGAAAATTTCTGATAAGAGCTGCGCATTGTCACTCCGGCAAAATTTGGAAGCACTCAGATTACTTGCCTAGCCATCCAACATCTTTTACCTAGACAAGTCTTTCTCAATCATTTTTACGATGGCAGATCCTCTCCTCACCTCTCTTTGCGCCATTTGCCATACTTCAGTTCCTCAATACAAATGTCCTCGCTGCAATATCCGTACCTGTTCGCTAGCCTGCGTTAAGAAGCACAAATCTTGGTCGCAATGCAGCGGCGAACGCGACCAAACGGCCTACGTCCCCAAATCCAGGCTGGCGACCGCCGCAGGCGTTGATCACGACTACAATTTCCTCCACAGCATTGAGATGGCGTCCGAGCGCGCAGAGAGAGTCCTTGTAGAGGATAAGGGCATCATACAAAAGGACGAACTGCGACCGTTGACGATGGAGGAAGTGAGATGGAAAGTCGGCCGAGACGGCAGGAAGAGAAAAGTTATGGTGACGAAGATCATGAGAAGATCGAAAGAGAGATTGGTGGATAAGCTGCTTGCGAATAGGTTGAGAAAACTTGGCACAGAAGTCGTGTCTTTGCCTCAGGGCATGACGAGACAGAAGGAAAACCACACGACGGTGAATAGGAAATCCGGTCGAATCAATTGGCAAGCAGAGTGGTTCGCTTTCGAGAAGGCCGATGGCAGCGATGCGAATGATTTGAATAAGATACGGACTCTTTCGAAACTCTCAGACGACGTGCCGCTATACAAGGGATACAGTACCTTGCTGGAATCTCAAGCAAAGGCACAGGGGAAAGCGCAGCAGAAGAGACCCTTTCGAGGGGTTGCGCAGAATCCCTGGGACTCTCATTGGCATCTGGCGAGCGATTGTCTGCAGGATCCCCAGACAGGTGGTTGGATTTCCATCCGGACGGCGTCAATCGATGCGTGGCCACGAGAGGATGACGAGTCGCAACTACGGCGGTTTCAGTTCTTTCTTGAGAGTTCGAAAAAACGACCGGATCGGTTGATCACATTGACACCCATTCAACCTGAAGAATGTCTTCGGAATATTCTTTCAAACACAAAAGTTATTGAATTCCCAGCAATATACGTCTTAGAAGAAGGTGAAGCTTTGCCGGCTGGATATGTGCTTGGCCCAAAGGATATAGTCGACCATCCACATGAAGAGCAACAACTAGGTGGTGCAAAACGCAAGGATGGGCCACAACAAGGGAAGAGACCGGAACGACCGGCCAAGAGACGGAGACCAGGTGATAAAGAAGGCTTGGAAGAAGGCGAGCTCGGGAGTGATGGAGGCTCGGATGAAGACGATGGCAAGACTAAAGATGGCGCTGAAGCTGACGACGTCATTGCCGAGCAAAGCTTGGGCGAGGATGAGGATGATGAGACAACAAGCAGTGATGAGTCGACGAGCAGCTCAGGATCTGACAGCGAATAAAGAATAGCGAGGAACGTGAGCATTATGACCATCCAGTATCATGGATATATCAATTTGCAATGTGTTACTTTCCCTTTGGCTTCACTCTGGCTCCGGGTTGCTTCATCTTCATCTTGTTTTCTTTTTCTTTAGACTCAAGCAACTTCAATTTTTGCATTATACAATACCTTATATAGTATAGCCTATATGCTACTTACAAGCGATATATATATACCTATTTAATCAATATAATCGGAAACGCAACGCCCTCATTGTCTAATCTTTGGTGTAGCACTAGATACTAAATACATGCTTCAAGCTGCAGCCGCTGGGCGCCCTGAAGATTCTCCCCGCAGCGGGTACGAATACAGCAGTGGCTTAGGTCGGTACAGCAGCGTGGGGTGCTGTCAAGTCCACTCCTACCTAGCGCCTATGGCTTGGTGTCCTGTACAAAGCTTAGGTGCCTTATGCTTCCCACAGCACAGGTACTGGGTACCAAGGGAGAGAGCTCGCGCAGCTGCGGCACTGAACCTGCGGACGACATCGTCACAACTTGGCGTCTTTCTTGATTTTCCACCAAACCAACCATCTTCAACCGCGAGGGCAGGGTCTACGGGGGGAACAATTGCGACTGTCCTTTACGCTCTTCCCTTTGCCTCGATTGCCCGCCATTCGTCCGTCTCGCAGCGGCCTGCGCATTATGATTTAATCTCGAGGTCCCCTTCTTCCTTTCTTCTTCCTCTTCTTATCCTCCCCCCCTAATCCACCAGCTCGAACCGCCCACGCAAGGCCGTGCTGCCAATCATGGATGACGCCCCGGTCCCCAAATTGTCGGATCTGCTACGGCACCCGGACGATTTAGACAAGATACCCGCGCTGAAGCTCGAGCTTTCGCGCAAGAAGAGCGCCGTCGATGGGCAGCTACGCAATGGGCTGCGGGAGCAGCTTGAGACGACGCAATCCGGCATGACGGGCCTCAGCGACGGCCAGAAGGCGGTGCAGCAGATCAAGGAGGAGATGATGAAGATTGACAAGCTGTGCTCCGAGTCGCAGACCATGATCAAAGACTTTGCCAGCATCAACCTGGTGTCGCAGGCGCACCGCAACTTTGGCGCCGTCGAGGCCATGAGACGTAACCTCGAGACGTTTAACGAACGCTTGGTCGTGGTAGAGGGGATGCTGCGAGACGACGACGAAGATAGAGAGAACATGCCGAATCTGCTGCCGTGCCACTACGAGCTGACGCAATTGCGAAATATACGAGACGATGCCATGGAACAGATACAGAGGGCGGACGACACCAGTTTGGAGTCGACGCTGGAGGACTACTTTACAAGGCTGGACGATACAATCGACTGGTTTGACGAGCACGTTGGACTTTTGGCCATGAACCTCATCAACCTCGTCGTCAGCGACAACAACGGCTTGGTGGTTCGCTTTGCCGTCGTTATGGAGGCAGAAGAGAAGAGTGATCAACGCGTCGTGGCGCTGCAGGAAGCACTCAAGGACCACGAGGAAATGGCGGCAAGGTTTCAGGGTATCACGGATGGTGCGAGAAAAGTCCGTGGCTATAAAGAGAAATTTATGCAGGCCATCAAGCTCAGCGCGGAGCAGCAGTTCCAGCAGGCCCGAGAAGAATTCCTCGACGACGCTGATAGCTTAGAGGCCACCATGAAGTGGTTTTTCAACGACCTTAATGCCGTCAAGATTGGTATGTCACCGCTCATGCCGAAGAAGTGGCGGATCGCGAAGACATACGCGGATATATATCACGTTTTGATGCACGACTTCCTGATTGGCATGGTGGATGACCCGGAAGCTAGCTCAGCACATACGCTCGCCATCATCAGCTTCCCCGAGAAGTACTACAAGAAGATGTCCAAGATAGGCTTCAAACAAGAAGATCTGATACCACATGTCATTGACAATCGCGAAGCAGAGCTTGTTCGTGACTTCCGACAGCTCATTATCAAATTCCTCGATGAATGGATCGACCGCATCTTCGAACAGGAGAAGCGCGACTTTGCCGAACGCAATGTCGAAGGCTCTAATTTGGACCAAGATGAGTATGGCTATTTCCGGACCAAGAACCTTGTGGCCTTGTGGAGGATGTTGCGCGAGCAGGTCGAGGCGGCCATCAACTCGCAGCGTACAGACGTAGTCGAGGGTGTTATCGACGCCATGTTCCTACGGCTACGAAGCCGCCAGCAGTCGTGGCAGCGTATGTTGGAAGACGAGGCTGTGCGGTACGAGACCGGCATGTCCGATCTGGAAGGCTTCCAGGCCCTGCAAGATTGGCTTGTAGCCACGGCCAACGACCAGATCGGCGTCATCGACGACAACGAAGAGGAAAACCGCCTCGGCTACCTGTCGAGCTTCCGCCAGCAGTTTGAGAGAAACGTCAGCCCGCAGTATCTCGAGCGCGCCGACCAAGAGCTCAACGCCCTCCGCGACGGCTACGTCGACTTCAGCACCTGGTGCATCCACAAGTTTGCGCACCTCGTCTTCGCCGTCGACTTCGTGGGCGTCATGCCAGACTTCTTCACACCAAAGTGGTACTCCAACACCGCCATGAAGCAAATGGTCGTCACCTTTGAGGAATACGTCGGCGAGTACCGCCAGGCCCTGCACCACTCCCTCGTCGACATCTTCATCGAGATCTTCGCCGACGAGCTCCTCGTGCGCTACCTGTCTGCTGTACGCAACAAGGGCGCAAAGTTCCGTCGTACAGACCCTTTCCGCGACAAGCTCTTCAACGATATTGCCACTGCGTTTGAGTACTTTTCAAACTTGGCTAGCCCCGAGGTCGCCATGTCTATCAAGGACACGTGGCGTGTCACCGAGCCGTTCTTGGGCCTGCTCTCTGTGGATAAGGACTCCGTGGCGGATGAATTTGCCGCCTTTAAGTCTGCGTACTGGGATCTGCAGATTAGTTGGGTGGAAGCTGTGCTGCGGTCAAGAGATGATTTCGAGAGGAGCATGCTGAATGCTGTCAAGGCGAGAGCGGCGCAGATGGATATCGTGAGAGGACCGGAAACGGTGATGGCCAAGATTAAATAATTTCCAACAAATCTTATACGGCAAATCGCATATGAGGCGTAGGGGTAGAAAGAAGTAAGTATATGCAAGGCGTAGCTGGTTTCAAAGAGCGGGAAACAGATCTGGTGAATGAATGGGATGACATCGGATGGATAGGCAAGTCTATTTTTGCGTGAACGGGGGATGTGGTTTATTACGATTTCAAAGGTTTAAATATGTGCTATATTAGCGTTTCTATGGATGTCAATGGAGCTGTTATACAGGAGAGAGTTGCGTATATGAGAGCAGTTTTGCTAGAAAGTCTAGTTGAGTCGCAAGAGATTACATCTCACACAAGCAAAGCGTCAAAAGTCAAACTTGAATATGATGAAAGGAATGTGAAAGAAGAAAGTAATAACTCAAATATCGTAGCCTGCTTCCTTTTGGGAAAAGGGAGTATGCATCCCTTCGTAAACCGCGAAACGACAATCTTCCTCCCGCTATCCCTCAGAGTACAATTGAATATACGAGAAAAGGAAAAAAAAAAAAAGGGGGGGGGGAGGAAATAATGGTAGAACACAAGCTAACGATCGGTTTATATAATGGGCTTCTTCCCCCCTTCTGTCCCGTCCCTGATCCGAAATGAAGAAATAGAAACGCGACTGCGACGGCCCTGTACAAAATCCTGGCCCCTTATAGAAAAAAAAAAGGAAAAGAGAAAAGGAAATGTGCTGTATCAAGAAATTCAAGATTCCCACCCCCTTCCCAGTACGATAAAGAACGAACGGCATTTGCTATGCGGTAATATGATTTCCTACTCCGTGTCCAAAGGCCAAAATCTGTATTATCTGCGGTTTATCCCACTCTTGACTCCTGTTTAAGATTGGCTGGCAAGAAAGTTCGCGGCCTTAATCAAGGGGCAGTCAGTAAAAAGGGGCTTATTATTAAGTGCAAGGAAAACTTACTCTTTCCAAGTTGTAGTCATACTGCTCCAGGGCGGCAAGGGCGTCAGGGCGAGAGTATCCCATGCTGGTAAGATTCTTCAGAATAGGGTCATCGTGCTCTCCCGCCTCTGTGAGGGCCCGTCCCGGTGCAGGGGGGCGGGACTCGGCATTCTCTTCTTGCGCTGGGCCAGTGTTGTTGCTCTGTACAGGCTGTGCTGCAGCAGCACTGGGCGAGTCTAGGCCGGAGAAGATGGCGTCCCAGTCATGAGACTCTGCTCCCTTCTGCTGTCCATTGCTAGATTGGCCTGGGGCGCTGGCGGCTGAGTTGGATGAGATGAAGTCAAAGCTGCTCTCATTGCCAAAGGCTGTGGACTCACTCTTGGCTTGGCTAGCTGGGGGGCTGCTGTCAAACATGGGGTTGTAGTCATCCAGTCCAGAGCGAGAGATATTGGCAAAGTCATCATCTGCAGAGCCTTCCTTGGCATCTTCTAGTCCCTCGAAATCGTCATCGAGGTCATCAAAGGCGCCCTTGCCGGCCGAAGCCTGGCTAGTTGCTGGAAGCGTTGTTGAGCCGAAGATGTCATCAGCATTAGAGACCTGAGAGGTAGTCAAATGGTTGTTGGTGATTGTGGCGGGAGAAGAAGCTAGTTCAGGACTATGGAAACTTGATGTCAGCAACTATTATCAAGGTGACGAGTTATGATTATCGAATTTCAACTTTGTAACTGGCTTCATTTCCGTGTATTTACCTTTTAGTTTCGGATTCGACATGGGAGGCTGTTAATTCTTGGGGTTGAGACAAAGGAGCGGTGGTATCGGGGGCTTCGGCAGCTGGTTTATTAGACTCTGGAGTTGGCTCCTGAGCGACCTGCTTCTCCTTGGCCTTGTTTTCTGGTGATGCGGGAGCAAAGTCGTCGTCAAAGCCTCTCTCGCTATCCGACTCATCTATTTCCCGCTCAAGTTCTGAAATGGGCGGGAATTCCGAGTCGAATGCGTTCTGGGGCTTTACAGCAGCGCCCTTGTCTGTGCTGCCAGGTGCTTTGGCTGAGGTAAAGGCGGCAAATGCATTGTCAAAGTCTGCCTTGGCCTTAGCATGGTCAGTATTGTCAAAAGAGCCGGTTCGTTCTTGGGCTTCCCCCTCCGCTGGCTTCTGAGAGCTATCGCCATGAGCGGCCGGAACGGGAGTCGCGCTGGTGCTATCGTGCTTCTCCTCCTCTTCAGCAGCCGCAGGAGCCTTGGGCTCTGCAGCGCTCGGAATCACACCGCCGAAGGGAAATGAGCCGGACACCGAGCCCTCGGCACGTGCGGAGGTAGGGGGAGACACTTGTCGTGACGAAGACAGTGACTCGTTGGGCTCGGGGAACGGCAAGAAGCTCGAGCTTATTTGTCGGGACTCTGGCGGAGCAGGAGGTTCAGCACTCAGCGTTGGGACGCGGCTAACATTGGGAGTCGGCCCTGAGTTATTAGAAAAAGATCCAACACTAACTGATGACTGCCCCGTGTTTTGCTGTTTGAATGCTGCAACTGGCGGGGGAGTGCCGCTGGAGCTGACAGGGCCGGCGGGGCCAAACAAATCGTCAAAGGACCTGTCGGAAAAGGCCCTGCTCGGGGGTGGCGGTCCAAACACGCCCATGATATCTGTACTGGCGGAGCGTTTGAAGAAGGGGTTGTTAGCGCTGGATGCCGAAAGTGCCGGGCTGGCCATCTGGGCTGAGGTAGACACGGGGGAGCCCGTCTCTATCTGGCGAGAGATGTCCTCAGCGTTCTTGGCTAGGGAGTCGGCTTCGCCCTTGAGCTTGTCGCGCTCTCCTTCTGTAGTAGATAACTGCTTCTTGTTAATGGCAACGAGGCCCTTCTGCTGTCTGGCATCGAGCTTGAGCTTCTCAATCTGAGGCTTGAGCTCCGCAATTTCGGCATTCGCCACACGGATGCGCTCTCTCAAGCTGGCATTCTCCTGCTGGTCAGCCTGGAGAGCAGCCGAAACCTGCTGGTGCTGGGTCTGAATGTCTCGTAGCTGTCCTTCTAGAGTCATACATTCTCCCTGCAACTTCTTAGTATCGGCTCGCGAGTGTCTCAGCTTCTCTTCGAGGGCATGGGTATCTTGAGCCTCTTTCTCATATAGTTGTCGCAGCTGTGCCAATCGCTGTTCAAAGTTTTGCTTTTGAGAGTTAGTCTGGCTCAGCTCATGCTGAGTCGTATTCCTCTTAGTCTGAACTTCTTGCGTCTGCTTCGTCAGAGAACCAATCTGATTTGATAGATTGGCAAGCTCAGTCGTCTCGTCGGAGATGTTCTTATTTGCCTCATCGGTGTCACCTAGGAGGTCCTCTGCGGCAGAGGCAGTGTGTGGCCGCGCCTGCTCAGCTCCAGGGTGTACAGCCAAGCCACGGCCAAAGGAGGAAGATGGCACAAACGGCCTAAACGTCGTGCCTACCGGGGATGAGGGCTTAGCAGGCGAGGATGTAGTGTGGAGAACGCTGGTACCACCGGCAAATGGATCAGCATTTGATCCTCCGGTAGACATTGTTGTCTGCGCCGGGGCGGGGGCCGGGCTAGGAGTTGAGGAATCGAGGCCAAACAAATCGTCAAGAGCAGATTTGGGTGCTGGTGGGGCTGGCGCTGGCACAGTTTGAGTGGGAGCCGGAGTTACATCAAAGGCTGATGAAACTGCGGTAGCAGGACGGCTCTGGGTTCGCAAGTGCGGCGGGATGAGGCTCGTAGGCAGAGTGGCGGGCAGAGGAATCGACCGATTGCTACGCTGCTGGCGGATCAAGTACATGGCAACCGCAAATCCATCGCGGGTCAGTCGTCCCTGAGAACCAAAGTCCGCTAGGTCCCAAATCTGAGCGAGGGTGTCCTCGGGCAGATTGGACTGGCTGAGGAAAGGTACAGCCTCCTCGCCTGTGATGTATCCCTTGTTTGTCTTATCGAAATCGAGGTAGATCTGGTCAAATCTTGCCTTGTCGGCCGGAGTAATGGCCCAGTCGTTGTTCGAAGAGGCACCGGTAGCCTGAGCGGCGACGATCGGAGGGCGGTTGAGCGGGCTTCCTGTCCTCTGCTGCTGGGCGGAACCACTCAGCTGTCTTGGGATGGCAGTGATACCGCCGGTGTTGCTTGGAGACTGTCGAGGAGCTGCTGCGCTGCGCGTGGCCGCCTCATATAGGCCAGCAGGTAGAACATTAGGCAGTGCGCGAAGAGCACCGGTCTTGACGGACGTAAGGAGATGCATGGCGATGACGAATTCGGGCAGGGCTAGAGCACCGCGCTGTTCGGTATCGGCCAGCCCCCATATCCTGCCAAGCATCTCGTTGGGAAGGCCGGACTTGTCGAAGATGGATCTGGCTTGCTCGCCCGGCAGCATGTTCGCCTGCAAGTTTTGACGCTCAAACAGGGCCGCATACTGGGCAACCTTGTCAGGAGTCAAGGGAGGAACTCGAATGCCACCGGAGACTTGGGGTTGGATAGGCGTCTGCGATGGGGAAGTGGCCGGCCAGATGCCTTCGAAGCGGGGGATTGGGCCTTGCTGGAGAGCCAGCTCTGGCGTGGGCTCTCGTCCAGCCTGAGCATGGCCAATGAGGCGAAGGACAACGCCAAATCCAGCGGGAGTGAGGAAGCCGCGGTTCTCCTTGTCGGCGATCTGCCATATCTGTAGTTGAGGTAGAAAAACACAGCGGTTAGCACGGGGACAGAAGATGGGGGAGAGCGCGGGGGGTGACGAATCAAGAAGCCAATCCCCCCCAAAAAGGCACGGAGAGATTTATAAAGGAGGGAAATTGAGGAGCGACCAACCTCTCCTAGGATACGCGAGTCCAGTCGTGTCTTTTCAAAAAACTTGACAGCTATCTCGCCGGTAACGACGCCCACGCTATCGGTGTCGGCCTGGCGGAAGAGCTGGCCATAGATGCGCTTCTCTTCGGGTGAGAGATTGAGGTTCGGCGCGCCTAAAGAGGGAGAGCAACACAGTTAGCTCGGCGAACATTGCCCGCAATGAAGCAGCAGAGGCAATTCTTGCAATCAAGAGGACATACTCGGATCAGCGGCCGCCGACATTGTCGCACGGAAGCACTAGGAAATATCGAAACGGCTTGTTTTGGCGTCTTCGCTATTCGTGGGTGTTGGTGGGCAAGTTACGAATCCCCTTTCGAAGGCGCAAAGGAAAGTTGGACGCTCGGCTCAAGGAAGCTCCCAAGAACGATGCGAAGCTGCAGCGGCGCTTCAGCCAGGTATAGAGCAAGCAGCCGGGGAAAAAAATGGAACGGAGAGAAGAAAAAATGGCTTTGCGGCCCAAAAAGTCGAGCAGCTGGCGATGGGGAGATTTTTCGGAACTGGGTATATTGGGTTGAAGTCGGGGTCGTTTGGGTCGTCAGCCTGGGGGAGGGTGGTGGCTGGCAAGCTGCTAAAGAGCCTTAGTGGTGAAGCTGCCCGGAGCTCTGATTCGACAAAATTAGGCTGCGGATTTAGCGTGGCCGGGCAGCACGTTTGCTTCGGCCTGCCACAAATTACCGGCGGCTGCGGTGTATCATTGGGTACTGCGCAGCGCCAAAGCCGGCGGGCTCTGGGGCTAGGCGATGCGCGGCGGTACATGGCTGGTACATGTCAATCCATCAATCTTCCCCGGGGGCTTGGTAATTTAGGCACCGCCTGGGCTGCGAGAGAGCGCTAATACGCCGCTGCATTAATGAATGGAAACGAGGACACAAAGTGCTGGCCGGGGGCTGCGTACGTGCACAGAGAGCATAAAGCAGAGAGCGAGTGCTTCTCCCTTTTTTTTTTTTTTTGGCATGCCGTTCTACAGGATGGATCACCGGATGCTGCCTCTGCCTATCTAGCACTCGCATGTTGTCTAGCAAAAAAGAGAGAGGCCTGCAGACAGCCAGACGGGCCAGGCAAATGGCGGCTCGTGGCAGCACACCCCCAACCACGCGGCATGCATTGCGAGCTCTTCCCCGCAAGGACGCATGCATGTACGCTGCTGTCACCACTGCGGCCTTAGTGCAGCGCTGTAGTACATGTCGCAGCATAAAATGGATGCGCCGGAACACACGTACAACGCTCGACAGTGCATGGGCAAGCAATCATTTCTCTCGCCCAGACGTGCAGGGCCTCTTGCAGCAGCCGCCAGTCCCGAGCTGCTCTTCTATTTGTCTCCAGTGCCTTCTCTCTCGCCAATGGGCCACCGCGCAGGCCCAGTCATGCATCCTGGGCAGTTCCCATCACATCGCCTGGCAAATTATACGGAGCCGTTTGTCCTGCCGCAGAACCCCTCAATAATATAGTAGGTACCTTACCTATTCGCCCATCATCCTTATCACGGTTCATGTTTTATGCTACGTATCACTCGCCGGGGAGGGGGGGCTCAATGCACACGAGGGAATCGAATTATATTCTGTATGTACCAAAAATTGGAATGCTGCTTTTTTTCTTCTTTCCTTCTTTCTTTCTCTTATTCACATTATGTAGGTATCTCTTTTCTAAATTCAGTGTCTTTTCTTATCGCAGTGTAACCAGCTCTTCGGCGCTGGTCGGGTGAATGGCAACGCAGTTATCAAAGTCTTCCTTGGTTGCGCCCATCTTGACAGCAACGCCAAAGCCCTGCAGAATCTCTCCGCTTCCCTGGCCCATGATGTGCAGACCAACGACCTTTTCCTCAGGGCCGGCTGTAATCAGCTTATAGTTGGTAGGCCCCTTGTCCTCTGGGGCCATCGGAACGTAGTACAGGCCACTGAAGCTCGACTTGTAAACCTTGATATTATCCTTGCCGTACTTTTCGATGGCCTTTGGCTCTGTGAGACCGATGGCACCAACTTCGGGGTGCGCAAACACGACTGATGGGATGTTGTCGTAGGTGAGCTTCAGTGTTGAGAACTCGGGGGGGCCGAAAACTCTGTGTGCGAGACGGCGCCCGGCAGCAATGGCAACTGGCGTCAGCTCAACCTGGCCGGTAACATCGCCGATAGCATAAATGTTGTCAACGGTAGAGGTCTGGTACTCGTCAACAACGATGTGTCCCTTCTTGTCCAGCTTCACACCGGCCTCCTCCAAGCCAATGCCCTTTGTCTCGGGAACTCGACCGATGGCCCAAATCAGGTTGTCAACGTCGTGAAGGGTGCTTTCGTTGCCCTGTCCGTCGCGGTAAGTGACAGAGAGCTTGCCGTTGGCGTCCTTTTCAATCTTGGTCGCCTGCGACTCTCTGTGGACGTTTACTCCCAAGCGGTCATACTCGTTGGTGACTGACTCCTGGATCATGGGGTCGAAGCTTCGCAAAAAGGTCTTGCCTCGAATGAAGAGATGTGTTTCTGTGCCGAGAGCATTAAACATGCCGGCAAATTCAACAGCGATATAGCCAGCGCCAATAATAGCCACTTTCTTGGGCTGTTTCTCAATCTCAAAGAAACCGTCGCTGTTGGTGCCCAGCTCGGCTCCGGGGATTTGAGGCGGGGGAGCAGGCTTGCCTCCGACGGCGATGAGGATCTTCTTGGCATTGACCAGCACCTTGGAACCGTCATCCAGAGTGACCTCAGCCTGGTTCTTGGAAAGCAGTCGGCCCCATCCATGCAGATAGTCGACCGTGTCGTTGGCCAGGTTCTTCGCAAAGATGCCGTTTAGTTTCGCAATGTGAGCATCACGCTTGGCCTTGAAGGTGCTCCAGTCGAATGGGGCGGTGTGCTCGACGGAGAAACCATAGTGCTTGGAGTCGTGGATTGCCTCGGCAAGAGCCGCAGCATTGTAAGTGATCTTTTTGGGAACGCATCTACATGGCAAATGTCAGCATAAACAGTCATATATCATTAGGCATAACACGCAGATGCAGACGAGGTACAGCCGCAACTCACCCAACATTGACACAAGTTCCTCCCAGACGGCCCGCCTCAACAATCAGAGACTTGACGCCGTACTTGGCGCTGGCCATGCGGGCAGAGCCCAGGCCACCGCTGCCGCCTCCGATAACGAGGTAGTCGGTTTCTTTTACTGTGGGAGCCATTGCGCGGGCTGTGGTCGATAGATGGCGGGATAGCGAAGTTAGTCGGTTCGAAGCAATACCTCTGGAGCCTATTGGCTGTGCTCGCGCGAACAAAGCGAAAGGTTGCATGGACAACAAGACTGGTGTACCGCTTCCGTAGCCTCGAGTTTATATATGCGCCGCGTGTGTGTGTATAGCAGATAGTGGTCGCTGTAGTAATCTGCAGGAGGGGCAGTATTTTTTTTTTTGGCTCGTCCAAAAACTGTTGCTTTCAAAGCGGGGGAGGGGGCATGAAATGACGTTTCCACAGCAGTTTCTAGCAGAAGCATATTGCTAATACTAGCATTAGTGGTGCAATTAAGCGCTTACTGGGCCAGGTCCTGCGGCTCCAAGGTCCCCTAGTTTCAAGCCGAAGCCGTCCGTCTTGGTTACAGGGCGGAACCAGACTTCCGCAGTGCCATAGCCAGGGAGCTACCGAACCAGGCGATTTGATTTGCGCAGTCCTCGTGCTTGTATTAGGAATCGTCTGGGAGCCTGCCACCCCTTTCCCAGATTGTAGCTAAAGTGGCTCAAGCTATTGGTGCATTTAGCCCCTAGAAGGATTGAATTTGGAATTGGCGCGCTGAAGCGATCCTCATACGGCAGCTCTGAGCACGCCCAGCTACGCTACAGATTATACCTAGGCTGTCGATATAGAGGTTGCAAGTTACGTCATTTGCTGCATTCCATGTTAGCATACCATTTACCTCCTTGTACTAGGCTTGTTTGCAGTGATTGCTCTAAGAGTATTAAGGCTATTTCTAGCATCTTTGTGTTAGGCATCTAAGTATGTACTATTTGCGTTGAGCATTCAAGTCATGACCCTGCTAGCGACAATCGTGGTGCAATCCAACGCCATGATAGCGTTCGATTTGCGATACGTGTACGGAGGATCTGGCTTCGATCCGACAGCATGGGAATTTGGAATGCTGGGCCAAGCATGTTTCAAATATCTAAGCTTCTCTGCTCGGCTTGGATTTGAACTCGGCCCAGCGAGATTCAAGCCGAACTCCCTAGATCATCTCAAATATTTGTCATCTGCCGGATCACTTCGGATGAAACAAATTTCACCTCCAGTGGCTGAAATCAGCAAAATTAAGCAGCAATCCGGAGTACAAATCCCTCCAATAGGCGCCCCTAGCTCCGCTTTTTTTCTTGCTCTTCTTTTGTTTTTCTCGTCGCCCTCGAAAATGCTGCTCTCGTCCTTCGTAATGCTCTCCCGCCCCCACCACAGCTTCGCCCGGCTTTCGTCTAAATAACCTGCACTCCGTAGTAGCCGCCTGTTGGGTTTTCAATTACATGCATTCCACGGCTCGCTTGTGTATGGTCTGGAGAATTTACATTGGCCTACTACAGCAAACGCGTTGCATGTTCTTTCTTAGTGACATTAATTCTAATTATCCGCACACTCGATACTTTGAGAAGAGTTATGATTAGTAACGGCTGTACTTCAAACAGCTTCGAAAAGGGCTGCCCTTTCCGCACCAATCACGCCGCCCTAGAAATGGTTCAACGACGTTGCTTAAACCGAGCTGCATTTTCTATCGGCTCGTCAAAACTTCAATCACCTAGCAGTCACCACTATCAAAAACGCATTCAACAAAGGCAAAAAGAAAATAAGAACGACACAAGCCTGATTCGAACAGGCGCTCCCGAAGGAACATGATTTCGAGTCATGCGCATTAGACCACTCTGCCATTGTGCCAATGATGTCATACTCAACGTATTGATACATATAGGCCTTTCGAAAGGGCGTTTCTCATTTCGAACGTGGCTGGCTGTCGCAACCTACGATTTTCTGTTTTACTAAATGTCCATACCTAGTAGTTCCTTTCTCGACAATTCTTACAATTTTAATAATTGGTAGATGTTTCTTAGCGAATTCAGCGAAGTTAGCGAGTTTAGCGCAAGAAGTTGACAATAGCAGCATTAATGGTATTCAAAAAGTTCCCTTTTTATCTGCCAAGGCCGCCCTCTATTGTAACTGAATACACTAGCTTGACGTACAATTGTTTTCAACAGCTAAAGGCTTCCTGTGTCGGCGCAAGAAGGCTATAATAAGCGTATATAAAGAAGGTGCTGATATCGCACTATGGGGTATGTAGTTACTTTAGAGTCCCTAGTTCCAAGATCCTTAAGCGTGGGCCAACAGTGTATTGCAGGTCTGTTGCCTATTTCAATACGCAACCGGAGAGCGCTATCGGCGGGACTCGCGGCAAAATACACGTATATAGTGCTGAATTAGGAACTAGACGCAAAACAAATACGACAACATCCCTTATAAGCTCTTTAACATGGAACATTAGTTGTCTGCCATTAACCTGCAAGGCTGTGGAAGCTCAAAAACTAGGTGTGAATACCTTTGTTTTTAGATGATAAGGCTCACGGCACAAGGCTACATACCTATATTTCCATATTGCTATAAGGCTAGGTCGACAACACGGTGGCTCTCTTGCTTCAAATTTTACAACCGCCATCACGTTAGTATTCACAACTTCGTTTTCTACACACTCTATCGCGCCAATTGAAATGGACGATGCAGTTGGAGATTTTACAAACCCACGACATTCTCCAAGCAGTGTGACTAGTGACGGGCATGGGGTTCAGCAGATGGAGATGAGTAGTGAGTCAACGTCGACTTCCATGGGGAAATTGTCGTCCAGTGAGAAAGTGAATCAAAATGGCACAAATACAAATAACACAGCGAGCTCCCGGTTTCCACGCGAGGTTATCCAGATTCTTCGGAGCTGGTTGGCGTCAAATGTCCGCCATCCCTACCCCAACGACGAAGACAAGGAGAAGTTGGCTCAACAGACGGGCTTAAGCAAGGCTCAGATTTCCACATGGATGGCAAACGCGCGTCGCAAGGAAAATGTTCGGGCATCTCGATCTGGTGGCTACCCGATACATCGGAAAGAGACGTCAGTCTTGAGAGAAATGAACCCGATGGAACGATGGGAGCACTCTCCACCAGAACACGAGCCTGTTCCAATTGACGTTATTGAAAAGGCTGCCTCAGCATCCAGCATCGAAATAAGTGCACGAGGTCATCCAGCTGGTTCTGGCCATGTCGACGATGGGTCGACACGTTCTATAGGCCATGGCTCATCGGCAGGCAGTATGGGAACATCGCGTTCTAGCAATGGCTCATCTGGCTCCGCTTTCTCGCACACATCACGAGTGTCTTTGGGATCGTTTGGCTCTTTCGGTTCTGCTCGTAAGCGAGGAAGGCATCGTCGCCGCCTCCCAGGCTCCAGGGCGAATGGCATGCACCATATGCGGCCCGCTGTGCACAAGTTCCAATGCACCTTTTGTACGGAAACGTTCAAGACGAAGCATGACTGGCAGAGACACGAAAAATCGCTGCACTTGTCAATAGAACAGTGGGTATGCTCGCCGGAGGGACCGAGTCAACTCTGCCCTAGGCAAGGCTGCCTGGCGTGTGCTTACTGTGGACTGAAAGAACCACCACCTGAACACGCAGACCAGCATGTCTATTCTCTTTGCGTGAACAGGCCGTTAGCAGAGAGGACATTCTACAGAAAAGATCATATCAGACAGCACTTGAGTCACTTTCATGATGTCAAGTTCCAAAGCTGGTCTATGGACGGATGGAGGACAGCTGCGCCAGAAATCCGGTCACGCTGTGGTTTTTGCGGGCACATCATGGAATCCTGGGGAGAGCGCGTCGAGCATCTGGCAGACCATTTTAAAGGCGGGAAATCTATGGTTGACTGGACTGGTGACTGGGGTTTCGAGGAAGAAGTGCTGCGCAATGTCGAGAATGCTCTGCCACCTTGTGAGTTCTGCTCCGCCACACCCACTTAGATCCTTGCTTCCTAACACTCGCTCTAGATCTTATACACTTTGAACGCCTAAGCCCGAATCCTTACGAAGCTTCCAAGGAAGAGGGAATTCATGATAAAATAAGTCAGAACTATGAGGAACTTCCTAATTCTGACTTGATGTCGGATCATCATTCTGCTGGCTTAATAGATCCCGCTACTGTTCAACACGGTCAAATCCATCTCGATGCAAGTCAATCAGGGCTTCACAGCTGGGTTCAGCTTCCGAATGTTACTGGGACAGCTACATCAGATTCGTTCAAGCAGCAACAAGTATCTTTTATTGACCATGCCCTCGACAAGTTCTGGAGCCAAGACCCTGTTAATCACCAGAGTAATCTCGAAATGTTGAGCGATCCAAATAACAGCCTGCTTTCGAAGGAATTTACACAACAATCACCCCTCGGGACAGACGATCCTTCATTCATCCAGGTCCTGAACAGTGAAGAAATCGGCAGCCTTGATCCTTCACAAGTATTGCATTGGAACCTCATCGGCGATGATGTCCCCCAGCTCAATGTTTATCCCGAGAAATTACCACGCCCCACGCCCCAGGGGCAGCCTACGTCGGGTGCAAATTCCATACGGCCGTCAAGATATTTCATAACTGATGCAAATTGCTACCGAAGATTGGAAAAAGAGCTCACCCGATTTGTCCTCAGTTCCTTGAGTCCAAACAATCCTGGGCAGCATGTATGTACAGGGCGGTCCATCTCCGATCTTTCCACCCTCTGTCTCCTAATCTAAGAATCAAATATGGATGTTAACCTGTACAGATCCCAACCGACGAAGAATTACAAAACCAAGCTCGCTGGATAATCTACGACGACGACGATCCGTGGAACCAAACGGCCGCTGACAACGCAGAATGGCTTGCCCGTTTCAAACGCGACGTTGGCCTCGCTCCCGCAGACGAGGGCCCCGGCATGCCGCCTCTTGGTCCTCCTCGGGCGTGGAGACTAGAGGATGGTGGCAGCGGCTTTCATCCACCATACCTGAAGCCGAAAGATGGAAAGCTAATCGAATTCACGGCAGACGTCCCCGTGGCCGTGGATGATCGAATATACAATGTGAGTCGAGAGACGGCTGAACATTTTGCTCGCGCTCTCTGTGAGGGGCAGTATAGACCTCCCCCCTCCGTATTTTGCTCGCGTGATCTAGAAGACGGCCTCCGTCTGTACGTTGAGGAGTGTCTTGGGAATCTCCATTACCCTACCGACGACGAACTGCGGACGAAGGCGCAGGAGATCCTGGGCACTACAGCCACGGCAGCGGATGATCCAAACCTTCTGGAGAAATTCAAAGCCGCGTATCTGCTTGGGTATCTGCAGAGAAATAACCATGATGGAGCAAAACTGGTCGAGCAATCAGCTCACGATATGTTTAACTCCGCACGAAGCGCAGTGAGCATCGAAGCATCCGAGATGGGAATTGCCAGCGACGTAGAGCCCTGGAGACTTACCCACAATGGCGTATAATTCTAATGGATTGATACCTTGGCTAATACGAGATGATTTAAAATGCCAATGATTTGTTGCGTGAAAATATTAATTTCAAGACCTTGAGCGTGGTTCCTTTTGCGTATTCTTTTCTGTGCTTTCTGTATCCCCAATTCCTAAATCTATAGAATGAATATCCAAGTCTCATAACCCTACCGGGTCGAAAGATTTCAGGATGAGCTGATGTCCAAGTAGATTTTGTCCTTTAGATCTGCCGAGGCAGGTATATGTAGTGATAGAACATGTCGAGTGTCTGCTATTTTGTGTCTTGTACATGTCTATTATGCGTCTATTATTCTATCTATTATAGCGTCATATAATACTCTAGATTATTCAATTATGATGCGTCATTGTACGATTTCTTGCTCATACTCTCGTCTTCCAAATTGAACTCCCTTCTATTCGACGACATTTGGCCCACTTGGCCGCAGTGAAGAATAGTGATCCTATCAGCATCGAGATGCCAGCAAATATCTCGGCGCCAAAGTACGCCCCATGAGCCGCAGATATGATTTGGCCTGCAATCGGCGGCCCCGTCAACGCGGCAAAACTCATGACGGTGAACATCATGCCTAATCGTACGCCTGCCTTCTGGAGGTCGATGGTTAGACTGCTCAGTCCCGCAGGGACCAGACTCTGGACGCCACCAGCAAAAGTGCCGTAGAAAACAATCCACACATAGAGCCCCGCGACATTCTTCACGGCCATCCAGCACAACATGCCAATCCCAGAAAAGGCGGCAAAAGGAATAAGGACTGTAATAGGTCCAAGCCGATCGGCTATGAAGTTGGGTGCTATACGCCCGGTTATACCAACACTGTTAATCACCAGCAACAGATTCAGGCCGTCTGCATAGCTGAGTCCGATTTTTTCGCGGCCAAACGAGGCGACGTAGTAGTAAGCGAAATAAAGAGCTAGAAAACACTATAACAAGATGGCAGTTGTCAGTACATGTCTGCTACGCTTCACAAGCGAAAAGGAAGCCGTGGGGGGGGGTTATCTTACAAAGAAGCTGCCGCACACATAGAGTGAATACTCCGGATCCTTGAACGCTGCAAACTCGAACAACGGGCCAGATTTTCGAGGGGGAACACGCGGCTTCAAAGCAAGAAGCGCTGCCCCCAGCGTCACGAGCTGGACGAATCCAATCGTCCTGACGGTCCAGCCGAATCCGATCGACGGCAACAACTGGCGAGCGATGCTTGGAAACACCAAGCCACCGACGCCCGTGCCGCTCGACATGATCCCTATCGCAAGCGCCCGCCGCTTGCTAAAGTAGGTCGAAACGACGGCCAAGCTGGGGCAGAATAGGCAGCCGTTGCCCAAGCCCATGCAGATACCTTGCGATAGGAAGATTTGCCAGTACTGCGTCGCCACGGAGGTGGTGAAGATGCCTATCATCTGCAGGATAAACCCCAGTGTCACCAGTTGCCGAAAGTAGCCTGCGTCTGATATGCGGCCCGCCAGAACGCCGATGAAGAAGAGTAGAAAGATTTGGACGGAGCCAATCCAGGAGATGTCAGATGGCGAACGATCCAGCATGTCGGTGTAAAAGGTCTGAAAGACGCCGAATGAGCTGATGTAGCCCCATGTGTTGAGAACAACCATGTGGCCGGCAATGGCTGTACAGCTAGATCAGTCTCAACGAGCCATATTGAGGGTTGGCTGAAGAACAAGGTAATTGGAGACTCACCCTGTGCCCAGGCTCGCTTCCCGCCATCAGGAGGCGGCCCCGGATCCGAGGTTATGTCTACAGGTCTCAAAACACTGGAGACATTGGTAAGAATCCTGGAGAGCGGCTCTCGTCTTTCCTCTGCGTCACGATAACTGGACTTTTCGCTGCTGGCCAATCCTAGCTCGGACACTTCCACCAGATCGTCTTTTGGGTCCAGTTGCTGTATGTTGCGCTCGAGCTCGGCGGGGTCGTCATGCGAAACAATGCTACTGGGAGGCAAGTGAGGAGACGGAGAAGACATGTCCATTGAAGCCGCGGGTTTGTCAACGACACTTCTAGGAGAAGAGCCGGCTTTAGGATGTCAAAAGCAGCAGGGGAAAAAAAAATTGGCCAGAGGATAGTCTCTTCGCAAGTACTAGTGGAAGATCTATATACATGGCCTAGCCATTCCGCAAAGACGCCGGTGAATCATCTAGCATAGAGGGACTCAACCACGAGACCCTCATATCGGCTTAAGCTTCTCCGTGCAATCAGTCATGAAAAGCTGCAAAGGGTCGAGTCTGACTAGTGCCCGCGCCCTCTGAGATAGATCGGAGTGGCTCTCGATCCACACCGGCCCGGTTTTGCCAACAATAGGGCGCGGTTGGTGCAGCCGATGGTAGCCCCGAATTAGCCATAACGGGCAACCGGAAATAACAAGTTGTGGGTTATGCTGCCATGCTCTTCACCGTTAAAAGTCCATCATCGGAGGATACGTGTATGGAAGCTTCGTAATCGATTCATTCCAATGCTTCACCTGTGCAAATTGTCGTTCGTTAGTCAGCGTTCAATTACCAAGCTTGCCACTGGGCGTTTCTGTTGCACGATGTTATGTCCTCGGACCCTCGGCCGTCTCAAGCCATCTTCGGATCTCGCTGATGAAGACTGAGTAGCAGCCATCTGTGCCTGGCTCTTCTGTTCACTTCGATATTTTATGTCTAATCAAAACGTGTCATGAATTTGAATGCTGCCTTTGAATCTGACTTCTGGCAGTGGGTCTCAGGCGCATTCGTCTGAATAGCCCAGGCCAACGGAGTCCATTCATCAACATCTTTAGCATCAACCTCCGGGCATCCTGCGTCGAGAAATTTGGCAAGGGCAGCATGGTGTCCATCACCGCTAACCCATAATATTGCATTTCTCTTATCATTATCACTGCTTGCTTCACTCGCTCGTTTGCTTCTAAGGAGCACCTCAACCGCATCAGCGTAGCCATTGCCTGCTGCCCAAGAAAGAGGTGATTTCCCTTTGTTATCTGTGATGCTAACATTAATGCCTGGAAGCTTGAGCAGTCTTGCTTGGGTGTCAGATGGACGGCAATAATGTTGACCAGGTAGTTGCTGGATCCCGACGGATTAGTCTTTCCGTCGGGGAGTTTAAACGAACCTCGCTTTTCTATGCCTGGTTTTGTTAATCTAGTTAAGCTAAGCTTCTTATGTTGGTGTAGTGGCCTAGAACTATTTATGGTTAGTAAAGCCTGCTTAGGCATAGACTTTCCAGGCGATGCCGGCTGTCTTAATACCTAGGATTTTAAGCATTGCAAGTGCCTTATGACAATAAAGAGGCTTTATAAAATTAAGATATATGCAGCGTTAATAGAAGTTAAGGGTGCTGGCAGGCTTAGTATAAAACTGGACGGGCCAGACTTTACTCCATGGTTTCGTTCATAGGCAAGCCCCCAAGTGGTATCAAAAAGATCAGCTCCCTGCAGGTCATGGAACGGCCAGTTTAAAACGGAGGTAAGATAATACCGGGTTTATAATAGTACCCTATACGATATTTCAGGATGAGCGTGGTCTGTTCACTTATTAAACGGAGCTAATGTACACCGTTTTCTACTTCCCTGTGCCTCGTCTACTGAGAGACCTCCATTTGACTGCATATCTGCGCGTAGACCGACGTACCAACTCAACCATCCACCCCAGTTATAGCCCAACCCGGTTCTAACTTGCCATGGCGGTACACGCCGTCCAAGTCTTCAAGCTGGGTATCGAGACCCAGTTTGAGCGCCTGACAGACACGGAGAAGCGATATTCGCATCACCTGGCTCGGTGAGCACCAAGACCTGCAGCATAGTCGAGCAAAGTGACATGCTCAACATCCAATCTAGCGCTGCATGGTTTGGAGCAAGAATCATTCTCCGACAAGTTTCTGCAGAAGCCTCCTCGATTTTCGACTTCATCATTGAGCTCCATCGCAGCTGTTCAGGTGACTGGAATTCGCTCATCGGGGACGAACTCAACAGCGATGAACTCCAAGCCTTGTTGACATACATGGCAACGTTTCTGTCCAACGTTGGGAACTACTATGTACGTTCCAAGTGGTTAAATTACTGCTGCTACATGCATTTCTGACCTCTACAGGGCTCCGGGGACCAAAAGTTTATCCCCAACGTGGACAAGTCGGTTCTACGCAAGCTGGCAGCAAGATCCACGGTATTAGGGGAATTGTACCAGAACATTTCCCGAGATGTAGACGCCATGCCGCCTTTTAACTTCGGTTTCCCAAGCGACACTGCTCAGAGCAGCTACTACCCTGGGGATACTTTTAGTGAATCCGATGCATATACCGTGTCCAAGATTCTAGAGCAGAATGCCATCTTTCCTGAAAACACAAGACTTCAAAAGACCAAGGATGGATTTGATGTCCTCATTGCATCGGTTGAAAGTGGTATTGCTGCCCAATTTCCTCTACCAAGTGGCCATGAACGGCATGTGAGACTTATCAAAGGAGACCATTCGTCTGACCTACAACGCATCTGCGCTGAGCTGAAAGAGGCATCTAGATATGCGGCCAACGAGCTACAGAGAAATGTCATTAGTGCGTATATAGAAAGCTTTGAAACGGGCAGTCTAGATACGTACCGCAAATCGCAACGCCTCTGGGTCCGGGATAAAGCACCGAGGGTGGAGAATATCTTTGGGTTTGTAGAGCCGTATCGTGATCCGCAGGGAATTCGAGCAGAATTCGAGGCCTTGGTTGCTATTGCAGATGACGCAGAGACTTTGCTTCTTACCAAACTAGTTGACAATTCGGCAAGATTTATTCGCCGGCTTCCTTGGGCAACCCCCGAGAATGATGGTAAAGGACCTTTTGAGAAGAGTCTATTTGAGCCGCCGGACTTTTCGAGCATTCATGGTGAGTGACAAAATATTTTAAGTTGTAAAGCTGAGAACTAAAGCTCTATAGCTCTGGCGTACTGTTCGAGCATCATCTTCCCAGGGATAAATTTGCCCAATGTCAGTTCTTATGCCTAACTCGTTGAATCTTGTCACTCGTAGCGTTCTAGAGTCATAAATCCCACGGTTGACCAACAGCTAATCCTTGAACATAGTATAATGACATTCGCCAAGAAGACGGGTTCAAGAATGTCATCATCTCGAATCGCATGATCGCTGAGAGCCAAGCAATGCAGTACCCTTTCATAGAAGAGTCTGAGGCTGAACAATTTAAGAAGCACAAATTCCAAGCCTACTACTGGTGGGTTGTGCTCCATGAGCTGCTGGGTCATGGCACAGGACAGATGATGGTTGAAAGCGCCGATGGTGTGTTCAACTTCGATGCAAAGAACCGGCCCATTAATCCCCTTGATGGAAAACCCATTTCGACCTGGTATAAGCCAGGTCAGACTTGGACTGGTCAGTTTGGCGATCTAGCAACTACAGTTGATGAATGCAGGGCTGAGCTCGTTGGCGCCTACCTGATGGATGACCCAGAGCTTCTGTCCCTGTTTGGCTTTACGGATAGTTCTGATATTTGCGCTGAGGATTGTATGTCGATATGATCTTGGATTTTGAGAAAGCAGCAGCACTAACACGGCATCTGTAGTAACGTACAACCTTTACTTGCAGCTAGGCGTTGATGGGTTACGGGGACTATCGAATTTTAATATTCAAAACAATGTAAGTTGTCGTGGGGACTTGATTGAGCGCAGGGGCATTCTGTTGACATATCTATCTGGCAGAAATGGGGCCAAGCTCATAGTCGGGTAAGTATCAGTCGTAGGATACCAATTCCTGCGTGGTGGACTAATAGCTGCACAGGCACACTTTGCTATATTGAAGTGCTTGCTTCAAAATGGCGGCAACGTTATAACTGTCACTCACAACAAACTCGAGCAAAGCTTGAAAGTGCGAGTGGACCGGTCCAAGATTCGTACTCACGGGAAACCTGCGTTGGGCAACATGCTTTTACATCTGCACATGTTTCGATGTACAGCCGATGCCCAAAGCTGTCGAACATACTACGAGAAGCTATCGAGCGTTGGTGGCGAGTATATTGAGTGGAGGGAGACTGTGCTCGCGACTAAACCTCCTCCGCTTGTTTTTACACAGGCTAATACCTTTCTTGACGGTGACACTGTCATCGTGAAGGAGTATGAACCCTCGGTAGAAGGCGTGATTGCAAGCTGGGCAGAACGGCAGGTTTGAACAAGCAATGTAAACGCAAAGATTAGCAAAAGTACCTTTCTACTAAATAGTAAAGTATAATACTTCAGCGAGGAAATGGAGAAGACCTTTAAAAAAAATTGTAAATCATAAATACTAAGCTATATAACTTTACTACAGCTAGAATTAAGGTATTTAACTGGTGGTACAGTATTATAACACTGTTAAGCATAGAATCTAAGTACTATATATTAGTAAGTACAAGCATCTACATTATTATTTCGTAACATTTTGCTACATATACTGCGACCTAGTTTATTACTTATTTCACTAAAATAAAGAAGTTTATAGACTTAAGTATATGGCAATCGGCCGGTATTTTGCAAACAGAATAAGTTATACCTACTACTAGTGATAATATATTTGGCTTCTAGTTTGAGTCCTTAAATATCTAGTGGTAAACATAAAGAGGGAGTACAGAGCCAGCATCGGACTAGTGATATAAATATTTTATCAAGGATTGCTAATATTGCTATGCTACAATCAAGCGACTTTGCTGAGTGCTGCAGAGGTGATTGCAGAGTGTATCTCCGCCTCCGCGCCGTCTGGCAGCGGCATCAATGGTGATCGTACTGTAGCATGAGAAAGAATTCCTCGCGCTACAAGAGCATGCTTCAAAGCCACAGTGCCTTCCATATGTGATCCTCTGTGGTACACTGCCTTGGTTACAGGCAGAAGTTGGTCGTGCAACTCCCTTGCACGCTTGTAATCCTTGGCCTTGCCGGCAAGGATCATCTCATACAGAGGCTCCGGAGCAATGTTTCCGTAGCCAACAAGCATGCCATCGACATCAAAAACGGTGTGGAGAAGGTACTCGTCGTGGCATGTCAGAACCGGCACGTTGGGCCGCTCCCGTCGGAAGACGGGAATCTCAGTATCCCATCTTCTCATATTTCTAACTCCATTCTTCATTGCAATAACACCAGGCTGGGCAGCAATGTCTAGCAGAGTTTGTAGGTTGTAGTTGGCCTTTGTGTTATCAGGATACTGGAAGAGGATGAGAGGCAGTTGTGAGACCTCGTAGACGACCCTGTAGCGGTCCTGGGGTGCCCCAGGCTGGTAGCCAAAGCGTAGCCAGCCATGAGACGGGTATAGAAGGCCGGCTTGAGCTCCCGCCTCCTTGGCGCGCTTGGCTTCTAGTGCAGCCACTTCTGTTCCTTCGCCAGTGATGCCGGCAATGATTGGGATTTTGTTGTTGACGGACTTGACAAAGGCCTTGATGGTGTCAACCTGCTCCTGTGGAGTAAGGAATGTTCCTTCTCCCGCATGTCCTAGGACCACAAGGCCTTTGACGCCCTTTTGGCTGCCGAGCCAAGATCCGAGACGCTGAATAGCCTCATAGTCCACAGCGCCATCCTTGGTGAAAGGCGTCACCGGCGCTGGAACGAGCCCCTTGAGATCGATGGACATGATTGGAGATTGTTTTTGAGTAAAAAGGGATCTTTTGCAGAGGTGTCTAGTTGATTGGCTTAGATGGCGTTTGCTTGTCTATCGAGCAATACAATCATTGGGCTCTAGGCTGACTTTTATAACTGGTAAGCAATGCCACTTTGTCGCCAATGTTCCGGTCTACATACCGTAATTCATCACTGTCTCCGGTCAAGAAAACCCAATGCCTTCGGAAGCAGCGAGAGAGCGTCTACCGAGTTGCTCAGAACCCGGCTTGAGCAGAGTGTGTCCGCAGGATAGCAGGTAGAGTGTCCGGAAACCCTCTGTGCCCTCCCGGATAACGACCGCTCGGATTCCCGGATTTACAAGACTAGCCTGTGGGGTGTAGCAAACCCCGCGATGCCCCGGATTCTTGGTTGTGGATATTACTTGGATTGCAAATCTCGTTCCCCATGGGGTCGCCATGCGTTGACATGGGCTTCCCCAGAGTCCTGCCAAGAGTCTCGATCCTACGGGTGTTGACAGAATATCCATCCTGGTCATTGACTGGTGTGAAGAGCTGAAAATAGTTCACCCCTGTAACCTGTACATATATAGTACCTAAGGTATACAGCTAGTCTTTTTAGTGTAAACGATTAGCTATGTACTACTATACAAGTTATTCTTCTTAGTGCAAAAGACTAGCTGTATATTATATATGTATATGTTCGAGGCGTAACCTACTAGTATGTTCAACTTAACCATATACTAGTCCACTACTCGTTTGTTCAATCCGGGCACTTGAAGGACTGGGGTCAAACCCTCCTCGGGACTTGGTATTAAGGCAGGACTTCCCCCTGCTGAAATCCAAAACCAACCAGGTTCACCTGCGGGCAAGTCTATGGCTTGATCATCTAATCTTCGTTTAACTACTCATCAATACACCACACATATCCCAATGGATCCCAAACGACCGTCAGCCGAATCTCGGGACGTGGAACAGTCTCCTCTCGAGAAGAGTCATATCATTCACCAGGAGCATTCCGGCAGCGTGTCACAGGATGACGCCGATTTTCTTGCAAACTTCAGTGAGGAGCGAAAGAAGAGAGTTGTCCGAAAAGTCGATGTGAGTGACCAAACTTTGACACGGTTGAAGAAGAGCTATTAATTAGATGCCAGTGGCGCTTGCTGCCCATGCTCGTCCTGCTTTACCTAATGGCCTATATGGATAAAACCAATATTGGTAATGCCCGATGACTGGCCACCAACTCTGCTAGATCTAACTTCTTTTACAAGGCAATGCAAAGATCGAGGGCATGACGAAAGACCTCGAGATGCGCGGCGAAGATTACAATGTGGCTGTCGCTATATTCTTTATCCCATTCGTGCTGTGCGGTATGCCGACCCTCTCCTCGATTGCAACATCAAGCTGTCTCTAACGTTGTTTCAGAGGTTCCGTCCAATATGATTTTGCACAAAATCAACAGGCCGTCCATCTACATGGGCGGCATCGTCATCGCCTGGGGCGTCATCATGACCTTGACAGGCATTGTACAAAACTACGCCGGGCTGCTTGCTACTCGCTTTATGCTGGGAATATTTGAGTACGTGCAGCTGATACCGATGGCTTCCTTCATATCTAACCTCGTAATAGGGCCGGCTTCCTCCCTGGCGCGGTCCTCATCATCTCCAACTGGTATCTCCCCCAGGAAACCCAAGTCCGCATCGCAATCCTGTACACATCAGCTGCAACTGGCGGTGCGTTTTCTGGCCTTCTTGCCTTCGCGATTGGTAAAATGGATGGCATCGCTGGCCTTGATGGTTGGCGATGGATATTTATCCTCGAAGGTATCTTCACAGTCACCGTGGGTGCGCTGTGTTTCTTGTTACTCTGCGACTCTCCTGCACTCTCTACGAGCTGGTTGGATGCCGAGGAGATCCGCTATCTGGAACTGCGCCAGCTTGCCCGTCGATCTAATAGCCCGCGCGAATTCAGAGACAACACCAAGAAGCATTTCGACCTTGCCATCTTCAAAGACATCTTCTGCGACTACAAGCTCTACCTCCTTTCCTTGGCCAACTGGTCGAATGCAGTACCAAACTACGCGATGAAGTTCACGATGCCTACGATCCTTACCTCTATGGGGTATAAGTCGGCAAACGCACAGCTGCTCACGATTCCTCCTTATATTCTTGGCGCCATCTCGGCATACGCGTTTGCCATCTTTGCGGACAAATATTCCTGGAGATATCCATTCCTTATCGGTCCGCAAATATGCGTCGTTGTCGCCTTCTCTGTCCTGTTTGCATTGTCTGGAAACATTGAGGACAATGTTGCCGCCTGCTACTTCGCTGTCTGTTTAGCAATGCTTGGGTAAGGCCCTCCCTAGTTGCATCTTGAACATCACTAACACCAACCAAATGACAGACTATACCCCATATTGCCGGGAGTAAATGCATGGAACATTGCCAATACCCCTGATCCTGCCAAGCGTTCTGTGAACATTGGGCTTCTTGTGTGTATCGGCAACATTGGCGGGCTTGTTGGGTCCTATATCTACATTGACCGAGAAGCGCCGCGGTACCCCACCGGATATGGGACATCGCTGGCCTTTGCACTCGCTGGCATTGTGGCGGCGACACTGCTGGAGTTTCTGCTTCGGCGAAGCAACGCAAAGAAGGCACAGATGACGGATGAGGAGGTCAGGGCGAGATACACGGATGAGGATCTGGACCGCATGGGCGAGAAGAGTCCTTTATTCAAATACACTCTGTAGGAAAGGCGAAAGTGCTCGGTAGCTATACACGAAGGCGAGAACTTCTGATGCATTACGGGTTTCAGCCCAACACATATTCCCGCCTGCGCAACTGTGTACTGTGAAATAGTATCGTAGCTTTGAACACCAAATAGGCGAACTGATGGTCCTGTGCGCTCTAAGGGGGCCTATGGAGAAGCTAACGCAGCTTGTGGCGTCGCCTACCTTAATCCGAGGCTTCGATCCGGATAATGGACTCAGCATCAACACGCCAAAACGCAGCCGGAAGTTATTAATTATGCAGTGGGACAAAAGGGACATTGGCGCAGTGAACTTGTTCGGATATTCCATCCTCTCGCCTGCCATTGCGTTTCCTGCCCTCGGACCTCAAGCCTTGCATGTGCCCAGCCGACAAGTAGTTGCGTGAGCCGCGGAGGTGAATCCGGATTCTCTGCAAGTTGACTCGCCTCGCCTATGGCTATGGTGACAACTCAGGGCAGCACAGCTGACGGTCCGACGGGGAATCCGACACCGGTTTCCGAGGCTCGCACGTCCAGTTCACACACAAGAAGCGCTGGATCGCGCGCCAAACGGCCGACAACTCGACACTCCAGTGTGGGCTCGACAGCCGGAAACCGCCGCAAGCTGCAAAAGGTCAGCCGAGCCTGTGACTACTGCAGGGTCAAGAAGCTCCGGTGCACGGGTAACATCCCTTGCGATGTCTGCACGAAGAGAGATCTAGAATGTCTATATGATGCCGAGTACCGGCGCGGCCGACCGCCAACACCACGGGCTTCAGAGGCACCAGTTCTCGAGCAGGGTGCTAAGACGCCGTTGGCCAGAAGATCCTCTAGGTATTGGATGGCTATCCTTGGGACTTTTAAGATGAGACCGCGTACTGACGTGACCAAAAAAGACCATCAAATCGCGTTGTAGACAAGATTGGTCCGGAACAGGGAAGAGAGTTCTCGGATGCTTCTGCAGGCAGTGGGCTTCCAAGTCGAGCCTCGCCAGAGCTCGAGACTGCTGAGATTGAAGGCCAATTTTTTGACCTCACCTCAAATCTCACATTTCTCCACCGAGCCTGGAAGAGATTCTCTTTACAGAAGGGAGGCACTGTCCCCGATGTTCTTACCGGCTCAGAGCGCTCGCAGCCTCTTATGTCGGCTGGAGACCGGCCCTTCGTGGTTCCTCCAGGCCAGCCGGTGCTGATACCAGATCGGCAGCTCGCAACGCAGCTGTTTGAGTTCTACTTTGAAAATTGTGTTGTCACATACCGATGTCTCCATCGTCAGTACTGCGCGTCATTCTTACAAGTTGTGCTCGACAACGCACAGAAAAATCTACCTCTACACCACAACCTCGGGCACTCCAAGGCGGCACTTATCGTTAATATCTTTGCAATCGCGAGTCTTCGGAAAGAGAAGATATCGGGATCCACATCCACCTACGACGACAATGGCTTCCTATTGAGTCGCAGTGATTACTATTTTTGCGAAGCGCTCAGTCTCACAACAGGCGAGGTTGGACTTCCGCGCTTAGAGTCAGTCCAAGCAAGGGTATTGCAAGTACTCTATCTCCTTCAAACCGGCCGAATGAATCAGGCATGGTACGTGTTTGGTAGTACAGTCCCTATTGTCTCTGCCCTTGGCCTTCATCGAAAGTCAGGGAGGGGTAGGGACGCAACGGGTAGGAGTGCGAACACGGATTACATCGTCTTGCAATGCCGCCGGCGCACGTTCTGGGTCGTATACATCATCGACAAATACTTATCCGTTGTTTTTGGGAGACCGAGGCTGTGGCACGATGATGACATCAACCAGGATTATCCGGATCGTATCAACGATGAAGACATGAGCTCTCAAGGGCCCTCTCTGTCGCCTCCGACGTTGGATTGTCACATCGACTCGCTAATAGCGCACGCCGAGTATGCCATTCTACCCTTAACGCAGACTACAGTACTAAACAGAACAGGATTGCTCGGATCATCGACAACATATCCAGAGAAGTTTACTCTCTGAAGCCGATCCCCAGGCCGGAAAGACTGAACGCGGCAAAGAACTTCTGTCGCCTGCTCCACGATTGGCACCGAGATCTGCCAGCACACCTCGGGACCATCCGCCCCCGGAGCCTCATACCGTCCTTTCGTCGGGAAGCCATAGCATTGAAGCTAGCATATTGTCACGCCATGATGCATGCAAACCGGCCGTTCATTCTCGGCTACAATGGCCAGTCGACGTCATCACCGCTCAATCAAATCGTGGCAGAATGTATCAGCGCCGCCAGGATGGCTCTTGAGACTGTCGATGACATCGTGAGCGATGGGATGCTCTTTCACGCCTTCTGGTGGACGCCGTACGCCACCTTTTGCGCGCTTGCCGTTGTCTACGTGTGGGAGATCCAACAAAAGGCTTACGGAGGCGATGTTTCCGATGATCCGTCACTCTTTGAACTGGCCGAGCGCTGCCATAGCCACCTAGCTCAGGCGGCGTCTACGCATTCGCCTGGGCCTCGGTATGTTATCATCCTCGAAGAACTCCGCTTGGAGGCAAGGCAGGGCTCAATGCGGCCCGCTCAGCATCAGGTTGATGATACAGTTGGCATCGCAATGACACAAGAGGCTGCCCTCAACACTGTTCATGACTCCAGCGCGATGAATTTGGACTTGAGCCAGATGCTGAACGAAGCCAGCGCTGCTCCTCTCCCTCCACTCAACGAATGGCAGGCCACGGACTGGCTTGATCTTGACTCGTCGGTAAGTTCACCCTGCAGGATTAAAGTTGTAAGTTCCCCATGCATCTACTAACCTGTCCAGGCGCTGGGGCCATTCTCCGATCTCGAGGATCTGCCCGTTATCTGGGATGTGTAACGAATGGCGGCTTCGTGGTGTTCCACGAATGGTTTGGATCGTAGGCGAATCTTATCACGCATGGTAGCGTATCTTGTAGTAAGGGGGCATAAATCGCTGCAAAGCTCAGCTGAGGTAAATATGCTAGGAGTCCTACGTCCTCTTATGCCACTGATGATTTTATGGCGGACTTGGAGCGTGCAATCATGGAAAGCTTCTAACAACAATTACTAGCCACCCGCTTGCGTTTTCTCGTCGTGTCTGAAGGTAGGGAATTGTCGCGCTTTACAGCCTCCGGAAGGTTGTATTTTTCCCGACGTAATATTGTAGTTTTGGGCCGCGTCCGAAGGCAGGGAACTGTAGTGCTCTTTGGCTTGGCTACGGACCCAAGAAATAATCCTGTTGTCATCCATAGCACTGCTTATAGTATATACATTTAGCTGTAGATAGATAGCTACTGTAACAGATAGAAAGGGTGCTAACTGCGTCAATAACCAAAAGATTCACTATATTAGCACTCTGCGCTAATATACCCTTTACAACAACTTAAGGCTCTACCTTACAGGCCCTGTAATTCCATTACAGCGGCTCGGTTACTAATGTACTTGACAATGTTGTAGTTTGCTCGGGAAAATTAAACTAAGATGCTGGTCGAAAACGGCCAATCCAAAACGGAGAGTAGAGAAGAGGAGAGAATTTATAATGTCAAAATATTGGATGGGCGTCAAGATAAAAAGGAGCCCCTATAGCTCAGTGGTAGAGCGTTGCACTTGTAATGCAAAGGTCCATAGTTCAATCCTGTGTGGGGGCACTTGTTTTTTTTTTAAGTTTCCCCTTGGTTTACTTTTTTTTTCTTCTTCTTTTTACTCTCTATAAATTAGATTATCTTGCATCATAAGTAATAAGGAGGTATAGGTTATGATATAGTTGTGGGAGACTGGGGTGCTATAGCGATAACTTCAAAGCTTGCAGGCCGGATGTGACATTATTACTTCTTCTGGATAAAACAAATTCATTTCTAGTCAAGCACGATAACGACACCAGTGGAGAGAAGATTGAAACCCTCGTTGCTGGTGAGCAAATGGTAGGTAATTACCTACTCTTCTAATCGTCGAGCGTGATGGTACCTACAAAAAGGGGGGAATAGAATCCTAAGATTGCTAGAGTACCAATCTGAAATTTTTCCTCGTAATTCAGTCTCATGAAGTTTCATTTTACCATGCAATACGAATAATTCCCAAGATCTATCTCATTCACGAACATTCCAAGAAAGAGTAAATCTTTAGATGTGTCAAGAAGTGATGCTGACAACATGAGCTAGCAAGCACTGAAAGAGAAAATCACCGGAACGGAGACGCATACTTCCGACAATTTAGCTCTTCTGGACCACCGATCCGCTTCCGTAATCAATCTGCGCTGGATGCAAAGCCGCCCCACTATCGGCGCGCTCTCATGAATTTTTTGTTTGAGAGAGAGGCAAAAAAAAAAAGTTGACAGTAAAAGGCGGCGACAATTCTGAACGTTTTCTCTACTATTATACCTTGGCGCAGAAATTTTGCTGTTCCTCAGCACAGGTTTACTTAAGAAACAAAATATATTTGGAAATCTTTAAATCACAAAAGCCAAGGATGCCTGGACGAACAAAGGCGCAGGACGATGCTTCGTCTCACGACGCTGATATGCAAGACGTCCCACCCTCTGCCCAGGAAGAGATTAGCCAGGATGCCGAAATGAGAGAAGATGCTGAGGCTGAGGAGGAGGAAGAGGAAGAAATTGAAACTCAGAGAGTGCGAATTGTACGGCAAGAATCTGGCATGATTGGGAGAGTATTCAGTTCACTAATAGAGATGACAGCTTCCTGGCTCAACGGACACTGCGGCTTCGTTTGAATTCACAGATGAGGGGCACACATTGGGCAATGCCCTTAGATATATCATCATGAAAAAGTATGTTTTCTTCCATGGCACCGCTGATTTCACTGAAGCTAATCTTCCGTAGCCCCGACGTGGAATTCTGCGCCTACTCAATTCCTCATCCATCTGAGCCCAAGATGAACATCAGAATACAGACATATGGTAAGCTCTCTTCTTCTTGTTCAACGGTATCAATTCCTGCTAACCCTCTTGTTCAAGACGGAACGGCTGTGAATGCCCTGAAGAAGGGCCTGAGTGACCTGCAAGATGTATGCGATGTAGTTGCTGAGAAGTTCTGGTCAGAGAGGCAGAGTTTCAACGCAGAGCAGGGCATTGAGCGATGAGCGATGAGCGATTGGTATGGTAGGAGAAAAAGGAGTCAGCATTTAATGGGAACCGGGCTGCCGTCCAAAGTGGTGTATAGAAAGGACATTTGTATATGGACATTATGCGATTTCAGGGCGTTATATGGCAGGTTTTGACATAGGATCTTTACAAAGATATATATTTACAAAAACAAAATTTCTTGCATTGTTTCTAATTTCGGCCCTATTAATCCTCATTAGCCAGTATTCTTTATCCCGCACGACATCGCCTCGTAAACTCACCTCCAAGAAACCAGACATGAAGCTAGACGGGAGCCTCTTGTCTCCTCTAAAGTTGTCGTTGAAATAAGACAAGATGTGAGTCTGCTGCTTCCAGAAGTTCATTGTTTCCTACCACCCCGCCAGCCATTAGCAACTCGTCTCCTTTCCCTTCTCTTGGCTCTTTTTATTCGCGGATAGCATTCGTACCTGGTATTCAGCGTGGGATTTGAAGAGGAGCACATCGACGACAGAAAGGTTGCTCGCGTGTCGGTTTCGTTCAAACTCTTCTCGTATCCGTGTTCGGAGAGTAGAGACGGGCAGAGGGATATTGTACATCGTCTGGATTTCAGGTGCCTGTATTCTCTCTATTAGATTCCCATTCTGCAGTATAGCAATGTTCCTCCTAAAAGATAATTTCCAATTCTTCGCCGACAGCTGAGCTTGAGAGGGAATTTCGTGGGACGTACGCCTCGGATCCATTCGCGGTAGGAAGAAAGGACTCGACGTTTCGCATCCGACCAACTGGCGGCTGATTGACCCGGTTAGCTTGAGGAGAGTATGGAGTTAGCTTTAGAGCTCACATTGCGCCGTCTTCTTGGCGAATTGAGTCGGCGTAATGGCCATGGCGGGCAATCTATGCTTCTCAGCGCAATCAATATAATGCCGTGACGTTGAGTTGATACCAGTAAAGCATGCCCGCCTTGGAGCATGAAACGTTCACGTGATTCGGCGCCAATTCGCTGTTTGCGCCACACGATATTTGCCCCTCGCCTGTGGCTTAGCTCAGCCTTCTCGACGCGCCTTCTGGACTTCACTACTAAGCTTGCTCCTGGAACTTTGCCTAAACCTGCTCTTGATCTTGCGTCGAGTTCCAGAGGCCGCGTTTTGTTCTTACTCTCTGCACCAAGCGATTTACTCTGTTTATTCAGTTGCGTCACAATGCCGGCTATCAGACATTCCTCAAAACGAAAGCCGCCGCCAGAAGGCTTCAGCGACATCGAAGATGATCTCTTGATCTTTGCGAACAAGATGAAGGATGCGCAGAACAAGCCTCCACCTCCCGGCCCAAAACACATGGCGCAGTGGGAAATATTCCAGATTGCGCACCAGAGAAGCCGCTACGTATACGATCTTTACTATGAGAAGGAGGCCATCAGCAAGCAACTCTACGAGTGGCTACTCAAAAATGGGTACGCTGATGCGATGCTCATCGCCAAGTGGAAGAAGCAAGGTTACGAGAAAGTAAGTGATCGCTTAGCATTCTGTCTCGCTTGTTTTTTCAACGCGATATACTGACAAGTAAATAGCTCTGTTGTTTGCGCTGTGTTCAAACCAAGGAAACCAACTTCAACAGTACTTGCATCTGCCGGGTACCGAGGGCTCAGCTGAAAGAAGATAGCGATATGCAGTGCGTCAGCTGCGGCTGCAGAGGATGTGCATCTAGCGACTAATAGGGGGCTATTGCCCCTGAATTCCGAAAATTCTGATTCGAATATAGAGATATGAGCCGGAGAATGTTTAAAGGCGTTAGGGCGTCGGGCGTCAAATTACGATTGAAATGTTCCGATAAAGGACAAAAAAAAGAGAGAGGATATAGATTGGGTATTATGTTGAGACCGAAAGAGGTACATGTCCTTTATTTTGGCTGAACACCATTCTCCCATAATATTATGCTGATTATTTTTTTCGCAATCTCCAGTTCACTCCGCTTGATTCCCTTTACCTCTTTGAGAATCCTGCTCGGCCTCGGCCGAATCGGACGCTGGGTGGCACAAACTGTAACGCTGACATGGCTCCAGTAAGATCTGTCATATCAGTATCTATTTTCTCTGGCTTCGCCTCGCCCTTATCCACCGTAGTAGGAGGCTGTGATGGCCGTGATGTCCGTGACTTGTCATCGGAATGTGACGCCTCATTTTCCAAGGTATTTGCATGGCGCCTTAACTCCTTCGCCTGTGATTGAGAACCAGCCGACGATCTCCGCCTACGGCCAGTTTCGATTAGAAGAGAACGTTTCCCGTCAATTCCGTCTTTTGTGACGGCGAAGAAGAAGTTCTTTGGGTACATGTGCTTGTCTATTAGATGAAGTCGCCTCTTCTGGGGAGTCATGCACTTGCGCTCACATCCCTCAACAAAACAAGAATACTGAGCTATGTTAGAGATGATATTTTTTTCAAGGCACTGCGTTGTAGGCATCGCATTTAGCTTACTGTGTGCTCTCCCTTCTCTCTAGCAACCCTCGCCAGTGGGTCATGACACTCTTCAATGTGCACATTGAGAAGATGATCTGTGGGAAAATTCTTGCGGCATTCAATGCACCTGTTTGTGTGAAATTGGTGGTAATGGGTTTCGTATTCGTCATAGAACCGAAACCCCACTGGTTCTTTGTGGGGAGGTAGTGAGCATCTCATAACGAATTCGGCTTCCTCGTCTTCAACAGCCGAATCAAGACCAGCGATTTTCGAGACGGGTCGGAGATCCACGTCAACGTCTGCGAGATGAGGAGAGTCTCCCACTTGTGGGTCGAATTCTAAATGCTCTTCCGGCTCTCGTGAGCGCTTCATCTTTAATTAATATATTGTGAGCTATATGGGGCAAAATATTACTTTGATTCGGACCAAGACCAGCAATATTGCAACAGAAGCAAGAGGGGGGCGGGGATATGCAGGCACAGCGGAGTGTGGGCGTTGGGAACTGCTCAATAACTGGTAATAACTGGGCCTCAAAACGAATATCCAATAACGCAGTCAAACGCACGCAAAAGGGTCGACTCAGGATGTTTAGCTGAGGAGGAGAGTGTTGTAAGTTGGGAAATGCCTGCCCAACTAGATGTGATGCTTGGAGTGGACTTTGCCCCACACTCGTGCAGGTCGTTAGCGCTGCTGGGTCCAGACTCTAGAGCGAGATCTAAGCATCGAATCATTCACAAGGTCTATAGTTGCTGTAGGCAGTGATGGCAGCGATATTGAATATTGCCCTGCACTTGCGCTGCACCTAATAGGAGATTCGGATTAATCGTGAATTAACGGCTGTGAATAACAAAAACTGGGTGGTATACTTGGCTAGGGAGATTTGAGCTGGACAATCCACAGAGTTCCAGATATGCCTCCAGGTTAGCATCAAGCGCATATGGGTAAAGCAAAATATGAAGTGGTCGAAACTGCGCAAAACATTATTTAAAGGTTTCCTACGTGTAATTTACTTCAAATATATGCCCTAGATTTCAGTTGCCTTGGTGACGACAAGCGTGGCGCCTTTTACTTTGGAGGATGCTCAAGGAAGAAGCGATATGAAGAGTTTGTTGTAAACGGTAAATCAGACGAATACAGGATAATTGCTAGCATAGAGCGTACATATGGATGTATTTGTGTAAGTTTAGTTCTTCCGTTTAGTGTGAAGTCTTGAAAGAAAAAAAAAAAAGAAAAAAAAGAAAGAAAAGTCAATTTCAGTACATTCTTTTTCTTCTCAATGAACAACTTTAATCAATGTTCCTCTGTTGCATGTTTGTTCGTGCCTGGAACAGCGTTCTGCATTAAGGTGTGGCTGCGTAGTTGCCCAGCTTAAAAAAGAACAGCCGAAGAATTCCCACCACAATCAGCGCAGGTAACCTTGAGGGGCTCAGAAGCCACTCACTTAGTTATCGCCATTCTCTCATTTTAGAAAAAAAAAAATAAAAAAGTTTCGTCGCAATACGCCGCCACCGAGCAAACCTACGGCATTGGTAAACAAAAGCAATATTTACCCTCGAGCTAGCAGATTTTTGGTCTATATATTCCCGTCGTCACCAATGTTTTCTCTCCCAGCTGCTTGCCCGATTCCCACCAGCCGAGTTCGGTACCAGCTCTCCCAAGCCGACGTGATTCCGAGTTATGGACTGTCTGGATCTCTGCGATTTGGATTCCCGAGAGCATGAACCGATTGCGTAGCTGAAGGCCTATAATACTCGACATTACCACACCAATAGCCGACATCACATCTACCGATCTCCGGGCAAAACAAGCCTGTCAACACCATGGCGTCTTCCAATGCCCCTCCAGCGAGCCTTGCTTGGCGGTACGTTCATTCAAGACCTCGATGTTCTCTGCGATGCCTCTCTTGCGTCTGTTGCCTTATGGCGCAATAGAATGAGTGCTCGCAAGCTGTGGACAAGACTGACATTTGTGGCATAGTGACGCCCAGAAGTTGCGCAAGTATCTAGCACGAGACATCGGCAAGCTCCAGCCAGGAAATGGTTCTGGAATCGACATTTCCAAATTCGAAGCGGTAGATAGCCTTTTGGAGAAGTATGCGACCCTGGTTTTTAGAGTTACATGTGAATTTAACTAATGCGCTCGCTCTCGTGTAGGTTCCGCCTCGCTTGTGTATCTACCATTTTTCTCGATTTTGATTTTGCCATCTCCCAGAAAACAGAGGAATATTTATGGCTTATTCATACCTCGATCAATGCCGAGTATCGACGCATCTTGGGCCGGCTCAAGCAATCTTCTCATGCAGTCGAGAAGCGAAAGGTGGAGAAGATGTACAACAACTTCCTGCGCATCGCCCATAAGTTTTATAAAGGATATATCCAGCGCCTATCCGCGTACTATGATATCCCGGAGCTTAAACGAATCGCGCAAGGCATTGAACTTGACCAGCTGGTCGTCGAAGATAAAGTTAGCCCGGTCTCAGAAGATTTACAGCGCAAAGTCCTATACTCTTGCCACCTTACGCTGGTCCACCTGGGAGACTTGACACGATATCGAGTCCAAGCTCGGCATAAGAACTCTGGCTACGAAGGCGCCTTGCTATACTACGGATTGGCTCACCATCTTCAACCTCAATCGGGCTTCGCTTTCCACCAGATGGGGATTATCAACCTCGAACAGGGGAATCATCTAGACGTGGTCTACCACTTTTATCGCGCCTTGGCTGTGAAAAGCCCTCATCCCAATGCTCAGACCAACCTGGAAGCTGAGTTCAAAACGGTTCTAGCCCCTAATGGATCCAAGTCTAGACACAATGTCACTGCACCTCAAGATCATTTCACAATGTGGTTTGTGAAGCTACACGCTTATTTCTATAAAGGAGAGGTGTTTCGTCCACAAGAAGAGTTGGAAGGCGAAGTGATGCACCGGCTTGAGATGGCTTGTCGAAACCCTGCCTCTTCTAACGCTCTCCTAAAGATGGCACAGGTGAATATGCTGGCACACTGCATAGCCTCCGCTCAATATAAAGGTACGTGATATATATGCGCCAACATGCTACTAATTGCTAACTCATCTTGAGCAGAAAACCGGACGGAAACTTCCATGCGCTTTTACCAATACACGCTTCGCTTTAACGCTAAATTTATCTATACGTTCTGCAAAGCCTTCGAGTCTGAGCTTAAAGAGGCTCTTTCTAACGCTGAAGGCCTCGACCACCAATTGGATTCTTCCGAAGAAACGCAAGCAAAGACTTCTGTCATTGAAGCCCTTCTTCCCGTTTTGCGCGTATATGGTATGTGGCTCGCAGCCCGCCGTACCGAGATATCCAGCGTCGCAGATGCGTTTGGGGCAATCATTCCAGAGATGATTCAAAATATGTCGAGAATCTTCACTATACTTTGTGCAGAATATTACAGCCTGGAGAATTTGAAATCTTGCCCATATTTGCTTCCGGAAGACATCCATATCCTGGGATTCCAACCACTCAACGAAGAAGATCTTCCCGAACATTGCAGAGTATACTGCAACGAGGATGGGGATTGCAAGCCTTATCCTCACGCCCTCGAAGACGGCTGCGGTTCACCATCGAGTGAAAGAATAGGAAGAATCCTTGATATCCTCCGCTGCGCGTATTTCTTGGCCAACGATGACGCATACCCTATGGCCTATAAAATTGAGGGAACTGCCCTGATTTTTGACTATCAGCCAGTTGCCGAGAAGCCACAAGCTCAACAGAAAACGGAAGAGGATACGACTCAGGTTGTTGGTGTCTTGAGGGCCGCTGATAAAGAAGATTCAATTCAAACCAAGGTTATCTCCCATGACCAGGCGATCCATGAGCTGGAAGCAACAGAGGTTGCAAAGCCTCCAGTATCAAGCCGGCAGGAAGCCAGTCGACTTTTACTGCATGAAGACGATGATCTTTATGAAGACTCCGAGGCTATGAATCGAGGCGCTGAGACGGTTCTCGACATGGTGGCCCCTTTCTTGAGGCCACTGACCCCTGTTGAAGAGTCTTCATACGGAATGCACACGTCCACTGCCAACGATGTATTTGGTTCACTCAACACAGAAGCAAGCCCCACGGAATCCATCGCATCGGGAAAATTTGCGCCTCTTCCTTGGGCCTGGTTCGGTACGCCGAATCCGCATGGCGCCCGTGACCCGGCACTGCCCGTGAGCCAAAACACTCAGAACGGCGGCCGAAGCACAACGCACTCCCCCAATGCGTCTGTTGCGGCAAGCCATCTCCTTGAGGACCCCTTTACTACGCCTGGCCGTGATGTCTCTGATAATCTTCCGCGCAACATGGCAAACGGAGTCGGCAGCCCACCAAACACATCTGCCCGGAGAATACACCGGGAACAGTTGCTCCAAGCCTTTGGCAATGGCTTAAGTACTCCTCGCACGTCGTCTTTTAGTCACTGGTCGCACAACTCCAACGTCTCGAGACCACCGGGCGTTATGGCGACAATGCAGGAATCGAATCATTACCCGGCATGGACAACCCCGTCGAGCATTTCTTCGTTCTCTCACCCAAGCAGCCTCTACCATGGCACCCCGGCGAATGCTTTACAGTACAACATGCAATTTGCTGTAGACCCGGGTCACGTCTTTCAAGAAGCTCTCTTAAGAGAGACTAATCAGACTATCAATAATCATTTTCAAATTGATAAGACAACATCGAATTATAACAACGCCGTCATGAGATCGGCATACCAAGGCTCGAGCTAGATGAAGGAAGGATAAACAATCTTGGACGAATAATGTTTTGCAATGCTTGTTGAGGTTTTTTCATAGGCGATTGAGATATTGCGATTTAAATTATGTGACTACGACTATGAATGTCAGGGGCCCTTTGTGTGGCAGCGCATAATCGCGTACTTTCTACAGCGACATTCTAGCAAATGCTATTTTCTTCTTCTTTTTTTATATGAGGATGGATGGTTCTGGCAATGTTTTAGGTTCTTGGAGCAAAGTTAAGAGAGTAGCCTAGACAGGCAAATGAAATTGCTATTCAGTCCGGAAAAACGAGATTATTGTGATGCGCAGCAAATCTGGTCTATCATTTATCATGAAATAGAGTGAAAGAATCGAAAAAAACACAAACACAAGAATGGTCATGCATCGTGGAGGATGCCGACCTGGTATGCAAAGGGAGCCCACTGCTTCTGGACTCTCTACCTTATTGATGCAAAACGCCGTTGTTGAAACCTATTCCCCCCGTTTTAATCCCTCAACGCCAATTCCTTTCCATTCCTACCGCGGGAATGGATCGATAAGAGTAATGCGCTATCGTAAGGCAATCTAAGAAGATGCCGAGTATGCCTGCTTGGGGAAGGGGTATCTGAAGGGAATAAGTTAGCCCAGGAGAGATGATATGGTTGGGTGGATGGATGAATTGATGGATGAGTGAGTGAACTAATGACGGAACGGCTTTTCTTGCGGTTTTAACTGTGAATTGCATGGGGACATGCGTGAAGGAGAGCGAATAGGAGAAAGGAGAAAGAGAACTTACGAGGGACCAAGCTCCTGAATGCTCAGCTTAGCCAGCCACTGGCCCTTGTCGACGGACTGCTCCAGGGTCTCGCCCTCGACAATACCAGCCAGCAGACCACCAGCAAAGGCGTCACCAGCACCGTTGGTATCGTTGATAAGAGAAGGGTCGATAGCACGAACAGGGATCACCTTGATCTCATCCTCGCCCTGGACAGCGACCAGAGTGGGCTCGGTGCCCTGAGTGATGATGGCAACACGCTTCCTCTGGGTGTTCTTCTTGGGAAGGTTGGCCAGAAACTTGACCACGTCCTTAGGCTCCTTGGAAGGAAGGTCGTGGGCCACAGCGTAGGCTTCGGCCTCGGCCTCGTTGCCGATGATGTAGTCCCAGTAGGGGGCGCTGGCGTCGACGACCTCCTTGAAGAACTGGGGGATGAAGGGAGCAGAGAGAGACACAGCGAAGATCTTGTTCTTGGCGGCGGCTTCCTCAGCAAGGGCCATGATGGCGGGAGGGCAGACTGCGAACCGTTTGCGTTAATACATGTGTCGTAATGTTAATGGATAGGTGCAATTCAGATCTGCTTGGACATTTCTGTTCTCATACTTACCGGTGAAGTGGTAGCCTCCAATGTAGTAGACCTCGGCGTTCTCGACGAGAGCCCAGTTCTCGGGCTTCTTCAGGTGGTCCAGGTCGTAGTGGTTGGCAGCGCCGAGGTCAGTGCAGAGACTGCGGTTGTGGCCGGTGATGACGACGCCGCATCGGCCGGTGGGCTCCTTCTCGTCGACGCGGTACTCGACACGCAGGCCGGCGGTCTTGACGGCATCGTGCAGGGTGGCGGCGTACTTGTCGTTGCCGACGCCGCCGAAGTAGACGACGCTGTTGGGGGGCAGGATGTACTGGGCGCCACGGGCGGTGTTCTGGGCAGCACCACCGGCGATGAGCTTGGCGTCGAAGTTGTTGAGGAGGTCCTCGTAGAGGCCGAGGTGCTCCTTCTCGGCGAGGATGGCGTCGTTGGCCTTGAGGTTGTACTTCTTCAGCAGGGCCTCATCACCGACGGCCTGGATGTCTGTGATTGCGGCAATGTCAGCGACCAGTTGCTTGCTTGGGTAATATTTGCTTTTGGCAGCTTTATTTTTTTGGGGGATGAGGGGTCCTTTCAGCAATCTGCGCTTCTAATACGTACCGAGAAGAGGGTTCTCCAGGCAGACGAGGCGGAAATCCTTGGTGGCAGCCATTGTGATCTGAGGTATGAAGAGCAAGAAATCTGGAGGATTCTTTTACTATGCAAGGTAGAGATTGATATGGGATTGAGGAGAAGATGGGAATTGCTCTGGAGGGGCTTCTCGCAAGCGCATGTGGTAATTTAGCGGGACGTGGTTTTTTTTCTGGGGCCTGTGCTTATTCTGGAGGGGTGAGGACAGCCCCTGTCTTTTTACTGGATGAGGCAGAGCTGGCTGCTTGCAAGTCTGGGTCTGCGTATATGGCAGACAGAAATACAGAATTTTGCCAATTGGCTATTGACGCGAGCCCCTGATTGTCAGAGAAGATATTATTTAACGATGAAAATTTGCATTATCTCAGAGATTATAGGAGGAAAAAAGAAGAAGAAGAAAAAGATAAAAAATAAAATAAAAAAGAAATAAAATATGTTTTAGGCTTAGGCTAGGACAATGCCTGTCAGCTTTGGCACCTTCCGGCGTGCGGAGGTCGGCGACTTTTCTCAACTTTTTTACCCCCCTCGTAGCTTCACTTGGGTTGGAGGATTTATTGCGCCAGGTAATTAACAAAGTATTGGCGCGGAGGAAGACTTTTTTGATTGCGTAGAATCAATGTCCCAATTGAGTCTGGTTGATTTTATCTTTGATCATATACTTTTCCTGTTTGCCGCTTCTCGTGTCTTTTCCACCTGTTTGATAGCTCTATTAGGTAAAGGATGCAAATGCAGCTACCTACATGCAGATAAATGTCCCGATCCTAAGGATTAATTTGAAAGTTGTCATTTATGGATCATTTTACGAGATTTGAGAGTATAGATTATGGGATTCGGCTTACAGGCATATCTGTTTGTTTCAGGCAAATAGCAGTCATGTATTGTTGGAATACAAAACGGGCCCTGCTCTTACTGAACGAGGTTACTATCCTTATATGGGATTTCTATTCTGACATGTACTGAGTTATAAAGATTGCAAGACAACAGCACAATAATTCAGCCCATCAAGTGTCCATGCCGTCTTTAGGCTTACTCTCCTCCCAATTGAGTCAATAATCCTTTCATATCGAGTTAAGAGTGAGCCACAGATGGGAATTAATGTCAATTACAATGGATATCTAACTTTTTTTTTATTATGTATCCTCACTGTCATGCGCCGGCTCATTCACATCGGAAGATTGCAAGGGAATTTGGCTCGTAGTTTGTTTTTGTTTTGCAACGAAATGTCATAATAGTACTTGCCAGAGGAGCCGTGTCAAGTTTCGTTCCTGAGCAGTACCATCCATAGTAAGAAAGCCACTGAACACCATCCCAATGAGACCATGAATTTTAGCCACCTTACTCCTTTGTCTTCTGAGTACCACGGAGCAGACCTGTCCTTCTGGCAGCAATAAGACCGGCCTTCTGTCCCTGGACGGCGTACCGTGAAATAGTAGAGGCCTTACCAATGTGCTGGTGGTTACCCTGTTATGGGGGTCAGCGTCTGCGTTATTCTGTCTAATCAAGCTGGGGAAACTTACACCACCGTGAGGGTGGTCCACGGGGTTCATGGCAACACCACGAGTCTTGGGCCAGCTGTTACGCTTGACAGCGAACTTGTGCTTGGCACGAGAAGCCTCTGTTCGATTATTAGTATCTGGTCTCCAAATTTCCCGTAATATCTTTTTCTCCTTCTCTTTCTCTCCAAAATTATGACCAGGATAGGGATTAAAACGTACTCAACAGAGGCTTGTCGGTACGGCCACCACCGGCAACGATACCGATCATTCCACGGGATCGGGAGTGGACGACCTTCTTGGCACCAGAGGGCAGCTTGATACGGGTCTTGCCCTCATCGGGGTTGTGGCCAACAATGGTGATGTAGCCACCAGAGTTACGGCCGAGAGTACCACGGTCACCAATCTTCTCCTCGACGTTTGAGACAACGGTACCCTCAGGCATCTCACCAACGGGCAGGACGTTGCCGACGGTAAGAGCAGCACGCTTTCCGGCGTAGATGAACTGGCCAGTGTACATGCCCTCGTTGGCGATGAAGGTCTCGGTAACCTGCTTGTACTTGTAAGGGTGACGGAACTGCACCTTAGCAAGAGGAGCACCACGACCTATATGCAAAGAATTCCCCTCGTTAGCCCGCAGTCCCTTTCGTGAATTTCCATCTCTAATCGGATTTTTTTTTCGACGTTCGTTCGGAGACTAACCAGGGTCGTGGATGATGTCCTTCACGATACCGCGGACGTAGCCATGGCGTTCGGCGAAATCGAGGTTGCGGAACTTGGCAGGGGCCTTGTTCAGGCGGGTGTTGGCCGCTGTTTTCGAAATTGTTAGAAATCTCGTGAGACGCATTGGAGCAATTCGATGCGCATCGACGGCGGCTACTCACTGAAGATGGAGCCACGGCCCTTTCTCTGGTTGCGAATAACTCTACCCATGGTGACTCGACGTCGCTGGCTGCGATGTTTCGGGTAGCTGTGAACGGGATTGATGTCAGTGCGAAACCGCCAGCAGGGCGAGAGGTTCAAACTTTACCTGGCTCCGGCCTTGGTGTTTTGACAAAGAGGCGCTCGCTTGCGGCCTTCAGATAATTTTTGTGTGCGGGACCGCTGCCACAATGAGGAGCCCTGACCACGTGATCGAAAATTTCCGCCGCGCGCATTGGTCCACTTGCAAGTATCTTGTACCCTTGCATCTCGCTCTCCCCTAGCGCATAAGGCACTGGACCCCGACAACCCCACATCCTTTACTCCGTATTTCTCCCATGAGCGAAGACCTCAGTGACGTGCTGCGAGATTGAGCGTCTTCAAGACCCCAAACGCGTGGCGCAGAGTGCTATGGAAGCAACGTGTTGCTAAGCATATGCCACTGCATGCACTCTTTGTGAAATATATTTCCTTGCTAACCTTGTGTTTTCTGCTCTGTTCTTAACGTCTCTGCTCCGCCTGATGAAAGGGCTCGACATGTGACGGACGCCTATCTATCGCTTATCAACGAGGCACTCCTCTCGTCGATTTGTGCGTTTGCTTGGGATCTTTCACTGAGAATATTTTCAGCTTTTGAATTGCACCCGGCTTAGCAGAAGATGTGATATTCTACTTCGTGGATCGCTGCTATTCTATCTTTCCGGCTACTAAGACGGTCTAACCAAGTGGTTTAGACCTGAGCAATGATTGAATTTTATCATTGACAGCCAGACTTGTACTCCTTTTTTTTCCCGATATGGACGCCGCTTTATTTTCAACTCCTTGAAAGATGGCTGACGACTTCACTAAGCTGCCGTGGTGTCTCTGACACATTGCCAGTGGGGTCGGGTCGCAGGCTGAACCATAATCTCCAGGAGTAGAACTTCGTGCGTGGCGATCATACATCGCCTTGCGTTAGGAGCGATGACAGAATTCAACAAAATCTCGAACCAGTAAGCTCCCTTATTCCTTATTCCATAATCAAAACAGAGATTGCAGTCTATGATCTCTTTGATCTTTCCCATCCTGAAAACCGTTGACTGACGATGCAGATAGGGCTGGCATAAATTGCCTCATGCATGGTTTAGCCGGGTTGGTGCACACCTCAGAAATATTATTTGTGTAGCTCTGGGTTGCTTTGCTGGCTCTGGATACAACGGTATTGCTATGGCTAAGCCTATTGCGAGATTGACCAAAAATGCATGTGGTGCAGCGCTGGCTTGGATGCGGGGGAACTCTTTAAAATCCAAGACTGATGGAAATCTTGGGTCACCAAGCAATGAATTTGCGGTATGAACGACATTTGGCTGGATTTGAATACTGGCGACCAGGTTAATCGGGCAGCCTGACCCAGCTTGGCCAAAGCTCTGCCTACTTTGGCATTGCCGATGCTCTGCGAAGAGCCAGAATGAGACGGGATCGGGGGCTCCAGGCCTCACAATGGCATGCGCGGGCAATGGTTGTGCCGAAATACGGCCTGGGTGTAAAGGAAGATGAACAAGTTAGACATCTAAGACGGGAGACTGTGATCCAGGCGTCTTCTAATTGCATGATTAAGGCTTCCTTGCTTGACTACGTGACTGGCGACTACCACTTGATAACCCCCCTTGGCCTATCAGAATTGATATGTAGCTAGTGCATCCACATCTCTTCAACAGACGACGTGCCTCATCCACCTCCCTCCTTCACACACTCGGCACTTGCATCGCCAGAAGCCAACTCCAGCGCCATGGCTGCCGCAGACGATGATTCCTCTGATCTTTCCTCCTTATCGTCATTATCCCCCATTCCCTCGGATGATGAGTTGGACGACCTTAGTGATGACGCGCCAACCGGATCTAAGTCGGGAATTCTAAAGTTCTTCCCCAAATTATCAGAGAAGCCGCCAAAAGAGCCTTCGCCGCCGCCGCGCAAACGGTCGCCCTCGCCACCTCACGAATATGTGCTCGCGGACAACCCAGACATTGCAGTACGTAACGACTTGTCGCAAACGCATTCCCCTCTCCCCCAATGCACGCTGGTTTTGCTTGGCAACGGAATCGCGTTCAAAGCTTTTGGTGACGCGAAATTTCGCGTGCAGACGTCATCGGACTCTACTAACAGCCGCAGTTTCTGGTAATGTTTAGAAGCCGCTTCAGCGACGCATTTCCAAAATCCCTTTCGCATTTCGGACCGCAAGAATTAGAACGAGATGTTGTCGAACCTATACCCGGCGATCGAGCAGAACATTTTTTGTGCGCCGTCCTCGGACTCCTCCTGAACCGGAAACAAGATATCAAGTATGGTTTATCTTGCCTCGTCCAACATTGCGCGAAACGCTCAACTAACTGATTTTCTTTTTTCCCTTTTTCTCCATTCAGAGCAGGACATTATGGCAGAGCATTGGAAGATGCCATTGCGTCTCACAAGAACCAATGGCCGTCCTCATGGAACGATAAAAGCCCGCTGTCCGGCGGCGGCACTTTTAGTTCTATGAGTCCAACCGAAAGGGTGAGTGCTCTTTTTAAATAACTAGATAAAACAGTTGAGAGGCCTTGAGAGGTAAAAAAACAGAATTGGCTGACCCTACTTCCGCAGTTAAATCTACTGCGCACTCTTGTCCTCTGGGCTATGTCCTCGTCCGATACCCTCAAGAGCTTGATCAACCAATCCTATAAGCAAAATCGCCACGAAGACGACATTAACCAGCCGAGAGCAGTTCAACCATGGGGCTCTGACGGAGATAAGCGTCGTTACTTTTTGGTTGAGGGGCAAGACGACACTGCCTTCCGCGTATATCGTGAGAGTAACCCTGCTGGCGCCAACCGAACTTGGTGGAGCGTTGCTGGAACCATAGAAGAGCTCAAAGCCCTCGCAGAGAAGCTGGAAATTAAAGATGGAGGCCCTAAAGCCAAGAAGCTCAGCCAGAAAATACTTCAAGCCATCCCGCGATTCGAGGCGGGAGACGAGGTGAAATTTCCTTGCCAATTCTACTTAATTTCATGAATCTTGAAACTAAATATATTATAGAAACGGAAACGGCGAGAATATCGACAGATGCGCAAAGAACAGTTCAAGCGCCCCGAGCCCGGATTTTCACTATACGAGGGCCGCACTCGTGGCAAGCGAATGAAGTACACATATTCCGACGACGAAGACATATTCTCAGACTCGACTGGTTATAGACGCTCAGCTCGCAATACCGGAACGCACACGCCAGCAGAAACCGGACCTGTCACTACATCAAGCGGTCGAACTATAAGAGCTCCTCCTCGGCTTAACGTGACCACCGGAGAAGATCTTGCTACTGGCGTCCAAAATGATGCTCTGGAAGTTGCCGCAGAGACTGGAAGGTCGCGTAGATCGGCTGCGGCAAATCATGGAACTAATGACTCCATGGATACAGACGAGGAGAGTGAGGCTGAGTTTGGTGATGATGAGGATGATGTCGATGCTCAGATTCCTGAAGAATCGGAAGACGAGGATGAATTCAAAGACGAGGTCATGGATGAGGAGGACTTGGAAATGCAGTCCCAAACTTTGGTGGTGAAACTCTCAGTAACTCCACCTAAACTGAAGGGAGTTCTCGCTCCAAGCGAGTTGCTTCCGGCCTCAAATGAAAGCGACGTAAAGGATGTGACGGCCGGACCGCCAGATACGCCTACCCCAAAACAACAAGTGTTTGAAACAGAAGTTTTGGTTCCAACACCCGGCACAAAGACGACTGAGAGGCATGCTACCCCGGAGCCTATTGATCGACAGGTTTTGGGACAACCATCTATATCATCGACCTCATTGGCGTTCCGAGGCAGCCCTGAAAAGCAGCCGGCGCAGCTGGTGGCCGGAAGTGTTAATTATGGTAGCCAGGAATAAGAGACCCCTGCTTGCCTTGAATGGCTATTGATGTTTCTCAACGGAGTTATGGTCTATTAAGCGACGGATGACCCGATTAATTAGTGTGCAATCGGTTGAATCTATGGATTTTAGAACGGGGGACATGACAACGGACGGAAAAAAAAAAGTCTCCCTCAGCAAGGGTCTGCGACCTAACCTATGAAGCGCAAACAAAAGGGTTCTCAGATGTGGAAAAATGGGTCTAGAGGCCAAATGTTTTTGATTTGATTTATCTATACTACTAGACAAAAAGGGACAGGGTAATGACCTTCACATAACTGATAAGATATTAATACAAACTCATGTAGGACGGGTATTTGTTATTCTTTTGTTTTAGATACGTTTCCTGGAATTGGGCTGGCTCCAGTTGTTCACTCCAAACCACCATCTCCTGAAACGAACACCTACTGAGTCGCCATTTACCCTGACGCTCTTGTTCCAATGCTGCCATCCAGCCATGGCTAAGTTGAGCAAGACGCCTTGAGCTAGGGGCATTAATACCTGTTCACCCGATCAGTATTGTGCGTCGTCGCAGCGGGCTAAGAAGGGTTGAGAGATACCTGGCTCTTGATTGTAGCGAGCACTACTTTCCACCACGTATCTGCAGACTCGATGCTGCGGAGATAGCTCTGCTCGAATCGCAAGTCTGGGAGGGGAGGGAGATTGTAGTGCTTCTTTGGAGGCCGCAGGACGCTATACGGAATATCATGATCATCGTCGTCGATATGACTGCGCTTCACCTCATGAATGTCTACCAGCTCTGCCTTGTCAGCTGCAGTGGATGGCGCAATATCCTGCCGGGGGTCGGGATGTCTTTTGATATGACCGGCCTGGATGGTGCTGGCGACCTCGGTGGGGAGTGATGAGTCCATTGTGAGGGGATAGAATAGCGCTGCTTCGGGCCCCAATGTTGATATGAACAGGTTACCCGGCCCTTTTTTCTCTTGGCCTCAATTCGCGCCCTGCTTGTAGTTCGTTGCACGCGCTCCCAAAGTATCGCTATTAGTTATTCCCGAGGCTCGTCCTGGGATCATCCAACTCATTGACGGAGTTTTGCCGGGCGGTGAGTATGGAGGCGAAACTGAGCTGACTGCATGTCTCCCTTACGCTACGCTGTGACGTCGAGCGCTTACCTAATGCGCCGCCGTGACCTCAGTGGTTGTCGGCCCGCCCGTTTTAGGCGGGTTGCGGCCTGGAAAGCCTTTGGTTTTGGCTTTTTAGCAGCCTGGAGGCCCCGTAGCGCCAGCCAGCCATTGGGGTAGTAGGGTAAAAATACCACAACCCAAACTTGCATCTCGCATCCAACAAAACAACCGCTGCTCTCCCTCGACCAGCCAGTGTCACGCTCGCACGCGCCGGCGCCCTCAATCTTGGACCTGTCAAAGCGGCGGGATAAAAAAAAATTAATATTTTTCTCCAAGCGCCTCTCTTTCAATCTCCTTCACCATGAGCGAACCTCAGAGCGGCGAGGCGGAGAAGAACGTGAGTCTCCCTCCAGAAAAAAATAAGAGCGAAAAATACCTGAAAATATTTTTGGCCCCTGATTTGCCCCTCCTTGCCTCGTGCCCCGCGCTGGCATCAATAACGCCAAATATGCAGCAACAGCGACATCTAACAAATTTTATCAATAGATCGAGATCTGGAAGATCAAAAAGTTGGTCAAGCGCCTCGAGGCCGCCCGAGGAAATGGAACTTCTATGATTTCCCTCGTCATCCGTACGTTTCGCCCGTCGCAGACCGCTTTCGCAATAGCTCGATCGATGTTACTAACTATGACACAGCTCCCAAGGATCAGGTGTCGCGTATCGCTAAGATGTTGGCTGAAGAATACGTATGGAATAAACCTCGCTGATTGCTCAAATCTATAACATGGATTTTTTTTTTGTTCGCTGACAACCCCGCAGGGCACTGCCTCCAACATCAAGTCTCGTGTCAACCGACAGTCCGTGTTGTCCGCCATCACATCGACCCAGCAGCGTCTTAAACTGTACAACAAGGTCCCTCCAAACGGCCTGGTCGTGTACTGTGGTGAAATCTTGACCTCGGAAGGAAAGGAGCGAAAGGTCAATATTGACTTTGAGCCATTTAAGCCTATCAACACCTCGCTGTATCTTTGCGACAACAAGTTCCACACCGAAGCCCTCGCTGAGCTGCTCGAATCCGACCAGAAATTCGGCTTCATCATCATGGACGGTAACGGTGCACTGTTCGGTACCCTTAGTGGCAACACTCGTGAAATTGTGCACAAGTTCTCCGTCGATCTCCCCAAGAAGCACGGTCGTGGTGGTCAGTCCGCTCTGCGTTTCGCTCGTCTTCGTGAGGAAAAGCGTCACAACTACGTCCGCAAGGTTGCTGAGTTGGCTGTGCAAAACTTCATCACTGCCGACAAGGTCAACGTCGCTGGTCTTATTCTCGCTGGTTCCGCCGATTTCAAGAATGATCTCAACGCCTCCGACATGTTCGACAACCGTCTGGCTGTCAAGGTTATCAAGGTTGTTGACGTTTCCTACGGTGGTGAAAACGGCTTCAACCAGGCCATTGAGCTGTCTGCTGAAACTCTCGGAAATGTCAAGTTCATCCAGGAGAAGAAGCTTATTGGCAAGTACTTTGAAGAAATTAGCCAGGATACCGGCAAGGTCTGCTATGGTATCGATGATACTTTGAAGGCTCTGGAGCTTGGTGCTGTGGAGACTCTCATCATCTTTGAGAACCTTGAAATCACTCGCTGGATTCTGAAGGATAGCGAGGGAGCTGAGGTTATTCTGCACACTACCAAGCAGCAGGAGACAGGCAACCGAGAGAAGTTCCTGGACAAGACAACCGGCCAAGAGATGGACATTGTTTCACAGGAGTCATTCCTTGAATGGATTGCTGAGCACTACAAGGATTTCGGTACCACTCTCGAGTTCGTGTCCGACAGATCAACTGAGGGCAACCAGTTTGTCAAGGGATTCGGTGGTATCGGTGGTATTCTGCGTTACAAGGTCAACTTTGAACAGTTGGCAGATCTCGACGAGGACGATGATGACTACTACGACGGTAAGAACATCACTTTTTCAATTGCGAAATTCTACCGTACAAATGCTAACTCGAATGCATAGATTGACCAACCGATTCCCTCGTGGAGAGCGAGGGACCTACTCAAGTCAACCCGTCCGCGCACGATGAGAACGACGTGCCTCACGACCCTTCGGGATCAGGAGATGCCGCGCCGTTGTCATTTGCTCAAAGGAGCTTGATGCGAAGCGCTGGTCGAGTGCCTTCCTACCAGGCCCACCAGACGACGCGACCAAGTCCACTTCGCGCAACTATGACGGCCACTTGAGTTTTATCATTAAAAGAAAGAGGGTAGGCTTGCACAACAACTTGTATACAGATGCATATATATGTATATGCATCTCCTTAACATGGCCTCAAACTAATGCCCACCTTTCTTAGATGTCGTCTGCATAGCTGGAACCGGCGTGATGATGGGATGGAGTAGATGCTAGGAGGCGCCTTCAGACAAAAGGGAATAATCGTGCTTACGTGTCCTTATCGTCAATCATTAGAGAAGAACGCGTGGCATTTCGACTTAAACGTTGGCATTTTGATTTTGCCTACAGACTTGTTTCGAAATTAGATAGCTCTCATCTGCAGGACAAGAAGCCAGGAATTGAAATTGACGCTCCTTTGTTGCATTAGAAGATGCTGGTTTGGTACTAAAACAGTTGTAAACAAGCGTGAGCTGTGAATAATCTTTATATACTGCTGATATTGCTGAATACCCATTTGCTACCTACCTAGTAGGTAGGGGTATGCATCATGCACGCGGCTTGATTGCTGCGCCATGGTGGTCGGAATAAATGCTACGTACAGGACTACGTCATCAGTGCAGCGGTGTTATCGATACTGCCGTAGTTGGCGAGCCTAGCAAACAATAGGTTGTCATTTCGCTGACCCACACCAGGTAATAGCATGCTACTGGGGGGGTTTTATGTGTTGAACCGAACCTCCTAACTTCTACGGGGTAACGCCAAACTATAACTGCCACCGTGCACCTTGGCAAACAGATCCAAATCACCGGTTTATTTTAACAGACAGTGCTCTCAATGTCGCACTTGAAGTAGCGTTTGATATTTCATCGCCATCATGCCAGGAACTGCTGGCACGACGGCGACCGCGCCGAAATCCGCAGATCGAGCTGTCCCTGTAACTCTCAACGAGGCAGTCCTCGATTCCCCAACGTTCCGCGCAGCCGCCACTCACTTCGCCGATCAAGTGGATGCTGTCGAGAAGTGGCTCAATGGATATGTCGGCTCGACATCGAAACTTATGAGCGGCCTCCTCTCTCTCGAAGACACTGTCAACAACTACCTCTCCAAGACGACTCCCTTTCCGGACAATGTCATCGATAATGACTATACACTCCTGGCCCTCAAGCGCACCAGCGAAGGCATGCGAGAGCTCTGGACGCAATTGCTCAATACGCAGAAGCGAATGGAGACCGCTGTCGTCGAGCCTATTCGATCGTTTTTAACGGGGGAGCTGCGGAACTTTAAGGAGATAAGGAGAAGCTTAGAGCAGACCCAGAGAACCTATGATTCAACTCTCGCCCGTTATGTGTCGCAGTCGAAGACAAAGGAACCATCCGCCCTCCGCGAAGATGCCTTCGCTGTGTACGAGAATCGAAAGGTGTATATCCAGGCTGCGATGGATTATTGCCAGCTCGCGCCGCAGCTCCGGTATTCGCTAGACCAGCTGCTGGTCAAGATCTGCTGCGATATATGGAAGGAGATGAGCCGGGCTAAAGATGCAGCTTCGAGTGCCACCCGATGGGGCCGAGAGCTGGACCGTGTCCGGGGATGGGCTAAAGAGATGGAGTTGTCAGATAATGTCTTCAGGCGGGAGATGCAGAATGCAAGAAAGGATATTAGTGATGTGACCTTTGAGAGCTTCAAACCTTCTCGCGAAATCGAGGATTATAGCACCTCAACCGTAGCATTCTTAGGGTCGCGCGGACCCGTCAGCGTGCGCCCGAACGACGGGGGCAGTGCTGCTGTTACCGAGAAACAGGGCTGGCTATTCTTGCGGATAGTAACAGGCAAGCCGGTCAGATACAACTGGGTTCGGCGATGGTACTACTGCCGAGATGGCGTATTTGGATGGCTAACTCCTGGCACACAAGGTGTTCTGCAAGGAGACGAGATTGGAGTACTGCTTTGCAACGTCAAGCCGGCCGCCGGCGAGGAGCGACGATTTTGCTTCGAGCTCAAGACAAAGAGCCGGAGCATGCTGATGCAGGCTGAAACGCAAAAAGAACTGACTGATTGGTTGGAAGTTTTCGAAATGTCGAAAAAGAAGGCATTTGAGGCTACTATGGACAGAGATAATAGCCCACTGGCCGGTGGCGTCGATCCAGCATTCTCAATATCTGCCCCTAGCATCCCGGAGTTTTCGGCCAAGGGAATCGATGCGCAGATGGGCTCGTCTGACGACGTCGTACCAAGCATAGATCGTGCATCCACCTTGGCTGTTCCTGGAGCAGAAGATGGCTCATCTACCCGACGGAGTTATGATCCTAACGGGAGCGGATCTCGTCGATCCATCTCAGCACTTGGACGGGACCTGGCACGAGAGGAAGGCGAGAGTGGTCGGGAACATGCAGCAAGGATCATCCAGAAGCTTGATCTTCACCGCAAAGCGACGTTCGGCGCCAGCCCTGAGCCTACGCTGACGACTTCCAGCTCATCGGGGGGCCTGTCTGGCATGATATCTGGAAATCAAAGCTCCCAGCTTGTAGGGACTTCTCTATCTTTGACGTCTTCAAGCCAAGCTAAGCTGACGGGCGTGGCGCTTCCACTGTTGGACAACAAACCTGGTACACTTGCTCCTCCTACTTTGGCTCGGCCTCCGACAATCACGAGTTTCAGCCGCACTGCAGTGCTTATCGCCGGTGAACGAGGCCACATTTTAGAAGGAAGAAAATTGCCAACATCCGTTCTCGCAAACTACTGGGGAACCAGTATGTGGGGTGCAATGCAATCTGAACCGGCTGCGACGACCAGTCTTGACGATGACGATCCCATTGGCGTTGTCGTATCAGAGGACTCGCAGGCGACGACACCGCTTGGTGAAGCAGTACAGGCAAAGAAGGCTAGCGAATCCTTACCAGCTGGCTATCCTCCTGAATTAAGAATCCAGCATGCGCAGTTCAGGCTTCTGTTCCCCAATGCTCCGCCAGAGGAGAGATTAGTGCTCGTATTCCGAGCAGCCTGGTCGAGTTCGCTGGAGGGTAGTTCCAAGAGCGAGCTACCTGCTGGCGACGGCAGAATCTATGTGACAGCAGAGAACATGTATTTTTACGGCCAGCAGATGGGCTTGGTAACAGCTTATAGTATCCCCTTGGATATCATTACTGAAGTAACTGCAGCTGCTGGCAGAGACTGCGATTTCATTTTCCTACACTTGAGTCGGGATCTGAACGATACGGGATATAAGAGGATAACCATCAAGGTGTTCCTCGACGATCTTCAACTACTCCATGCCCGTCTCAACCTCCTGGTAGACAATCTACAGGCGGAAGAACCGCTTGACACTTTGGAAACCATCAAGGCGTTGATTAATATTGATCAACACGAATATGATAAGCCAAGCCCCAGTGCTGAGAGCTGGGAGGAGGTATCATCGAGCACGCCAATGGATAACGGCACAGCATTGGGAAGGCCAGTAGAGCGAAGCACAGGCGATATTCCTCGCGTGATAGCTCCTTCCTCTGGTCAAAAGTTCCCACTCAAGTTGAATTTACCCAAACACGAAGTCTTCTACGAGCCAGATGATATGAAGGAGATGGCGGCCGAGAGGCACTTTGACCTAAGCGCAAAGGCATGCTTCCACGTCCTTTTTGGAGACAAGAGCTTTGTGTTCCCAAAGTTGTACTTTGAGCATCGCGCAAAGCAGATTGCCCAGGGCCCATGGTCGGCTGCCACCGACAAAGAGCCATCGAGGCGTGAGTTTCAATTTAAGATAGACTACGTCGATGTCTTTGGTCGGTCGAAGACGGAGGACATACGGGATTTCCAAACAATTGACGTATTTGACGACCATGTCACATATGTGGTTACGCATACGAGAACAGCGTGGCACCTCCCTCATTCCCAGCTCTTTAAGCTGGTGACCAAGGTCGTCATCACATATGTCGCCAAGTCGAAATGCAAGCTAGCATTTTACGTCCGCATCGACTGGTCAAAATCGCCGCCAATATCAAAAAGTCTAGTGGAACGCCAGGCTCTCCGTGACGCGGCAAGCGATGCTGAAGAGCTAGCCGAGATAGCTACTGATCAGATCCACAAGCTGGGCTCAAGAAGTCGTACCCATAAGGCTATTCAAGTATACGGCCAGGTAGGCCAGCAAACGCAGGTGGTAGTCTTCTCGCCGGCACCAACCGATGCAAGGAAGAAGCAGGCCATCAAGCCTCGCACGCTTACAGCTATGCTATTCGAGACGGTTCGATCTCTCGGCGAAAGCGTTGTCTCCTCTGTGATTTTGTGGATCATTGCGGCATTGAAAAAGATATTCAATGTTGTAACCGCGCATCGTGTCATCTTGATATTCCTGGGACTGAGCATAGCTACCAATTTGATGCTATCTTCCACGGAATCATTGGCTTGGTGGCAGGAACGGAGAGCGGCGAACTTTATGCGCCGAGTTGGCGTGTCGCCGAACCACATGATGAGCAAAGCGATTTATATTGCTGACTTGCATGAAGCATCCGGCGCCAACGATGATGAGTTGTCCTCCTTCCCACAAAACAGCACGTGTTTTGGCACGTTCAGAGAAGTTTTGGACGCCACGAGCATGGATTCTCCATGGGAGACGGCGGGAGCCTCGCTTTCCTTGCCATCAAGTCGAGCCACGGCTCGTCGGCTACGGAAGACACGACAGCGGCTCGGAATGTATCGACATGATTTGCTGGTTGCGATGAGGGTCGTCAACAGCGTTGAGCGGGAGATGCTGCAATCAGAGTGGGAGAACTGGCTGGCCAACGAGAACTCCCTCTGCGATAACCTCGAAGAGATGTTACATAATGACGGCGGCAGAAGCGACGACAACGCCAATGCAAGTGATGAATCATCACAGAAGCCTATGGGCTCTATACCGCCGGAACGGAAAAGAGCTCTTGAGGCGTGGCGTGATGACTACTGCGGAAGTTGTCGGAGGGACCATGCGTCTGCAATGCAGGCGAGAAGGCTGACCAACCTATAGCGGCCAAACTTTGTAATGGGCGCTGATGGATATTGTAGTATTGCATGGAGTGGATGTGCTTTGACTTTGACAATGTTGTTTAAGAGCAAGCGACTGTTTGGACTTAGCTGTTAGATGGGTGGGTTGAACTGCATTTGTTGTTTTCGTTTTGTTGCTTGCTTGCTTTGTTCTACGTGGAAGAGATACCAGACATTTCATCCTTCGTTTTTTTACGTTCTACGTCTGACTCACTCTTTACTCTGTCTTGTTTTTGTCTTGTTCTGAAATTCTCTATATATAGATAGCAAGGGCATATAAGCATATATATACACGTATAAACAAAGCGGTGCCTGAATGTGAAATTCTGAGTTGAATGCGAATGCGAATGAGACTATCAAATTCCCAACTCCCGCGTAGAAAATGGAGTCCGGAGCAGCCGGCCCTGAGTCGGTGGAGTCGAAAGTGCGAGCTCCGTCTTTTGCCACGGCAGAGGCCATGACACCGGCGTGATTCTAGGCTGGCTAGCCGTTGCGGATCAATTGATTGCTGAGAAGCTGTGAATTTGGATTATGCCATAGCTCTGCAGATCCTGGTGGCACGAGTCCATAGAGTCCAGTATGTAGGATCACCAATTCAGATAATTAGCCACTGCCGCGCCTCAATTGGCTTCCCAGTCCGGAGTTGGATGCACCTTTGCAGCATTCAATGACTGCTCGATTACGGCATCATTTTTTTAATAGACATCGGGCTCAGTTCCAGGGGTGGCCCCTCGGTGACGTCAAGATCGAACTTCCGCGGCAATAGGGAAAAAAGCACAGCACGAACAGGCGTGCAGAACAGCGCATTTCGGTGCACTCCGTATACTACTATAGGTACCTACTATACCTATTAGGAGGGCAGGTAATAGTACATGCTGAGCTCCAAACGGCCTGGGCACACGCCCGTAACGGCCCGCCAGCAGGACCTCGGATCTCACTATTGCCCGCTGTAAGCTTGTCGCTGGCCTAGCGGACTGTTCCACAAGCTTCCCTCGGACAGTCAGGCCGGCTGGCGCCTCGCTCGGGCGAAATGCCACCGCTGCAGGTGGTGCACACGAGTCCAGTCCTTTATTACTTCGTCCATCTGCCCCGTCTCTCGTCTTCTGCTGGCTATCTAGACAAGGCTGCCATTCCGTGATTTTGCGTGCGCTGTTGCTTGATATTCCTCCTTGTTGTGTCGTGCCCCTCCTCCTCCTTCATCGAGCGACCTCCATCCAGCAGCCATGGTGGCCCATCACGAGCCGTTGCGGGCAATGGGGCCGATCGAGTGGGACGACGTCCCGGTTGGCAACCTCAAGCCGTTTATGGACGACGTCTTCATCGATGCCCAGACCGTCGCCGAATCTGTTCCCTCTCCGACCACGGCCACGGCCACTGGGGCTGCGGCGACGTCAATAGGCGCCGTGTTCGAACAGGCTGAGAAGGCTTATTCGCAGCGGGAATCAGGGTCATCACTTGCCATGGCTCAGAAGCTGCGAAAGGAGTGGAAGGAAGTCAAGATAACTGCCAATAATCCGTTGAACATCAGCGTCTATAAGCTTGGGGCGAAAGATGGCAAGGGAGCGTGGTTTGCCCGGCGGAGCGTCCACCATGGTTTGACGTTTGAGGAATGGAAGAGGGGGATGGAGATGGAGTTTCCCGAGACACTCAAAGTACAAGGCTCGCCGGGCAGTGGCAACATTCGAGGCGTTGGTGCAGATAAGCGGGTTGAGAGCCAAGAGGTTGAGAACTCGGGACATATGAGTGGTAATTATCATCCGAGCTGCCATGTATAAGTGAGCTGATTCGTGCTAACTTCTATGGCTTTATAGTATTCCAGCTATCGGCTCAATTCCCAGGACCCACGGCGCCGAGAGATTTCATAACGCTGCTTCTTACGACTGACTTTGAATATAAGCCGGCGGATCAGGAGAGACCTCTGCGGCAACATGTCGTTGTTTCAAAACCATGCCATCATGACGAGTGCCCTCCCCGGACGGGAATAATCCGCGGATCCTATGAATCTGTAGAGATAATCAGGGAGGTACCAATTGAGGACGGCCTTACGTCAAAGATATCATTATTGTCATCAGATCTGGGCTCCGAGGAGGTTCGAAGCTCCAGCTCAGATTCACAGGAACATCAATCGGTGGCTATTGAATGGTTAATGGTCACGCGAAGCGACCCTGGCGGCAGTGTGCCGCGCTTTATGGTTGAAAAGGGCACTCCACCCGGAATTGTTGGAGATGCCGGGAAATTTGTCAAGTGGTTAACGGCAATATCACTGCTAAGCTCTAACAGTGGTGAAAGCCTCCCCGAGGCAGTGAGCCCAGCAAAGCGAAGCCAAGAAAGTACAACGCCTCCCATCAATGGGAGCCCCCAAATACTTCCTATGCACAAGCCAAAACCTAGTGTCGATTCCAAGAGGAGAGAAGAAATAGAAGCGGCAAGAAGAGAGTCGGTGCAAAGTATTCCCAGCAGCAATGGTATATATGGCATCATAAGTGGAGTGTTTGAAGCCGCTTCATCCGTCGTTGCTAGTGGTCTGCGAACGCTGGGAAGTCCGGCCGAGAGCAATACCAGCCTAGAAGACTTGGAATCCAGAGCCGCAGAAGAGCACGAAACGGATGCCGATGTGACCGATCTGAGCGAGACGTCTTCCATAAGAACTTTTAGATCAGCGCTCGAAAGAACCATGACCGAAGAAAATCGATCCAAGAGCATGGCAGGCGGTAATTCTGACGAGTCTAAGGCTCACGGAGAGCAGTTATTAGAAAAGGAACTTAGAAAGCTCCAGGAGAAGCGACGAAAGCTAGATGAAAAGGCCGCCCACATGCAACAGCGTTTGGAAAAGAAACACCGCGGCGGCAAGGAGAAGGACGAAACGGCAATAGCCAAGATGCGTGAGAAACACGAAAAGGAGATTGCCAAACAGGAAGCCAAATACAGGCGGGAGCTGCAAAAGCTAGAAGACAAGCGTGTGCATGAGGAGCGCAAGGCGGAGGCCCGCAGGCGTAAGGCCGTTGAGCGGGAGGAGAAGATGAACCTGACGATGGAGCTGGAGAAGACTAGGGCAGAGAGAGACGTTGCGCTGAAGGAGGTTGAGATTCTCCAGGCCCAGGTTGGGCAGCTTCAGTCGCAGAATACTATGTTGACGGCCAAGTTGGGGCGGTTGAGCGGGCTTGAAAGGGCAGCTGTCTCATCTTCCAAGGGCTCGGGGATAGAGAGCATCAAAGGGTGATGACTACGGTGATGATAAAAAGACAAAGAGAAGCATGAAATATTTTAAGGGGGCGTCAAAATCATCGGTTTTCTTCCCCTTTGTGTTTTTTTTTTTTCTTTGGAAAGATTCATATGATTTTTTTATGCTAAATATAGGGCGGCTTGGGGGGCATTCAGGCGCATACATCAATAGCGAGTTTTAGTTCAGTTAGGGTGGGTAGTCTTCATTTCTGTTGCTGCCACGATAAAGGGGCTTATTTAAATTTACATGGGAATAGGATATGTCTTCTTCTTTTTTTAATCATCGTATTTCTTTGTCCTGTTCATGATTGACTTTCTTATAATATATTCTATTCTATATCTTCTACAGCTCTTCCAGCGGCTCCATAAGCAATTTCGAAACGTGATGATGATTTGGAGATTTTACCAAGTCTTTGAATTGTGCAATGGCCTGGCGTAACTTCGGGCTGCCGTAAGTTTTTCCCAATACAACTGAGCTGCGGAGAATGGAAGCACAGATGGCGAAGACGGATGGATTTGAAGCCCAGCCCAAAGGACCGTCTTCTTGCTCCAGGAGTTGCTGCATCTGTGCCAGGCCATCGAGAAGCCATTCATCCAACTTGCCTAGTATCTCGCCATCTTCCGACTTGCCTTCATCCCACTTGAGAGACTGGAAGACGGTAGCCCATCGGTTGGCCTCACGAACCTCATCGATGAACAAATTCTGCTCTTCGACTGCGAACAGCGAATCATCTGACCTGAGCGCAGCAGCAAGCTGAGCACCCGGTGAACTCCACAGCTGCTCATGGCGATATCCAGCAACACGGCTTGCGGTAATAGCCTTCAGGTCAGCGCTGGTACTAAAGTTTTGGATGAGCCATCGGAGGAGGCGGTTAGATGCCTCTAGGGGTACTAGGTTTTGGCCAAGAATGCTCTTTGCTGCGGCAGATCCTGCTTCTCGCACTTCATCGTCATCGTCATTCAGGGTATCGTATAGTACAATGATTGCAGGGAGATATTCCTCGCGGGTAGAAGATGCTCCAGCGACGCTGAAGAATGAGCATAGAGACTGAGCAGCTGCGAAGCGGGTATCGAAGCTCTATAGATGAGTTGGTTAGTATATTGAGGGAAGAAAAAAAAAAAAAAAAAAAAAAAAAAGGTCTGACAAGAAGAAAAATGGACGGCTTGAACTGCCACGTACCTTGTCGTCTGAGCCTGCATCAGCCATCATTGTCCCCCAATTCCGGAATGCAGTAGCTGGAAGGCGCTGATGGTGGTTCATGATGGCTACTAAACAGCCGCTGGCTCTCACAATTGCATTGGAGAGAGAAGGGTTCAGTGAGCCTTGTGGTAGCATATTCCACAAATTCATGAGAGAGGATATAGGCAAGGAGTCGAGCTTGTCTTCCGTAATGAGCTGGTTCATCAGCTCCACCAAGTTCTCAATGGCGACCACTTGAGGTTCCGTAAACTTGGTTCTAAGGCAAACATCGATGTACAAATCACATAGAGCAATTCGAATTTCGCTTGGAGTTGACGTGGAGTGCCACAGTCTCGGTATTGATTCCAGAGCAGTAGCCATGATATCGGCGCCGAGGCGGCTTTCGAATAATACAGTCCTTGCTTGTTGAACAGGCTCCTTGCCTTGAGAAGCCAAAAGTATTTTGCTTATAGTGCTTTGAGCTTTGAGCAGCGCAGACCCTTGCGTCGTTGGTACTAGGACCTTGGATGGCTGTAGGGGCTGAGATCTGGAGATTTGTGATATCCATATCATGTTGACGACTTCTAGATATGCGGCAATAACATCTGGACAGTTAACGTATAGGCTGTCGATGTGGCTTGTCTCGAGGAACGCTGTCAGTTCAGGGAGGTCAGCTAGAAATTTGTTAGCATTATACGAGAGTGATGTAACGACTTGTCAGGTTTTGCATACCAATGAGGCGATCCAGCGCTACCTCAGTAAATCTTTCGATTAGAAATTTGAGGGAGAGCAGTACACCGTGTACATGGTTTTGGCCATTAACACTTTTGTCATTCAATGCCTGGCGCAGTAAATCTTGGACGACGCTAAGCCACTTGTCGTGCAACAGACAGGAGCAGAGAGTCCTAGCAGCAATCTCACGAACATGCCACACCGGGCTTGAGAGATACGCAGCAACATATATCTGGATCTCATCTCGCAGGAGATCAGGTGGTCCTGCTCGACGAATGATATCCAAGGCTGGGAAGACCGATTCAGCAGATGACGTTGCATTTGCTGATGTTACCATCGTACGGCCGGATTTAAGAAGACTTGCCAGTACTGATGGAAGAGTAGGATAACGGTGGTAGGGGATTCGATTGGCTTTTCCGTCCCAGCCAGCCTCAATCATGGCTTTGCTCTCTTGAGAGCCGAAGAGGCTGTCGATCAAGCTGCGAAGAAAGATCAAGCCACAGTTACGGATGGCCCAAATCTCTGATCTGAGCCCACTGGCAGCCAGTTCGAGACACTGAGGAAGATACTTTTCAGATTTGTTGCCCATGGATGTGAGCAGCGAGTTCTTGAAGATATCTTTGAGACAGTTATAAGCGTGAACTTGTGGCAGATTAGATCCGTCAGTTTCTACTACATGCGCCTCGATGCTGGCAATGTCGATGAGTTTGGCCATGGCATCTTCAAATGATGGATTACCCGCATTCGCGGAGAGAATTCCCGTCATCATCGACGGAATACCAGCAGATCGTCGAGTAGTGGATCTCTGGTTGAAGATTTCCTTCAAGGTGCCCTTTGAAATTATATGTTAATAGAAACGCCCTTTATATAGAGGTATTGACAGGAAATTTGACTATCTTACCTGGTACCAGACCTCTAGCAGTGATACCTCGCCCTCAACGGGATCCAGATGTTTGGTCAACTGGCAGCACGTCGCAAATGTCGCAGCAACTGTAGTGAATGCGCCGCGATGCCTTAAGTTGGCCAGCTGTGTGAATGATAGATTTCCAATAGCTTCAAACGCTTTTCGTGATGGGGTGATGAGCCCCTCTCGGGATCTATTTCTCATACTCTGCACAATCGTCCGCATCAGATTACTAGATTACGGTTAGCGAAGGCATCTATAGTATCCCTATACATAAGAAACTTACCTTGACTCGTGAACAGCACGGAAACTATAACTCAAAAGACCTTTAGTATCGAGGCCCTCCATCTCTTCCATCTCTTCAGGTAGATGGCCTTCAGGAGAGTCGTCGCAAAGAACATCGCGCACAGCTTTCCAAACTCGCTCACAGCAAACAATCATCCTCTCCTGCAGTGCAGTAGCAGATTCTGCCTCAGATTTTGACAATTTCTTTTCAGAAACAGCCTGCCAGGTGAAGCATAATGAAGCAAACGTACTGTGCAGTGGCTGTTCTAGAACGGCTTGTCCCAGGTCTAACTCTGCTCTTGATATCTTTTGATCTAGTGTGTCGACAAGCTTTGAAAGTAGTCCTAGTCGCTCATCTTCAGTGTCTAAAAATTTGTATAATAATTGCGAGGCTCTGGCGACACCATCAGAGTGATCAGCTCTGGCAGTCCGAACTGACACTTTTTCAGCTCGGTGTAAAAGCTCCTTCAGCTGCTTCGAAGACTTTTGTTCTGACTCTGCAGAATCAAGAGTGAATTTTTGATATCTCTTGTCAGCATATGCCTGGGCCATTGCTAGCGAAGCAATTTCCCGAACATCATCAAAGGGATCCATTACTAGATCTGCGAGCACTCGAGCCCACTTTCCGTCAAAATGGTCAAAGAATAGCTGCTGATCATCTGCTGTTTCCCAAGTTTTTGAACGCTCTCCCTCCATGCGAAATATCGATATTAAGCTCTTAAGGGAAGTGATGTGTCGCTGATAAGAAGCAGTAGGTGATAATTCGGCACATAGGAATCTCAAATACCAATGAAGGAATTTCTCATGGTAATCAAGACAAGATACTAACTCAGACTCTGACCATGAAAGTATGTTAGTGCGGTATAATGCCGGCTGGCTAGCTGGATCTTTCGAAGCGTTTTTTCTGGCCTTTGCCCTTGCTCGTGGAATGCTCTTCTTCAATACCGAGATTGCGCCACGAACTCTTTTGAACATGTCCCTTGATCGAGCACACACATCTACTCGGAATTTGGCATCTGGGTCAGCGAAGAATGTGGCCAGATGTCTCTTGAGTAGATCTAAAGTGGTAGCCGAGTATGGTCGTGTTGTTGACGGGGAGCTAATAAGAAGACTGAGCGCTGACGTCCGAACTTCATGGGAAGGATGCGTCAGAACGCTCTCAAGAGTATTTTCCTGTAGAGTGATGGATGAATTGTCCTCGGTTGACTGGTCGCTGCCAATATCTAGCCCTGGTTAGTAGTGAATCTCGGTGAAGCCAGGGTCAAATTCTTTACATGGTTCTTCAACAAGCCCAACTTTCTTTCCCATTTCCAAGGCAGCCAAAGTGAGGAGCGCACTTGCACCGAAATCATCAGAGCCAGCTGTGATCGCTGAGCTAGACTCATTTTGATTCACATGCTGCAGAAACTTCAGACTCTCCGGTCTATCGGCCTTGAATAGGGGAGAAAAGATGTAATTCTTGAAGTTCTCCAAAAGATTTGGCTCCTCTGATAGAAAATCGAGTAGCCACTTATGCCATGTACCTATACCCAAACCTGTGGAGTCTTCATGGCCCCTTTGCCTCAGAGCACGGAACAGGCTCACGATGAACTTCCCGGCTGCAGGGCAAATGAAGTGTAACCGAGTCCATTGTAGCAGCTCTGTTGTGAAGACCCTCCATATCTCAATATCAGCAGCATCGGCTAATTCCTGATGACAAGAGAGATGAGTTGCTTTGACGTCATCCAAGTTAAAAACTCCCTTGAGGAGGAAGTAGTCAAGAGTCTTGAGTGCTGACTTAGCCACAGGCTTAGTAGAACGGCCGATTACAATAGAGATGAGGTTATCCAGGAGGGAATTTCGTGTATCCAGAGCGGCTTTGTTATCAGGATTCCTCCGGAGAAGCTGCGCTATCAAGTCCAGGACAAGTCTCATGGACCGATGGTGATCAAACTCATTCCAATCAATGTAGAAATCGTACAGCCGAAAAGCTACATCCCGAGAAAAGGCCCAAAGCTGAAGCGTCTGTGACTCAGACTTGGAAGTCCTCTCCACGAAGCCGCAAAGTCTCACACAGGCGTTACCTGAGACAGATCTGGGTTGGGCGGCTTCCCCCAGAATCGTATCGAATATGTTTTGAGCATAACTACATACGGCTTAGCAAAGCTACATAAAAATTTTGAGGCAGTTTTCCTGTGAACTCGCACCTCTGTTGGCTTTCCACATCCTGTTCCTCAAGCCACTTCAAAACAGGATTTGGGTTGCCGAGCAGATCAACATGCTCAGGGATAAGTAGACTTGGCATAATAGGCGAAAAGTTTGCCCGTTGAGTCACACCGGACGGACTAAGACTCTGTGAAGAAAGTATCGGTGCTTTTCAATATATGGGTCCCATTTCAACGCATCAATTTTGTCCTTTTTCGCCCTTCTTGCCTTGTTTTAGTCTCTACAATGCTCGTCTATCGAGTTTACCATTGAGTCAAAATAGGAAGTTTGAGGCGGCACGTGTTTGTGCACGTGAGAAAATTTTGCCCTGCGCGCACCAAAGCGCACGAAACCCCACTTGCGCTTCTCGATCCACAATACGACTAGGTAGATAAAAATCATCGAGTTCCCCCATACCTCTCGGTTTACGAATCTCAACCAACCACCCCACGTCCTGATCACCATTAGATACGCTTGATTCTATTGGGAGACTGTCAAAATGTCTAAGATCTCAGTCGGTACGTGCCGCCTCAGGAAGCGATTTATCTATTTCTGTCGACCAGAATAAATGTTCTCGCTGAGACTCGACGTTATGATAATTTTTTTTTCACGGTGCTAACGACCCCTACAGCCAACGTCCGGACGCAAGTCGGAGAGCTCCTTGAGTACTCCAACGAGACCAAGAAGCGTAACTTCCTCGAGACCGTCGAGCTCCAGATCGGCCTCAAGAACTATGACCCTCAGCGTGACAAGCGTTTCTCTGGCACCATCCGCCTGCCTTCCATCCCCCGCCCCAACATGGCCATCTGCATCCTCGGTGACCAGCACGATCTCGATCGTGCCAAGCACGGCGGTGTCGACGCCATGTCCGCTGATGACCTGAAGAAGCTTAACAAGAACAAGAAGCTCATCAAGAAGCTTGCTCGCAAGTACGATGCCTTCATTGCTTCCGATGCTCTCATCAAGCAGATTCCCCGTCTCCTGGGTCCTGGTCTCTCCAAGGGTAAGCATTTTCCCAAATTCATATTACGTGCTTGCGATATCGATGCTAATATTTTTTCGCCTACAGCCGGAAAGTTCCCTACTCCCGTCTCCCACTCCGACGACCTGACTGGCAAGATCAACGAGGTCAAGTCCACCATCAAGTTCCAGCTCAAGAAGGTTCTCTGCATGGGTGTCGCCGTCGGCAACGTCGGTATGGAGCAGGAGCAGCTTGTTGGCAACATCATGCTTGCCATCAACTACCTGGTCTCTCTCTTGAAGAAGGGCTGGCAGAACGTTGGAAGCCTTACCATCAAGGCTTCCATGTCTCCTCCCAAGCGCCTCTACTAAATTGGTCGCGGGCTTTTTTATATTTTTGTTTCGAGGTGTCAAAGTATAAATATGTACGCCGGTAGGGATAGCATAGCTTAAAATCTCAAACAAAGAATTTTTCAGCCATCTAATATTGCCTCCTTGGTACTAGTAGTTGTAACTTCAGTGGCCATGCTATATAACGTCCTACTGGGGGGAGAATAGCACATGAAGACATGTTTAAGCTTGGAAGGGCATTCAAGAGTTGATGTTTAACCTTTTACTTTATTCATGTATGTCTATAAAATTACTATAAGATGCTGGGCTTTATAAACCGCAGCTTTTCGTTACTCGCCATGCGACGAGCCCCCGACGACCGATGACTCTAGAAAGAGTATTCCAGACTCCGTCATCTCCAAAATCCATATCGTCCAAGTTGAGATGGTTCCTGTACCGCCAAACCTCCCGAAATCTCAACCCCTCTAAGCCCTTGTTGGAGAGATAGGGGTCCAACCAGGTGGCCGACGCCGGTGCGATCAAATAAGTTCCATTTTTCTCTTTCAAATATTCCAAACTGCGACGATCTGCAGGAGTGTCGCATGTAGCTAGCTCAGTCAGCTGTTCCAGCAGCGCTTCACCCTTAATTCCCATGACATCCTTGGTAGTCAGAACTTCATTTTTGCCGTTGAGAAGCCAGATAGGAGGAGGATAGGTCTTCCACCAGATGGCGTTTGTAGCATCAGGCTGTTTGCTCATAAACACCTGCCCAGGAACAATACCACCCTGGTGATATGTCCCCATCAGCACACCAAAGAAGACGTTAAATATAATCCAAGATGCTGTCCATATTCGATTGAGTGTGGGATTCTTTGGCAGCTGTAAAGATGACAGAATAAGTGGCACAGTTGGTAGCAGAAATCGAGCCTCTTGATGTTTAATAAAAGATAGAACAACAATTCCAGAAATGGCTGAGTACAGTCGTAACGATAAGTAAGGCCGCAGGAATAATAACGCGAACGCGGGTCCAATGAGCTGCGGTAAATTGGCAAGAATATGTTGATACCAGGGATGCAAGCCATGCAGTGCTAGATTTTCGGATGAAGAATTATATATGAGGTTGTTAAGAGGCGTGATAACAGGATTCGTGATGAGATCGGTCCAAGTAATGGGCTCTGGTGTGTAAAAAGCAGTATCAATAGCAATAGCAGCGAAGGCAGTAGTAACGGCGGCCAGAACCAAAGCGGCCAATGTAAAGGGTCTGTTAGTAAAAGTCAGTGTTTAACTCTAATATATCCAAAAGTACCATGACTGACTTATTCCAGATATGAAGAATCAACCAAAAACCAGGTAGTATCAGGAACGCTGGAAAAGTAACACGGTTGAAGAAACCAAAAACGACAACCACTCCCAAAACAACAGACGACAATATGGATGACTGTTGTCAAGGAAGGTTAGCAAGAGACTCGCCGCATAAAATGTACACATAATAAGGAGGTAAACGACTCACTTGAGGATCCGTGATGCGTTTTATTAAGACCAGGCTCCACAAGACAGTCAAAGTCTCGACTGAGTTGGAAAATGTGTGCGTTTGGAAAGTCCAAGTTACATAAGAGGATGAAACGAGAAGAAGAGCAGTGCGGCGATGGCGTGTGTTACTGATTAGTTCGTCAAGAGCCCAATCTTCAAGCACAAAGCTTGTCAAGAACATCAGGAACCTCAGCGTCCAGAAGACAGCAATGGGGGGGACGTCGCCATCTTGCCCATTCCCAACCCAAAGCCAGCGCAACAAAAGCATAGGGAGCCCATAGACGGGCCAGAGAGGGAAGACACTCCGAATCGGATTTTCGCTAGTGAATTCCCATGTATGCCGAACAGGGTAACTAAAGATCTGGCCTGTGTGAAGCAGATATCCGGTCAGCCATTTTTAAGAACAGCGACTAATAAATCCATTCATGGCTAATTTAACGAGCAGCCTCGAAGGCAGCAAACAATTAACGTCTAAATATTACATAGCACCCGAATACATACCGGCAATCACCTCCGGCCCCTGGAAGTTCTCATCGGGGTGGAGGTAGCTGGGCGAGAGGGCGAACCAGAGCCTGATGAGAACTAGGAGAAGATATGTGCGCCGCCACATCTTACTTTGGCTGACTGCTTAGAAGATCGTGTAGGTGGAGCAAGCATAAAACTAAGGAAAAGCTGATACCGATGAAAAAACATGAGCAAGTCGGATAGGCGCGGATGAAAGGTTTTTGTGCGCACGCAGGCTGGCTGTGCTGAGAAAAATGAAAGAAGAAGAATAGCTGGCAATTACGAGTAGTGCGGTAGTACCATAATAAGGGGGGGAGTAAACAGAAGGCTCTAGGTTGTCGTGAATTAGGAACAAAGGAGGTGTATTGAGGTACACGCTGCGAAGCAAGGCTGGCTGGCAGATAAGCGATGCGGCGAGTTCTATAAAGCAGCGAGGACGACGAGGCTTAGGATGCGCCAAAAGAAAGACCAGAAAATAGTGAAGCAAGATTCGGTTCAACGCGTGAAGAAGCTTGGGACGCGCCAAAAGGCTAGAACAGGTGGTCAGACTGAGGCTGATGACCTGCTGGCACCTGAGACCTGAGACCTGAAGGGTGTGCCTGACATGGAAAACAAAAAATAAGGGGCATGACCTCATCCTTTCCTTCCCGCGGCTTTGGTAAGCATTTTTGGGCTTGGAATGCCAGTAGCTTCAGGCTTAGCTTAAGTGCGCCTAAAGCGTTTCAGCGCAGTAGCTGTCAATGCGACGATTATGACATGAAAGAAAGGAGCTTTTTTTCTTTATTTACCCTGTTCTTTCTTTTTTTCTAGCTAGTGTATACCTATATGTGTTTTTCTTTGTTTATATCAGGAGAAGGGATTACGAGGACGTGTAGATACCTATCGAAGCATTGCGTGAAAAGACCAGCGCCTTTAAGGCATATTCCTACAGCCGTCTCGACACAGACGCATTGCAGCGCCGCAAGCCATGGCCCCCAGATTGGCCATTGAAGCATTGCAAATGCACCAAGCATAACGTAGGCCTAGAGCTTAGTAACTTGTGCATGACGACTAGCTTAAATGCGCATTTACATAAAGGGCCTCGATGGTTAAGAAAGTGTAATCGCCGTTTTTACTTGATGAGCGGGCCCAACACATTTGCCAAGGTAGTGCCATAGGGCTGTGAATATTTATAGAGACAAGCATGCGTCACTATGTACGTATCTACCTAGCAGTACTTATACAAGGCTTGAAGAATTACCTACTAGGTAGTATTTGCCAAGTGTATTCTCTCCCCTCAAGTCTATTGCGTAGAAGGCCCCAGGAGAATACTTGTGGCATTGGAATTCTTATAGTCATCTGTTGGTTCCACGGCAGGCCAAATACAGGGCTGTGTACTAGCTACTACTGATCCTTCGGCGAGGACTCCAAATAGCGTGATGATACTCCGACTTCCGTTTGAAAGCGGCTTTCAAGGATAGCGAAGGGTTTCTAACAGGAGGCAAGAGACTGCCCAAACAAAAAATCAAATTAAATCTCCTTCAACGTGTGCAATTTTTATTTTATTTTATTTTTTATCAACGCTCGTTTTGACCAACAAAAAAATCTACCTATTCTTTTGATGCTGACTTTGGCCACACTGTCTGCCGTTAAGCTTTGGTGGCTCTTGCACGCCTTTGGGCGGTACGTACCTCCTCCACCGCGGAACCCCGCAGAACTCAAGGGACTGCTTGCCTGCCTGCCTGCCTGCGCTGCCTGCCTGCCGCTGAGGCCCGTCCGTGCCTAGCACCAGCCGATATTTCAACCTTCAGCTCTCGCATCTTCCAGCCTCGTTTCTCGCAACTTCATCATCAGCTGCAAACCGTCTCGCTCAAACGCCTTGTGCTGCGTCCTATCATCCATCTCTACCGCCTTTATCATACCGCTACATCCATAAGCGCTTCTCAAAGCACACGATTATCACAATGGCAGAGGCAAAGCCCGCATCGCAGAAGATCTGGCTGATCTCCAATGACAACGCCACCATGGAAGTTGGTAAGCTCGCCCTCGATGGTCCATCGCTTTCTCTTCGCCGATAGCTCGAAACTGACAAGCCGACTCCAGACCGTGTCGTGGTCGAGCGCTCCATGCTTTTGAAGAACATGTTGGAGGATTTGAGCCATACCGACATCACCCAAGACAACCCCATCCCTATCCCCAACGTAGGTTATTTCCCTTCGGAGCTTCGATGCCCTTTTGTAGAATACAGCTGACAGGGTCTCGGCAGGTCAATGAAGCGGTCCTGCGAAAGGTAGTCGAGTGGTGCGAACATCACCGCAACGATCCCGTCACGACCCCCGACGACGAGTCGGATGCCCGCAAGAAGACGACTGATATCGAGGAGTGGGACCAAAAGTTTATGCAGGTGGATCAGGAAATGCTCTTTGAGATTATTCTTGTACGTTTACATGATATCTACCCCAATATTGTTTCGCAGCTAATCCCAAGCCTAGGCATCCAATTTCCTTGATATCAAGCCTCTCCTCGATGTCGGCTGCAAGACTGTGGCCAACATGATCAAGGGCAAGTCTCCTGAGGAGATCCGCAAGACTTTCAACATCACAAATGACTTCTCCGCCGAAGAAGAGGAGCAAATCCGCCGTGAGAACGAATGGGCTGAGGACCGATAAATCATGGTCACTATGGCTATTAGTGCTTCTTGAATCTTTGTTTTGCTGGTGGAGAGCAACAATACGAGCCTAACTGTTTCCGGGGCTGTTTCATAGAGCAACCTACGGCGTTGGTGGGATTGAAATGATAGGGCTATTGGTTTCTTTAATTCTCTCCTTTTGGTCCTTTTTTCTCTTTTTTTTAAACCGGTATTTGTTTTTGGGGCAATGTTTTCGGGGCACGACAGACTAACAAAAGTCAATCAATTTTCATGAGCTGGGGACGTGTCCCTTACGTTTACACATGCGTTAGATATTAATCTCTAACATCTATTTAAATGGCCGTTTTAATACGCCTGTTCCTCATTGGTCAAACATAAGCCTTCAAAATGATATGAGAATACTAAACATTAATGCGGCAGCTTAATTATCCTCTTGGTTCCTTCCGTGCTCATGCCCGAAAATCAAGAGTGTTGGGTGTAATGGCGATCAAGTGTTGAGGCCTTACCATACTTGCAAGATGCACATGTGATGTCCAGTGATTCTTACCTGCGTGAATCTTCCAAAGTCCAAAATAAAATATTGGAAGGGGGATATTGATTGGGAAAGCCGGGACATCTTTTCATTCACCATTTGGGGGGGAGGCCAATTTACGGATCCCTCAACATAGCGAGTAGCAGCACAAGCACCATGCTCAGAAAAAAAGAAAAAGAAAATTGAGACTTGGGTAAAAAGGCAAAATGGACATCAAAAATAGGTTCATTTCCTTTCCCTATGACCGACCGTGACATGAAGCAATATCAAGAATCAAAAATCCAGGCAACCGTGCCCATATTCCGTGCGTCCGCATCCTCCTCCCACACGCCGTAAAGACGACAAAGAAATTCTGCTTTTTACGCCATCCACCACTGTTATTTCATTGAGAAATGCCAAAGAAGCCGGATGTCGGTACCGTCGGTACAAGTGGGTCGAGAATGCCAGGTGATTGTTTGACGTCGCTTAGATTCCAAGGCGAGTCTTCCTCCAGTGCCTTCTCTTGGCGTTGTAGCTATACGATTAATGTTAGTATCAAGATACGTCAAAACTTGAGGTGAGTGAAGTGTTTGTTCTGCAAGATGGTGGAGGAATCGGTGGTCGGAGAGGGGTGAGCGGGCGATGTATTTGGGCGGGAAAATTCGGTTGTGTGTTCGAGAATTTGGAGCAGTGATTTCGAGGGAACAGAGGGTTTCTCGTCCATGGGGAAGTTTTGCACGCACCGGATTGTGTTGCCAGTGCGAAGGCGAATCCATTGCGGAACCGGGCGGTTCTGCTTCTGGGCCTTGGCCAGCTTCTGCTTGGTTCGGAAAGTCTTGTGGCTCTATAGAATTAACTGAACGTTAGTGATGTCGTCGTTTTCAAAATATCGATCCCATCTTGCGGTCTTCGTCTTCCTGCCGGCAGTTGGGTTGGATGACCACCACAAATGGTGGTCTCCCGCTGCCAAAACTGCCAGGCCAAAATCTCGAAAATCACGTCTGTCCAAAGGAACGCTTCTCCTCATAACGACGAGCAGGAAGGGGGCGCTGCATACCGGCATCTTGTTGACCTTGCGTATCGAGTCTGGTGATGATGACGATTTTCGTGATAGTTGAGAACGATTGTAGATTTTGCGACCCGCATCCGAGGGCGTAAAGCCCTAGCGGAGAAGGGAAAAAATGGTGGGTTTGTGGCTAGTGCAGCAGGTGGCGCAGGTGAATATTTTTTCCTAAGGCAGAAGTTCTGACAAGGGAATTGTTGGAGTATTACCTAATACGGCTGGATCGACTGGACAAAATAAGCCGGTCATGCCGCATCGTTGCTTTGATGAGCTAAGCAGTGCCTTATCTAAATACTGCAGAGGCATGTAGATTCTCTCTGCAAAAGAGATGGCATTCCAATTCAAATTATGAATCTGTTTACCATATTTTAGTAGGCAAATCATACTAAATCTTTGGCTCTGGGATATATGAAGCTTTCTATCCGCATAGACGCAATCTTACTAGGGCGACCAAAATACACACACATGCATACTTTAGTAGGTCAAGTGATATAAGGCTGCGTGAGATTAGCCTTAATTATTCTGTCTAGCGCGTGGACCAACCAGAAGCCGCCGCTGGGAAGGGTCATTGCCTCTAAAACAAGGCCTACCAAGATAGCTGCAGATGGGCGTTGGAGCCTCCGGAATAGGGGACAGTTTGTAATTGATAACTTCCACATACCTATACACGTCCTCGAACCCCCTTTACAACGACTTTTACGGCGCACACGCGAGACACTTGAACAACTCATCACCCGGCGTTTACTGCGATTTTTCTTAGTTTCATTTTACTTTCTCTTTAGCTTTTTATTTCGGCGTCCCGAAAGAGCAAAACGCTCCCCTCGACGATTTCAAATCCACCCACCGGGAACGAGGCAAGCCGCGAGCTGGCCAGCTACCTGTAGCGAAACACTCGGTGCACTGTTAGAGGACTTCAGGCTACATATTTTAAGATGGGTGCGGGAATGTCATGGCTGTCCAACTTGGTTTGGGCGAAGAAGGAGATCAGAATTCTGATTTTGGGCTTGGTATGACGTCGTGTGCTGCCTTGGGGGCTCAAATGATGGATTGCTAATGCGTCGGCTCTCAACAGGATAACGCTGGCAAAACCACCCTTTTATACAGACTGAAGGTAATGATACTATGACTTTCTTCGTTATTTTTTATTTTTTACCGGCGTGCTGACTGCAAGGATTAGATCGGAGAAGTTGTCACGACGATACCAACGATCGGATTCAATGTCGAATCAGTCACGTACAAGAACCTCAATTTTAACGTCTGGGTATGGATGGCAATACCAAAGCGCACACACGGGAGAATATAGAAGATGTTCTTTTACTAACAAAGATGATTTCTTGTTTGCAGGATCTGGGCGGACAGACTAGCATTAGACCCTACTGGCGGTGTTACTACGCCAACACCGCGGCCGTCATTTTCGTCGTCGACTCTACCGATATCGATCGATTACAAACTGCGGCAGAGGAGCTTTCGGCTATGCTAAACGAGGAGGAGCTCAAGGATGCGGCTCTGCTAGTATTCGCCAACAAGCAAGATCAGCCTGGCGCCAAGGGCGCGGGAGAGATCTCAGAGGCGCTGCAGTTGGGCGAGCTGCGGGACCGAAACTGGAGCATCATGGCTTGCTCGGCAGTCGATGGCAGTGGTGTGAACGAGGGCATGGATTGGCTAGTGGTAAGCTTGTTTTTTATGTTCCTGAAGATCGATGCATCTCGGGTGTTGGAATCCCGAAGAGGCTAACGTTCAATGTCTGAATCTAGCAAACTGTCAACCAGGACAACTAAACCAAAACGTATTTTCTGCAAAGGAGATTTAATAACAGCCATCTCCTTTTTGTTTTCGAACCACAACCTTGTACAACAAACGATATGATGATGGCAAACGACGGTCGGATTCCGTTATATATGGGCATGCAACCATACACCTAGCAGTCGGAGGAGGAGGGCATGCAGCGAACGGCGCACTTACCTTTCTATCTAATAGGCGGATGATGGGCTCTTGAGAGAGGATAAATTATATGGACGGGATAATATCAACAATACTATCATTTAATTTAGACTTGGGATACCAGTATCAATCAGTATCCCAATTTGATTCTCAATATTGGTCTCGGTCTTTGAACACCGAATTTTTCGCATCTAATCCCTAGTCCCTCGTATCTAGAAGAATGCTGCCACACTGGACACCACAGCAGACCTACATAAAGACCCGCAACGCGCGGACTGTCTGTACCAAACTTACAAGCAAATAAATCTGAGTTGGGGCATCCAGAACTACCCGAAAATAGGGCCGTGAGACGGAATGGTCTCATTTCCCCTCTTTGCTTGTTGTATGTTACATAAACGTCCGCATGGTATTATCAATAATTCTCTCGGATTACGACTGCCGAGCCTCAGAACATCCGATGGGGATATGGTTTCGAAAAAGAGGGTGTGAAGGCAATACATAGAAGTGGGTTTCTGGGATATCAGTTGCAATGTTCTCAATGGGTTCCAGAGGTATATAAAACATGGGGGCTCGGACTTCGGGATATACATGGGGTGGAGCAGGTTTACGAGGTCTACACTTCACTGCATGGCGTTGGAGATGAGATTTTGGCGTAGGTTAGCTATTACTACTCTGTATCCTAATTTGACTGGCAGGTGAACCGAGAAGGATTTTGCCGTTGCTTACTCTACTACTGTTATTATTGCAGTTGATGTAAACTACCAGCAACCCGCCAGCATCTGTCTTATAAAAACGGCGCTGTTCGCATACAATACTAGGATCGATAGAGTAGAGTTAGCGAGGGCTATGTCATATAAAATATCCAGCTTAAGTTCACCATGATATTATATAGATCTTAATCAACCCTATATGACGCCGAAGTAAATTTCTCATCTTTCTAAGGTACTGAATATTACTGTATTACCTCGCGTTTTTCGACGATAAATATAAATGGGCAGTGTGGATGTACCTTCTTGGCTGCATACCACTAGGCTATAGAGGAAAAATTTCATTGGGGTACCAGTGCCTTTACTTTATTGAGGTATTAGCAGAAATCTCCCTGTAATGCTCTAATATAGACTATAATGGTAGATGTACTAGCTTTTGATGTATCTTTTTGGGGATTTTATATATAATTTCCTTTATAAAATGCCAAAGAGATACTTCAGAAGCTTCTGTTTATCGTCGAAGTTACGAGGGAACCACCAAAAAACGCAATGTCAGATTTATCGTCGAAGATGCGAGGGAACTATAGAATTATATAGCTTACGAAGTATCTCTTTGGGACTTTACATATAGTTTCCTATGTAAAACGCCAAAAAGATACTTTGGAGATATGAATTTATTGTCGAAGTTGCGAGGGAACCACTAAAAATCACGATGTCAGATTTATTGTCGAAGACGCGAGGGAACCACAATTCATGTAGCTTTTATGTAATTTTTTAGGAATTTACATATAGTTCTTTACATAAATACAAGAAAGGTACTACTTCGAAAGCTACAGGAATTATGGTGCCCTCGCATCTTCGACGATAAATCTGACATTTTTTCATGACTTACCTAGTACCTACCTACCTACCTACTTGATAATCAAGGAAATCTAACAAAATCAAGGTACTGGTACCCCAATAGACTTTTCCCTCTGTACGTCTACAATAACCATTTAAATCTTTTCGTCGAAAATCGTGAGGTAGTACCTGTGAAGCGTTGCAGCTTACAACCACCACTACCACCAAAATAGACGCTAAAATTGCGAGCGAACAGGTGACCACGCGTTAGAGCCCCTCGGACGCCGAGACGCGAAGCGCGCCAGCATCTCGCCATTCAGGCTGAGCAGAACCACTTACTCCTAGCGTGAGCCACGCC